CCCACCCCCTTGCTGGACCTTTTTTTGCGGCACATACTATGTATCATGCCATAATTGTGCTTTTACCGCAAAGAAGCAAGGGCCAAAAAGGGAAAAAAGGGACAAAAGCACTCGTAGATTTTTTTTTTCTTGTCTAAGTTGCCGGGGTGTTGTGGATGGGATGCGATGGGATGAGACGAAGGATCCGCTTGGACAATGGGCTATGCGAAATTCGCTGGTAGCATTTGTAAGATGGACAGCCACACTAATAACGGTCCGCAGTTCTGGATTGCGTGGTAAATTAATAGGCTACTGCTTGTTTCGTGTATACAGATAGCGGTGAATGTGTGATTGTTGAATGAGTGAGTGAGTGAGCAAAAGTGAGCCAAGTGAGTAAGTGAGTGAGCGAGTGAGTGTAAGAGACACGGTAAGCTAGCCCAACAGCCGGTTTCCCTTGTGGGCGGGGAAGGGGACACCACGCATTGCTTATGGTACTACGTATTTTCGTACTCGTAATGATGCTAGTTGCAACTGATTGGATGTCTTGGAAAAAAAAAAGGTGAGTCTTGGCTTTTCGTGTCGTCGTTTTGGCGGGGAGAAAGCGGATAGCGGATAGCGGACGGATACAGTCAGGAGCCACGCGAAGGATTAACCCAGAAAAAATGGAAGAGTCGAAATGAGCATGGGAGTGAGAAGAAAAAAAAAACTGGAGCAAAATAGGTACCACTATTTTTTTTTTAATGTCTCTTCGCTCTTTCGCTTTTATTTCCTTCACTGGAAAACGGAGTTAAAGGGTGAATGACTCGGTGAGGCGAAGCAATTAGACAGCAACAATAGCTGAAATTTGGAATAGCTCGTTTGATAGCCAAGCCACGCTCGTAAAGAAACGAATGAGCTTCACTTGAATCGTTGCGTGTGTGAATTGCTTGCTATAGTCGGGCTATCCGCGCCTTGATAGTGTCTGGCGTCGGTATTATACGCTCCGAACCAGCATATCCCCGATTGGGCAGAAAGGAGGCCAAAGGCATAGGAAAAGATAGGCTGAGGGCCAGCCACTTGCTTGGAGGATGCACACACAAGCCTGAATTTAGATTTGCAGACTAGAGCAAAGCAAGGGAGTAGTATACGTATGGGTAGGTACATGTCATACTTTGTAGTATGTAGTAGGTATAGGTATAACTCGTATGCTCTGCGTGGGATTGATGCCACAGTATCCGCCGGTATCACACAGTACTCCAAGGCATCAAACATGGCTGCGAGCACGGGATCAGCAATGACAATTTAAAGCAGCATGAGTAAGCAGCATGTATTCTTTTGAGAGCGGCACTCGCGACAAGTGAGACAATTTTGCTGCAGTAGTCAGTCGATGGCGTTGGCTTATGCATGTCTTCTTGTAAGTCTGTCTTTTTTTTTTTTCAAACTGCCGTTGATTGACATCTGTCTTATGTCGAGGTGCCACCGCAAGCATACATACATACATAAAGCGGGCAAAAAGAGAAAACGCCCCAAAAGATAACAAGCCCTCGCTTCTCCAGTTATTCCTTTTTATTTTTCTTGGCCAAAGTCCGTAACTCCGGTCCCTAACGCGGGAACTACTATTCAATCCATTGGCAAAATAGTTCCTATTTTGCGGTGCCTAGTTTGCCCAAGGTTTGGCCAGTGGGGGAGGCTAAGAGGCTTAGCTCGCAGAAAAAGAAACGAAAGGAGCTGAAAACGAAGACATGGGGATGGTGCTGGCAACTTTGGCCGCGATTTTTACTTTTTGGTTATAGGAAGATGGTCTAAATGTTAAAATCATTAGCGAGATTGACGTTTGATGTCCGTGTTGGCCGTCTATTTTACGATGCGTGGTTCGATGTGACGAGTGTATACATCGTAGGTGCCTTCCAAGTTACTAGCATTATCTGAGGTCATGTATGTATATGACGTACGGGCCTCTGCTTTCAGGTCATCACTAAAGGGGAATGCCAATATTACCAGTTCAGGCACCTGGATAGACTTGGACGCCCTTTGGCTGATTGATTGATAATAACCTCTGCATACATATACATACATACATACAGGTACCTCCATGTACATGCCTTAACCTACTACTAATGCTCCCCTGGCTGCGGCTTGCTGCTGTTCGGCGGATTAGGCTAATGGCCACTGTAATGGCAGCGCTACTGGCTTTACGGCAGGCTATCGCATCGCTGCTACGACGGCGTGACTTTTGTTTTTTAAGGGGATGGGGCATTTGCCGCTTTAGTCAATTTTTGCACAGGATAGAGCCGACGATGCAAACCGAACCGGTGGGAGCAGGTACCTGCATATCGTTGACAGGCAGCGCGTCTGAATCTGTACCGGCCGTTTGCCGGATCAGTATAGTGGTAGATACCAGATGCAGGCAATGGTGGCGGGTAGTAGGAGCAGCACGCAAGCAGGTACCTGGATGTACTGCCTTCATGCGATGATGGTACTCCCTAGTAGGTATAGGTAATTGTGCAGTAAATATAGTACCTAGCTGGGCAACCTGCAGTCTGGGTGTTCTTATTTGATTTGATTTCATTTTCTCTGGTTTGGTTTTGGCTTTGGCGGCCCGTTCTTACGTGGGAGTATGGATAGCAAGTGATGCATTTCTAATTCATATAAAGACACGCCAGAGATAAATAATCAGCAACCAAGGCTGAGCCGCATCAAACCACCGCCGGATTAGCTAACCTATCCGTAATGCCTCGACTATCGCTGCGGCTGGCAGGTGGCAGACACCCGCAGCGGCGTCTAATAATAGGCCCCCCCTACCTGCAGCACTGCTACCGGACTGGCGATGTGAATACCTGCCAGCTGGAACCCATCCAAAGGCAGCGTGAATACTACTACTAGTACTACTACCTGTACCTCTAATATACTACCTACTAAAGACTGGCAGTACCTTGCAGCTACCTAGTCCTTGCCTGCCGTGGCTGCTGGCCCTCAGCTGCTGCTCCTATCGCGTTGGCTCGTCCTTGTACTCGTCTCGTCTCGCTTGTCTCTCTTCCAGCTCCAGCTCTTTCTTTTCTTCTCTCTCCCTCTCTCGCTGCCATTATTTCTCCGGCTTCCACGCTCTTCTTCGCCTTCTTCTTCTTCTCCCCCTTCTCCATTTTCCCATCTGCGTAATTCTTCTTCGTCGTCTCTCCCACCTCATTCTTCCCGCTCCTCTTCTTCCTCTTCCTTCGCATTTCCCTTCTTCGCCTTTGCTCTCCTCCTCCATATAACACACCCCCCTCCCCTTGTCCAGCCCACCCCTCCCCCAAAAACACCCTCTTATCTGATGCTTCATCCTGCACGCCCTCCCTGCTTCTCCCATCCTCTTCTTCCTTTCTTCGTGATTCGCCTGATTTTCCCCTTCCAGCCTCAACTGGCCACTTTCCCGCCTTCTACCGGCCCTCGCTCTACAACGCTTACGTATCTGTCCTGAGCTGTCCTTGATGCCGCTCTCCGGGGATAGAAAATAGGCTGCCGGATAGAACCAGACAAGAGGCTGGGCGATATATAGCCTGCCAGACAGCCTTTTCCCACTGTGGAGGTTTCCTTTTCCTACGCCGTATACGCTGCCGGAATATTTTCCACCGGCCAGGGCTGCAAAACACCGTTTGGCCTTCACTGTGATCAGTAATACGACCGTGATGCGTATTGAAGCATTACGAACCAGGTTAGTCAATGTTCACTGCTCGTCTTGCCAACCAATTCAACCTGCCATGGGCTTCTTCCCCGATGTGGCTGCCATCGTCGAGCAAAGGCAGTCCAGTCAGTCTCCTGCATTGACGGCACCCAGAGCCGCGGCTGGGACTCGCTGTTGTTTCTCCTGCTTCTTCCCTCTCTTGTTCTTCTCTCGTTTTATACACCCCCTGCGAACATAGAGGAAGACAGCAGAGACCCTGCCTGACATGGTTCCGTCAATCCTGTCAAGCTGGTCTGTCTCATCTGTATATTAGCTATATGGATGGACGTTGCACTACCGCAGCAGCCGCAGCCAGGCAGCCGGCGTATTATTCCCTGTCTAACATGGCCGCTCCTTGTCCACCTTGCAGACAAATTCTAGTGTTAGCACCACCGTCTCGCTTTTGCCTAGTGCCTGGGCGTGTATCACGCCGCCGGCTTACCTGACTGTGCCTCTCCACAGCTATGGAGAATCCTGGAGTGGGCTCGGCTTGTACTCGCATGTCCCTTTGATATTCATATAGACGCCCGCCATATTCATCTCCGAGCAACCGCTTCTGCCTCTTGTTCTTCTCTTCTTCTTTTTCTACCCTTCCATTGCGTGGCGACTAACCTTGGCCACTGGCCGCAGCTCCGGGAAACCAGACCTTGCTATCCTCGCCTGTTTCAGTCAGATTAACTATACAAGCTCAACTTAACCAACCTAAACGACCCAAGCATATCGCCACAGACCAATAGCATCGTCTTCTACTTTGGCTGCATTATCATCGTTCTCTTCTTCGGTGTCACCGGCAATTGGATCCTGCGACCATCCTTGACTCTGCCATAAATCCATATTCATTAAACCAATGGTCTCATACATCTGAAAAGAGCAACAAGAGAAAAGGAGGAACAAGCCTTGGAACTACTATACCGCCATACCGCCATACCGCCATACCGCCATACCGCCGGATTGCCATCTTCTGTACTCGGCACTTGCCTGAGACTATGGTTGAGCCTCGCGTATACCATTGGGGGATTAAGACGACAAGAACAAGAACATCTATTACCGTAGACTCGATACGCCAAACTACAGCTTCCAACTCACTGGCCACATTACCGCCGATATCGACTCTCTTCCCATTTCGAAACTAGGCAGACAAAGAAGGAAAAGAAACGAGACGAATTTGATTATTTATTTGCTCTTTTTGTGTTACAGTATCATATATAACCTGCCCTCACAACTTACTCTTAAACAGCACTTACACCCGACTCATTCGAAACAATCAAATTCGACAACCAGATTCACCAAAAAGAGAGAAAGAGAGATTGAAGACAAATCAAAAACGAAAGAAGAAGAGAGAATGGAAGAGGCGGCCACATGGGAGGATCTTCCCCCCCACGAACATCAGTTCGTCTGGGACGAGGCTGAGGGCAAATTCTGGAGAGATTTCAACGCAAAGCAGGAAACTCAGCATTCCGAGGCCGAGAGGAAGTACCAACTGGCCCTGACAGAGGCCAAAGTCGAACTGGGCACCTTGGACGGAAGGCGAAACCAGCTGAGCAAGCTGCGCGAGAGGCTGGCGCTGGAACTGAGTCAAGTCGACAAGGAGTTGGCCCAGGTTGTTACTGAGTGCGACGGAAAGACGGACAGGATACTCGCCATTGAGCGCAACTACCGGCACGATGAACAAGATTGGCTGCAGCAGAGAGAAAAAGTTACAGAGACCATGATTCGCTGGTTCCAAGAGAAACGAGAGGTTGCCGCCAAGGTCCAGGCTGCTGGCAACGGTACTGCGGGAGAACTCATTAACAAGAAGGCCATTGATGCTTCTAGAAACCTGGCTGATGGTGAAGCCACCGAGATGGAAGGAGTAGAGTATTGGAACGAGCAAGGTTCACAGCAAGCGCCCATGTCTCTCCCGGCCATTGTTACAAGACAGGTGGCAGCCAAGACCGCCATCACGCCAATAACACCGTCTCTTGCCTCTTTCAAGGGCATTCTCCAAGAGCCAATCGAGCCCATTGTTGATCTTGTCGACGCAGACGGACGAGTCATTGGACCCATCAACAAGACAGAGCCGTGGAATCAGTGGGTCAAAGCTATTCTCGGCCTGCCCATCAAGCGCCCGGTCAAGATTCGACGCGGCCGTAAGTTTACTGCCGACCACCTCGCCGGCATTTACGAGCACACCGAAGCCAAGGGCGTCAAGTGGCTATCTTGCATGATTCAGGCCATTGGCGAGGTTCAAGAGCAGCGATGTATCTCTTGCGACAAGAACCAAGGCGCCTTTGACGACTGCATCATCATCGGCGGGCCTCTTTTCCAGAAATGCGGCAACTGTGAGTGGAATCGACAGGGCTGCCACGGTGCGGCTCTGCGCAAAGACCGAGGCTCCGGCGAGTCACCGGCCGCGGACAGAGAGCTTTCTCCTCGTAGCATTCCTCAAGAGGATGAAACATCAAACGGAGTTTCCGAGAGTTCCCCACGAAATGCGGCGGTAACACTATCACCGCGTGAAACCAAGACAGAGATTGCCACAGAGACGTCACGACAAGGATCTGCACAGGAAGAAACTAGAAAGGACGCCGAGGAGAAGAAGGAACCGGTCCGGGATCAGCGAGATGATAGACGCGAGCAGGAGACGGCACAGCTGAATCTGCAGAACCTCCAGGTGAGAAAAGAGCAGGCTGCCCAAGAAGCACTCGCTGCTGCTGCTGGATTTGCTCAGCACGCCATACAGTCAACTGAAATCGCCAATTCAAAGGCCTTTCAGCAGCAGCAACCTGACGAGCCTAAGCCCGTGGTCTCGGAGAGGCGAGTACTGCCTTCCAGCCGACCAGCTATCTACCAGTCCGAGCATCAGCATCAACATCACCAGCTGTCGGCGCCTAGAGAGCACCGCCATGAGCCAGTTAGAGCGTACACGTTTAGCTCGGGATTCACACCAGCCAACATCCCAAGTCGCCCTTCGTCTCGGGATCTCAATAGCCCTACGCCACGCTCTATCGAGTATTCGCCTCAGCCCTCAGACTCCGCAGACCATCCAGACCTCCCCAAGATCACCCGCGAGACGCTTGTTCTGAAACACAACGGCCGAGAATACACCTATCCAGAAATCATTGAGGGCGTGCCCCTGGAAAAGATTGACCCAAGCCATCCTTATTGGGATCCCAAGTGGCCCGACATCAAGAGCTTGATTGAGCCGCCGCTGAACCAGTGGCGGGAGAAGCACCAGCAGGCCATGCAGTCCAAGGACAAGGGCGTAGACAAGGCCTCTACGAGGTTCCAACTGGGACGGCAGGTGAACCGCGGCTTGAAGATTCTCGAGTTCTTGGACGAGGGCGAAATCAGCCCTTACCAGCTCCTGAGCAAGAAGTATACCACGTCCGGAAAGGGTAGTATCACTTCATACGACACCCTCTTCCGGCTGTGCGAGACCTTGAGCGAGCTGGGCAAATACGGGCTCGACATCCATCCCCTGGAGTGGATGCGTCAGCGTCTACATGAGCTATGGCTAGAGCAGGGCGCGGCGTTCAATGTGTCGAGGATTATTCACAACTTTTACAACGATCCAAAACTGGCTCTACTGCGAGCCAAGTCTGGATTCAAGAACATTGGCAGGCCTTCGGGCGTCAAGGCAAGCCGCCGCAGCCAAGGAGCCCCCTCTAACGATGCGCACCATTTATCCCAGTCGAGTAAGCGAAAGAACAACTATTCCTTCAACGGAGCGACAGCCGACCATGACGGGTCATCAACAGATTTGACATCTGACGGCGGCAGCGAAAACCATATGATGGCGCCCGAATCACCGGTTTCAGGAAGCGGCCCCATCAGCAAGCGTGCCAGGACACTGTCCCCGTCTATTCGGCCATACCGCATCCTTGTCGACGACACGGCGGATTTCACCGACACGGATCTCTGGAGCGGTGCTTCCCTGACGAAAGACGACTTTCGCATTGACCAGATCAAGTCGCGCCTCTACACCAGCTCATCCCGAGTCACGCAGTACTTGCACTGGACAAAGGAGGGACGCTTCCTGGAGCACCAAGTACTCAAGGAGGGTCACCCTGTGCGATGGGGCGTGCTCAAGGAACCGGTCAATTTTGATGTGCGCATCGATGACTTGATGGATGTGGTGTGGAACCGGCGCGTCATGAAGGCGCATTTCATGATGGGGGAGCGTGGTACGCGGCTTCCGTCGAGGGATGGACGGCCGAGGGGAGATGTCATTGTGTTGTTTAGGCGGGAGAGGACGCTGAGAAGGTTGATTAAGGTGCTTGAGGGTATGGGGGTGAGGACGATTGAGGGCTCTCAGTGAGTGTTTTCTTTTCTTTTCTCTTCCTTTGTAGAATGTGTGTGTGTGTGTGTGTGTGTGCTAACAGTAATGCGTTATAGAGAGGAGTTGGAGCATCGCTGGGCACTGATGCAGTCGGAACAGCTCTCTGATAGAGAGGATGTACTTTCGAGCGAGGAGATTAAGAGACCGGCTTCTGCATCCAAGCTTCCCGTTTCATATTAAGCTGCCGTGCGACAACTGGATATCGACTCGGATATAGCCCATGGCCATGGTTGAAAAGTACCAAACATTTATTTCTTTACTCTCTTTTCCTAATTTGCATTCTGAGGATGGAAGGAGGAAAATGTCGTGGCGTTTGGCGAAGAAAGGCTAAGCAACACTGCACTGATGCATTCGTTTTTGTTACAGCTCTCTTGCTTCTCTTTCCTTTCTCTTGTTCTTATATTTCCGTCAATGTGTATATGCGGGCTTTCGTTTATTCTGTTCTTTCTCTTCTGACATGAACAAAAAAAAAAAAAAATAGCCTGAGCCTTTTGGACGAAGCATTTTTGATTTTCTCATTTCTTTTGTTTGTTGAGATGATAGATACCCAGTAGGAAAAATCGGTCGTTGCCAGGCTTTTTTTTTTTTTTTTTCCTTTCCTTTTTTTCCTTATTTCGTTCCCTTGAAAGGGGCATGTTTTGGCCTGTTTTGGCAGGATATTGCATATAACGAGGATATTTGTATATATCTATTGCGCTGTGTTTGGGGAAGAGCTTGAATTATATATACACGACTGTGTTTGCGTACAGTTTCTGTTTTATATTTGGATTGTTAGTCTATGAAGTGATGTGTATGTCTACTGTGCGCAATAGGTGAAATACTTATATCAATGCCATTACTCTTATAGCAAGCAACTGATTAATTTCTCCATTTGCTTGAACTTTTTTTTTACTATTTTTTTTTTTATATACTTCATTATCTAGTTTCATAAAACTTGTAAAACTCTTCACATTGATCACACCGTCATTATACAAAATCCAGCAATAAACGCTTAAAATATCCTCTAGCCAATTTACATATACCCTTCACTTCCTCCTAGTAGAAGATCTCGTCCGTCCAAGCATCTCTGCCGCTCCCCCCTCAGCAGCACCCGTCATCCTACTCATCAGCATGGCCTTTGTCTCCATGGCCTCCGGATCGCGATACCCGAGCTGCGTCGCCGGCGGAGACTGCCCCTGCTGATGCTCTTCATCGTCGTCATCGTGGAGCGCGGCGGCAGCAACTCGAGGGAGGACGGCGTCGATGCTGGCGGCGCTGCTGGCGTTGGAGGCGTTGCTTATGGCGCGGCCGAGGATCTTTTGGCGACGGCGGCGGGTGATGGGGTCGGATTGGTTAGGTTGGTGGTGGTGGTTGGCGCTGAGGGAAGTGGACTTTGGGGGAAGGGGGATGAGGTCGGAGAGGGCGGATGTGAGGCCTTGGCGGAGTTCGGCGGCCGCGGCGAGCTGGCGTTGCTTTTCGGCTTCTTTTTCTTCTTCTTCTTCTTCTTCTTCTATCTGTTTTGTTGTGGTTGTTGATCCAGGGGCTGGATTCGGTGGTTTCGAGGGTTTGGAAGGTTCAGGGGCTGATGGCGGAGGCGGATGAGGAGGATCGAGTGCTGGAGGGATCGGTTGTTCTTTGCTATTGCCATCGGGCATCTTGGCCGGCGCAGATATGGTGCGCGGGACATTGACTTTGGCAGCTGGTAGCTTTGGTGACACGTTGAGCGCGGCGGAAGATAGCTCAGATAGAGGAGGAGGAGTATCTGCTGCGCGGACACTTTCAACTGGATGGGTTTGTGCTGTCATGAAGTCTGCGGATGTAATCGACTCGAGCGTATGCTGCCTAACACGGCTTTTCTCAGGAGCGTCGTTGTCAAATGCCGTGGTATCGACGCCAGCGCCGATGGGGGGCTTGGGAGGCCGGGCTGTAGGTTTTGCTTCTGTGTCTGCTGGTGCATCCTTTTCTCTTCGAGGATGAGGAGCCTCTTTTGCTGGGGCGGGCTCGTCTTCTTCGTTGACAAAAGGATCTCGTCGTTTTACGCGACGTTTCTTAATCTCGGGGTATATAAAGTCTTCTATGGGGACCAGACCAGCGCTGGATATGCATTCCCAAAGCCAGTCTGCCGAGACAATGGGCACGCCCCAGTCCAGCGCGCACTTCAGTTTCTCTCTGCGCATCGACACGAGAGACTTGCACACCAGCACGTTTGTCGACCGTCGAAATTCCTCTTCATACTTGCCTCCTAGCTGAGTTACGCTTCTTGCCACCTGGTTGAGCTCTATCCCGGTGAAGGCGGCGCTACAGATGATCATGCTTGAAAAGCCGGGGATGGGGAAAAGGGGGAACGGTCGCCCGAGCACCTGCTCGTTGGGGCTAAAGAATCGCCTGTTATGCAGGCAATTTTCAATGTAAAACTCGGTAATGACGTGGATGTGTTCGTTTGGTACTGTGGGATGGGTATCGGGTTGTGAGGTTTGGGGGACAATGAGGAATCGGTAATGTTCGGGGTCTGTTGGCTCAGACAGCATAGCAGGAGATTGTAGCGACGCCGCAATGTTGCCGCCGAGAGTGGTAATTGTCTGTTCCAGTATGGATGACCTTTGCGGCGGAAATCCATGGATGAAAAAGGTGCAGTTGACAAAGACGCCTTGGTCCTCCTGGAGAGAGTAGCCCGGCTGCGTGGGAACTTCGGAAGTTGGCGTTGGTGCAGGTGGCCGTGCTTGTGCTTGTGCTTCCTCCTTGAGCGGATTCTCGTGAGCAAACGAGTACTCTCTTGATGCAGATCTACCTAGAATGTCTCCCCAGAGGTCGTTTCTCTGCGAGCTCAGCTTCATGCTGGCCGTCTTGCGCAGCTTCCTTACACCCTCGTCTGGCCCGCCGTGTAGGACCGCTGACCTTGCCCTCTTCCCCAGGGACGACCTTCTGGGATCTGTCTTTACCCAAGCACCAACGCCCTGCTCCTCCGCAGGTAGCAGCGGATCAAACTTGGCTTCTTCCAGAATCATGCCGCGCTCGACGCTCTGGCTGAGCCAGTCCAAGGTGACCGTGTGCACACCCCACGACTTGGCGGCCGTAAACTTCTTGCCCTCGGGCTTGTTGACGATCAGATGCGTGCATCTCCTGGTCAAGTCTCCGGTGAAACGACCTCCGTTCTGCTTAACCGTCTCGGCAATCTTGTCTCTCTGCTCGCCAAAGCCCGTCAGACACACCAGCAGAGATCCTCTTGCGGCTGGCGATTCCTCTTCTTCCGACCAGGGCTCGGCACCGCTCGTTTCCAGTGGCTTCAATTGGTAGCTCTTTTCCAGCGCGGCAAGATTGATTTCCTCGTCCTTTTTCCACAGCTCGCTGACGGCAATGATCCAGCCGGCGTCCATGGCCTTGATGTCGACTCGCTCGCGCGCAACATGGCGATACTTGGGGGTGTCGTAGCCACCGACGACGAGATGCGTAACGTCTGGCGTGAGATCGTACTTGTGGACGCCGCCGAGCTCGGCCACCTTTTGGGCAATGTCCGTCTGTTCGAGCAAGAGCCGAGTGTTTGTTAGCACTTGTGGGCGATGTCCGCCAGAGCGTAGAGCATTGAGAAACGAAACGAACCCGTTGATCAGTCGGGATGTCGGTGCAGCAGACAATGACGCCCTTGAACGGCACGGAGGGGTCAATCCCGTAGTTTTCATCCTCTGAGGAATGAGGAGCAGCCATGGTATAGAGCATGGGCAACAACCTCAGCTTGCTGCCGCTGCTGCTGCTTTGGACATGAAGAAGTTGGAGTGTGCATGTGCAGGTATGCAGCCACTATAATGCGAAGCAGTACTTGGTAGGTACCTGTAAAATCAATGTTTGGATGCCGTCAACTGATAAACGATAAGAGACGCGTCTTGGTGCTTGTGCACAGACTGCTAAAGCGCGTTGATTGATGACATCCATGGCCTGTTCCTTAGCGGTAACATGCACTGAAGCATATGCCGTTATAGTGGGCTGTGGCGCTGTTGGGTGGCTATGTTATTGATCCTCATTAGACATGTGTCAGTGCAAAGGCACCCAAGACAATTGCCAAGGCATCGTGTAAATTGCAACAATAAAAGTACTATTAAGAGAAGGAGATGAAGAAGAAGAAGCTGATGATGATGAAGAAGGAAAAAAAAAGAAAAAAAAAAAAATTATTGGTGTAGAATACGATCCATGCAAAACATTGTATACATACGCCAAGAGACTCGCTGCGAGACAAATAGCAACAGCATGTGTCCAGTATCCGCAGAGCGGCAGCGCTCAACTGCTGCCCAGACCAGCCGCTTGTGGTGAGCCGAAAGAGCCTGGAAATTTCATCTTGTCCTTGTCAATAACTGCTGCGGGCTGCCAAGATCCAAACGATCGATGTCGAAGGCGAATCCTCGCAAACGCGGCAGATTACATGTGCCCTATTAACCGCCTAAGGCACTCTTCTCGCCACGCTGAAAGCCTCGCTCGCTACTACAGCTGCTGCTCTGCTACGACCACTGCAGCTACTATGCGGCAGCGACTTTTTCTAGTAGCCCAGCCCGCAGCATCCACATCATCCATACCTACCCAACCCAGAACCCCACCATCGCAGCCTTGCGTGCGTCCATCTTCTGTTCTTTGCCAGACACAAGCAAAGCCGCTGGCATCCTCTCCTCTCGTCCTGCTGCAGCCGCTCTGAGCGTTCCACGATCTGCCCTTTGCTGGACGCAGATCTCGCATCTCGCACCTCATACTGCAGACAGACAGGCCGACGAGACGCTCTCCAAACTCCACAACGCCGCCGTTTTCGAACCATCGTGTGCGTGCACAACCGCCGATTTGATCCAAGCCGCCGCTCGTCGACTCGACGCCTTGGAAGCGAAACGCCATCGCTGACTCGCCCGATTCCGATCGACGCCCTGCTCCTGCACAGTCCACGGCAGCTCTCTCGTCTCCGACGCCAGGCAGAGCTACATACAAACTTACGGGGGGCTTCTCGGTGCTTTATCCAACAAGCTACAGCGACGCAGCCTCTTCTCCGCGCGCAAAGACGCTCGTGTGACTCGGCTCATCACCCAAGGCTGCCGACCTTCCTCTTCTCGCAACGATGCCTCCTCCCTCGCTGGCGCAACAGAAGATCCTCCTCGCACAGTTCGTTTCCCTGACTGGGGTCTCGGAACGTCAGGCGACTCGGGTACGTTGAGATAACGTTGCTTTTCCCTTATCCTGAGCCGTTGCCGGCAACCTGGCCGAAGGCCAACGGGGATCTCCCCGGGCCCTGGCCTTGCTGGTCCATGGATTACGACATGGCACGCAGACGGGGCAGAAAATTGGGTCGGCACCATGAGGCTGGCATGAGGCTGACCGTTTCGGCTTCGACCGCAGCTGCTGGCCATGTGAGGCTACGGCCGCGGCAAGCAATCGTGCATCCCGATCGAGTGGCTCTGATCCCGTGAGTTCGTCGCTAACGTGCTGGTGGTTTGCAGTATCTCAAGTCAACCGGCTACAAGCTCAATGAGGCCGTTGATGCGTAAGTCGCCCTCTTTCAACTCCTCATTCAGCCCCTTTCGAGCCTCAAATCTCCGCCTGGAATTTTCCCCGATGTGCCCCCCCTCCCACCTCCCATCCAGCCCGTCGGATATTCCTCGAATCAGACTCCTCACGGCGCTTCTCGGACAATTTCGCTGTGAGATGATGCATCGCCAGGCTTCCAGTGTTGTTATCGGTGTGGATTTGACTGTGGGGGTCCCACTAAGGCGAAGCCCGCCCGTCCTGTCGGACACTCACCAGAGTATGGCCGAGCGCCGCCGATGCTACTGAAACAGAGACGTCAGAAAGCTACGGCATGCCAAGTTGCTACCTTGCCAGATCGTATAGCATTGTCGTCTTCTGGATGCCTCAAACATCCATTTTCGAGCACGCTTCTTTGCCAATCGCCCCGGCTCCCTGGCAAACCCAGATCCCTGGGAGCTTCTCCAGTCGACCCGAGCTCGCACTTGACTGCGTTAATTTACGCCCTGCGTGTTGTCAGACCATTCCATCTCTTGTAATACTACTTTCTTCGTCTATCTGGCTATTGCTATAATCTTTCTCCTTGTCTGTTCGCTTTGCGCATATTGCCCATAGGTCCTGGCTGCCGGCGCTCCATCCTAGACGACGACGACGACACGGCGACGACGACCAGACGACCAAGACCCAGCAGTTCAGGGACGCATGCATCCCGTGCATCGGGCCTAGAATGATGCTGGGTTGGAAAGGCGTCAAACAGCATCTGCCGTCCAAAGTCGCAAAGGCAGTTCCTCTCCTGCTCTCCAAGAAGAAGCGGGAGAAGCATGGCGCAGATGGCTCTGCCAAGGATGGTCCTGGACGGTATATTCTACTCTGGATGACTGGGGAGACGGGGATGAGCATCAAGACGGAAATTCTACATTGGACCGAATCCAGTGTCGCAAACGTCTATCAAGTGATGGCACTGCATCATTTCTTCACCTTTGTCGTCTTTGCACAAGATGCACGGTTTGCGCCGCAGCAGTGGCTAACGGATTGATTTTAGATTTTATATGAACTCGGCCAATGAAGCAAAAGGCCCATCCCCCCTGGATGCGAAATTAGATGCTCTATTTGATTCACTAAGAGGTAAAATCCTGTTGCTGCTGGGTATAAAGTTTATCCCATAAGCTTACCATTCTTGATAGATGACGAAAATGATGAAAAGGACAAGCTGGAGCTGGAGTCTACCATGGGCTACCTAAGCGAAAAACTTAATGTCAGCTTAGAAAATGCTGAGCTTTTCGTCGTCCTGGAGCTCGTGCAAGCCCCGAGTGTGGGCGAAATCACCAGAGTCGGATTTATCGATGGTTGGAAGGCAAGCGGGTAAGTCTTTTTCCTTTTTCTTTGAATTTCAAAGTCTGAAACAGCCAAATACTTACGGTTGGTAGGGCCGGGGCCTCTCACCAAGAGCACGCTTCTCATGTGCGGAAACTTATTTCCGAGCTGTCATCAGATAGCGCGTTGTTCAAGAAAGTCTACAGGTACGCTTTCGTCGCCGGCCGTGAGAAGGACCAAAAATCATTGGGTTTGGAAAATGCTTTAATCTACTGGAGCATGCTGTTCTCGGCCCCGGGCATGGCTTGGAAAGGCAAACATGACTGGCTAGAGCTGTGGAAGACGTTTCTGGGCGAGAAGTGGACCAGATCCGTCAACAGGGACATGTGGAATATGATTTTGGAGTTCGCCCTAAAGACCAAGAAGGATGAATCACTATCATTCTGGAGTGAGGACGGCGCATGGCCAAGCGTCATCGACGATTTCGTCGAGTGGTGCAAGCAGAAGGGCATCGGGAAGACCGAGACCATGGACGTCGATGAGCAGTGAAACCGAAAGGATCTCGATAGCCATTTCACACAACACACTTATCCGGGGTAGAGATTTATCGATACGTTTTTGACGGCACGGGAGGTTTCATCCTTATTATGAACCAAAGCGAGACCCGCTTTTTCGCTTGAAGGAAAAAGGGCTATGATCTTAGAGAGAGATGCTGGATGAGACTGACGGTGCAGACTTTCAGCTCTTCTGGCCTACATTTTTTTTTTGTGACGATATAGACTTAAAGCGCCAATTGAACAAAAACCATATTTTAACTTGTGTTTTGCATGTCAAAGAAGCTATGGCGTAGATGTAATGTTATATATATACATCATACATCATATTCCTATACATTCCGTCTTTGTCGAAACCGCCATCTAATGTCTCATAATGTGGCAATGCCGCCCCCTATGAACACCAAGAATTTGTACAGCGTGGTGTAGAAGCCTCATCCCCCTTCCCCACGTTTTACATTGATGCTAAGCATTGATAGTTTCCTATAACCCCTTGTCGACGCCTCTGTTTTTTCAATTTTTTTGATACATCATCATAATCTTACACGACGTTAATCCCATTTTTGGATCCCAGCTAGCGCATGTACTCCCGTTCCCAATGATTTTTGAGTTGTTCTGCATCCAAAACGCGCCTCCATGCGGTTTATAAAGCAAAAAAAAAAAAAAAAAAAAAAAAAAAAAAAAAAAGAAGAAGGCTGCAAAAAAACCCCCCCCCCCCAATCACAAATCCATTTCACCAACTTTCTTTTCCCTCCCCCCACATTCTCCCCCCTTTTTTCTTTTACGCCTCACTGCCCTGAGTCCTCCATTTCGGCGGCCCGAACCTCGACACCGTCTCGAGTTTGCCGTCGCCGAGCTTGACGTGGGCGGCGCGGATCATGCGAGGCTCGAGTCGCAGCGTGGATCGAACGTCCTGGTGGACTTTTGTAGAGGAGTCGTAGCGCATGACGAAGTAGTGGCCGTGGGTGTGCTTCATCTGGTGGATGGAGATTGGCTTGGGGAGGGAGAAGACGCCCCAGTTGGAGAGTCCGCGGATGACGCCGCCATTCTTGAGGACGAGGGAACCGACGGTTTGGGCAATTCTGTTTGTTTGTTTGTTAATTATAAGTTGGAGGATCGAGAGGAAGAAGAGACTATATTGGTATGCGGCATGGTGGTTGGTTGTGTGAAGACATACTCTTTTACCTCGGTGAGGCTGCCCGGCCGGACCTGCGGGGAAAAAAAAATGACAGATTAGCAAGCTGGTGGTGTTAAGACGTGCGAGAAATCTGTCCTTACAATGGCAATGAGTTCGTAGAGCATCTTTGCGACAGCATCCACGGTCTGAATGGTGTGGTTTTTTCTACGATTGCGATTGCGGGATGGGTTGAAATCTGAGCATAGCATAGCTGATGCGCCGAGGTTTTGCCGTGGTGAAGGATGACGGCTTATCTGACTCCGAGGTGGGTGGGTCAGATAATCGCATTGTGCGAAGCAGTGCCTATTGCCATACATGGATGCTTTCAAACAGGTAGCGTTTCGTCACCCAGGCCTCTCTATACTAGTAATTGAGTGTGATTCTGGATGAATTGCATCATATTTTCTGTTTGAAAGTGTAGTGTACATGAGTTGTATTGTATATTTGCTATATCCTCTCCTTGGAGAGAGCCTGCCATATGCCCCACGGCAGCCTCCACCCGCTGCTCTTCACGGCAAACGGGTCGAAGTTGGCCTTCTCCAGGCTCAGCAGCCATTGTGCTGCGGGAACGGCCTCTAGCAGTGTTCCGAAACCACGCCGTATGTCCCGGGCCGTGTCGCTCTCCTCCTCCTCGAGATACTGGTGCTCCCCCTCGCCCTGATGCTCAAACTCATGGCCTGGATCCTGCCCCGCTTTTAACCTCTTGAGCATCTCTCGCGCAGTGATCAGATGGTCATTGGCGCGGGTGGCAACCTTGAAGATGGCGTCCTGCAGCCCGGGGGCGTTGGGGCCTTGCCGGAAGACCTCCTCCTCCTTGACACCCTCCTCGGCCATGATATCCAGCGGCAGCAGGATGGCCTGGTTGCGGCTCGGGGTCTCAATGCCAGAAGGGCTCCTGACGGGCTGCGCGGGGGCGGCGAGAATAGGAATGCCCCGAAGCACAGCGACGATGCCGCACGCCTTGCCGATATGGCTGGCCAGGTGATCCACGTGCATTGACCGCAGCGGCATGGATGCTAGAGTCGCATACATGATCGTGGAGTACGTGTGCTCGGCATAGTCCTCCAGGCTGGCCAGGGTTGCGAAGGGCCGATTGTCCATGTGCCTCTCACGGGTGCGGATCAGGCGGGAGACCCAGAATTTGATGGACTTTGTGGTCGAGCTGCTACCGGCCCTTTGCTCGAGCTGCTGGAGTCCCCGGTGGAGCAGGATGCAGATTGGCTCGCGGGGAGGCTGCCCGGCGAACGTCTTGTCGATGGACTCCTGCCAGAATTTCATGCGCATGACGCCAATGGTGGGATTGGACACCAGCTCGGGCAAGCGGACGAGCTCGAGATTCAATGCGCGGAGGGCGGCATAGGTGTCCTGGACGGGAGGCGGGATGAAGCGGTGGATGAGGTGGGCATCGTAGTCGCTTGTCCTGTGAAGCAAGGCAGAAATCGTTAGAAGAAGCTGCAGTAGAAGTAGAAGGCCTTGCCTCTTGTCAAAGAAGAAGAGCAGGGGGGGGGGGGGGGGAATTGACGCCGTACTGAAGCTGCTTCAAGCAGTATCGCCGAGCTGATTCGACGTCGGCGTCGGTCACTGTCGCGAAGCTGCGACGGCTCCGAGGAGCGCTGACGAGCCTTTTCAGGCCATTGCCTAGAAAGCCGGGGCGATGCATGCAGCGTGAGTTGACCCTTATCACGGCTCGGTTGGCGCACCCGTCATGGTGATGGCTCGGGCGAGAAAGAGTCGCATTGCATGGCGGGCACCTTTGCGACAGAAAAAAAGGCAGCGAGTGGCAGCTCTCAAGCTGCCAGATATAAACAGGTCGTGATTGGCCAGTCTATTACTCCGTCGGACAAATGGGGCAATTCCTTGGGCACAGTTGCGCTAGAGAGGGACGAGACGCGGTCATGTGACCTCTCTACACGGTTCGCGTTTGTCGGAAGCTCTAGGCGCGTCTGCCGGCGGGCTTAGCGGGAAACGCTGAGAAAAGTCACGGCTTCTGGTTTTGCCTATTTGTTCCAGATGAGAGCCTCGGCGCAAATATGGAGCTGGGATCCTCGCAAGAGCCTCCGGTGAAGAGGCGGAGATTCTTCAAGGACCCGGACGCGGCGTCGTCGGATCCAGTGGCGTTCAGCAGCCCCAAGCACGAGTACAGCTCGAGTCAAGAACCAAGGCTGTTCTTCAAGGCTGAAGACGACGATGGCCGCGAGGAGGAAGCTGGGATAGAAGAGCATAAGGGAAAACAAGAATATTCTGGAGATTGGGAGGAACAGGAGAGCAAGGGAGGCATCGAGACCGAACAAGGTCATCGAAATGCCTTCACTCAGCTTCGCGAGGATGGAGCTGCCTCCAGACGAACCCCACGGGAGGAGCCCGCACCCCAGCACGAGTCCTCGTCAGTGACCTTTGACCAAGAAACATTTGAAAGTTTTGTGGGATGTAAAGTTGCTGCAGATATCTTGAGTGCCATTCAGCAGCACTGCGGGAACAACCTGGAACGAGCTGTCAACATGTATTTCGACGGGACGTACAGGAAACTCGTGAAATCCAAGCCGGCATCACATCCAGCAGCAGCCCCCGCTACACCGGGCTCCAGCCGAACAGCCTTGACTGATGCCCCGGCCCAGTCCTCGCCGATTCCCATCCGACAAACGATGCCGCCCTCAAGATACATTGGCGCATTCGGCGTCGAGGGATGGGCTACAAGAAGTGGAGCAAACTTGCTGAAGCACGGCGAAATCGTCAAGATTGAACGACAAAAGATACAGCCTCCTCAGCCTCCAAAGACGAAACCCCGGCTCGGCGCCCCTCCTACTCCTGTAAAGATGAACACCGCTGCTTCGAGACGAGTCGATGTTGTTGTACGATTTACAACCCAGAGCGGCCAAGAAATTGGACGGCTCGCTAAAGATACTGCGAACTGGGTGTCGACATTGATAGACCAAAAGATTTGCGGGTTTGAAGGGACATGCGTGTATTGCCCCGAGCGTGTGCGAACAAACGATACCATCTTTCTCCAGCTGAGATGCTCTCTGCTCAACTCAGCCTTCTTTGACCGAAGCTTTAAGCCTGTGAATGATTCTTCGGCCACATGGTTCGAGCAGCAGATTGAAACGGCGCAAGAAAAAGAACTCCGACTTAGACAAGTTGCGCTGGTTAGACTATTCCAGGAAATTAATCTACAACCGGTTACCGCAAATGCCGCGGCAAAGGGTGGGCGAAAAGGGCTTCTTCAAGCTGCCGAGATGGATGAGCAGAAGCAAAAGGACTCGAAAAAGGCAACGGCGAGCAGTAACAAAGAGTCTGGAAACTCGTCGCCGTCAGAGGAACCCGAGGAAGGAGAGGAGCTTGAGCAAGATCAGCTTGACGCTCTGTATAAGAAGGCCCAGACATTTGACTTTAACATGCCGGAAGCTGAGCCCGCGAGCACTTTTGCCATGTCACTACGGCCGTATCAAAAACAGTCGCTGCATTGGATGCTGGCTAAGGAGAGGGATGAGCGGAGCCATAGAGAACCCTCAATGCATCCGTTGTGGGAGGAGTATCTGTGGCCAGTCAAAGATGTTGACGACAAGGATCTCCCCGCAGTAGAAGGCCAGTCCAAGTTTTATGTCAATCCTTACTCTGGCGACCTGACTCTGGAGTTCCCTGTTCAAGAGCAACACTGTCTCGGCGGCATTCTTGCCGATGAAATGGGCCTTGGAAAGACTATTCAGATGCTTAGTCTGATACACTCGCACCGATCAGAGGCTTCACATAATGCCAGGCTATCATCTAAAGACGGGTTAAATCAACTCCAGCGACTGGGTAAGAACTCGTCAAACGTCTTGGATGCCCCCTGCACTACCCTTGTGGTTGCTCCGATGTCCCTGCTATCGCAGTGGCAAAGTGAAGCCGAGAAGGCCTCCAAAGCAGGCACCCTAAAGATTCAGCTCTACTATGGTACTGAGAAGGCCTTGAATCTGCAGTCACTGTGCAGCGGCTCCAACGCACCGGACCTTGTCATTACCAGTTACGGAGTCGTCTTATCCGAGTTTGGCAGTGTTCTCGCGAAGAACGGCGAAAGGTCGTTCCATACTGGCATCTTCTCACTCAAATTCTTCCGAGTGATTCTGGACGAAGCCCACTACATAAAAAACCGAGCTTCCAAAACTGCGCGAGCGTGTTATGAGATTGCGGCCGACCATCGTTGGGCGTTGACTGGTACTCCGATTGTCAACAGACTGGAAGACCTCTTTAGCTTGGTGCGCTTCCTGGGAGTTGAGCCGTGGAACAACTTTTCTTTCTGGAAGACATTTATCACAGTACCGTTTGAATCAGGCGACTTTGTGCGCGCGTTGGACGTTGTGCAGACAGTTCTGGAACCATTGGTCACACGAAGAACAAAAGATATGAAAACACCAGATGGTCAGCCCTTAGTACAGCTTCCTCCGAAACAAATCGACTTAGTGGAAGTGGAATTATCCAAAGCGGAACGAGACATTTACGACCACATCTTTAACAAAGTGAAGAACACATTTGCCAAGAACGTAGAGGCTGGCACTGTACTCAAGGCATTCACGACAATTTTTGCTCAGATTATGCGCCTCCGTCAATCATGCTGTCATCCTGTTCTTGTCCGTAACAAGGATATCGTTGCCGATGAGGAAGAAGCTGGAGCCGCAGCAGATGCAGCTACTGGGTTGGGCGATGATATGGACCTTGAATCGCTCATTACACAGTTTACTGCCATCACGGATGAAGCGACCAACGATAGGCAGACATATGGAGCACACGCGCTTGATGAGATTCGAAATGAAGCAGAAAAGGAATGCCCCTTGTGCTTTGACGAGCCAATGAATGAGCAGATTGTTACTGGATGCTGGCACTCTGCATGCAAGAAGTGCTTGATGGACTTTATAAAGCATGAGACGGACCATGGCAAAGTGCCGAGGTGCTTCAACTGCCGAGCACCACTCAATCAGCGTGATCTATTCGAGGTTGTACGGCATGACGAAGGCGACGCGTTTGCCTCGAAACCGCGCATTAGCCTGCAACGATTGGGCGTCAATTCATCGTCAGCCAAAGTTGCCGCATTGTTGACAGAACTTCGATTGCTACGCCGTGAACGGCCACACATGAAGTCCATCATCTTTTCACAGTTTACGTCTTTCTTGTCGCTCATCGAAGCCGCACTCAATCGCGCCAACATCAAATTCCTTCGACTCGACGGGAGCATGACGCAGCGGGCCCGAGCGGCAGTGCTGCAGGAATTCTCAGAGAGCAAAGGCTTTGTGGTGATGTTGATGAGTCTGCGCGCGGGCGGCGTGGGACTGAACCTGACGAGCGCGGGGCGCGTCTTTATGATGGACCCCTGGTGGAGCTATGCCGTGGAGCTGCAGGCGATTGATCGGGTGCACAGACTGGGGCAGCAGGATGAGGTGGTGGTGAAGCGGTTTATCGTGAAGGGGAGTGTGGAGGAGAGGATGTTGAAGATTCAAGAGAGGAAGAAGTTTATGTAAGTGAATCGTTTTTTCTTTTTTCTTTCTTTTTCTTTTTTTTTTTTCCTTTTTGTTTTGGTGTTTCATGAGGCTAATTCGATTGATTGTGTGCAGAGCGACGTCTTTGGGAATGATGAATGATGAAGAGAAGAAGCTTCAAAGAATAGAGGATATCAAAGAGCTTCTTAGCTAGGCGATGGACGAAGTAGTTAATTGTCACGACATGGTTGATGAATATGGTGGCGGATCTTGGGAATGGTTACGACTAGTAGTACTTTGTTTTCATGTGGCTGGCTTTTCTCATTGTCTGGCGTAGAGGTTACTGCAAAACTGGCATGGCATGGCATGGCGCGGCATTGCATTGCATTTGGTTCCGGCATTGATGAACAAGGTGTATATTTGAATGGCTGGCTGGCTGGCGGTGTGACATATAATTTTACTTGCACTGGTAGTGGTGCAACATGGAAAGGGTATTAGACGACCTGTCAAATTGATCATGAGAGACAGGTGTTCTACTAGCACGAAATGATGGCACGTTTCGTTGGGTAGCATTTCAGCATTCCATCATTCGGGTAGCATATCACAGCTCAATGCGGGCGTCCCCACAGAGTTCCCCAGTGAGGCTTTTGGGCAATATAACTTTATCTGCTAGGATGGTTTCAGGGTTGTCGATGGGAGCTACGCGGATGCAAGTATGGATCTGCCATATCGTGCCTCTGATGCATCTACTAGTACTAAATAATAGTACTAGCAGTATGAATGTTCAAGACTGGAGAATTGTATCAAGCCGCAGAATCACTGGCTAGACCCTCAATACGGCGTACAGTAGAGCAAGCATTTCCACACAGGAACAGGCTAGAGCTGCTGACTGGAGCTATTCAGGGACACCCTGCAAAAAAGGGGCGGGGCCGCCAAAAGCGCAGGCCAAATTGGGACAGCCGAAATTACCGGCCAGGGTCCCCGACCCGTTATCCATATTGGCTTATACGAAGTGCGATGACCGAGTTCGATGGAGACAAGGGCTTGGTCTGTTCATCAAAGGAATACGAGGCGGACGGTCGGTTTGCCGTGCCTTTTCTGCTTGCATGGCCAGCTTGACTGACTAGTCTGGTCTCCTCCTTTTTTACGAGGAGGATGAATTGGGGCCTAGTGGCTTGATGGCCAGTTGGGCTAGAGGAGGGAATACGACTCGAGGAGCCGGGGAATGAAATTTAATAAATACGCTGATCCCCCGGATTTGTACGCGCTTGAAAAGGGAATCTTCTTGTTACTATCTCCAGTCCAGTCGCTCTTTTGCTATTGTGGTTTTTCGCCGTTCATTTACAGCACGATAATTCACATACAAAACGAAAAACACAAAAACCAGTCATTACCGAGATCTCTCGACACACATTTCACAAAATACCGCAAATATGAAGTTCACCGGCCTTACCTTTGTTGTCGCCGCCCTGGCTGGCCTTGCTGCTGCCTCTCCGGCTCCCCTCGTGAATGGAAAGCTGGTCTGCGGATCGATGAAGGACACCATCGTGACCTGCCCCTTTGGACAGGTTTGCCTGCTTGCTCCCGGCGCTGATGAGAAGTCTGCTACGGGAATCTGCCAGTCTCGCTAAAGAGGGTGAGTTTTTTTTTTTTTTTTTTTTTTCTCCCTGTGTGTGTTGTGAAGAAGCAGTAGGCAGTTGTATTTGCGACGCGTTGCTAATAGGTGGTGGTTATTAGGTTGATGATGGGATTGAAACCGATGAGAGGGGGGGTGGATGTAATGGGTTTTGATGGAGATGAGAACATTGAATTAAAGCGATTATAAGTGCTATGACTACTATTAAATCTTATTAAGTCTTGCCGACCTGGGCAAGCTCACTGTGAATAAAGTGCTGAAAGTACATACATGTCATCGCGTTACCGTGACTATTTTTCTTTTATCCTCCAGAGTGCCATTACGAATCACAAGAAATTAATCTATCGGGGGGAAAAAAACAAGATGCCTAAAGCCATCCCATCCCGACTGGTTAGATCGATCGACGCGTCTTTCAAGTTCAGAGTTCTGATGCTTCCCGAAGTGGACTTTGCTGCTTTAGGCATGTGCGTTGAGAACATTAGTAGCACTGCTCGAATATCGTTACTCGATCTGAATACAAGAGGTCTGCTGTACATCGTATGTATGTAGGTGCGTTGAAAAAGTGGGTTTTTCAGTGTGTTTGTTGTTCTGATATTGTGGATTAGCTATGGAAGCAGCTTTTACTACCCTGTGAACCGTGTTGAAAATCTAGTTGCATATAATGTGGACTTGCATCTGGTGATCCTTGGATTATTTCCTAATTGGGTAATTAGCAGAAACGCATACAATAGTTACTCACTAAATGCGACGAGGGGGGTATTTATTTCACACAGTCTAAATAGGTAACATCTTCCTGACCCAATTTGTGCTTGTTATATACTTGTATAGATTCTATCCGCTCTATAATTAGGGGTCTTGGTTGCCATATATGGAGCGCTACACTGCTGCTCATACTTTTTGCAAAGGCCCAGAGAGGCTCGGCCGTCTGTGCGAGACGGGCATCATGTCAACTAGTGCCCAAAGCCACTGTATCCCGTGAAATATTTCGGGAATCACGTTAAGCAACAGAGAATACAGGGAGCGATTGATTGTATTGAGTAGCAACGGTGGGACGTGAACGAGAGTTCTTGGCTTGCCAGTGCTCTATATATGCGTGCGCATTTTATTCCTATTAAAAGCTATTCAATGGTACAGTAAAGGAATGACTTTCAGATGTAAAAGTAATATTATACAGCTATGTATTATGAGAATGTCTAGCTAAAATCTGCATTGATACACGAGTCTCCAGGCCAGTCAATATTGAAGATGCAGGTCTACGTATGCACCTGACGCAGTTATCTGCAAGTAGCCTCTGCAGGATACTAGTAAACAAATAACGCTGAATACCTAGTAGATAACAGGATTTTCTGTTGTCAATGCTTTTACTGAGGTTCCCATAATCCATGTGCACGGACAGTTGAACGGGAAGATCCAGCACAAACAGAGTATCCGTATAACATTTATCAAAAAGGACGATAAAGCTGGTGATATGTAATAAAGCTGTCCAATATACATACTGATTTATCCTTTATTAACTTTTACGCATTCTTTCTGTCGTCACTCGGCCGAAAGCGGAGATTCATTTTGTTATTGCGAGCTTATTGTTGTTAAAAGCACTTGTTTGCTCATACCAAGAGCCATTGGATGGCCGCCGCACGGACTGTAGGAATACGCAGATTCACAGACTTTTTCTTTTCGTTTCGTTTCGTTTCTTTTCTTTTCCACTCTCGTATTTTCCTTCTTTCAATAACATCAGCCCTACAGCTTTCAAAGGCATACATTACCATGAGGCTCACACATTTGCCCAAGGAGCTTTTGGATAAGATCCTTCTTGATTTGACGGGTAAAGACATCAAAAATTTGAGACTTGCGTGCAAGTTATTTTCAGACATACCTTTGCGTCTCTCTAGGGCGTTTATAAGTGTGAATCCGATAGACATTGAAGTATTTCGCTCCATCGCGGATCATGAGGCCTACAGGCATGGTGTAAAAGAAATTATCTGGGATGAGGCCCGATTCGGCAACCCTCGTTCTGGATGTGAGGGGTATGAATTGGAGGGCCGTGTGGCACCTTATGATTACATACACGCTTGCAAAGAAAACTTGTATGAAATCTTGGGCAGGCGATCCATGTTCGCTGTCCATTTTCCTTTTGAGAAGGCCATAGACGAAGAAGTAAAGGCTCAGATGCCTGTATTTGAGTCATGGCTGCTCTGTTGCGAGTATGCAGACCGGCAAAACGAAGTTTTGAAAGACGGTAGCGATATTAAAGCATTTGAATACGGCCTTGAACGCTTCCCGGCTCTGGAGAGAATCACGTTAACACCAGCAGCCCATGGGTTCACATTCAAGCCACTGTACGGGACACCGATGCTTCGATCGCTTCCATATGGCTTCAACTACAATATTCCGCGCGGCTGGCCAGGCACCTACGATCATTTACAATGCGAGCCGTGGGAGACTGAGACTGACAAGGAGCAATGGCGAGGCTTTCGAGAAGTAATCCGCTGCCTCGCAGAGAACAAAGCGCCGTCAGTAAAAGACCTTGTTATCGACGTCCATCAGCTGCCAACAGGTCTAACCTGCCACTTTTTTGACAATCCTTGCCGAGAATACGACCAACTCGTTGCTGTTCTCCGCCGACCGGGTTTCCGCCGTTTTGATCTCGCTCTCACTGCTGGCGGACAGCCCAGTTTCGACTGGATATCGTTTCGGAATGGGCGCATACGACGTGCACTGGCAGAGGCATCGGAAGATTTGGAGCACATCCACTTGAGGACAGATTGGGGGGACGAGCCAGACTTTAATACTGGGCTGGATAGCAGCGGTCTTCCTTATCATTTCACGCCACTCCTTGATATCTTTCCCATAGAGCGATGGCCGAAGCTCCGCCACTTTGGACTATCGAAGTTCCTTGTGCGGCAAGATGATGTTATGTCTCTTCTGGTGGCACTGCCAGCCTCTATTAGGACCATCGAGCTCAGCTTCTTGTGTTTTTTAAACGATGGAGGTAGTTACAAAGCTTTGCTGGATGAGATGCGCGATACTCTAGATTGGCGTACTAGAGATGCCGCAGTTCGCCCCAAAGTTAAGATTGGTTTGGATGGCTATTACAGCGATGTAGTGTATGGCCGAGCAATTTGGCTTGAAAGAGAAGTGGACTCGTTTTTGTACGAGGGGGGCCCTGGATCATCCAGAGGACGCGAAGTTCGGAGATGGTGGTATGATACGGGACGAATTTGAGCCTGAGATTGACGGTCCATGGGTAGATTGTCCTATTTGGGATAGCAATGACTGGGAAGCATATATGCGGGCCTGGGATGAAAAGGGGGGAGATCCTGACGTACAGGCAGCCCTAGATGCCTTGGAGGCCTTAGGTGACGATTGACCTGTCATGGGTTTGAGGCTTTGTCCTCTTACTTGTACAACACCTGTTCTCAAATGTGTGTATAGCGGTGATAGTTGTGCCATAGAATTAATTTTATGGAGATGACTCAATTTCAGACGATTCCAATCTATATCTATCTATTTAAACGCACATGACAAATGTGAGTTTGGTGCTAATTAAGGTCACAAGAAAGGGTGACTACATGGTACGCCAAAAGCAAACTGTGAAATTCCGGTACTATCAAACGCCAATGCAGACGCAGATGTTGGCTTGAAGCCCCGAGTGGTCATTTTCAACAGCAGTCATCAGAGACTATACCATACGCTTTCACTAGTACAAAACATTCACTGCCTAACTACACCTTGTAGAAAGACTTAGCCTGATTCACTATGCCGGTTTACCCCGGGACTGGTGTATGAATACCTTTGAGCATCTTCATAGTTGTCTTGGGCTTAGCTGTCGTCGTTTGTTTGAGAGTGATTGTAGGCTTAGCAACCCCTGGCCCATGCCGCTTTGTGTTGGAGTTGGCGTATGTAAGCCAGTGGATGTTGCGGTGGCAGTTGTATATTTCTATAAAACACCCACGCACACATATACTCCCGCTTGGAGACTAGAATAGTGTCTGCTCACCGCTGGATTCCAAGTATAAAAGTCTGATAGAGTAATATTGTGGTCTTGGGCGATTTTGTCACACGCGTCGTCTTTCGCCACTCTGTAGAAACTCCTGCATGTCGAACTAATCCCTGTTTGAACAGGAGACGGCGTAGAAATCAGTCCATTCTTAGTCATTGTCGGGCTCGCCATTGTGGTGTGGTGATCGTCGTCTCCGCGGTCGTCGTCCTCGTTGTAAGGCTGGTTTCCGCCGGGGTGCGTTGAAACACAATAATACGTGCCTTCAGCTAGCCCTTCGCAATTTATACCAACGGATGGATTCATGGAACAGAAATCTTTCATTGTCAGGTTGTTAAGACCCATCATTGTGTCGCATGTGGTCTCGGGCCCGATGTGAAACCAGTCGGTGCAGTTCGCAATCTCTCCAACTGCTCGAGGGCTTGGTGGAGTTTCCTCAGAAACAGGAGCTATCATACATGAGCCACGTTTCAATTTCAATTTCGTATAGATTCTTCGCGAAATGTGGGGAAAGAGAAATAAATAAACTAAATGATTAAATAAATGTTCCAAAGACTTACATGGAGAAGGGGAAGTTAGCAGGAGGCAGTATGAGCTGCTTGCTGAGAGCGTACATGGTTGTGGATTATTGCTTCCACTCGAGTGGATTTTTTCCTTGTCCTCCCTCAAGGATGGATTCCATAACATGAACTCCTACCAGAACTAAGTAAGTATTCCGCATAGGGCGAGAAGATGGCAGAATGGTACGAACCTCGAGTGAAGTTTCTGCCTGGTAAGACCATCCCAAACAGTCAGTGTTATCATCTTCGAGCCAAAAATATCTGGGAACAGAGTTAGTAAACTATTTATGTGGCTATATAAATAACTTGGCAAAGTGCACTCACAAGATACAATCTCGTCGTGTGCCATTTGCCATCGGAATCATTGGCTTGTCTGTTCTAAACGATGCCATAATGTCCCTCCTTGGTACTGATTTCATAGATAACTCTGCCCAAGTGGTATTATTGGTCTGCGCTCCTCCATATCCGATGTAAGTTGAGATGGCTCCTACTGGCCTAACGCAGTAGTAGTAGTCCAACAAAAGATGAGTACAATTGGTGCCGACCTCTGGATTTAAAAATATTCTGAGTTATCTGTTAATATTCTGTGTGGTATACGGCAATGAGTAACTTACAAATCCTTCAAGGATATGCCAAACTCAGCTTCAATGGTCGAACAATCATCCCCTTTGGCTACTTTGTAGAACTGTCCGCATTTCTCATTAGTTGTATTGAGTACCGGCGCTGGCTTAGGTCTATTCAAAGATTGTAAGTTTCCGCGAGATACTCATTCGCATGGAAGAAGCTTACGCCTGGGTTGAGATGGTAGCCGTAGCTCCGCGCGAGTTGTTAGGAATGGTAAATTTGCCGGAAGGATTGCTGATACAAATGTTCCTGTTCAAAAAATCTTTTATGTTTCTTCATACCATTAGCTTTCCCGACTGTAGGGCCAAATTATCCGCTCATGTCTGAAACTTACGTGCAGGCGGGTTTGAGGTCGCTGTTCCAGGCGAGAATCTGCGCATAGGTGATGTTGTTTGCCCTGGTGATGCTGAAACAAGTTTCGCCATCGTGAACCATATATTTTTTGCATCCGATCGTGGCAATAGTAGATGCATTGGTCAAAATACCAGTGGCGGATACGATTGCATGAACTTGAAGAGTAGATAGAAAGAGAGGAAAGAAAAGTTTATAAAGGTTCATTGTTACATCCAATTATGGGCAGTGGAAAGATTGCAGTGAAAGATGGTCTTTGGATCTAAGCTGCCAATGTAGAATTGTAAGACAAATATACAGAAGGAAACTTTTCCCATGAAGCAGCAGAGTTTAAATAACCTAACATTGGACAAACATCTCGATCCCTCCCGGCACGACCACACGGACCGCTACGAAGACACATTGTGAGCTATTTCCAAGACAAATACTGCTGTTTAACACTTCAAAGATGACCTATTAGCGGAAGGAAAGCTGAGGGCCGTGATTGATACAATGCATAACGCACAAAAATGAAGATTATTTTGAAGGGTGCTGCCCTATAGTAGGTGTCAATATCATGACATTTTCTAGTGTGTTATATATTGGGGCTGATCCCCTTTCAACTAGTTACGGCTACATTAGATTGTATTCTGCTAAGTGCTTAAATAATACGCATATATTCGCTATTTTGTTCTGCCTATGCCGTCACTATTCATTCAATGGGTGTTTCTGGGGATTTAGCATATGTGGTTAAAGTCGGTCTAGTGCAGCGGCATGGGTCTTCCCGTGCTCTTGGCTTTGCAAAAGTTCCAGTCGAGATCAATATCAGCTATTGCGGCTGAGGCACTCTATACCAACAAGGAACATATACAAGTATCAGTGACTTTATGGGCAGATGTGTCTCCGTCACGCTCCGATAATACTGCGTGGGCAAACAATTCATGAAACCCCAAGAGCAATTAGATGGACTAAAATATTATCCTTGTTCTGGCATGGCGACTGATCAACGCGGGCAAACACATAAACCCCCATGTTTCTTCCCTGAAACAACGGAATAGAGCATTTAAGGGATTTCTCCTGTCGTCGGTCAAATCCGAAAGTAAAAATAGTCTAGGCTCCATGCTAACCGAGAGCTTCGTCGCCTGTATTCTTTTATTTGTTTTCATATCATACGCAATGGCGAGTCATGAATAACACATCGAGATTTCGGTATTGCTGATGGTGGTATCAATATAGCAAATATCGTTGAAAGCAATATAGGATTTTCTAGCTTAAACTTCGTATTTTTAAGCTAAGATTTACGAGACGCAATTATTGAACTCTCGAATAGTTGGAATACATACTTTAAAACAAAAAGCGATCACCATACTGGATAGAAGAGGATCCTTGAATAAAATTTAACAAGATCAGTGTGGGAAATATGACCATTTTGGATCATCCAAGCTTTGCAATAGTAGCGCAGACGCAGACCTGATGCTCCTTACCAGACTAGAGAATGAGGATAACAAACAGCTGCCTAGCGGTGAATCTGCCCTTTCCCGTCGATGTTTCGTAATGGGAATTAGCACCATTCAGCTGCTCCGGGTTCCAAGAAGCCTCATCAAGCACTGCATCAAATGATTCAGCTTTTGGACCTGAGGGCTAGTGCCGATTGATTGCCCATGACTCGCTGCGATGGCAAGTTTGTACAATGCCTATCTATATATGAATATAATGAATGGGAGAGAAGTAAATGTAATTTGAACCCTTTAGTATTAACAAGAAATCGCAACATAGAGAATTGGACGTTATTATCTTGATGCTGCAGAGGATCGACTGTTATCAGTCATTGCCATGCCATGCAATAGAGATGCCTCGATTCTCACTCCTTTACCCTTCTATCTTCTTGCTTATATCAGCACTGCTTTCACTTCACAACGGCTCTTGCGTTTACAGTCTCCGGAACACTCAATTACATCACGAACGGCACGCAACCGGCATCGTTGAAGCAAGGTTGTTTCAACCAGGGCAAGGCGGCTACACCTGCTCTAGGAACCAGCCATGTCCTAACGGTGCTTGTTGCGGCGTGAGCGGCCGGTGTGGTTACGGTCCGACGTATTGTGGTAAAGGCTGTCAGTTCAACTGTAATGCCAAAGCAGAATGCGGTAAATTCGCGCCAAATGCAGGACAAACTTGCCCCCTTTACGTTTGCTGCTCAGAGTTTGGTTTCTGCGGTACAACTGGCGAGTTCTGCAAAAAAGGTTGCCAATCCAACTGTCATCAGCCAAAACCGTCAGGCCATCCATCAAATGTTCAGAAACGAGTGGTTGGATACTGGGAGGCGTGGAATTCCCACCATCCATGCGGTACTATGGGGCCTGGAGAGATTCCTGTTAACTATTTGACTCACCTGAACGTTGCATTTGGATACATCAGTCCAGATTTTCGAATCACTAACATGGACGGCTTGTCTACTAATGTTTACGAAAGTATAGGTGACATAAAAGCTCGAAATCCGGACTTGAAGTTGCTCATTGCCCTTGGTGCTTGGAAATTTAGCGACCCAGGCCCGTGGCAAAGCGTATTTCCAGATATGGTATCTACAGCGGCGAATCGAGCTGTGTTTGTTAAAAATGCATTGGCATTCTTAGAGAACTATGGGTACGATGGGTTGGGTAAGTGCTTTGTCCTTGGGGCTGATCCGGCTGTTCGCTAATGGTTCCTTTCATCACTCTATAGATTTCGGTTAGTGTCTCTCCCCCAGAGCGATCTCGATCTCGACATACCATTAATCGCACACGAACAACCCAAAATATATAATTAAAAGAATAAAATTAGCTTACAATGGAACAGATTGGGAGTACCCTGGTGCTGACGACCGCGGCGGCACTGAGAAGGATGGTGAAAACTATGCTGCGCTGTTAAAGGAGCTGCGTGCCGCAATCAAAGCCAGCGGCCACGACTATATCGTAACATTTACGGCCCCGACCTCTTACTGGTATCTTCGCCATTTCGACTTGGAGAACATGGTGCCTCACGTTGATTGGGTGAATTTAATGTCCTATGATCTTCATGGAGTTTGGGATGGCAACAATACAATCGGCAAACATGTCTTGGCCCATACTAACTTGACCGAGATTGATCTCTCACTTGATCTAGTATGCCAAAGTGTAAAAAGTATGGCTTTTGGAAGGCTACTGACTGTCTTTTGCAATAGTTTTGGAGAGTCGGAATTCAACCATCAAAAATTGTCTTGGGTCTCGGATTTTACGGCAGATCATTCTCTTTAAAAGACCCTCACTGCTGGAAGCCCGGATGTGCCTTTAGCGGTCCAGGAGATGCAGGCCCATGTTCTAGCACTGCAGGAATATTATCGTTCAGAGGTAACTTCACATTTATATGCTCATGATTGTCTTGGCGTGCAAGTGCTAATAGAGCTGGTGAATATAGAGATCACAGATATACTTCGCCGAACTGGCGCGACAGCTTACTGGGATAAAGAGGCAGCCGTTAAATATCTGCCTTATGGAAAGGACTCATGGATCTCGTAAGTAACTTGGCGCTCCGATATACTATGAGGATAGTCATGAGCTAACGACGCTCAAGTTTTGACGACGCCCAAACGATACAGGCCAAGATCGATTACGCGAATAAGCTCGGCCTTTCGGGCTTAATGATATGGGCCGTCGACCTTGATAATGGACAGCTGGATGCGCTCAGAGCAATCTCTGATCCTTCCATCATTGGCAACCACAATACCCCATTCGATCTAGTAGATATCAAGAACATATTCCCGACCGAATTCCTTCCTCCTAACGGATATACTCCAAGATATGGACTAGTTAGCTTTGGGGGTTCTCTAGGTTCAACCAATATGGATCCAAGTAACGGCGGATTCGGCTTTTTTCTCATATCAGGCGATTCTCACGTCGCTTCGCCACTGACTAAACGGGACAATGAGCCAGATCCGTTCGAATTCTTAGATTGCCATTGCATGAAAAACCCATTGCGGTCTGGCATTTCCAAGGCCAGAGTGGCTTGCTTTAGTGATGATGTGCAAGGCTGTTTCCGAGTCATGGAACAAGGTGTCGAGGGTACTCTGGTGGAGTTGCCAACTCATGTTAGTGATCTTTCTCTCCCTGGAGGAAGGGACCGACTCTCTAATTTGTATGGATGTCTTAGTGTTTATCACAGCAATATGCAAGAGCTGTCTCTATTCAGGTTTCACCTGGTAAGTTCATGTTTTATGAGCATTGCAACATGCAACTGACGGGTCAGATCAATACATCCCCAAAATATTTGGCGGCAGACAGCCAACCTCACAAGTCTTTGACTTTTACTTCGATTTTGATATGGGTCTTGTCCGCCGAGATACCAACCACACCAGTATTCGCATCGACTACTCAAATCTTAAAGGCTACTGGGACTCTGTTGTCAACTCTCCCGGCATCCAATCCCGGGATCTAACACGCAGATTCTTTGCTCCATCATCTGCAGACTGGCAGGAAAAATATTCCAGTGACGGTTATTCGACGTTTGAAGATTCCAAATCTTTCGATATCAGTGAGGATATACAAGCTCCACTATTATGGCAGACTGCTCAGGACTGTCCAATTGAAGGATCGACATTTGATGAAGGCATTGGTGCTTACATAAAAGGAAAACTCAATGCTCACTTTCTCTATGGCTTCTCTATGGTGGTAAGTGGATTTTCAATTTGCCGTGCTTGCCACAGTACCACTGACCAGTTTATCTTGGTAGGCTTCCCTTGACCGAGGAGCGTTTCAGATTCAAGAGTCCAGTGGATTCTTGCACGTGTCTGGAAACACAAATTTTACATATGCTATTGGGTGAATCGGATCTCTCGATATATCAGAGGCTGGCAAGGGAAATCCTGCTATAAGTGATGAGATTCCAGTGACGATAGGTGGGCATGCCATCAACGCCGGCAACTCTGCTGACATGGCTACCTTTGAACCCTTTTACCAAATTGGGTATGAAATGGCCACTATGAATGGAACAGACATGAGAAGCTTTGGAGAGAACAATATTCCATTCAATGGGCGGTTACAAACCAGGATCCTGTCCGATTTTGGCGATTCAACTTTATATTTTCCAATCTCGGATACGGAGTCAAACATGGCACTCGCAAAGCGCAGTAAGAATAATGTTGTTGTGTCGAAAGCTGACGTTCTGTACAATGGTCTGGGAGATGGTGGTAGAATTGCTCTGAGCAGCATTGTTACGTTTGGTCTAAAAAGCAAACTGCTTTTGGGAGGGCAAAACGTTCCTCTACCAATTGATCTACCCAACGTGAGCGATTTCTAATGGTTACGTGGTTGAACAAACTGACCTTTCTTACAGATGTCCGTCACCTACAATACAATGACCGAATTTACTTTCTCTTCTGAAAATGAAGATAATCAAGAACTGTCATGTGCGGATTATGCGGTAACGTGAGTTGATGTCGTGTCCACCGCGGAAAGCAGGTGCATATTCTAATGCACAGTGAACATATAGGACTTTAGCCTACCAATCGCAAAATAACACGTGAGTTTCTTTATATAATCTATTTCTCTTACGAGTTGCGGAATTCAGATGCTTACGAATGGATGAAATCAGTGAATTTGCCCGGTGGAACGGAGACCATCTGGCCGAACTTGCATATGATTCGGTAAGTAACCGTCGTATATGTCAAGCAGCCGAGATGAATTTAACCATTGTCTTTTTCGTTCTAAACACAGCAAGTTCTTAAAGACAAAAAGAAGTGCTACAATGAGACTAACCACTCTTTACTTGGCGGCCGGGGGAAGCTAAATGGCTGGGGCTACAGCGCTGGGACTTCGATTAATATCTCAACCTTTATGCAGGACCAAGCTATCCTTACTATGTTTGACACTACTCAACCAAAATTTAGCTGCGATGACTGTGTCGGCTGCGAAAAAGAGCGGAGAAAACGCAAGAAGAGCTTTTGTTGTGGATGTGTAAGTATGCAATATCTCTACGGCTATACAGACTTCGACCCCGCGATCGATCCTCCAGAAGAGGGAGAATGGATCCCAGGCCACCAACCACGGAATCAGTTGGAAGACGAAGATGAGCAAGGTCATCTACTAGAGAAACGGGTTAATGGCACAGCCACGCTGTCTCCCAAAAAGGTGTTGGTATGTGGTGGTAAAAAAAATTAGCCCGCAATCAGCATTCTATTATCCCGCCTTCCCAGCAGATGCAACATTTCCATGGGATGGCATTGAGCAGGGGCGTTGGGATCCTATTTCTAGGTACTGGAGCAACGTTTCTGCCTCTTGCACTAATTGGGCTGCTGGCCAGCTAAATGTTGCCGATGTCGAACATACTCCAGCAGGCATGTATCGGGCCAAGTATCAAAGTACATGAACGCTTTCATTCTTTTTTGTTTTATATAGTATATTTGACTAACTAAGCTACCTTCTAGCGGAGCATGTTTTTGAAGGCCAGCTTATATCAATCTTCTTCAACCAGTGGCTTGATAAAGGGTTTTTCAAGCGCCAGAACCCTATGCCTAACAATCCTCGGCCCAAGGTACCCTGCGCTTTTCACCAATGACTATATAAAGAAGCCCGTCTCTCCGAACTCATGGGTACTTAGAAATAAGAAGGTGCCTTTTATTCAAATTCTGCTGGCGGAGCTGGGCAATAAGGCAACTCTCGACCGCTTAACCATTTTCAAGGCCAGACCAAACTATAAGAAAGGAAATGTATGCTCTCTTTTATCTTTCTTTTTCTGTTATTACTTAATTCGAATAATACCTAATGCAGCTATAGGTGTTTGAAAATATCAACACTGTTAGCATAATAAGTTATGGACTCATGCCTGTCACCGAGCAGCTTCAAAGTGTGAAAGAGCTAGGTAAGTCAGGTGACGAGATGTAGAATTTGACCTCTCAGGTCCATCTTCATCTTCACATCTTTGCTAACTAAGTCTTCTTTGCACAGGTCTAATTTTCTCATACATGAACAACCAAATAGTTTGGGACAAGTTTTGCGACACGTATGAAGCTTTGTATGACCGTTTCGGAGACTTTGACAAGTGGTATACTCGGAATGGAGGCCCTTTAGCAATTCCGTCTCTACAGAATGAATGGCAAGCATATATGCGTGCGATGCTGGATAGTATCGTCACTAATTCAAGGACGGAATTTGATAAGCTTTACACGCTTAGACGGTACGTTTTGATCTTTGCATTATAAGAATGGGAATTGTGATTCTAATGAACATGCTTAGCATTCCTCTCACAAACCCTGCGCGTGCTACGTCTGAAGCTTTTTGGACCGTCAACAAACTACAAAATAGAAGGCTCATTAAGCTGGATAAGAGATGTCGGCATCTACCTTGAGAAATGCAGGCTGAATCAGATGAGGGTGGAGATATCTTTCTTCAGTCGTAAAAATGGCATTAAGGTTAAGGAGTGTTCTAGGGTCATGGCTCCTACTAGCTGCTGTTTATGCTCTAGTATCCTTTGGTAGAGGAGGCTGACATGTAGATTTCAACAATATTTTCGTTAGGCGACATATTGACTATATGTTAATTTAGACTTCAACAGTCTTTCGTTCATAGATCTATTACTCACATCGATTGGTTCACTGTCTGCAGATTTCATTTTAAAGGCTTATTATCTACGAGCTGACATAACGGCTTGGGAAGTGGAGAGGTTGATGCATGTAGTCACCTCTGCACACGAAAGAGGCGAGCCCAGTCAGTAGATTTCGCGACTCAGAAACTTGGCTGGTATGTACTACGCGACTCTTGCAATGCTAGGACACGATATGCTTTTTGTAAGTGCAATCTAATGCAAGTCTATTCGTTTCATATAACTTTTGTTTCATCTATCAGGCTCTCGGGCCATATGTGCAGGGGTATTCATCTCACGCTACGTACAAAATCTTTTCTCCAAATTTACAGCTTGACAACAACCTTGTTAGCAGCGGCCTGCTCGTCCTCGGTGTTGAAAAGGTTGATGTTCCATCTGGGCTTGTCTATTGTGGGCGGAAAACGGTTAGCACTATATGAAACGAAGCATTTTGACCAAACGAAGGAGGAAGAAAACTCACAGTTGAAGGGAATGTTGAAGCGCTTAGGAGACTCGCCCAGCTTGGCCAGCGCGGCGATAGCCTCGTCGTCCAGGTCGACCTCCTGGAAGTTCTCGGCAATGCGAGCCTTGGTGACGGACTTGGGGATGACGGTGTGGCCGCCGATCTGGGACCAGGCGAGGATGACCTGGGCGGGAGTGACGGTCTTGCCCTGCTTCTTGGAGAGGTTCTCGGCGACGGCCTGGACCTCGGCGGAGCTGACGAGCAGGGGCAGGCCGACGGTGTTGTTGCCAAAGGCAGAGTAGGCGGTGATGATGATGCCCTTCTTCTGGCAGTACTCAACCAGGGGGTAGTCGGGGAGACGAGGGTGGCGTTCGACCTGGTTGGCGGCGGGGACAACGCCGGTGGCCTCGATGACAGCCTCGAGCTGTAATTGCCAAGTTAGCTGTCTGAGTTTCAGAATTCAGGGCACATGGGAAGACACGTACGTTCTCAATGGTGAAGTTGGAGACACCGACGGAGCGGGCCTTGGTCTTGGGCAGCTCAGTCATGGCCTTCCAGGTCTGGACGATGGAGACGTTCTTGTTGAGGATAGTCTCGGAGCCATCAGCGTTCTTGGGGAAGAGACCGTTGCCGGGGGCGAAGGCAACAGGCCAGTGGATGAGGTAGAGCTGAGGTGCAAAGTTAGCGAACCTGTGGGTTTCTTCCTTTCTCTTGTTTCATTCAGGTCTTCAACATACATCGAGGTAGTCGAGGCCAAGCTCCTCAAGGGTGTCGTCCAGAGCAGGAGCAACGTCCTCGGGGGCGTGAGAGCTGTTCCACAGCTTGGAGGTGATGAAGATGTCCTCGCGCTTCAGGCCGGGGACATCAGCCAGAGCCTTCTTGATGCCCTCGCCGACCTCCTTCTGGTTGGCGTACACCTTGGCCAGATCGAGGTGGCGGTAGCCGATCTTGAGGGCCTCGTAGACACCGGCGCCAACCTCGCCAGGGGCGGCCTGCCAGGTGCCGTAGCCGATCTGGGGGATCTTGTGGCCGGTGTTGAGGGTGACAGTTCGTCCGGAAGACATTTTTGCGGTGGTGATGCTGAACGTTCGGGAGAAGAAGTTGTTGGAGTGTGAAATTGCGCGGTGGCTGAGACGAGTCGAGGAGGATAGGAATGGGGAGATGGAGAGGAGAGACGATCGACACATGTGACGCAGGGCAGCCATTATTATATGTCTGTATCGACACTATCAGTAGCCACAAAAGCAAGCCATAGCGCGTCACTATGGGGGGGAGCTTGGATCATATTTTCCCCATCCATGGCCTCCCATCTCCATATCTATGTATCCAACTCTATCCATTGCCTTCTGTGGGGAATATCGGCGTTTATGCACCTCTTTGGAGAGGAAAATGGGTCGGTTTCCTTTTATTCAGCAAATGTCTCCATCATAAGTGCTGGAACAACCCCTGACTCATGAGGGCGATCAGACTGTGGCTGCACAGTATGATACGTGTTATTGATTTGAATTGTATGGTTTTGCTCATATGGCCGAGCAATTCGTCTATTTGTTGTATCATTCTCCTCTCCTCTATCTGAGGGGGGAAGGCGTAGGAGGCAGGAAAAAAGATAAGTTCCCAAAATTGCCCCGCGGCCCAAAGAGGAAATCGGAGACGCACGAAATTTTAGGTGATGAGGGGCACAAATTACGTACATGGCAGAAGCCGGTGCTATAACAAGGCACACATCCGCCACCATGACTAGTAATAGTCGTGGCTTGTGGGGGTCTGGATTCAATAGTAGGCAAGTATTGCCCGTGTGCTGGGACGGAGTTAATAAGTTGGTTGCCCAAGTGCTATTCGAAAGCAGCAATAAAGGGTCATCATCACCTTGATGGCACAGGAAACTAACTGGGCGAATCAGACGAGTTTCTTAATTCTTCAGCCCACGCAAGTAAGTGTAAGTTGCAAAGTAAGCGTATGTACCAATCAATGAATTGATGCAGAAGCCACCACCAATCTCTCCAGCAGGTCCTACCAATCACACAGAATTGCCCTGCATGTCGCCATTCCATCCATGGTACGCTGCAGTACATTGTCCATCCAGCATTCCCCTCTACCCCACGCAGTTACAACGAGGTACCACCGTCTCCAACGCCACTTTCATAGCGGGACGGAGAGACTTGCCTGTGTGTCTCTCTGGTGGAGAAACGAGCCGCTCCAATTGCGAGGGCAAACTTGCCTTGATCGGCTGATAGATTGTCCGCTATGCAGCAACGATATGAGCAGCGGAAGCTCTACTCGATACAGCAGACGGATCATTTACCGTATGCGCTAGTACTACCAGGTTATTCTGCTTCATCTGTCGATTTGCTCGCCGGATGACAAAGGCATCTCGGATCACGGATAGACGGACAAATATCCGACCGTCGACGGCTTATCTTCTACTAGTCTGGGGGGTGCCTGCGCAGTGTTTAGACGTTTTTGTCTTGTGGGACTTGCTAAAGCCGCTCGCTCTGGCTGTATGACGAGGGAAATCCATCCCGCAAAGCTTGTTCAACTTTATCGGCAATTGAATTGAATGATGACAAACTACAATCGACAGCGAGAGAAAAAGAAAATTCAAGGCAAGTTAGGCCGCCTTCTAGAAGCCTTCTTGTTGTTTACGAGCACCAGGCACACGCCACGTTTCTGTGCTCTCTACTTCAAAGTTTCTACTTTGGTCACCGCAGCACCAACATCGCTTGTCTACCTCAAACTTGTCTCTCCCGATAAAACACGTTGTTATACTTCTACAAACAGCTGAATTGTCATCTCACAAGTTCAACAGAAGTCGTCAGAATGCCTCGTCTCATGTCACGAAGCCATTGTTTGCAGGTTTTCATCTCCTGCATCACCTACCATCACCATATGTAGAAGCCCATTTGTCCCAAAGACATCACCTAACCGAGCTGTCTTCTTTTATTCTCTTTTAACCGGCTATAAAGAGAGCAAACTGTTTCAATGTCAAAAAAACGGTGAGGGTAGCTGCTTTGGCTTGTCAAGCTAGAATAAGTCGCAACAATGAATCAGTACTTGGAGCAGCCATAATAACGTAGTCTCCTTCTTCCAATAGGCGTATAAAGATGGCCATATCGTCGTCGTAGAATAGCAATTCCTTAATATTTCGAATAGAAAAAAAAATCCGATAAAAGATTCTCAGCAAAACTAAACGTTCTTTCCAGGCCTCATCATGGTCTTCCCTTTATTCACTATGCCTTGCCTCCACAACCACCACCACCATCCACCCCCTATTCTTCACTCTCGAGACTCCTATGACGCACAAATATCCTCCTCAGCAGCAGTTGGCCTCACCGTTGGAATTACCCTTATTGTGGTCATCATCGCAGCCATCACTTACCTTTGGTGCTGGCGCCAAAGTCATCGCCACCGGCGGTCTCGACGACGACGCTCTGAATCGCGCCATCGCCGGGAGAATCAACAAGAGCAAGCGAATGCCGCTGCACGTGGCAACGACGAGAGGGTAGCTGAAGTAGAGCAAGTGCCTCAAGGACAGGATGCTGATGCCCAGAATGAAGAGGGACCTCCACCACCTACTATACCCCTGACGGTTCATCACCACCAGCATGAGGATAAGCATTTCCACGGCGACCACTACCATGGTCATGACGATGGCAGAAATTTTCCTGGTAATACTGATTCTGATCATCACCACTCTCGTTACCTTCATCGCCATCGCCGTTTCAACCGCGCCCAGCGTGTCTTTCGCCCGCAAGATCCCATTGCTGAGGTTGAGGAGCCAATCCAGCCGCAGATTCGAATAGCCACACGGGCAGACTTGGAGGCTATTCTCAATGGACTAGATATACATCAGGCAAATGGTCGGGCTAATGTGGCAGCGACTGTACAGAAAAATGGTCGGCGTGAGGAAGACCAGAGAGAGAAGCGGCGGAAACGACACCATCGCCACCACCATCACTGCCATCATCGGCATAGGCGAGTGGTACTTCACTGAGGGGAAGAGTGAAAGGACTTGTAGGGCTAGGAAGTGATGTTGATAGGCTAACGATTCGAGATCACGCAGGTAGATGAGAAGCAGAGAATCAATATTATTCGCTCTGTTATCCAAAATCATTCGAGTACTTAATAAGCAATCTATCCAATCCATCAACGTTATACGTCAAAGAAATACAGATAAAGAAAATTTTAGACGCCATTAATAGTAAATTGTTTAATCTCTCATTCCAAAAGGTCCCAACGCCGTATCCCAATGCAATATCAACATATCACGCCTCCCCCCTTTCACCTTCAGGTGCACCCGCGGTATGCTCGACCTCTTTCGAGTGTTTCGAATGCCTTAATCCTTTACTACTACTGGATCGGCGTCTATGTCTTTGCTTCCTTTTGTAGAACTTGAGGGAATCGCCGTAGAAGCAGAGGAAAACGCAGACGCCGATGGTGAATGCGGCAAGGGTGAAGCCGACAACAAGGCCGATTACAAGGTTGGTATTGGTTCCAGAGTTTGAGCGTCGCTGTATTGAAGAAAGTACTTTTTTGGTGATAGAGGAAATATTGACAAGAGCATGGTTTACCTCGTCCGTGTATTCCTCTGTTACTTGTGCATAGCGCTGGAGCGCCTCAGATTGAGCTAGATATATCGGAATATACATCCGGGCTATTTTTTGGCAGATGCTAAATTAGCAGCCTTCGATGAAGGATCAAAATAAATTAGAAAAGAAAAAAAAATCACACGCCAAATCTTGGGTTAAAGTATGCGACTGCAGGTTGAGTGTTGAATATCACACTGCATTATATACATGTTCCTTGGACCCATCGCAGCGAGACAAGCTACAAAGATTGGACGGCGTCGCACATACAACGCGTTATGAATAACCAATTTTGGTCAGATGTAGCAGACTTTGCATATGCAGCTTTTACACGTAAAGTACCATGGCTGTTCCTGCGAGCTTGCCGGACGAGTGGCAAGGCAAGAAAAGACGGGTGTAAGTGCATGCAGCTACAAGTGGGTGCGCCATATGGAGCAAAAAGCAGCGAACAGCGACTTGTCTCTCATACAGAGTGCCAATCAATTTTCTAGACTAGAAGCGCTTGACAGCATATGATAGGATACACTCCAGATGTGGTGATTGATGGAGGACACGCTGCACGCTGCAGAGGCAAGGAGAAGAAAGACTGGGACTTTGCTGCAGTCTTTCGGCGCATGTCTGCATGTGCCTGATTGGCAGGTTGAGGGGAAATGTCCAATGGAAATAAATTTCCTTGACACATGGACTGCAGTGATGTTTGCATGCGCAGATAAGTGCTCGATAACATTGCAAATATCAATAATAGGCGAGTTTTCCGCGGCAGAGGCCTAGGAGAAGAATACTTGAGGTCACAAAGAAGAGTAAGTAAGCCAAAATCAAGCTACATTTACCGCAACTCATGGCCAACGCATCGCAAACATGTCATCACACACACTTCCAATACATCAAAGCTAGTACGATAAAAGGAGGATGAAAAGGACTTGGAAGGGTTGTAGCAGACACTCCAGCTCCCTAAAGCGGCAACAGTGAAGCAGAAGCATTTTCTCATGGGACACACAATCCTGCGGGGGACTCTTGGACGCAGGACAACGCATCAGTTTGGTGTCTTCTCTAGCCTTATTTGACGTCTCAACAGGGGACGTACTTGACTCTTTGGGTTTCCTCGCTTTTCTTGCTACCTGTGTTTAATTGTGGTGTGCTGGATCCATTTGCTAGAGATGATCGGATATTGGAAAAGGTGAGCCATTTTTTTCTTCCTTCTTTTCCTCTGTAGACGGTGATTGAGACTGTATGCATGCAGCAGTAATTAGGTACGAATTGGGCCTACTTTTGCTCAATATTAGATATAGTACTAGTATTGGCTGAATTGAGCTGACGCCTGCATGGCACCGCAAATGTGTGGGCGCCAGAGTCCAAGCCCACAATAAATAGCATATAATACACGGGGGTTTGAGCATCCGCACGACTCCTTGCATACGGTCCGTCAGAGCATTTGGGCGCTTAATCAGACTCGCTCCTCCGTGCACTATTTGAAGTAGTCAAAAAAACCCTACCAACAGCATTGGGGTAAAGATGCAGACGCAGGCCATGAACATGTCACTCATACCGGCCAGACCCAGACCTGAGGCTTATATCCAGCACACACGCATATTATGGGGCAGGGAGTAAATAGTGCTACAGCATTAAGCGCCCTGGCCGAAAAAAGACTGGACCCGGCAGATGGCCATTCCGGTGGCAGATAAGGTACAAACTAACACGGGGGAGCTGTTGGGATCGCCAAATGCTCAACCAAGACCGGATTTGGCTGCTTCTGCTTCTGCTTCTGCATCCGCTTCCTCTTTCGTTTCGCGAAAATAACGTCTCCAAAGCCAAGACCAAAGGCATAATCACAATAACTTGGCAGCAGCGTCAGCTGTCAAAAAGTCAAAGTGCAGTGGTCGACTCTTTGATTATTCAGGGGCGCTGGGCTTTTCTCGGCCCCCGTCCCCACGCCCTGGCATGCTGTGCGGCTTTCTCACTTATTCACTCACCTTTTAAGCCGAGTCATAAAGAGACAAATTCTCTCTCTCAAGGTCCTAGATGCGTAAACGTGAAAAACCTCTCAATGCTATCAGAGCTGGAGCAAACAAACAGCACTATTATTCCCAAAACGTTGCCAAACATCCAGAACTATCTAGCAACTGTCCAAAACAGTAGAGTCCTTCAACCCCCCCCCCTGACAATACTCGCTTATTTTATCTGCTTAAGCCACGCGATAATAAACCAGCTTTCTCTCTCTCTCTCTCTCTCCATATCTCTCTTTTTAGGCCCCGTGTTTGACAATCCGCTGGTCCCGAGCTTCGCGTTTCACCATTCCAGCCTCCCCCTGCACACTTCAAACTCCACATACCTCCTAGCACGAGAGCCAAGGCCCAGGCAAAAGCAAAAAGACAACAAAATATGACAGTTCTACAGGCCGCGTTTCCCTGGGCCGCATAGAAGACTGAAATTTCTTCATTTAGCTTTCTCTCCATTTACTTTTTAATCATTGGCCTTGCTTGGCAGGTTCTTGGCTTCGGGTATTTTGTGCCACTAATTATAACTCCATGCGCCTTGGTTTCCTCCCCCCCGTATTATTTCATGACAAGCCTCTAACCCCGGGCTTCGTCATCAACCCAGATACCAGGCTTGCCGTGGCTTCGCGTTTCGTTTATTCTCACAATCAAATCCTCTAGCGAGTAATGTCTTTACCGTCTTTTTAGAAAAACTCTCTCTTTTTTCTCTCTCTCTCTCTTTCCCTTTTCTCTGCTTTTGCCACAACCTCCATTTTTTCTCTTCTTTCATCAACCGCTTTTCTTTGTATATTTTCCAATCCGGGAACTGGCTTCTCTCTCTCTCTCTCTCTCTCTCTTTATTCGAATAACTACAAACGGCCTTGATGGTTGCTTGTTGATTGCGATTGTCCTTCATTATTGAGCTTCGCCGTTCCTCTAATAATCATATCCGATAATATCCCCCATCTCTTTATTTCGTCTATACGCAGATATACACATACATATATAAAAAAGCAGCGTGTCATTGAGCGAAATCACAGCAATAAATCACAGCGCGCATCATGGCCATCCGGTCTTTTCTCACCCTATCCCTAGCTCTGCTAGCACAGGCACGACCACGGCACGTATTCGACCCGGAAGACGTGGGCAGCAAAATCACCCTGCCAGTCATTTCAGCGCCGAACCCAGCAGCAGCAGCTCGAGGAGTGGAGGTAGTAGGACGAAGTGCAAGTGACGACCAAGACAAGCCATTTCACATCTTGCCGTTCCCATATACACCCAACGGCAAGCGGACCATTCTGGAGGATGACGAGGGAGCAGCCGGCGCGGTGACTCTTCCGGTGCCTCGACCGCCGTCCAGGCGCAGTGCCGAGGATGATGAAGAAGAAGACAACAAGCCTTTCCACATCCTCCCCTTCAACGAGAAGCGCAAGCTGCCCGTCGAAGATGGCCCCATCGGAACCATCACGCTGCCTGTTATTCACGCCCACCGCCCCGTATTAGACAAGCGAGCTGTGGAAGTGCAGGTTGAGAACCGATCTGACGTCTCGTACTACGCTCAACGTAAGTATTATAGTGCTTCTACCTATAGGATATAGAAGAAGGCCAAGATATATATATATATATATATATATACATATACATATATACTAACATAACGCGCTTGCAAACAGTCAACATCGGAACTCCCCCCCAGACCGTCTACGCCCAAATCGACACCGGCTCCTTCGAGCTCTGGGTCAACCCAGACTGCTCCAATGTCGCCTCCTCAGACCGCCGCTTCTGCAAGGCCATCGGCTTCTACAACCCGCGCTCGTCCTCCTCATCGTCCACCACCCAAGAGTCCGCCATGCTCCGCTACGGCATCGGCTCCGCCAACGTCTCCTACTTCAAGGACAGCATCGCGCTGCCCGGCTCCGCCTCCGCCATGAAGCAGGTCCAGTTCGGCGTCGCCTCCGCCAGCGTGGACGAGTTCTCCGGCATCCTCGGCATCGGCGCCGGCGAAGGGTTCAACACCGACTACCCCAACTTCATCGACGAGCTGGCCGCCCAGGGCGTCACCAAGACCAAGGCCTTCAGCCTCGCCCTGGGCAGCAAGGCCGAGGAGGAGGGCGTCATCATCTTTGGCGGCGTCGACACGGCCAAGTTCCAGGGCAAGCTCGCGGAGCTGCCCATTGTCCCCGCAAAGGAATCGCCCGACGGCGTGGCGCGCTACTGGGTTAAGATGAACTCGATTGCGCTGTCGCCTCCCAAGGGCAAGTCGACGACTTTCAGCCAGACGGACATGACTGTCTTTTTGGACAGCGGCTCGACGCTGACGCTGCTGCCGGAGCAGGTGGTGCAAGATATTGCAAAGGGCCTTGGATCGAGCGGCATGGATAGCAGCGGCTTCTACGTGATAGACTGCAACTTGGCAAGCCAGGCGGGAACAGTTGACTTTGCCTTTGACGGCGTGACGATTTCCGTGCCGTACAGCGAGTTGATTCGACAGGTCAGCTCTTCACCTCCGCAGTGTTATCTAGGCATGATGGGCAGCACCGAGTTTGCTCTCCTGGGCGACACCTTTTTGCGATCCGCCTACGGTAAGTCTCTTTCTCTCTCCGGTATATCCTCGATACTGAAAGCCATTACTAACTCCAAATGCAGCCGTCTTCGATCTCACCGGCAACAGCATCCATCTTGCCCAATACACCAACTGCGGCACAAAAGTGCAAGCCATCACATCAAGCTCTGCTCTCCAGGGCCTTTCCAGCACATGCAACGGACAGAGCGAGTCTCCTTCATCAGGCTCTCCCGCTCCCTCGTCAGCCGCAAAGGCAGCACCTTCAAAGACTGCTGCGTCTAAGCCCGACGGCCCTGCTTCAAGCACAGTCCAGCCAGTACAGAGTCCAACAGCAGCAGCCTCCAAACCCGCCGGTGACCAAGCCCCTCCCGCTACAACCACAGCCGCAAGCACGGCAAAGAGCACTCCCACAAGTGTGTCTGATGCTGCCGGTAAGAGCAGTGCCGGCAGAGTTAATGTCCAGGCTATGGGCTGGAGCACGGTGTTTGCAGCAATGGGTCTGCTATTAATTTAAGAAAGAAGAAAAAGGGCATGAATCAGGAGAGAAAGAGAGGGAAAGAAAAATGCAGCTTGCTACTTTTTTTTAGCATAATATTCGCATAGACTGCCATATGGGACAAGATTATAGCGTTCATATTTAGATGAAATATACATCGGATATCTTTTATTTCTATTAAATTTCTTTTTTTTTATACAACCTCCAACACAAACATGGGACCTCTTTCATCTCCTCCTGGCTTAACAATCTCATCCATCCTGATTCCCGCCAAGGGTTTATCGTCCAAAGTCCCGTCATCTCTCCTTTTAAGGACTACAACTGCCCATTCTCCCTCTTGATTTCCCACAAACAACTCACCTCCGTCTCTACTTATACTAAACATGCGAGGATGCTTCCCTCCTGTTGACGTCTCCCCCACAAGCTGCAACGATAACCCTTCTTCCTCCTGAAGGACCCGAAAGTGAGCAATCGTCTCCGTCGGAGAGCTCGTCAGCCGATTCGACGTATAAGCATGTTTCCCATCCCCCGAGAGAGCAATCTCCCCCGCCGCAGCACCTGCTATCCTCTCAGCAGCAGAATCGCCCGGCATAAACGTAGAATAGCTCCCCACAGTCGTAAACTCAATATCCTTATCCGTGTATTTCAAAGCAAAGACAATCACGCGATTGCTCTTCTCGCAAAGAAGCATATAATGCGTCGCCGGCGAGTCTCCTCCAGACGGATAAAACACCCCGTGGCGGGGCCCCGATCCATCCAGCACTCGGATCCGGTTCACAATCGGCACATCGGCCGCAGCCGAGTCCAGCACGAGGAGCGAGTCCGTGCCGAGGTCGTTGACGACGAAGAAGCGGCCCGTGGGATCGAGCACGGCCTGATGGGCACGAGCCACTCGCCCAGCATCGGCCACCGGGTCCTTTGATGGGATCGTCTTGATGAATTCCAGAGACCCGTTTTTGGTGTTCCACACGTCCATCGTGCCGGAGGCCCAAGAGCTGCCAATCATGATGCCGCCGTCTTTGCTGAGGCCGAGATGACAGACGCCCTCGCTGCCGTCTTTTCGCTCGGCTACTTTGGTGAGGGTGTTTGCTGCGAGATCGAGCTCATAAAGGAATGTCGTTGCGGCATTCTCGTCAAAGGTGTACAGGAAGTTTGGGTGCGTTGGCGAGACGGCGAACCATGAGGGATTGCCCGCGATGGGGAGGTCGAGGTCGATGGTGATGGTGATGGTGGGAGAAGCGGGTTTGTAAGTTGCGAGGTAGATGTGGCCTGGCCGAGCAATGAGCAGGCGGCGGGACATGATTGATTGATTGTTAGGTATTGTTAAAGGTTATGTGTTTCCATCTAAGCATGCATGTTTTGAAAGTGAGGGCGATAGCTGTGTATAAGAGGCGGGGAAAGATGAATAAACAGTGAGGTGAGACCAGAACTTTAGAAGCAGCACTGCAGCATAGAGCCCCTGCTGAAGGGTATGTTTTTCAGGGATAAAAAGAAATTACTTTGACTTTTTTCAAAGAAGAATAGAGAAAGATGGAAAGTTTAAATTCAACCGTCTCGGAGAAAATGCAGCTTGACAGGCCGGGGGGGGGGGGGGGGGGGGGTTTGGTTTATAAGTGCAAGAATGGATGGATGCATCGATCTGTGTGGGGGTCATTTAAGATGGGCTCTATTTCTATTGTTACATGCACTCTCGCAGCTCCATACGCCACCGCAGATTCTCTCAATCTTGTCCATCCTGGCTTTGGCACTCACTCAGTGATGTCAAGCAGCTCGTATTGACTAGTTTTGGTTGTATAGATTAAATGTAAATAGCGAGATAGTATAATACTAGCCGGTGGTAAGCATACTAGAATAGCCAGCTCACTTAAGCAGTGACAGCACATCAGCCTCACCAATCACGCACAAGCACATTCATGTAATAGACTCAGGTCGCCCGTTAAATACAACTGCATTCTCTCCTAAATACAACACAGCCTCTCCCACTGCATCCCATATTAAGGGCCCTGCCGCCCACCTCATAGCTTCTCATCTCCTCCTCAGTCTCATTATCATTCGCACATCCATCCGCGTACTTAATCTTCAAAATAATGCATAAAACACGTCAAAGCCACCAACGAATGAGGTGTGTATCTTGGAAAAAGAAAATTAATATGAACCCGGCAAAGAAATAGAAAGAAGTAACAGCAAAACAACCCTAGTCATTCAGACTACCTTGCGTATTAGTACCGTATTTCCCAACTTAAAACAAAAACAGCGCAGCACCGGCCAGGATCATGGCCAGGGAGCTCACACCAGCCTGAGAACCAGCGTTCTTGCCACTCTTGTTATTGCTGCTGCTGCTGTCGCTGCAGTCTTGGTTAAAGCTGGAGGACGAGCAGCTGGAAGTGTCGGCAGGGGCACTGCCGCCAGAACCGCTGCCAGAGCCGCTGCCAGAGCTACCGCCAGAGCTACCGCCAGAGCCGCTGCCACTGTTGCTGCCGCCGGATCCGTTGCTGCCACCAGGAACCTGGCCAGAGGAACCGTTACTTCCACCTGGGATCTGGGCCTGGGTGTTCTTGGAGCTACTGCTGCCAGTCTTGGTGGCAGAACCTGAGGAAGACGAGGCAGACGAAGCAGCCGAGGAAGTGTCAGGCTTGCCAGCATCCATGTCGGTACCAGTACCCTCCAGGGAAGCCAGGTTGGTGCGCTTGTTGCCGTCGATGACGGTGTTGTTGGTGCCAGCAATGTTGTTGTAGGTGTAGCTGGTGCCGGTGCTGGTTCCAAGTCCCGAAGTGGCGTTGTAGCACTCGACGGTGACGGACTCAAAGGTGGCGTAGAAGTAGCCGGCCTTTTGGATATCGGGAGCGTTCCAGTCAATCTCACCACCGGCCCAAGCAATGGTTCCGGGGGCGTTGCTGGCCAGACCACCAGGCCAGATGGAGATTTGGACACGAGAAGGTGTCTGGGGGAAAGACCACTGGTTGGAGGTGGCGTTCCAGTGGTCCTTGCGGTTGACGGTGCGGCCGACCTTGCCATCGACGAGCCACTGGATGTTGTCGGGGGTCCATCTGATTTCGTAGTCGTGGTAGTTGTTGAAGGTGTCTGAGAGGGAGGTGATGTTGCCAGAGTTGTCGTCTAAGGCATTGTTAGCATTTATCTGCACGGCCTTGGTCACATATCATGGACGTGTCTCTCTATACTTACAGTCGGGGATGCCCTGGAAGTACCAGTTGGTCTGCGCGGTGCCCAGATCGACGCCGACAAACTCGTAGTCAATCTCGTCCTTGACGTCGGAAAGCAGGATAAAGGCAGTGACGACACCCTTGCCGCGGCTGGTCTTGAACCGGGCCTTGACATTGCCGTACCACATGTACTCGGTGGTGGCCATGACGGTGCCGACGCTGTTCTTAGGCATGGTCAGCAGGACGTTGCCGTTGTAGTAGGTGGGCTCTCCCTGGGAGACCCAGTCGGCGGTGGACGGGTCACCGAGGTAATCGCTGATGTCGGCGACGCTGGAGAGCTTGGAGTCGAAGGTCATGGTCTTGGACTTGCAGACGGGCTCGGGGGTGCACGAGTCGAGCGAGAAGGACATTCGGGGATCGCAGCCGCCGAGGCAGTAGGCGCCAACACCGCACTCGCCATATTCTGGACGTTTCGCAGTTAGTTGTCTGTGAGAGCGAGAGCGAGCGCGAGACTCGGGGTATGGGGGATGAAGAGAAAAAAGACATACGGGAGCAGCAGGGAGCCTCCTTGGGGCACTTGTTGGTGAGCGAGCACGTCGTGCTACCCGCCAGGGCAGCCCCAGCGCCCAGAAGCGCGGCCAACGCAGCAGACTTTAGCATTTTCGAGCTGATTCGATTCGATCTGGTTCAATCGCGCGCGTGGCTGTGTTTTGCTGTGCGAAAGCGAGCGATATCGGATTTTGATGCTGCGTGTGTCACGCCAGAGAGCGATCGTTGGGACTGGGTGTCGAATTAATGCGCGCGCGCAGCTCTTTTTCTCCTCGCACAAAACGATTGATGCAACGAGCAGTCGGGTGGAAAAAGAGAAAGAAAGAAAAAAAATCGATTATCGACAACGACAACGACGGCGAGATGCGATGAACGAGTGACGCACCCGCGGGGGAACCAAAACACACACAGAAAGCGAGAGTCTTTGTTTTGTTTGTCGTGCTTGGGTGGGCAGAGGAAGGGACTGGAATGCAGCGGCCGAGGGTCTGCCAGAACAATAAATAAGGACTGGATGGAGTCTGCAGCGCTATGGCCAGGGGCTTAGCCTGGACTGGGGATGGATGCAGCGCTGGAAGGGATCCCTGGATCGGGCAGGTCAGATCATGGCATGGCAGGCTATTTTTGCTTCTGATGCCCTGCTGAGCAGTGAAGATTACCGCAGCATTACGGAGTATACAGCTGCTGATTCTAGTATTACTATCTACTAGGTACTGGCACTGCATACTACAGCACCCATTGCATATTCCCATCATCGTCAATCGCTCGTGTCTCCCGCCTTCGCTAAAAGCTCCTCCTACAAACAAAGCTGCTTCGCTTCTTCAGCCTCTAGTCAGTACCCCGGACCTGCAAAAAGCGCCACCACGCCACCCATCAGGGGAAAGGGAAAAAAAATCAGCAAAAAAGCAACACGCGAGCCCAGCCGTCTAACCGCAAGGGAAATCCCGCGGCGCCCTCAGCACTAGAAACACGCACAAAAAAAAAAAACGCCTCGCAAAGCCTCTCTCTCCCTTGAATCGAAGCATTCTATAAAATCATCGTCATTCTTTCTCGCTCCAGCAGCTAAACAAGCTCGCCTCGTATAAATGGCTCCATGTCCGCTCCTCACTAAGCAACAAAAGGCCCCATCCCGTCTCGTTCTCTTCTCTCTCTCTTTTTTTTTCCCTCCCAGACACGAGGTGCGAGTGGAACCCCCTTTTTAGCTTCCAATGCTCTTCTGTCTCCCACTCCAGCCGACCATCCGGACGATTCCCTCCAGTCTACCATCGGCTATACGAGCTCGCACTAACACTGCAAATCACATACAAAATGAGCATTTACTTGCAGGTGCTCGTACTTTTGGTGCCTACACATGCAGCCACACCTATAGCCAAGCTACAGCCTCTGAGTTACCAGAGTCCAGCTCAAGCCGCCTCCTCGTTCAAGATGCAAAAGACCTGACCGGGCACAGCCTAACAGTTTTTCCCCTCCAAGCCTCTCTCTCTCTCTCTCTCTCTCTCTATCCAGCTACATTAACCCACTGTAAACGGAGAAATCGGCACTCCCTTCGGCGTGGCTTGCATCCGGAAAAGCGGCAAGCATCTCATGCATTAGAACCCCCCATTGTTCTAAATACGTGTAATACTTGCAGTGGTAGCAATCCCTGTGGAGGCAGTAGAATCCAACTGCATGCTGCTTGAAAGAATATTCTTTTTTTTTTCCAATGGGCTAGTTCTGAGCATGAATCAATTTTGCATGTAAGCTCCGTCTCACCCGATCATCGTGATCGACAAGAACCCCAATCCGGGGTAAAAATGAAGGCTCGGTCGCTTAACGCGCTGCTGCCATGTTTCGTATTCATTACCACAGAGTGTGCCAGTGCTGTAGCAGTCAATGATCTTCACGGAATTACAGTGCGGCGTAGCATGTAGCCTGCAACAACAACGCGCGAACATTAGTGTCCTAGATTCATAGACCACTATTTTTAAGAATGAGAATCTCATACCAGCAGCGGACAAGAATACAAACTCCAACTTAATATACGAAAGTTTGCTGCGATTAAACTGCACAGATACATATACATCAGCAGGATTGGAGTTGGGCCAAATTCATCAAGTTGATTGTTACACCTATGTCAGTATGATGTGCGCATCCAGTATATATATATATATATATATATATATATACCAAAGCATCGATCCTGTTAATTAACACCTCATGGCGAAGCAAGACTTCCATAGCCATCATCCAAGTTCATCAATACCCCGGAAATGATCTGCTACTTATTGACCTCATCATTCACATAGCTAGGAAGCATAAATGATCACAAGACAATATATATATGTATGTATTATATGTAAATCGCATTATATACGCAGCCACTGCCGCATCGCTCCATCATCACACTCCAAAACAGAACAGAAAAAAAAGATGCCGCCATTTCACACGCTCATTCTTCCAATCTTTCCCTTATTTCGTCTTCCGTCTCGCCTTAAACGTCTTCAAGGGATCTCCCTTTCGTGTACCCACTTTCCTCTTGCCGCCGCCTTTCCTCTTGGTTCCCGCGCGTCTATCGTGCTTCTTCAGCGGCACAAAGCCAATATCCCCGGATGCAATGCCCTGTCGGCCCTCTTTAGGCAAGAGGTAGTCCGGCACGTGCTTCAGATGGGCCTGCTGTCTGGCCGTTCTTAACTCGCCGTCGTGGCGGAGGTGGTTCATCTCTGTAGGGTTCTCTTCAAAGTATCTATCCAGGGGAGAGAAAAAAATTAGCATCGTGTCCTCGCATCAATCAGCTTTTGCAAAATCATCATCAAAACTCACCTCTTCAACTTCTCGCTCTTCAGCAGCTCCTGACGCAGTTCCCTCGTCCTGGCCTCTCGGATCGCCACCTTTGTCACTGCACGCAGCGCATCGTTCATTCGGTATCTGAAAGCATCCACTTGGTCCTTGTTGAAGTCGTATGGCTTCAGCTCTTTGCCCTTCTTCGCCTGTTGCTTTGTGATTCTCGCCAAAATCTTCTCGTCATTCTCTGCGCTGGTAATGGATGTGTAGATGTGCTTTTTGTAGAGATCCTTGGGAACGACAAACGACAGCGCCATGCCCGTCCGGCCAGCTCGTGCCGTACGGCCTATTCTGTGGGTATATGACGAGGCGGATGTGGGAAGGTCAAAGTTGATCACGGCAGCGACGTTTTTAAAGTCAATGCCTACAGAAAAACAGTTAGTAAAACAACATCCAGGGTCCTGTGTGTGGTGGATATGCATACCTCGAGAAACACCATATTCAACGTCTCCCTTGGCGGCCTTCCGCTTCTTCTTGGGCCGAGACTCCTCCTTCGATTCGCCCTCGTTTTCCTCATCCTCTTGCTCTTCTTCGGCCTTTTCCTCGTTACCAAGAACCTCCTTCTCGTCAGAGGCAATGATGATGTCGTAGACGTTGCGGTTGAACTCCTCCACCACGTGGATTCTAGAGTTGACCGGCAGCTCTGAGTTAAGAATACAGCTTCGGATGCCAAACTGTTCGAAATAGAGCTTCAGGCGGTAGCATCGATCGATATCGGCGACGAAAATGATACATTTGCCTTTAACCAGCTGAAGCTTGAAGATGACGTAAATGAGCAGGAACTTTTCGTCCTCACCACACCTGTAGCCAATGTCAGTATCATATTATATGCTATAAAGCAAGGAAAAGGAATCAAAACTCACTTGGTCACCAACTGCGTAACACCCTCACCCTCCGCATCAGGCTCCTCCAAATCCAACAACTCAGGCTGCTGCTCACGGTAGAAAATCTTCTTCAAAGAATCCACCTCAGTCGTCAACGTAGCACTCATCATGGTCGTCTGGATGCTCTTGGGAATAGACCACGACAGATTCTCCAAATCCTCGCTATATCCATACGACAAGAGGAGATCGGCTTCGTCCAAGACAAGGTATGCCAGCTTGTCCAGCACCAGGGCCGACGAATTGCCGTTGACATTGTGCCAGGCTCGGGCGGGAGTAGAGATGACAATATCGGGCGAGGTCGATAACAGAGATCGCTGCACCGCATCGGTGAGCTTGTCAGTCAGCTTCACGGCGCGAACATCCTTGGCGCAGAAGGCGGAGAACAGCTCAATCGACTTGAAGACTTGGTCGGCAAGTTCTCGAGTAGGGACCAGTATCAGAGCCGTCGTGGCAGCCGCAGAATCGACCTATAGAAACAAAAAACAAAAATTTAGCACACTCTTCCGGCTTTAATGACCTCTCGTAACATAACATACACTCTTCTTCTTCAAGATGCCAGCCAGCACGGGCAGCACATACGCCGCCGTCTTGCCAGACCCAGTCTTCGCCTTGCACAGCACATCCTTTCCATCCAGCGCCAGCGGAATAGCCTTGCGCTGCACCAGCGTGGGCTTCAAGAATCCCTGCTCTGCAACGGCCTGCACCAGCCGGGCATCGAGTCCGAGGTCTGCAAACGTCGCTTCTTCAGCCGCCGCTGTCGTCGTCGCGGTCTCGCTCTGCTTCTCAGCTTCGGCCGCAGCAGCCGAGGTTGGCACGTCGTTCTCGTTGAGCTTGCGCTTCATGTTTGCCTTTTGGAATGACAATCGTTCAATTGTCAAGTGGTAGTTAGAAAAAAAAAATCTCAGAGGCTGATGGGGTTGGTATATCTGGAAACACTGCCTCTGCTTTATCGCCTTATCACTACAGAAAAGACGGAGGAAGAAAAAAAAATTCCCACGCCTTATCTTATCGCCTGAGCTCCAGTAAAAAAAGACCCCCCATAGAAAGCGAGTCCACTGCAGTAGGTGTCAATCAATGTCAACAACCCCTACAGTACAGAAGGTACCTAGCACAAATGGCCCCTAACGTTAGCGCGGGGAGGGGGTTCACGCCAAACGATCTTCCGTCGCGACGCTGAATTGCTTTTTTCCTCTACTGCTGCCGCTAGCGCTTACCTTGTAGCTTGTACCCCTTTCCGTACACGATACCTACCTAGTATTCCCTCCACCACCATCTTCCAAGCTCAAGTACCTATCACAACAAGCCTTCGATGCATCCATCCTTGGACAAGGGATGTACCTTGCCTTTTAGCTTTTGTGCTGTCCCCTTCCTCCCGCTGCATCTCGTAGGGCTGAAGCCGACATGGGGCTGGATGGTCCATCTGGGAGATCGGAAACACCCTCTACAAAGCAGTAGAGCCAAGGTCGTCGACTACGCTGGAGTGCGGCAGTCTCTCTGCTCCTAGAAGGCACGTGGCAGTGCATGCATGCTGGCACGGGGCAGAAAAACAGAAACCTCCGCAGAGATAAAGACACCATTTGCGGTATCACAGAGAAGATCCAGGTTCCAATGCCTCGTCTGCGTGCCTACCAAATCCCCAGCATCTCGCGTAACCAGTGGCCGCCGCTTCCCATCTCGTCTCCCTATTCTCTACTTGGAGACTTGGAGATACATGCCCCCCCAAGGCAGTCAGATAGATACCTGCCTAACCGGTAAGCAGGTCATGTGTAGCAGCCCCATCGCCGAATAAACCGGAGCGATGCCCCGGGATCTAGTGTCAACCACGCGCGCGTGGCGCTGCACTACCAGGTACGCAGCGACGGGGTATGCATACCAGCAATGTTTTCTCTACTTTCTACTCCTACGAGTCGCCAATGTATCGCCAAACAGGGGTAAGTGAAGCCACTAACGGCTGTACATCTAGCGGGCGTATATTCCATTGTACCGTCTGTACCGGCTGCTCAAGTACTCATCACAGGCTCCATCTGATATACACACCGCCTACTTCATACAGGTAGAGACTTCTGATACACGGACCACCGCAGGTATGTGGTTGCCAGCTGCTATTCCAAGACCCCCATTCTTACGCAACAAATCGAAATGAACTTCATATTATAGTGATAAAAATCGAATTAAGGAAAATACGAAAAAAAAAAAAAAAAAACATCTGCTTCGGGTATAGTGATCCCCTCTTATAAGCGACAGTCTTCTGCATCCCCAGCCATCAAGGCATAGGCTGCTTGCTTTATATCCTCCAGTATCTCCAGCCCGGGAAATTCATCATTGTTGGCCCCCTTGGCCTCGCCGTATATTTTCTTCTCCATCATCTCATCCCGTTGAACACCACCGCTCCCATCCACCCGGTAGGTATCGTTGTAGAAGAAAAAGAGAAAGTGATGAAATGAGAAAGGGGGGTATGAGTCAAGAGGCTAAAGGCCACGGAGCCGTATTCCCTCAAAGCAAGCACAGGCAGAGAGAAAGGACGACAAGAACCCGTCACCAACGCCAGCCAAGACCGTCCACTGATTTATTTCCCGCCCAGCAAACGCAAAAAGAAACGCACACACATATCTCTAAGCCCGGCAATGATAATAAAAAAGGGGGGAGGGCAAAAAAAAATGCAAGACCAACGAAAAGAAGGAGAAAAGAGTTGGGAGGCAAGAAGAAAAAGGGGGAGAAAAAAATAAGTAAAAATAATGACAAAAGCCGTGTTTTTGCCCATTAACGAAGTAGCGGAAAACCTGGCCGTACTCCTTACTGTTCCTTGCTTTTCTTCAGAAATCTGCATCTGCAGTTATTAACTGGAAGCCCTTGCAACACATAAAAGACCGAAAAAGAATAATAAACAAAGATGAACTGGTTTCCTCCTTCTCCATAGCGTGTTGATTTTTTTCGAAATTTTTTTTCATATTGCTCTCCGGAGCCCGTGTCCTTTCAAAGACCAAATAAAATAAAAGACGACCACTGGGTAAAAAATTACGATCGTCGAACAGCCCGGCCAGGAGCGTTGGTCAGGCTAGGGCGCTGGTGAGCAATCACGTCGAGTTCATCTCCCCTTGGGATTGCCAAAGAGATCTGTATGAGAGTTAGCGGGACCTCGATCGTTGCGGTTAACCCCTACCGGCCAAAGACTGTAAGCATACCTGGAAAATGCTCCTTCGCATACTGCTCACAGGCCTGCGGAAAGTTAGTAACCAAATTCTTCTGCCGTGTGTGTGGAAATGGAACACGAGAGGGGCGTACCTTTGCTGGTTTTCCAACTTTTTGTCCGATGACTTTCCATTTGTTGTTCTCGTACTCTTTAATAGCGTTCAACAGCGCCTGACTCTGAACAGACTGATCAATCAATGAGGCATCAACCTTGGAACCAGAACATTACTTACTTCGTCTTCGGCAAACTCAGCATAATGCATATCCTTGTACCAGTGCTTCTTCACGGAGCCCTCTGTTCTTGTGGGGAAGGTCTGTGCAAAGGATTGTTAGCCTTGCCCCATTCTTCCAGGTCCATTATACATACCTTGGCAATCTCAGCCCAGCTGTTTCCGGCATCTCGCATCTGCTTCAATCGCAGCTCCTCCTGAGGAGTCCAGGGCGTGTTGGTCCGGCTCTTCTTAGCGGGAGGAGGCACGGCAGCGGCAGCGGCGTTTGCGTCCTCGGTCGCAGCAGGCGGTGGCTGCGACGGAGGAGCGGCCTGAGGAGCGGGCGGCGTGGGCGCCGGAGGCTGACCCTGGACCGGGGGCACGGGAGGTGGAGCGGCGGCCGTGGCGGGCGAAGGGGCAGCATTTTGAGCCGGTCGCTTCCTAGGACGGGCATTAGGCGGCTGGACCGAGGGCTGCTGAGTCGGCGTCTGCTGCTGGGACGGCGGGCCATTTGGCGGCTGCTGCGATACGCTCATGGGCGGCTGGACTGGCGTTGGGTGGTGTTGCTGCTGCGCAGCCATGTTGGGCTGGGCGCCGTAGGGAAACTCCATGCGCTGCTGCTCGTTGCGACGCATATCGGCCGGGTAAGGATGGTTACTGTTCGAGGCACCCCGGTTAGCAGACTCGCTGGCGGGGGAGGGGAATCATCACGGCATGACATGGAACTATGCATGGTATAGGAAAAGGCACCCTCGAGATGGGGGCCGGGGGGTGGGAAGCGGGGAGAGGGAGAAGAGGGCACTCGCTGCGCCAGGCACAGCACAGCGGGCGAAGTTATAGAAGGTATCAACAGGAGGCAGACGGTGATACAGCATTTCGTTTGTCTGCCGGCCGGTGATGCCACGACTGGGGGAGAGGTGTAAAAATAATAAAAACAACAGAAAACAAAAGATTGGGTACAAAGCCGGGCGATCGTCGATGGCGGCGGTACAGAGGCAGCGACCCGGCCAGCGTGAGGCCCTTGGGCCATGGTCGACGGCGCATGGCGATGTATGTACCAGGAACAAGGAGATCGAGTACTTACTGCATGTCGTTGGACGGGTGGGGGGAGTTGGAGTAGACGTAGTCCGGCACGGGGCCGACTTGCCACTGCTGCATGATCTGAGGATAGCGCACACGAACAAGGTCAGTAACGATCTCGTGTCTCTTTTTAAGCTTTTCGCGGAATTAAAGAGGATTTCAGGATGTAGCAAAGAAAAAAAAAGGGCCCGCGCGTGTTTTTTTCTGCTCTCCAGACAGAGAGACTGTCGCACGCGGCGCGTCCAGGGCTCGACAAGGCTGTCGACCGCAGGACAAGAAAAAAATAAAAAATAAAAGAGGAAAATACAGAGAGGGGTTTCTGTCTGCCTGTCTGTCTGTCTCTTCTGCTGCTCAAGCACCGCTTACGCGCAGCGCACGCGTAGTCAAGCTTCGGCGGATGCCGTCAAGAACTGCAACGGCACGACGCGACGCAGGCCAAGAAGCATGAATCCGGGCACTGGCGCATCAACAATGGGAACACACGAAGCATCCCCGTCGAAGCTGGACGGACTGTTGCGAGGGCACAAGGTGAAGAAGCCGGCGAGGAGGGAGCAAGGGGGGAAGAGAGAGAGGAAGTCCTTACGGGCGAGGCAATCAATGTAGGTCAATGTTGCCTAAAGCATCCGACTTGGACAAGTCTGGCTCGGCTTTTTTTTCCTTGGTCAACCAAAGAGCAGAGCTGGGGGCCGAAAGGGTCAGGTTGCACAATTCGCCAAAGTAGTGCAAGACCACTTGGATCAACAAAGTACTTGAAACCGCGGTGGCACCGAAAAAGGTCGTGGAGGGGGGGATTGGGGAAAAAAAAGAAAAAAATATTATTTATAATAAAAAAGGTGAAGGCTTGACTGAGACGCGCGGTGGACTGATGGGTTGGGGGAGAAGGTGGCTAGCAAAGTACAAGTTTTGCAGTGGGAAAGTAAGTTGCGTCTGTCGTGGTGGTGGGGGCAGCAAAAAGCGTTGGTTAGGGGCAGATCCGAAGCCGAGGCGACGGTGGGCTTGGGTTACTATTGTGACGGGTGCGGACGGCGAATTGACAACGAGCCAAGAGGGATTAATTGGGCTGGCAATAAGAGGGAACGGGAGCGAATTGGGGGGGTCAATAATTCGAGTCTGCGTGGACGAGACTCGGCGTGAGGATGGATGGATGTGCTGACAAGGCTCAGCTTAGCTCTGTGCCAATCCCAGCTGCTGGCTGGGCGGTTGGCTTTGGCCTGACTTGGCTTGGCCTGGCCTTGACTCGACCTGAAGTGAAGAGGCCGGGTGGGAGTGACAAGAGGGTGGCCAATGATGATGGGGATGGTGGAGGGAAGTACAGACACGCGGATAGATGGAGAGGCAGGTAGGCAGACAGACAGACAGACAGACAGTAGACAGTAGCAAACAAGAAAAAATTGAGAAAAAAAATTGAGAAAAAAAGAAGCAGCATCAACGTACGACGGATGTTGGTTGGCGCGGCGCTGGGAGCGGCAGGGCGAATGATGCAGTGGTACTGCCCGGTACTCCGGAGAGAGAGCTGTGAAGACGCGGATCGGCCAGGGTTTGGTCTTGGACGGATAAGTAAGTGCAAAATAGTCGTTCGCCGTGTGTTGGAGTGGCGGCAGTATCAGAGGCAAGGTGGTAATACTACTGGACGAGCAGCAGATGCGTGGGATGCGGAAAGCGTGTGCGACTGGAGCAGGTGAGCGTAGCGGGAGTCAGCCTGCAATGGCGTGTAGCCTGTACAGTACGTAAGTCGCCCCAGTGGGTGTTTTTCGGCGGACACGCAACGCAACGCACGCACGCACGCAGCTCGTTACGCACGCGATATGCCTCGTCTGCTCGTGTCGGCACTCTGCAGCTCAGGTCGCAGCAAACAAGTCGGTCGTTGCGAGAGAAGCTGTTCCAGGCTGTGGATCCGCGGCCCAGACGTGCAGCGCAAGCTTGCGATGGCCAGGTCAGGCTGAGGTTCAGGTTCTCGCAAAGTCCCAAGCTCGGGGGTGGAAGATCGAGCAGTACTTGGAGCCCAAGTAACTCGGTTGGGTTTTTTTCTTTTTTTTTTCTGGGGGGGAGAAGTAGATGTTTTGGCCTGGGACTGCGACTGGGTCGGGTCTGTTTTGGGGAGGGAGAAGGGAGAAGGGCGGCTGGAGAGCAAAAGAGAAGAAAAGCCTGGGTCTGTGGGTGGGAGGGGTCCACTGACGACGTGCAGGCGCACTTGTTGCGGTACTTGGCTGCTGCGGCTCGTCTTACAATCGTGAGCTGCGAGCCGAGGGGCGTGCAAGTACCGGTACTGCCTTGCTGTGGCGCGATGGACGCCGGGGCGCAGGGAGGGGCGTGACAGTGCATCACGCACATTTCCAGAGCCATACTCGCACGGCCAGCTTCAGGCATCGCGTTGCACAGCATACAGTGCCCGGTTTCAGACACCAACGGTGGGCTGCCTTGTCGCAGCTCGCACGGGAAACCGCAGCAGGTTGCGGCGAAGCACGGGCCCAGCGCCTGCCCTCCCATGGCTCCTGCTCGGCAACGCACGGGTACGGGCTACAGGACACGAGAGTACAAGGACGCGATGCTAGTTGGCAGGCAGTCCGTAGGTATACGGTACACAGCACCCAATACGTCCACGAGTGACATACATAAGGTACCTACCAACTATACCTTTAGTCCATACATCATTCATGCAGCTCCAGAGCTCTAAGATACTAGCACCAAACAAATCTACAGGGAACTGCTCACCTTGAAGACAGACAAGCAGAGAGTCTAGGCGCGGGCTCCGGAAAGCCAGCTCGTACCGGTTCTTCCCTCTCGTACCCGTCCCTTCCGACATGCTCTCGTACTTGCACGTACCTGTACTAGCGGCCCTGCTGCTGGTCTCGCACAGTCACAGTTACAGTCAGAAGTGAGCAGCACCTGCATACGGTGAGGAGCCAACTTCCGATAAAAGAAATTGGAACATGAGCGCAGCAGCTGTTGGGAACTGCTGGGGCACGTGCGCCGGCCAATCAACGGTTGAGAACGCCTACGCGTTGGCTCCTGCAAATTGGGCTGCGCACCTTCCGCTCCAGCCACTCATTTCGTCGTGCAGCCAATGGGCGGGTCGGGGCCACAAATTGGATGCGTTCATGTGTAATGGAGCGATGAGCGCTGTGCAAGGAGCGGCGGGCGGGTGCAGGGCCAAGGTACGTGTATGCGGTACCTTTGACGGGAGTACAGGGCGTTGCATCCAGGCGTGCACAAGGTACGAGGGACTTGTAATTCCACCCGATCCATCCCTCTCCAACTTGGGCTCTACGAAGCTTAGCAGCATTAGTGGCTGTTGTACAAACATGTTGAAGTACCAGCTACGGAGTATACAGGCCGTTATTGCCGCAGGAGGCAGGTAAGAAGAAGGCAACGGTGACACAAATTGCAAAGTAGCAGTCATTGATTATTGGAGATTAACTGCTAAAGGCAGCAACTTTACAGTAGAGATTCAGTTCAATATTCCCTGCAAATTCCCAAAGTTTGAGACTATGGCTTGTCGTATTCGGCAGCGATGGGCAAAGAACTGCGCCATCCGTACCAGATACTTTGCACTGCCCATTTTAGTAAGAGGAAAGAAATACCTGCCTGGATACGATACGACATTCGCAGCAGCTTCTTTCTTGCCTTCTTTCTATTTTTATTTTCAAGGAAATTAAGAAGATTCACAATCCCCGTAATTGGCGCAACTCGCAGGTGATCAACCCGTCCGAACAGCCTCTTCTTGTATTCATCTCATTTCACAATATCCCTTCTATATTACCTACTCTCCCGCTGCTCGCTTAGGCTACCAAGGCTGTCCCTGTCCCCAGATGAAGGGCACGGCCAAAAAGCGGAGACTGCGGCGATTGCGTGGAATTGGTTGGTCGCCGGTGGTTGGCCGCACTCTTGCCATGCCATGCCATATGCCATGCGTCAACAAGCAACGCTCCGGTGATGTGATACGCGATGGGCGATGGCCTCGCTCCGGGGAACCTGGGAATGGCAGGCAGCCAGCCTTCTGCCCTTCTGCGCACAGCCTTGCGTGGAGTCGGCCCTTGTGCGAGCTGCCAGCAGCAGCCCCGACTTGCTCCAGCACCGCAGGATCCACGGCATTTAGGTTGGGAGTCACAGCAAACAACAGAAACAGTTGACAACACATCGATACCGCGCCGTGACGAGCACCCTGTGCTGCCAATCTTCCAGAATGCGCCCATCCCGCCCAACCCCTGCAGCGCCGCCGTCTATGCTTGCGCGAACTGCAAATCGCCATGGCATACCTCGTCGCCATGTACTCGATACCTTTGGCTGGGCTGGAGAGGCTAGGGCCGCATCGCTGGCCACGTCCGCGGCTCCACCTTGTACATGCCTTGTCCAGATCTAGGTGTCTCGACCTCATCAGGAGCTTGGGGTGACTTGTGGCGATTGTACCTCGCCCTTGGGTGGAGGACGCGAGTCTTTTGGCAGTTAATGTGGCTACGTTTGCATGGGAATAAAATCCGATTCGTTCTAGGGAGATCAAGGCGTTCGATTCATTCCATGGGTTCATCGTGCTGGAAGGCGACGGGACTGGCAGGACGGAGCGGCAGTGATACCTTGCACAGTTCTGCCACCCGAGCTCGGTACTAACAACTCACCCGTAGTCTTGTCCCTGATATACGGGCCTTTACGCACCCCATCGACTCCGTAGAGCCAACCAAGCAAGGTACAGAGCGAGCGAGCAGATGAATCTCCCAATCTCCGCATTTACAATAATACGTCCACCGGGGACCATGTGTGCATCCATCTTTAATTCCAGCAGGCCTCTGGGGTACACTTAGGCAGTCAGATGCTATAGGCAAAGGCATTTACCCGGAGACGTGCTCCAATTGCCGTTATGAGCAGCGTACAGTAGAATACAAGACAAGTTTGGAGAGAAATGCCCCCCCCCCCAGCCAATGCCAATGCAATACGGGATGCAGGTGCGGATGCAAATGCAGCATCTATGCAATCAATATTGACCTTTGCAACATTCTCGCCTGATGAATGCTTCAGCTTACAAGCAATTATAGGGTAGGCTACTGCACATGAGAGCGCTTTAGGCAAAGTATAAATCGAGCTGCCTTATCAAATGGAGCATCGCCAAGAGGGCACTCTGCCAAATGCCCAACAAGGCATGGCATGGGCGATATCGCTTACTTTGAACAGTTGTCGGCCAATCCAAGTGGCTGAGCGGAACATACGAAAAGACATGCAGATGCTCTAGTATCTCAGATATGAGGAGATGGAGCGTTCCTCTTGCGTTATTGGACACAGCCCAGCAGATGCTAGGGGGCGGCTGGTGTGATTAATCATATCGAGCGTGTCGCTGAGCGGCGGATTCCAGCGCACGCCGCGCCGAGCCGGCCTGCCTGATTCATGAGCTGCTCAGTTTTGCTCCTATCGCGTCTGCTTGGCTGATATCTGCCCGTCTATCCGCATCCTGCTAGGCAGTGCTATCCATGAAAGGGGAGCCATGCCTGGCAAAGATCTACAAGACGTCGAAAGGGTGCACTATCCGCTGGAAAGAACATGGCCAGCCGGAGAAGCCAGCCGAGATGCACTCCCCTAAATGGGCCATTTCGTTACTTATTACTTCCATGTGACGTATAGTTTCTTTGTAGATATTGCATAAACTTTCACAATATGACATTGTACCAGCACAAATACCCGCCACGGCAGGAAGAAGAAAAAAAAAAGAGAACAGGAAGAGAAGAGAAGTGATCTTCCTCATGAGTAAAGCGGAAATCGAAGAGGAGATGAAATCCAGAAAAAGCAGTCGATCGAACGTGCTTGTCGTACGATTTCGGGCGATTTTGTGCGTCTACTCATTAGCCACGCGCGGCAAGCCGGAGGATCCCCTGCCAGCTTTCCAATAGAAGAAACTTGAGAAATTGGCTGTATGGAAATGAATTGCACCCGCTTTTCTCCAGATTATCCCGGGCATAATAGGCAACGATACGGAGAACGAGCGAGACAAGACAGCAGTTGGCATGAATACGTGTATACTCTGTCCTTGTCTCGAACAGCAGCCCTACTCCATGATAACGGTGGCCGGGTGGGTAGGCCATACTATGTACATGTTTCGAACACATGGCGCTATCCATATCAAGCCAAGTGAGTGTGAGCAAGTAAAGTTGACAACCAGCATGGAAATAGTCTTTTCCGGGGCAAGGGTTGAGTTTGACGTGAACATGTTTGGTTCGTGAACGTCTATGCTCGGGAGAGGAGCAACCCGTATGGCTGATGCTACATTTATCCACCCCGGCAGTTTCTCATTTGTTTCCCTCTCTCTTCTCTTCCTTATGCGCCAGAAACAACTCCCACAAACCGAACAACGCAAGCGCTCGCTGGCGTGAAACAGAAACCGGGCCAGGCGCTAACAACTGGAAGGCTGATACTCACATGAGGAGCGCCAGTCGTCGTTAGCGCGTTTCGAGCACAGGTTGAAACGCGGCTGCACCAAGGCCCGGCGGCCAACTCTGAAGCATGAAGCAGGGCGGCTACCGGAATGAGAAACGAAATCGATAGGCGAGAAGGGGAACGGCAGCCTCTGCCTGTTTATACAATTTTCTCTTGCTGCCTTTTGGCGTAACATTTCCTTGGCTGTAGGAGTTTGCATTCAAAGGTTTGGTCGTGATGCGAAGACCAATGGGTTATAGGCAGAAAGGGCAGACGAGTAATTATACGCAGTATTTGAGGATACTTTTATCCTCAGCACATTCAATCCTGGCTAGGCGGATAATTTATCATACTCACGTATACCAAGAGCAACTGAGCTAACTGGGCCGAGGCCTGTTAAATCGCGGATCCCAGTTCGTATCGCCACCCAATTGCGTCTGCTCTTGCTCTACCTCCCACCCATTTTAGTATTGTTTACCTCTCTTTCTCTTGTTTTACTTACTTCAATATAGCGGAACAAGGGGTCAGCCGGCCTTCAAGAAACGGTCTCCCTGTTTCGACAAGGGAAACGGTCTTCAAACAGCGACGCCTACCTCCTTGCATTATGATCTCCTACAACGGCACAGACGATCGTTACGAATCAAACTCGGGTCCGAGCTTCGTCCAAGCCTAGGAGAAGGCTGGGTGAAGAAGGAAAAACAAGGCCAACGCTCTATCTAGATGGAAGCATTTCTTCTGTGGCTTGGCTGATGACAATTGAGATTTCAGAGTTGGACTAGTTGGAGTAAACAGACAAGTCGAGTTGGAATGCCAATTGCTTCTCTTTTCTTTTCGTTCACTGTTGGGTGGAGAGCAATCTAACGGGTGGCATAATCTATCTACAGATGACGACTAACACAGCTCGCCTACCAAGCAAACAATCTTCATCCAAGCTGCACTGCCCCGCATATCGAACAGCACTACTATATCGGAATCCAAACACGCCGTTTGCTCAAGTGCCAGAGGTGCATGAATGTTTGAAGTGCGTTTCTTAGTGCCGTCCCGAGACCCTGCCTGACCGGGGCTGCATAAGAAACAATGCCTAGGAGACCCCTTCCACTGGACAGATCAGAGGCCAGAACGTTATGCTTATGTTGGAATCTGTTACAGGACTCCCCAAAAGTGTCACAGGCTACTCAGATCTCACAGAGCCGGACCAGGGACCCCTGTTCAAGGCGCCAGAGCCGCCAGGGCAAGTCTGTTTCGTGGGGACCACAAAGAAGGCTAACGAGCCAGCAAGGAAGTTGTACCATGGTTATGCGCGCAGGTTAAGCTCACAAGCATGAGCAGGTTTTAATATTTGCTCAATCCCCCCTCGTCCGTCCGTTTCCCTCTTCCTCTTTTCTGTTGTTGAGTTAATGGTTTTTTTTTTATTTGGTTGCATCCCTCGGCGTTCGGGTCAACATCTTTTCGCTTCTTCTAGCCCAATTTTTATTCCAACTATATTCTAATTTTGTTCTTTGTGGCTGGTTCACAAAGTTCATTCATTCTTTCATTTGCTTTTGACTAGCTTGGTACTGGGCGCCATTGGTTCGGGATACCCCATACTCTTATCCATATACCGGGTTAATCTGAGGCGAATTTCCTTTGGAATCTGATAAAATTTCATTTTCACTTTTGCCATTTCCTTTTTTTTTTAAGAAAAAAGTTTGCATCAAATCCGGTCGGTTGTATACTGCTACGACGTGGGTCGGGATCATTACGGGGCAGAGCTTTTGGCTTGGTATAAGGCGGCCGCAATACCCTTCTCGCATCTTGGAAGCAACAATATCTCAGTCACAATAACACCTCAGTTACAATCAATGTCATCAACAATGTCTTCCGCAAACCGAAAAATGACTCGTGGAGGACGCGCATGGAGTGAACAAGAGGTAAAATGAAGCCATCAATGTCATACAAACTGGAAAGTGGCAAGAAGCTAACTTTATGTCATTAATACTTTAGGATGCGTTCCTCATGCAGACTCGTGAAAACAAGATGCCGTACAAGCAGATTGCCCATCAACTTCACAAAACAGAGCTGGCTTGTCGGCTGCATTTTCACCAGCTAGTCCGCAACAGTGCTCGTGGTCGCCGAAACCGAGGCTCGGTGTCTTCCATGTCAGATCTCTCGCCTGAAATGGATGCCGCAGGGCCCTCTTCTTCAGCTTTCCGCAGAAGACGGGTACCACACAAAAGGACTGAGAGTGACAGCTCGATGTCGACTATATCTAGCCGCGAATACTACCTTCCCAGGATCACGGAGTCCGGTGGCGACCCTGCTAGACAGCACATCATCCTGCCGCGGCCCGCAGCCATGACTGATGACCCTGCGTACACCACCAACCGAACAGCATGGCGTCCTCACAGCGTGGCCGAGGAATTTGCCCCCTTTCACGACCATCATTCCCATCATTACCATCACAGAACACCATCTCTGCCACCTCAAAGAGAGATGGTGCCTCTCCCTTTGCCGTCGACTGCGGCTGACATGCCGGTGCAAGTCGACCTCCCGCGCCTCCATGCCATCTATGACGCTCACCGTGGCGCCTTCTGGAACCACATTGCGAGCGAGTATGGCTACAACACGTCCCCGGAGACGCTAGAGGATGCGTGGAGGACTGGTGTATATAACGGCGTGCAGCACTATCCTTATCCTTCCTTTAATCGTCCCATGACACCAGTGAGTAGTCCTGAGGTCGAGAGGAGGCACCATAGCGTGGATCGGACGAGAATTTCGTCAATCATATCCGGGGATGATGACGCTTCTCATGCTGATAGACGATAAAAAGAACAAGAGAGAAANTTTTGCGAAGAGCCAGTTTACTATTTACTAATTTTTTCCTCCCTTTTCATGAAGAGATGCGACCTTTGATGCGACTTTTTTTTTTTTTTTTGGTTTTTTGACACAAATTATGTTTGATACGGTTAATTCCATCATGTATCTCTCGTTTTTGAGGCGATGCTATTAGTTGGAATGCAACACCCGGAGAAACTTTATTCTACATTTTTTTATCTCTTATTTCCTTTTACCTTTTTTACAACGGAGTTTGGGTTGGTTTGGCCTGCTCTGGAAAGACGCGGCTCCGTAGACAATACGGCGGAGAGTAAAACAGAGGATTGAAAGGATGGAGTTTTGGGCTTTGTTTGATTATTTTATCAAAGTTTCCTTAGAAGTAAAAGTACCTTTTTATCAACCTTTTTCTTTAATTCACGTGATTATCTGATATTGAATATCTTAGTATCTTGAATGTTGTAGAAGAAGAGAGCTAGAGAAGATTGCTAGTTTGAAGGACTATAAAGAAGGAGAATTTTTTACTGAAATACCTCAGAAATAAAATTCTCTTCTTCCCATTCCAACAAGTTTTTTTTTTTTTTTTTTTTTTTTACTTATTTATGTTCCAAAGTGATTATTTGATTGCGAGCGTGTTACTGCAAAGGCGCAATTTGCATTTTTTGGGTTCCAAAGTATATCTGCATAGGGTAGGCTACTACTAGTAGGTAATACAGCACCACGACAGACTCGCTAGCTTCGTAGCATTTTCGCCTGGTAAAAAGTTATAAATCAGGGTTCCTTCAACGTGGCTGTGGAGACCAAAAATCGACGAGCTTAATTTCGATCCCTGGTATCTATATATACTATCTGCAAATACAAGCATTTTCTGGATAAAATCTTAGTCTCGTCGATAAATTTCCATGTATCAACCAACCCCCTTTACCTCGTGGCGTTCTACGGGGGTGCAGACAGAGTATTACCAAGGTAAATAGTCCCCTAACCCCCCAAAGAAAGACATGAGTAAAACCAGCGCCATGATTCGGGGACGCTCCGAAAGGACCCCGCAAAAAAAGTTTCGAGTCCGCTCGCACTACCGCTATTAGGCTGAGTTGAGTTGTATGGAGAAAAACGATGACGGAGGGGCGGGCAGTGGGTTGCGGAGGAGCTGGTGGAGCTCTCGGAGCTGGGAGACGAATGATGGAGAGGTGAGGGGGAGGGAAGCTGAAGCTGTGATGCTTCTTTTGCTTTGTTCTTTGTTCTTTTCTGATTGTTGCTTGTTTCTACGTTGAATTCGGCACGGACTAAGATTTTTCACTGAAAAGTCTACTTAGCAAGGTATATAACTCAATCTCCTTGTTGTTCTATCCCCGGTGTAAGCTGTGCCGATCCCCAGCTTTTGCTGCAAAAGCATGAGCTCATTCCATCTTCCGGGCTTCCATTCAATTGCCGCTTCCAAGCCTCAATTGCCGCCACATCGGACAGTTGATGTGACGAAGAAAGGGGGGGAGTTCCAGTTAAGCTTAGCTGCGTCAGTCTCCGGAATCGCTCTAGATACCTAGGCAAATCATTCTCTTTTTTGATTTTCAACCGGGTGATTTGATAATTATACTAGGAGGGAGCGCGCTCTGCCAAGCATGGAGCTTCTCGACGATGTGGGGTTGCTGCTGCTGCTGCAGAGGGGGGAAGAAGATCATGAGCTGGTGACCTTTTTATAAATGAGCTTTTCTCCTGGTGGCTGCTTTACCCTTTTTTGCTTTTTTTAAAACAACATTGAATGATGCAGAGAGCACATCATAGCTGATACTATTATAAAAGGAGATATATATATATTTGCAGGCCCAAAAAATAAAAGAAGAAGTGCATTCGGACAATGGCTTCGCAGACATCTGGCACTGCCGAGCCGGCACACGACCCCAAGTCGTCGAGCGACTACATCCAGTTCAAGTGTCTCCCCCCGGGAGGAGCGCTGAATCGCTGGTCCGCGGGCCTTACCAGAGACCATGACTTTCCCGGAGCTCAGGTGTGTTGGAATATGATTGGAATAAACCAATCTATAGCTGACGTGGTTGGTGGAACAGGCCATGCTTTACGGAGCTGGAGTCCCGGATAGGGATACGATGAAGAAGGCGCCGCAGGTTGGCATTGCGAGCGTATGGTGGGAGGGCAATCCGTGCAAGTATGGAATATGCCATCATTTTATACAAAGTATCAATTATTTTGAAGGCTAACTCTGAGTTATCATAGCACACACTGTGAGTGCTTGGCTTTGACGACCATTTCACATCACCACGAGATGGACAAAAAAGAGCACCAAGCATGCATTTGCCTCTTTGTATTAACCAGCTAACTAATACGCTCCTACGATAGTGCTCGAATTCGGCCAAATCGTCAAACGGTCCGTCGAGAAACAAGGCATGCTCGGCTGGCAATTCAACACCGTCGGTGTATCAGACGCCATCACCATGGGCGGCGACGGTTCGTCCTTTCATACCAACAAATCCCCATCAAACGCCTTATCAATCTAATAAGCTCCCAGGCATGCGCTTCTCCCTCCAAACCCGTGAAATCATCGCCGACTCCATCGAATCCGTCACCTGCGCCCAGCACCACGATGCAAACATCTCCATCCCCGGCTGCGACAAGAACATGCCCGGCGTCGTCATGGCCGCCGCGCGCCACAACCGGCCCTTCATCATGATCTACGGAGGCACCATCCGAAAGGGACATTCCAGCCTGCTGGAGAGGCAGATCAACATTTCCACCTGCTACGAGGCGTCCGGCGCGTATGCCTACGGCTCGCTCAAGGCCAAGAACAACCCCGATGCCCCTGGACGCTCCAGCTCCGACGTCATGGACGACATTGAGCGCCATGCTTGTCCCGGAGCGGGTGCCTGCGGAGGCATGTACACAGCAAACACCATGGCCACGGCAATCGAAGCAATGGGCCTCACTCTGCCCGGCTCATCCTCGTACCCAGCCGTCTCACCGGAAAAGTCGCGTGAGTGCGAGCGTGTCGCCGAGGTCATCAAGGTCACCATGGAAAAGGACATTCGTCCCCGCGACGTCATGACCCGCGCAGCTTTCGAAAATGCCCTCGTCCTGACCATGATCCTCGGCGGCTCAACAAATGGTGTCTTGCACTTCCTTGCCATGGCCAACACCGCCGGCGTGCCTCTCACTCTGGACGATATTCAGCGAACAAGTGACCGTACGCCCTTCCTAGCGGATCTCGCCCCCAGCGGAAAGTATCTCATGGAGGACCTGTACAAGGTCGGCGGAACGCCCTCCGTGCTCAAGATGCTCATCGCCAAGGGCCTCATTGACGGATCCATCCTCACCGTCACCGGCAAAACTCTCGCCGAGAACGTCGCAGACTGGCCTTCCCTCGACCCCGGCCAGCAAATCATCCGCCCACTCGAGGATCCCATCAAGTCCAGCGGCCACATCCGCATCCTAAAGGGCAACTTCGCGCCCGGTGGCGCAGTGGCCAAGATCACCGGCAAGGAGGGCCTCTCCTTTACCGGCAAGGCCCGCGTGTTCAACAAAGAGCATGAACTCAACACTGCCCTGACAAAGGGCCAAATCAAGCGCGACGATGGCAACCTCGTGCTGATTGTGCGATATGAGGGACCCAAGGGCGGTCCCGGCATGCCGGAGCAGCTCCGCGCTTCGGCTATTATCATGGGTGCGGGTTTGAGCAACGTGGCGCTCGTAACGGACGGTCGGTATAGCGGTGCCTCTCACGGATTTATCGTAGGCCACGTAGTGCCCGAGGCAGCAGTAGGAGGGCCGATTGCGTTGGTCCAGGACGGAGATGAAGTAACGATCGATGCCGTCTCGAACAGGATCGATGTTGCCATATCGGATGAGGAGATGGAAGAGCGAAGGAAGAAGTGGACACCGCCGGAACCAAAGATTAAGAGAGGAGTGCTGGCCAAGTATGCGCGGTTGGTAGGCGATGCGAGCCACGGAGCTGTAACAGACGGATGGTAAGGGTGTTCACTCTGTTTGTGTTAAACAACTTGTATCAACAGAGATATGATAAAAAAGTGCAATGCTGCTCAAGACAGTTCGCTTTATGATAGTATGACAAAAGATGAGAATCATAATGACCATTCGCCCGCTCCGTTGTAAGAAGTAAAAGGGGGAAGAAGGGGCTAATGTTCTTCAAGCTCGTACATAACAAGAGCAAACAAGGGAAAGCAAAAGAAATTAAAAAAAAAAAAAAGAAATCGAAGGGTATCGTGCCTCGACTGCTGCTTTCTCTAAACCCAATCAATCAATCAACCCAGTCTCATGAAACTTGACACATCGCTGTTCCCTCCCCTTGCTATCCTATATCAACGCATGGACACATATATACATATAAACATGCTCGTCTCCCCAAGTCACAGATGTATCGCGTTTAATCGCCCAGAGGCATACCCTCCAGGGCGTCCAATAGGCGACGCCAGTTATCCGCCAGCATCTCCGCATATTTGACGCGCTCGCCAGCCCAGTCTTGGTTCCATCTGCTGACGTGGTACTGGGTTGACTGAAAGGTGATGAGCTCGTCTCGGAGGCATTCCTTGACGAAGATGGAGCGGTTGTGCTGCTGCACAATGGACTCCTTATCCTGTTTTGTGCATGTTAGCTCTGGTAGCAAACGAAAAGATCACGTAAATGACATCAAACGTACCTTGATGATGGCCTCTGCCACCCTTTCAATCTCCCCCGGCTTGACGAGGCCCTCTGGCTTAGAACGCAAGTTGGCTAGCTTGGTCTCATTGGCCTGTATTCTCTTTTCCAGATATGGGATGTTGTCCTTGTCCAATCGCTCCCTTCGATCGAATAGCTCGCGGAGGCTGACCAAAGCATCACGCTGTCGCTTCAGATCCTCAAGCACCCCTTCATCCCATCCCCGGCTCTCATCCTCGAGTAAGCTTTGGCAAGTACGCAAATGCTTGCTCATGGCTGTCAAACCGTCGTTGAGCAGCGGAACTTCGCTCGTATCGGTGGCGTAAGTATCTGCTGAGGCTTCCGTGAGCGAAATGAGCGACATGGCAACCCGTGCATGATCTGCCGCGACTCCTTCTGTTCTTTTGACGAGACGGTCCATGATGTTACAGGAAGTGATGTACAGCTCGGAAGAACGACGAACTCCGTTGCTTGTTCGGGTGAACAGATCCTCGATGGTGGGCGGGAGTGAATCTTCCAAACCAGGGGGCAGCGCCCGATCGGTGAATTCGTCTTGGACAGAAATAGTTGCTTGCTTTCTCCAAACGGCGAGTTCCTGTATTTGGTTAGCAAATCTATTACTACATCACCTTTCCTTCCTTATTACTCAGGATAAAAATTGGGAGGCTTACTGTAGGAACTGTCAAAAACATGACGACTAGCTGCTCTTGGCTAAGCACCGGATGCCGTACGAGGGCGTTTAGGAACCTAGCCAGACCTCGTCGTCGTTTTTCGATAAAGGCGCCGTCGTTGGACAGATGATTGCCATTGACAGCTACACGCTTGGGCGGCAGCAGTGGCAGCATCCTGAACGGATATCTCTTGTGCAAGCAATCCAACAGCCAGACAAAGTCGCTGTACCGGCGAACGACTTTGCTCCCTCGGCGCTGGCTCGTAACCTCGTAGTTGTGATGCTGAAACATGAAGATACCCTCCTTTCCAGGCATGAGCGTTACGACGACGTTTTCCTCCGCGCTGTTTCCTACGCGGCCGCCCAAGCTTCGGGGAGGCGCCTGCGGACCCCCAGACACTGCACCAGCGCCGTCTGCTCCAAATAGGTTCTGCATAGTGGGCATCGGTGGGTTCTGAACCTGAGGAGGCATATCATTAAAGCCACCACCAGAAGGTGAACTGCTGTAGAAGCCACCTCCCCAGCCGCCTGGGCCTGACAAAGAGCTGCTCGAGACTTGCCTGGGGCGGTTGGGCGGGCGAGTTGACTCGGGCGGCGGGGCACTGTAATGGTTTGTAGGACGTGACTCGAACGATGGAGGCGCATTCTGGTTGAAATCGTGATTGTTTCCATTGACCGCAGGGGCGTGATTCTCCGATCCATGTGAGCGGGAATGGGAGTGGCCCTTGTGCAAGTCTGGCGTGTTCCACGGATCGTCTTCGGGGTCAACCATGGCTGGTCTGGCTAGGACGTTTGAAGGAGGCGGCGGAAGCTCGGGCTCGGGTTGTGGTTCCGGGAGATGTTGTGGCTGAGGCTGGGGTTGAGGCTCGGGCTTATATGGCTCGGGCTCTGTCTCATGTTTGGAAGGGACCTGTGGTGGTTTCGCCGCAAGTTCCGTAATAGGAGGCATGACAACTTCGGCGGTTAGTCCTGGTAAGTTGGGTTGAGGTATGTCTGATTAAGAGGACGAAACGTTAGCTGGCTGCCCAGTATGGAAAAAGAGAAGAAAAGAGAGGCCGTGTTAGTGGAGGTTAGTTGTTGGAGGATACGTCAGATCAGGTGGTGACCACCAATCGGTCTCTGATTGGTTTTGACGTGAGGCGCGACTAAATCGCAGTTGACGATACGGCTCGAGAGCCGAGGCAACTTGCTTGATATTGAAAAGGTCTCCATGAAGTAATGCCCCAGTATAGAGTGACGCATATTCACGACGAATATGGGACGGAAAAGAGCAAACAAAAGCCGTGTATAAGGGTGCTTTCAACTCACTTCTTCGTCGTTCATCAACTCCGTCGAGGCTGATGATGTCGCCCTCTTGCGCCAGGCCAATCAGCGCGAGAACCACGTTGAACTCGTTGCGCGACAATAAAACGTCGGACCCTTGGCCGGGAGCCACCAGCGCCATGATGCGCGCCTGGGCATCGGCATCCAGCCGAGCCACGGCGAACAGCTTGGCGATGCCAGCAGCTGTGACCTGGCCATCTCGGCCATCCTCGCCCACCACGGCATCAAATGCCCCGATGTAGCTCTCGGGCACGTCCGACGCCGGCAGCAGGTTGCGGATCATCTCAGACCGGCTGCGTTGCTTCCGCGGCGTGGGCATGTCCCAGGGCGAAGAGGCGCCGCTGTTGTCGTCGAAGAGGCTGGAGGAATTGCGGCCAGACGCCGGTTCGTCATCGAAAAGACCGCCTCGATGGCTCGGCGGCGAGCCCAGGGCTGGGCCATTGTCGGTGGGCTCGTCTCCAAAGAGCGACATGCTGCGATGGCCGGGGCCGAGGATGAATTACGAAGCTCGCGGTATTTCTCTTTGGACAGGCGGGAAGGGAAGAAGAACGAGAAGCCAGACAGCAAGAGAAGCGAGGGTTTGTTGCGGCCGCGGGGTTGCGAGCGTCGGAGAGAGGCGAGGTTGGTTGTCGCAGTATTAATGATGAAGCAAGGTTGGTTAGCCGGGCTGGCCTAGTGTTGCGTTGCGTCTTCCCTTAGCTCGCGACTGCGTAATGGCGCCGCTGTAGCGCCCTGCTGGCTGGCTGGAGGACGGCGAGATGGGTCCAAGGGAGGAACACACAATGCCAGCTGACGTAGCAATTAATAATGACAATGATGATGAAGATAAAGAGAGAGCGGGAGACAAGAAAAGAATCAACAAGATTATAAAAAACTGTAATTAAAAGGGAGAAGAGAAAAATCCATCTCCAACCCGCAGACATACGGTGTGAGACGCCGAGTGTAGTAGGTGCATTGTATAGATAGCCGTTGGTGCATAGCCCCGTCGCATCTGCAGGGCAGATACGCGATGGAACAGCGTTGACCATATCTAGGAATGAAGTGCAATACAATGCAACACGAATCCTATGCATCAAGATACTCTGTTTCTTATGAAAACGGCGAAAGGTGCAAGATATTCTGAATGCCTTTTGCATGCTCAACACACTTACTAGGTACTCAGAAGCAGCGTCATTCTCTGACAGCACTTCGCTTACCGTACCCATGTATGGCAATGACGCGGCTGATGCATGCACAACATTTATGCCCGTTTTTACATATACATATATTATACACTTTGCCCTTTGTTCTGCATCATCCTCTATCATTGAAACAGGTAGCCTTTTACCCCCAAAGTCCGTCGCTCGATCTATGAGCCGCAAGATCAAAATACAGCCATCATTCATAACACAATACACCCACCCTACCACAATGTCTCTTCCGTCTTCTTCTTGTCCTTCTTCACCACACTCTTCACCTTATGTACGCCAGGCACCTTGAAGTACAAACTGGGTGACTGGCCTGGAGCAACCTGGTGGCTTAGGTATCCCCTGTGTGCAGGATCTCGGTAGTACTCGATATCGGCACGGCTCGTAGGATCCGGTAATCTGTATCGGAATGGGCCTTTTCTCGCCTCCGCCAAGATTGACTCCACATGCTCAGGGCCAACAGGTAGGGGTCGGTCGGTGTTGACGGACTCGCCAGTAAGCAGCCGCTGGATGGCCAGTTTTGTGTAGTATCTGGTGAGAACTTTGCCTCCTGTGGCCTCGATGGCGGCAATTGCGCCTGCCGAGACTCTTGATACCATGACGTTGATGGGCTGTTTGAGGGCCTCGCTGCCGCGGGAGAGAATCTTGACACCGTCTTTGACGCTGCCGATCAGCTTGCTTTCGATCAGCTCCTTCGGGGTGATTTGCTTTGTGGGGTCGAGTCGGCCTTGGTCGATCCAGTTCTGGATCTGGTCCAGGTTCACCTCTGAGATCTTGGGTGCTCGGCTGATCAAAGGTCAGTATCACTCTGTATCTTGAGAATTTGGCGGGGCGCAAAAAGTCAATGCCCCGCCTCCAGATGCGCTCACAAGTTGTCGAAACCCTTCCTGCCGTGCTTCACAATCAGAGGCGTCTGACCACCCTGGAACCAGGGCTTGACCTTTCCGTGCTGTCTCTGACCCTTGTGACCTCTTCCGGAGGTCTTTCCGTGGCCTGACGAGGGACCGCGACCAACTCGTTTTCTGTTTTTGACAGCGCCGGCATTGTTGGCCAGGCTGCCTAGGATCGAAGCATTACGGGTCTGGGTTTGCTGGAGGGTGAGCCTGGCAAGACAGGCTGTCAATGAGGTGGCGGGAGTGTTGACGGCGACTCGGCAGCACGAAGCTGTGCTGAGAAACGGTATCCGGGGAGGCATCGTGGTATAATTGGGCCGTTTGTCGCAACGCGGGCAATTTTGGTGAACTGGATCTTGAAAGATTTTGGACTGGTACGATCTGGGATGTGGTGCCTGAGGCCTAAACCAGGACTAGCTTGGCGGTACGTACCCGCTCCTCGAAGCTTCGTAGGTGCCATCCATTAATAGGCCAAAATCCAAAATGCTTTACCATACATTTTGATAGCTGTATAATTATCGGAACAATCATATTTTTATTGCATCACTGAGAATATTTGTAGCTCTGCTGCTGAGCATCCAACTTGGCTCAGCTGCAGTTGTGATATTTTATTATCTCAAGGCCTTATTGACTGCGTAAAGACATCTACCTACCAAGTATGTAAAAGAGTGAAGACTGCTAATTCTTTGGCTCTTTGGTACTTTGAAAGAATAAAGTTTGTCATAAATGAGATATTATCATGAAAGTTGTTCTTTAGTTATTTCAAGAAGAGAAAATTTAAGCTTTTCAATGAAGTCGTTCAATTGATAGGAGCATAAAATTTGAACCTTGTAGTGCAAATTCACCCCACATCGCAGCAGCGATATATAGGCACACGAAGTTCAAACACTTATAGAACAGGTATCTAGATACATAAAAGGAATTTGCTAATGAGAAACTTAACCATCATGTTATTAACGGTGGGCGATGTCCCGCTGTGGGCGTGAGCGGCTTCATTTTGGGAGGTGGCATTAGCACGTTTACGAGAAGTTTCGGCATGGGTTGCGATGCTCTCAAGGAGATTACAATTGTTATCGCGGATGGAGAAAAGGTCACTGTTCAGGACTGTGGCAATGGTGACCCCAAGAAAGATATACTCTTTTGGGCGCTTTGCGGAGCGGGCGGCGGCAACTTTGGAGTCGTGGTTAAAATGAAGTTGCAGTTCAAAAGCTCCAATGCGACAAAATTGTGGCTGGAAGATATACTTGGAGGCCATATGAAGATCCGGAAAAGATGGAAAACTTTATGGAGACGATGCAAAGGTTTTATACGACTGCTTGGCCAAACCACCGCACCATTAATAGCTCCTGGCTGTGCGATCCTTCGCAGATCAACATTGGTGTCAGGTTTCTTGTCTGCCATGATGGCCATAAAGCCGAATTCGAAAAACTCATCAAAGGAAATATCATCGACGAAGATTTATTCTTCATTTGTCTTCAAAAAATAAGTAGACGATATAAATGCCATTGAAGGAATCATTAGAGGAAATATGACTACATTCAAGGGGAAATTTTCAGGAGAATGCAGCCTCTTGCAAGTAACTTGGAAACATGCGGGCGGGGAAGAGGCTTCCAAAGAGCCATCAGCCATGGCATACCACTGGCACGACTATGTTTACCACACATACATTATGGGGCAATGGTATGAAAAGTTCTTGGAACAAGATATGTGGAACCTTCCTCGATGATTTTAAGCGAGAGCTGAGGCCATCCTCTATCAATAGACAGGCAGCGTTCATTAATTTCCCAGATGGAATGTTGGCATCAGGTGTTCATGAGTAAGTATGTTATGGAGACAATCGCCACGCATTGCAGCAAATCAAGAAAATCTTTGACAAGGATGATTGCTTCCACTGGGATCAGGGCGTGCGTCATCCAGCTGGGGAACTAATAACTGAGAAGAATGCAGCATTGAGACTTAGATTGGAAGATTCACTATTTAACGAATTGCTGGAGAGCAGCGTCGTTTATGAAATGGAGTTTTATACCTCTAAGACAGCATCTTTCAATGTGGTTATGTCGAGCTTTGGACATATCCCGGATAATGGGTATGAGAGGGATGAGTCATCACTGGCAAACCAGTTGGCATTAAGGCAGTGGGAGACTGTTATACTTCCTTCGGAGAAGACATTTGATAGAGGCATCTATAACTTGAATGATTTGGGATTCTAGCATAGAACTGTATAAGTATAATGAATGCAGAATGAGTAACTGTGAGCCGTAGCACATTGGCACAAAGTACAGTTCTTTGTTCAAAGTGGTACTAAGGCGTATTTACTCTAACAATGGTATTGGGAAACGAAGCTGATGTGGCCATTCAAAATTGTTTTGAGACAGAAGCCGTTATAGTCAACTGATTGCGGTTGACTATAATGGCTTCTGTCTCAAAACACAGTGCGCAGCATCTATGCTATAAGCCCTTTTGATGGTTAATACTTTAGATGGTGCGAATACAGATACGTATGGCCTTGACGAGAGACATGTAAGAAGGAATTTCTATTGTTCATCAATGACAATGTCTCTCTCTATTTTCATTCTGAGAAGAGCGAGTTGTCGTACTGAGTATAGGTATGTTCTTCGGTTGCCTATTAGACCTATCCGCTGGCTGATCTGCTAATAAGTGGTAGCTACAGCGCTATGCCGAAAGTCTCTTGTGGGTAGCTAAAAGTTAGAAATAGCTAGCAATGTAACAGCCTCCACGTACTATGACCGTGAGAGACGAGAACTCTTTATACACTTGTCAATTCAGGAACAAATCTTAGGCCTCTCTTGGAACACAACTTCACGTTCTTGCGAAGGAAACATGACTGTTGCTTACTCTCTTTTTATTAATGCACCAACACTGTGTGCTACACCACCAGTTGGCCGAAACACGGCCCGCATTAGTCATCCATTCTCGAGCTTCGAGTGGTTTCAACCTGCATCTTAGAAGTAAGCTTCGGAATTCGCTATAAACATGCTTATATGGGCGCATCCGACTGGGTGCCATTTTATACAACCTTGCACTCTTCACCGACTTGCCATCGTTGATGCGAGGCTACGCCGTTTTCGTGGCTAGAAAATGCGCACAACCCTGCGTAGGTCCTGCAACGCATGCGCAAAAGCGAAGCTAGGCTGTGATCTCCGAGTTCCGCAGTGCTCTCGATGCGTCAAGAGGAAGTCTAAGTGCGTTTATGCAAACTCGCCTCTAAACTCGCCCCTGGACGCAACTGTATCATCAACAGAGACTACGGGATACAACTCAAAAGCTTCTAAGAATGAGAACGAGGCGTTGTCTGTGGTGCCGCAGGAGAGGGAGATAATATCGCGAACTTCGGAAAACCCGGGATTGCTGATAAACCCGGCGACAGCATCTTTTGATCCCTTTGACTCATATCCATCGACAAGACTCCCTCGGCTACATGTTCAACGCCTCATTCATCGGTGTAAGTGTTTCTCTTTTGCGAACAGCGATTTTGTGCCGTTCATGCACTGACATTTCTAGTTCTTTCAAGCATTGCGTTCCAATACTACCCCTTGGATCTCAATATAGAGTCAAATCCTTTCATTGTTTCGTGGTGGCCTCTTGCCCTTGCTGACCAGGCGCTATTTCACGTCTCATTACAGACGGCCTCTCTCTATGAAGAGCTACAGGCGCAAAAGGGCTTTCCAATCTCCGACCTTCTGATGGTGGATTCAATCGCTTTGGTGAGAAGGAGGATTGAAGACTCATCATTAGCGTTTCAAGATGAGACTATCGACTCTGTGGTGACTTTGGCGGCCATTGAAGTAAGATGTCGCTCCCCCACTAGTAGAAAAGCTCTCGGTACTAACACAGGAAATGAACAGCATGGCAAGGGAAATATCGAAGCCAGTAAGACGCATATCGATGGGGTCAAAAGAATGGTTACTTTTCGGGGTGGAATAAACGAAGTAAAGCGCCGAAGTCCGCTTACAGCGCGAATGGTCTCATGGTGAGTGTTGGAGATGTCGATGGCGGAAATGGTTGCTAAAAAGCTTCACGCAGGGTATCTATGTTGGTCATGGGAGCTCCTCAATTCCCAGCCAAGGATGACTTTGGCCACGGAGATGGAATCAGTCCAATCCCGCAGTGGCAGCTGGTCTCAGCCGACGCAGAAGCCCCGGATGGGATCTTTGATGATCTAAACATAAACCCGGCTCTGGGCAGCATTTTATCACGTCTAAGGACCATCTTTCAGGACCCACGCCATTCAAATCTCACAAATACAGCATTGCACGACCTGACATGTTATGTCATACACAGGCTGCTGCTGCTACCTCCACTCATAGATGAAAACCCAATGCATTCTGCGGCGTCTGAGTGCCTCCGATATGCGGCCGCACTCTATATGCTCATCATACACGGCACCACGTACTACTCCCACGCTGGCCTAGCACATATCTTAATTTTCCAACTACGGTACAACTTAACGGTCTTGGCTGGAACCAACTATATGTATGAGCCACACATAATCTGGGCTCTCTCTGTTGGTATGGTGTCTACAATTGGGAGAGAAGGCCATCAGTGGTTCTTAGAACAAACCAGTACGGTTTCAGAAACTCTCAACTTGACAACTTGGGAGGACGTCCTCATGCGGCTGCATAGCATACTTTGGATAAGAGTGCCGCAGGAAGAGCTTTTCCGTCAGACATGGAAGGAAGTATTTGAGTTTGTTACGAAACGCGGGCAGCAAGTTCCTCTGTTTTCATCGCAATCACCCAATTAAGCAATAGACCTTTCTCTATACCCATGACCGCTGGCACATCAAAACTTTGGGCTGATTCGGCTTCTTATACCACTGATTGCTTTGTATATACAAATAAGGGTCGTCTTATAAGGGCTCTTTTATAAGGAGTTTATTTATGCCGACAGGCAATGAAGAACCGTATCTATTACGATGCGGCTGTAAGCATCGTTTTAAGGATGCGGAGAATCTCGCCCAGAGAAAATTAAATAATCATCATTCCCGTCGCCATGGTCCGCATCCGAAAACAGTCGCATGTTCTCAGAGCAAACATCCAATGAATTAGTGGGCTCTTCTAGATGCTAACGACGGCAGGCCAATTGAAACTCTGCCCTGAGCCAGGATAATGCGAAAAGTCCGCCGGGCTGCCCCATGTTGAGGCACAGAGATTCGGGGTCTAGAACTAATCAGGACTAGACTCCGAATGTCTTAATCGCGATGGTAATTCGGAGCAATCAGGCTTCATTTTCTGGCATACCAAAGCAATGATATTCCCGGGTCTGTACGCCCTTTGTTCTCGGAGTCTAGCACGTAATCGGCTACCCAATGCTGGGAGATAGAGTCAGATTGAGAAAATCTCCAGTATACGAATACGAGAAGTCTCAGATAATTCGTAGATGCAGAACGAATGCGCCAACCATCGGCTTGGATGTTGGTATCAAATCTGGCCACTTTTACTCTGGTTAAAATTGGCTGCAGTAAGCTAATTACCAGTGTATCTATGTCAAGGTAGAAATTGTTACTGGCCTGTATATATTTAATACAATTGTCTCTCCCCCCAAGTTCCTCCCTGTATAGAACCCATTCGTGTATCCTCTGCAAGACACGACCTTGCAGTTGTCTGCAGTATCATCATGGCCACTATTCTTGAAAGTGGCATTCCGGCCACTGTCGAAGTTGTAACAAATGGTACTCAGCATGGTATTTCGAGTAAAGCGAGTGGTGTCCTATCAACATATTTGCCTGATTCGAACTGGCAGATAGCTGTCACGGCTTTATTGATTCTAATCGCATATGATCAGTGTATGTCGTCGAAACTATCTCGAGAGTTATTAAAACTGCTGACGAAATGATAGTTTTATATATAAAACAGAAAGGCTCAATAGCTGGGCCCATGTTCAAGATTCCGCTCATGGGACCATTCCTGCAAGCAATCTACCCAAAATTCGATGCCTATCTTGCACAATGGGCCAGTGGCCCCCTTAGTTGCGTATCTGTATTCCACAAGTATGTATTTCGAATTTCCCTTTTACCGGTAGCTGGAGATGCTCCTTTGTGTTTTTTTTTTTTAAAGACGTTGGACTAACTTCTTTGTAGGTTTGTTGTCTTAGCCTCAGACCGCGATCTAGCGCACAAAGTCTTCAAATCTCCAACATTTACGAGGCCATGCCTTGTTCCGATGGCGATAGAAATAATGCGTCCTACGGCATGGGTCTTTCTTAATGGAAAAGCGCACGCTGAGTTTCGCAGAGGATTGACGGGCCTATTCACAAACAAAGCTTTGAGCAGGTATCTGCCAGTTCAAGAAAAGGTCTACGGGGACTATTTCAAAAAGTTTGTTCAAGCCAGCAAAGAAAACAAGGGAAAGCCCACCGTCTTTATGGGTTGGTTCAGAGAGATCAATTGCGCCTTATCTTGTCGAACATTCTTTGGAGATTACATCTCTCAGGAAGCAGTCAAGAGAATTGCAGACGATTTCTATCTTGTTACTGATGCTCTCGACCTTGTCAACGTCCCGCTCTCTATTTATATCCCATTCACCAAGTGCTGGCGAGGAAAGCGTACAGCAGATGCTGTGCTGGCAGAATTTACAAAGGCTGCTGCTGCGTGTAAGTCCAATATGGCTTCAGGTGCCAGACCAACATGCATAGTTGACCAATGGGTCGAGCACATGTATGAATCTACAAAGTACAACGAAGCCATTGCGGCGGGCGCTGAAGGAATCGAGAAGCCGACCAATCTTATTCGCGAATTCACACCGGAAGAAATTGCCCAGACGCTATTCACATTCCTTTTTGCGTCTCAAGATGCATCTAGTAGCGCTACCACATGGCTGTTCCAGATTCTGGCTCAGAGACCGGATGTTTTGGACCGCTTAAGAGAAGAGAACTTGGCTGTACGAGGCGGCGACAAAAACCGACCGTTCGAACTTGGTATGTTCGAGTCGATGATTTATACGCACGCCGTGATCAAAGAGGTCCTCCGTTACCGCCCGCCAGTTATCTTTGTGCCTTACCTAGCCACTAAGGCGTTTCCAGTTACTCCAAACTACACAGTTCCTAAGAACGCCATGATTGTTCCCTCTTGTTACCCGGCTCTTCACGATCCAGTAGCCTACCCCAACCCTGATGTATTTGACCCAGAACGGTGGATTACAGGTGATGCTGAGACAAAGACCAAAAATTGGCTGGTCTTCGGCGCTGGTGCACACGACTGTATTGCAAGAAGATATGTGCCGCTTACTCTTGCTCACATGATTGGCAAAGCTTCATTGGAGATTGATTGGGTGCACCACGCAACAAGCCGCTCGGAAGAGATTCGAGTTTTTGCTACCTTATTCCCTATGGTATGTTGAAGATACATGGGGCTTAACGTCATGAGACGCAGCTCATTACTTTACAGAATATATAGCTAACCAGTTGCACAGGATGAATGCCCGCTTGTCTTTACGAAGCGAGAATAAGTTCAAGTTCTAACACTAAAATGGCAGTCAATTATTAGTTTCTAATTATATAAAGAGCGTTAAATGGTCAGATAAAGGAGAGGAATTCTGTTTATGAGATGGAGCAGTAATGAGTCCTATTTATTATGAAATGTGTTTTTATCGGTTGAAGATTGCTGTTTAGCTGTTGTGCTTCTTGAATGAAACAAAAGAAACAACATTGTGTATGTAGTATATCTAAACTAGAAACTATCTACTATCTCTATACAACAGCTAAAAGCAGAAAGCAAAAGCCAAAACAAAGACCTATGTATGCATATATGTTACAATTACCAAATTGAAAAGGAAGCTGTCAAAGTGAAATAGCGGATCGAAACAAAATGAGTATCTTGAAGGCCGTCGCAGCTGTTTAGTTTAAGCAGTCTTGGCATGCTCTTGCTCCAGCTTCTTGGCAAAGGGTTTTATGCTTTGCACGAGTTTGTCCTGCGAATTCGTCCACAAATTAGTACCACCACAAGATTAAGCTAACTTTGGCTTGATGTAAGACTTACAATAGCACCTTGAGGCATCAACCACAAGCCAAAGCGACCTATACTAGCGCCGCCACCAACCCATTGCTTGCCATTTGCCCCCTTCTCGACTCGTGATAAAACATCCTGGGCAAATACTTCCGGCTTCATGCCATAGGGATTCTCTTCTGGGTTATCTTCAATAATATCTTTGATGGGCTTATAGTAAGAGTTTTCAGGAAAGATGAGGGTTTGCATGTTGACGAAGAAATTTGTTGCAATACCGCCGGTGACGAGAGTCATGACACGGACTCCAAGAGGTGCCATTTCAAGACGCCAGGTCTCGCCTCCGTGAATCAATGCTGCTTTGCTGGCGTTATAGATGCCTATCAAAATTCGCTTAGCATTATCGGAAGTGAAGTTGAAAGAGTTGTATGTGCGTACTGGAAAAAGGAAAGTTGAAAACGCCGCCTACAGAGGAGTTATTAACCACGCAACCCTTAGCTGCGACCAGCATAGGACCAAAAGCTTGCATCATAGCCAGAGCTCCGAAGAAGTTGAGATCGAATAGTTTCTTGGCTTCCTCAAGTGATGTGTCGAGGCCTGGCATGTTCAGCCCAAGCCCAGCGTTGTTGACGAGAACATCGAGCTTATTCGTTTTCTTTTTGACTTCTTCAAGAGCCGATGCGATCGATTCCGTGGATGTTACATCGAGGGCGAGAACAGTGACGTTAGATGCTTCATGCAGAGTTTGTGGTATCTTAGAGGGCGAGCGTGCTGTTGCGAACACATGATAGCCCTTGTTCTTAAAGGCTTCAGCGAATGCGGCGCCAACTCCACCGGCCGAGCAGCCTGTGACGAGACAAGTCTTCCGTAGAGCCATTGTTCAGGCGAGTAAGTTGTTTAGCTTCAGAATATGTAGAATATGGAACTGGTGGAATTGAATTACAGTATATGGTCAAAAGAATGCTTCTGGTTCCTCATAGGGCTATATTTTGTTTCTTATATCTTTTTTCCTGCTCTTTATACAAATCAAGCTTCCGCTTTTTGCTTCCCGTCGTCCATCTCAGCGCATTCTTAGCAAAGGCCGCCCCGCCACTATTTCATGCTTCAATTCGGATTTTGGCTGACAATGATCTTACCCACTTCGCTGTGATTGGCTGCAAACTCCGGCAGCGATAGCTTATTGGCTTACAACTCCTGCGATGCTTCAGAAATCTTGCTGGCTTGGCTAAAGGGGTCAGTCAAGCAGCCTCAATCTCCGTCGTCTTTTACATTTCTATTATTTATTTCAATATCCCTTGCGTCATTTGCTAGATATACCGATCTTCCGGATGCCCAATACCCGAGCCAAGTCCTGCGACAACTGCCGCGTGGCTAAATCGCGATGCTCCTTGTCGTCGCCATGCTCGAGGTGCGCAAAGCGCTGTCTCCAGTGCCACTATCCGCACAGCCTTATCCGCAATTCAGGTAACCAGCAACGCCGGAAGGATTTCAGGCCAATCTTGCCTGTTACAACTGCCCCGATAGCCATTCAAAAGATCGTAAACAATGGGCATTTTCGATCAGACAACTCAGTTTCTATCGCAGAGATCTCAGATGCTGTAGCAACAGAACCAGGAAACTACTTTGCTGGTCCAGATACAAACTTGGGAGAAACCACATTTGATGTTATGCCTACATTGGCCGATACTAGTGCCAAAATGCCAGACCTAGCTATCTATAAGAGCGATTCATTTTCATCTTTTGATGTTTCTGCAGCATCAACATTCCCTCATGGGATAACTCCGTCGCTGGATAACCAGGGAGATTCTGATAACAGCTCTATATCACAGTATTTTATTAATCCTTTGTCTACATCCGATCCTATTTCACTTCCATTTCCTATGTCGAGCTTTGGCCTCAGCACCGCATCCTGTCCTATGCCGGCCAGCATCAGTTTCAACAGCACGGATTTTCTCATGACGACGATGGACTCAGTTGATACCCCAGGCAAACCTCCTCTTTCGATGCGTGAGAGATCATTTCAGCAAGGATCTTTGACTGCCAAGATGATATTAAGTCAGCTGGTTGACTACACCCGTCGCATTGCAGAGGGTAGAAACTTGCCACCTTTCATACATCCCCCATGTTTCCTTAGTCAAAATGACGAATGCCCTTCAGAGGCACCTCACAGTTGTTTGCCTGAATCTCTGGCTATTTGCAGAAATTTAATTCAAATATTTTATTCTCGAACCTCGGAAAGCGGTCCTTTTATTTGGCGACAGATATATACCCACCTGCGCGAGATGCGCGCCGAGGTCAGTTAACCGATCATGATAACCCTAAAGCCTACCTTGAAGATATAACAAGAAGAAATATTCAACTAGTCTGTTAATAGTATGAAAATTACGATACAGAAAATATGCTACACGCTTTACAAGCGGCTTTCATTTACGGCCTATTATGTTCACAGTGCACGGAGTCTGTCCCAGATGAGGATATAGACTGGCTGATTTCGACAACAGAGGTATGGTCTGAGCTACAACTAAATGTTCTGTCGCACGACCATCATACTTACCTTGTTGCACTCTTACAGATTTTTGCTCGCCGATTATACAGCATTAGCTCATACGACCGAGGTTTAGACTACGCATCCTTGTCTCGCAGCAAATGGGTCTTTGTGGAGAGCCAAAGAAGGTATATGGCCATAGCATGATCTATTCCTTTTGCCTTTGACTAAACTACTTAGAATCGCCTGTCTTATGTATCTGATAGACTTGTTACTCCATATAAAAGGTCAAACTCCTTCGAAGGGGAGATGCCCGGAGTTTGTCCATCTGCCTTTGCCCTGTACCCGCGAACTTTGGCAGCCTATATCCGACAGAGACTGGAGGAAAAGATATAACGAGGAGAATAACTCCAAAATAATGAAGGGAAATCGAGGTCTGACGATGGGAAACTTATTTTCACTTAGGCAGTCTTTGTCTCGTGGCGAAAACTTTCTCAAGACAGCTAAAGCTGATCTTGCGAAAGAACTGGCCGAATGGGTTGAGAAGGTGGACGATTTATCCATGCTTTTGTGGATGGCGCTTACACTAGAAGGCGATGGACAAGCGAAAATGATACAAGGAACGTTGGCGGTGGAATGAGGCGAACCTAGGACGCTCTAGAAGCTGCAATTTAGGAGAAGGATGGACATTTCTCCCTCTGTATATAAACTCGATGTGTTATGCTACACTAGTAACCTTTGACACAATTTGTTCCAAAATTTTATTGGAGACTATCAATCATATTATAGCCGTCAGACACTCCGGCTCAAGACATCATCTACTTACAATGGCCTGATACTTTTTTGGTCCTTGTATATGACATACGATTGGTGACGTGACCAAAACCATTCCAATCTCCCATTGAAAGAGAGCTCAAGAACTGCCTCACAGTTCAGTTCTGCGCTGCACGGACTGGTAGTAATCGTCGCAACATAAGGATGTAAATCACTTCTTCTCTTGAAGCCCAGGAACCATGATGTAGAGGTTTCCAAGTCTATTGAAGAACACAAATAGTCCAATCGCACTTGACCAACACTTTCTCGATGGCCGTTTGAGAAATGGAAGAGCATACCTGAGTAGCCTGGTTTATCAAAAAATTTACAAGGAGTAACTCTCACTAAACCAGTCAAGTCGTGTTCTGAGTAGAAAAAGTCTTCTATGACGGCAGGAACTGAACCATCCGATGGCTTGGGAGTAGGGAAAGGAGATTCTGGGGGTTCAGGCTTGTCGCTATCAAACGCTAACGCGGTCATTTCCATTTCTGAACAATCGAAGAATATTTTTCCCTGGCTCGGCCTGTCGACTAGAGACCAGTTTGAAGGATGACTAGTATAGATACCGGCGATGAAGACTCGCCCTGTGTTCGTTTTGATCTAGGCAACTATCTCAGTGAAACGTCTCTCAAATGCGTTAATTGACCTACTCCTAGAGCTCTCTCCCGACGTATCAAGCTCCGACGTAACCAAATTTCAGTGATAATCTCACCAGGATCGACTGGCATATGCAGCCAGGATTTATAGGGGCTGAACTCATACTCGAATCTATCTTCATCAATCCGGTGAACATGAATTGTGACCAGTCCACATTCCCAAAGAATTGAATAACCAACGATTGCAGGGCAGTTGCAATCGAGCGATGCCATCCGAGCCGGCAGTGTGGTTACAAAACTGGGAGAAAGATGCTCAAATCGAACGTTGTCAGATTTTGGAACGCTCCATGCGGTGATATCCTTATCCACATTCATCAGATGACGAAGTTTAATGCCCTAATGAGATGATTAGACCAAGATTGGTTATAAACACAAAGTGAGAGGTAGCACACATCTGAGAACCCGCGTATACTCGAGTATCTTCCTTCGACATGAACTTTGCGCCACCATATCCCTTCAGCCTCATCAACATCTGGTGAATTGTGGGAGCTAGAAAATAGTAATTTTGTGATGCCGAAGTGGTTCCCTCCCACAAATATGTCGACAATAAGCTCGCCGGAAGGTTGAAATATCAGTTCCCAATCATCACTGCTGGGATCATTGGAGAATGCTGCGATATATTTGTTGCCCTCTAGATCAACGTACTTACACCATATGGGTTTTGAAATGTTGGCACAGCTGGGCTCTGGTGTTGGACTCCACAGCCTCTGCAGGTTCGCCGATGCAAAGTATGGTAGCAGATACTCTGCGACGATACTCCAGAGCTCTAATGGAAGATTTGATTCCAAATGCGCAAAGTGCGCTAATAACTCTGTACTTAAAAGGGACTTAATTTTGCGATGGCGGATGTCCATTTGACGTGAACTAGGTATGTACTCATATTTCATCGCTTCCGCGATACCCGCGAGGCGTTGTGGATTTGGTCGAGGTATCATATCTAGACAATGCCGATGACAACTTCGTAAAAAAGAGTATTCCCACACGGTATAGAGATAGAGATATGAATAGCTGGGGGAGTTTCTCAGGCTGCCGTATTTGGACTCTTCTTCATCTCGCAGCCTTAAAGTCAGCCTCCATGACCACCCCATATAAAATGCTGGGACGAACCTGTGACGACGTCTTCCCGTGAAATTTCAAATTGACAGAGACAACAACGCTGTGCATTGGCCATGGTAAAGCGTGTTCAACAATATATCATGTAATGAAGTGAATGGCAGCCTCAGAGAGCACGTATGAAGGTGCAATGCGATATTCAAAGGTGATTAAATTAAAGGGAGACTATTGCAAGAGATGGCTGAGACATACATGTAATATACGATACAGACGAGATTCAGCGCCAATGGAGAGTCCCTCAAGGTTTATTTATATAGTACATACATATGGATGAAGTCATTGCGATACACGACACGTGACCCGCCTCTTCCCCCTACTGCCACACCTAGATCCAAGGATCTCCGAGGAGGGAAATCGGCTCTTCTGGAACATCTGTCTTAAGAATGGACAATTCGCCAGAGACGAATCATCGCATCAACATATAAATCCCTGTCATTCCTGTTATTAGACCAAAATGAAACAGTCATTTGATGCCTGTGTTCTAGATCTCCGGATCACCTCACTCAGATACAGCAGCCAACTCCTCCGGTCTGTGGCGAAATGGACAAATAATTAATATCTGTAAATTTTTGAGGAATTTAAACATGTATCAAGATTTATTCTTAAAGTGAAAGAGAAAAATGGCTGTATATTTTAGTTTGAGACGAGTCAAAGATGTTTTGTTTGCATCCTGCAAGCATTTCGAAAGGACATTCTCTCATCTCCGGAAAAGCCAATATCAGCGCTTGGGTAGGCTGCCACACTCTCCAGCAGCCACTAAGCTATTACAATATCTGTCGACTTGATCTAGGTGTCATGTCGTGAAGTGGCAGTGCGGGGAATCCATGATTTCTAAAAGTATATTGGCGTGAATAGGCTATCCGAGCAAGTGCAGTAGTGAGCTATCTACATCTGCCATGTGCACTCACCCAACATGTATACAAAGGTTTCAAACTACTATCGCTTTAGTGGCCTAAATGAATAGACTAAAAATAGCTGAAAATGTGGTTGGCCGCATATCTGAATATGCTATCGGAAATCTCGTCTAGAGTGGTATTGATCCCATAGTACGAATCATCCTACCAGGCACGGTATGTCAATGCTTTCTAATAAAAATAAAGACGTCTGCCACCTGGTGGTCAGAATATATTTTCCCAGCAAATCTCTATTTCCCCCATCTCTATAGGTAGTTTCATAAGAGACTGTTGTGCTGATTGAAACCGATGGTGATGTGGCGATCCTTATATCCCATGCGCAACTATTAGCTGTATAATACCAGTATATCATATTGCCGACACGACTCACTCTTGAATAGAGATAGTTACGACACGTAGTCTTTCAACATAGTTACACGATATGATGCAATCTTCTGTTACTTTTACAATGACGCGATATATTTAAGACAACGTTACATAATGCATAATCAGGCATAATACGGCAGGCTTGAAAGATATCAGAAGCAGCGCAGTGTTATAGCGAATGACAACCCTTCAATACATATGCACAGAGGTATGTATAGCACGGTAAGTACACGTGCAATACTACTCTGTATATTACAGCGATTCAATTTTATAATTGTCAAAACTCGGGCAGTAGTGGTTAATAATGCTGGGCCAATTGAATACATAGTTTGGTTAAATTTGCTGCAGTGTTTAGCGCCCCCGCGTTTCTCTTGGGGGGGCGATGCAGCCCCTCTTGCTTATAGCGCTTAGTTCAGCATCATACGTCAACAATAAGATGACAGTGGAGTGTTTCTCATACTGGATCAACCATTTTGTTCAATTGAACAAAAATTTAAATGGGAGTTAAATTTTTTTAAAATAATTATTTTATGTCTGTGTTCTTAGAGGCGATAATACCTACAGAAGAGTGCCCTCCAGGATCGGATTTTGTGTACTCTTTCGGCAAGGCACTTGTTTTAGCTACATGCAAGCGTATCCAATTCATCGCCATTTTGAGTTCTACCGAGGCATTTCACATGGTTTAAGTCTCCGGTAACCATGACTAAACTGCTGTATTCGCCAACTATGCAATTTTGAGCTATAAACTCACTATGAATTAGGGAAGAAACCCCGGCTGTTTACGGCATTACGGCAGATTGAGCAACACTTTATGTTTAGGAACGGCAGTGTCAGCAGCCTCTTCTCCGCATTGTACTCTACTCAGAATCATCTGTAGAATACGCCTTTGCCTCGGATGAGCGGAGCAAATGTCATTTATATAAGCTTATGACAAGCAGAGTAGAATTTGCCCTCATACATATACATATGTTGTTGCATATCACAAATTAACTCCAATATTGTCAGAGCTCCACAATGGCGCCGCCAGCCGGAGACGAGAATGCGTGTGTGCAGGTTACTAAGACTGCTGACGGCATCACTACCATCACCATTAACAGACAACACCGCAGAAATGCAGTTGACGGCCCTACTGCGCGAAAGCTGACAGAGGCTTTTATTGCTTTCGAAGACGATGCCAGCCAAAAGGTTTGCGTCTTTCATGGCGCCCATGGATCCTTCTGCGCCGGCTTCGATTTACACGAGGTGGCCAAGTGGAACGGTCCTGGAGACATGGACTACATGGGCCCGATTGTTGATGGCGGTCATGCCGTGACCGGTGACCGCCAGATTGGGCCTATCGGTCCCTCTCGACTTCAGATCAAAAAACCCGTCATCTGTGCAGTAGCAGGATACGCCGTTGCGGGAGGCATGGAGCTGTCTCTCTTGGGCGATATTCGTGTTGTTGAAGAGGATGCTGTTTTTGGCATCTTTTGTCGACGCTTCGGTGTCCCGCTCATCGACGGCGGCACGGTTCGACTGCAGGCCATCATTGGTCTTGGCCGTGCCTTGGATCTGATCCTCACCGGCAGACCGGTTGGTGCTCAAGAGGCTCTCCAGATGGGGCTTGCCAACCGCATTGTTCCCAAGGGACAGTCTTTAGAGGAGGCTACGAAGATTGCTAGGCAGCTGCTTGGCTTCCCTCAGGAATGCATGAACGTGGACCGAGCAAACTGCTACTACTCGGCTTATAACGCGACGTCGTTTGTGGATGCGTTGAGGAATGAGTTTGTTAATGGCTCCCAGGTAATTACTACGGAGAGCGTTAAGGGCGCGGCCCAATTTAGTGCCGGAGCTGGGCGACACGGTGTATTTAAAAGTGCAGATAATTCGAACCTTTAGATATGTATTGTATAGCATGTATACATTTTCCGGTCTTGGGCAGCTTGAACCCACTCCTGATCTCTCTCGTATTAGCCAAGTTTATAGTTTTGTTGTACGAGAAAACAACTCTTTAAACCACTCTTTTGTTGCACGGGTTCTGGCAGCGTTGAATAAAATGAACATGAATGGCGTATTACCTAATCCCATAGCCTAGTATACCTCTATTGGCATTTAATTGCAAGCATTGTACTGTTAAACGGGTTTACCTATTTTGAATTGATTTGGATGAAGATCTCAATTTGAACCAACATCTGTTGCTTTTGATTGAGAAATGGAGCATTTTAGTAGGTAGTCTGCTTCCTAACTATATGCGGCTATAGAACCTAGTAAATTTCCATGTACGAATGGGCGCGCCTTACATTTTGCGGAGATTATAGCGCTTATGTAACATGTATAAAAGAACATCAGAAACTTTTGCATTCCATGAATTGCTTCATACACGCAAAGACATTGCTGAGCGCTGTCCGTATTTATAACCGGTATCAAGAAATACGAAAGACTATCTACCATAAAACACTGCAATAACCATACAATACCAGCCGAAACATAATGTCCAAGCTCGCAAACGACCCTGGCGAGAAGTCGCTAGCTAAGCTCTTAGCCACTCTCACAACCACTCTGCATGACACAACCTATGTCTTCGCAACCCTTACCGACGCATCGAATCTCCCGCCGCTGGCGGAAACCCAGCTCTTGTTCAAAGAAACCGAGGGAATTACAGTTATTGTCAGCCAGGTATATGCGGAAGCACATAAGATTGACTTCTTCTTCCCTTGCAAAATGATCACGCTGAATGTGACGTCAAGCTTGGAGGCTGTCGGGTTCATGGCGGTGATAGCCACGAGATTGGCGGAGCATAAAATGGGCGTCAACCCGGTTAGCGGCTTTTACCATGACCATTGCTTTGTACCGCTGGGGAGGGAACAGGAAGCAATTAAAGTTTTAGAACGATTGGCAGAGGAATACAAGCAAAAGGCGCTGGCAGACAGTTAGTTGCTGATCATTATCATCTCGTCTATGATATGATGAGAATCGCTATTATCCCAATGAACACGATGATAGATTCTTATATCAAGTCGCATTTTCGGCATTCTTCTTTCCATTACGCTTTATTTCTCATTTTCTCATGGCGAACCGTGTTCTCCGTTTCCATGTTTATCGTTATGCTACATGATAACTCGGAAAAGAGCTACAGATGTTAAGATAGAGAAGTGGATCTCGACCATTCTAGGGTGCCTAGGATATAGAGATATAACGTTGGAAAAGATTATTGCTGAGAATCAAGGGCACCTTAAAGACTATGGGATCTTCAAAATAAACAAAGCTTTATCGTATATGCAAACCCATCATGACCAACTATACTATCAACCTACAAAACAATAATGCTTTCCTGTTGCGCGAATTAAATCCAACCATGCCATGCCATGAGTGACATCATGATAACAACCTCCAAAGGGTATAAAGTGCGGCCAGCCGCATCATGCCAGTATGCCGCCATACATTTCGCAAAGTCCTTTCTACCTTCTAATATTCCGTAATCGGCTCGTCTGCAAATAAGAATTCACGCAGTAGCCTCCAAGCATTTTCATAAACGGGAAGGTTGACAAATGCACGATTTTGCGACACGCTATTGAAGAAACGCTTCAAGAATGCCTTGTCTGCATGAATGTTTCGCGTATTGGCCGCCTGGCCCAAAATAAGAGCACAGCTGAAAGTGATGTGAACGAAAAACCAAAGCCTCTGGAAAGCTCCGTTCAAATTAAGAAGTTCCATGTATGTTTGCAAAGCAGATCGGCATCGGTTCAAGTAGTACTCGGTGATGTCGCTGTCTTGTGCTTCATCACCCGTCATGGCGGGCCTGTATAGGCAAACCATGACAGAGTCAGAGAAAAGTCGGAAGATGTAGTGTTGCATATAATCATTCTTGGACTGGCATTTGGATAAATCTTGTAGATGAGGTACCGATCGGGTCTCGATGACGTTGACAATCTTTCGGAAATCAAGAATCGCTTCGTTGGGTAGTCGCTCCCCGGAGAATTTGGCTTGATTCTGAGAGTGACTGATCTTATTTGCTGTAACAAACAGATGATGGCAGCTGTCAAAGAATGAATAGAATCGAGGCGAGGCAGTTGTCGATGGGATGGATTCAAAAACAGTAATTCCGGATGGCCGATCGTAACAAAGGGATGAAAGAGTGTCTTGCCAGACTAGAGATCGCCTGAAGATTTTCAAAAGCATTAGTTATGAACTTACAAACAGTGAAAATGAGAAAGGCTCTTACCATATTGATGATTTGATAATGGCTTCTTCTCTTCTTGTGGTGTTGCTGATGGTGTTGGGATCAGGCGTGCAGTGAATGCCAAGGGCTTGGGCAAGTCGTATTGCTAAGCCTATTATGGCACACCGTATGTAAGAAAATGACTCGTGGAAGTTTTTGAGAAGGAGAATATGCGGGATTACTCACCCAACATTGACCACGACGCCCCTGCATCTCCCTGGTTCCTCAGGTAGTTTACTAACATTATCAAGGTCTGAACAACCTCTAGATTTGGGTACGAAGTGAAGTTGCATGATCGTAAGCACTGAAAAGAGCAACAAGCTATATGCCAGTATAAGTATCAAATCCCCAAAAAAATAATGGATATTTTTACTCCAAAGACTTACCAAAAACCCATGCTTTCGTAATATCAAGCTCTCCTTCTATCGAAGCAAGCTGGGCACCGCATGCCAGCATTCCGAACAGCAGCCCAAACCATGAGATTGGATATTCAGACAGGCAATCCAGAAATGCACTGGGTGGAATATTTCTGCGGCGCTGAAGAAATTCCAGAAGCGAAGTTTCAAACTTTCGTAGATTTATGATCGAGGACTCGAGATGAAATAGGGATTCTTCGTATAATCGAAAGTGGCTTGAAATCAGTTAGCTTAAAGTCTATAAAGCAATAATAAGAAATAGATCAGGGCAATATTTACCTCAAGATAACCTGGTCCTCTGGTAGAGCGCTGTAGACTTTTTCAATGCCGTCACCTGGCATCCACAAATTCGTAAAGGGAAACGTAGTGCTGGAGTCTTGAAGACATAGCAGCTCGAAAATTACCTTTGGGTCCATCGAAAATTTCAACGGAGACGAAGCAGGGTCTTTCCCCTTTCCACCTGCAATTGAGAAAACACTGGGCAGAGACTCTGAGCCTAGATGCACCTTTGTATTGTAGGGCAACGCCAGGTCAACAAAAACCCCCTGAGCCATATCAGAGGCCGTAGAATTCGCGGTGGCAGCTCCTGACTGCTGCTGCTCCCTACTATTCGGGTTGTTCTCGGAGGTAGACGGATCCGCACCAGCAAAGGTATTGGTTGTGTAGTCACATAAGTCGGGATGCTCCCGACTGATGCATGTCCCGCATGGCTGATTAAGGTCACACTTGACCTTGCGTCGTCGACACGGATAACAGGCTTTCGCGGTACGGAATCGCCGTCGCCTAAATAGGAGCAGGTCAAAATCTCCCGCCGGTATGTTTTCTTTTGAGTCGCCTCCAGGCATCTTGACCGACAAGCAACGTGCCAACGAGTTTCGCCTGTGATACATGAAGCTGGAATATCGAATCGTTTTGAAGAGGTCGAGATGAGTTGTTATTTGGTTTGGTTTTGTTCTTTCCTCCCCAGTTATCTCTTTTCCGCAAGCAACTGGTTTTCGTTACCTCCCTTTTTCTATTCCCATTTTATATCACATCTTCTGTCAGCACTTTGGAGTAGTGCAACCCTCTCGTATTTCGAATTAAGTCGAGCTGTTTATAAGTCCATGCTGTCCGAACTATATCCTAAGCGAAGGCATCACCACCAATAAGCTAGCCCCCCCCGATCGCTGCTGACAGGGCACACACCGAAGGGGTGTGGTGGCTGGTCTCCACAGATTAACCGGATCGATGACAGCTAGGAGGAAACGCGGAAAGCCACATTTCCACTGGTGGGATTTTAACTAGCTAGGCACTCCGAATTAGAGGCGTAATACCGAGCCTCAATCCTCCCTCGTGTAGTAGAGGAAATAGGTTCCTGGCGCCGGTCACGTGAGAATTGTCTTCAAGGCTGCATGATTGACGGGGATCGCCGAAGCTCTTCGATGGTTGCTGCGTTGCTTGTGTTTGGCTGTTCATTCTAGGTTTGAAGCAGAGGTCATCACGTTTATGTAGTTTCTTTTTTTCGCCTCCAGCAAATTTTTTTGTCTTGATACAGGGCAGTCGACGGAATCTTCCGAATCTTGCCATCTTCAATGCTCTAACTAGAGTTTACAATGTCGATATCCAGGATTTTGGTGTTGTCTCTGGGTTTCCTAGCTTCGCCTTGACTCAAGCTCCCGCGAGCTAGTCAGCCAAATCTATTTCCATTCCATCCCCGCGAGTGCGCGAGCGGTCAGAGTTGCATTTTTATAACCCTGTAGTGGGTCGATATATCTATAATTGCCTTGTGGTTCGCTGCCCGTCATCCCACTGCCGCGCTTAAGCACTGGCTCAGTACGCGATCCCGGGGCTCTGGATGGATGCATTGGGAGCATCGCGCCACCAGGGGGTGGCAACGTGGCGATAGAGATTTGGAAATAGATAAAGTGAGTGCAGCAATTTCCTGAGAGTGAAAGTCTGTAAAAGTAAGCGAGATGCTGTGTATGCCGCGGCGATCAAAGGATAACTGGGCAGCTGATGGAAACGATACGACGACATTTCCTTGTGTATTAATCCCACATGGTATAGTTTGTTGTATCTATTTTGATATATAGATTATATAACTCTGACTATTTCTATGCGAGACGTAAAACATGTCAACTGTCAACCAACTAAGAACTTGTCTCGTATTAGACGCTCTTTTCTTAATTAAGCCATTGCCATAAAGCAGAAGGGGACTAGCTTCATAAGAACGAGAGCCGAAACCTATAGAAGAAGATCGATCCTGATGATACCTAGACTAGCTATCTCTTTTGGCTGAACAGATGCTTCTTGCTGATCGGTGCAAGTGACAAAAAAAAAAACGCCTTGGCCTATCTTGGAACTACCAGAGCAGCGAATAAGGCTGGCTAGTTTACCCGCAACGCCCCCATCTCTCATCGAACGGTAAAGTTTTTGGATGCTTTCCTAAAGTAGCTGGTAGGAAAGTAATGGTGTAATAGGAACATAGCATGGGCACGCTGTAAACGCCGAGTGGCGGCGTATTTGACGGCGATAGAGAACGGGAGGATCCGATTGTTAGGAACTCGCGCCAACATCCGAACACTTAAATAATACCGGCTATCGGGTCTTTCGATATCCAGCTTATAAACGGAAGTTTTTCCAAATTCGTTACCTTTATCACATACTCTTGCATAAACGGGCTCGCTCGACCCCTGTAACTCCGACTTTTGGACTATTCGGACGAGTCGGACGAAGCAGACTCCTTCCGTTGACACCCGCCACCAACAATGGCATTCCTCCTGCGCATATGACAGTTACTGTCTAACCACTGCCACGGAAATACTGGTGGCACGATATTACCACTAGCTCTCTATGCCAAGCAGGCTCTCCGCAGTTTCGCAACCAGCTGTCTCTTTGTCAACGACCCCAAAATGGCCAACTGGTACCCTCTCCACGGATAATGCCGAAGCGCAAGCGACAGCCGCGGCGTTAAGAAACAACGGTTGCCAGCGGCCCCACAAACATCCCCGAATTGATGGCGAGACCGCCCCGGACAGCGGCACGCACTGACAAAAAGTCTAAGTTTCATATGAGGGAGCCTATCAGAGAAGCGATGAGCATCGGGGTTCCACTTATAACCCACCGAGATTTGTGCTGAGTTCCACTAATAATGCCGAACTGTCTGCGAAGGTCGATCAGATTGCCTACTTTGGAGCTGATAACGGGGATAAGCAGGGGTTATCCAAACAGCCCAAAACCCCATGCCAGTGGGTTGTGGCTTGACCGATCTGCCTGATCTTGAACTGAGAAAGATTTCGAGACAAAGGGCTCCACATTGAATTGAGGCCTTCACTTATTGAACTCAACTGTAAAGAGAACAAAAATTGGAGATTTTACATTTTTACCATCTTACTCAGCCCTACGGATGTTCAACAACTTATGCATGAATTTACTATGGGAGCAGCCGTATGTATGTAAGCTCACACACTCGTATCTCGAGATATTTCCTTTTCGATGTCGTATATCAAAATAGATTCTTATTTCTCGTTTTCTAGCCTATAGGATTGTACCATTAATTTTTATTAAGCGCCGTCTTTTTCTTGACTGGGCATCCCTGCAAGATATGAGGAGAGTAATCTTTAATAAACAAGACATGTGAACGAGTAAGCCACTAGAGGCATGGGGAAACTGCAGCGAATCACTAGAACAACGCCATGCCCACTCAGAGTTGAACTTGCGATGAGGAAGTTATATGTGCTCTCATCAAGTGTCGGCGCGAAATATGACTCGATTGGGCCGAATTGTTTAGCCCTACCCAAACTGGAGTCATAGGGCTGGCGAACTCCATGCTCAATTGGTCCTAGAGTTTCCCTTACGGGCAGTGAGATAATAGTACGCGCAGCTTTCCTTCAACAAAGCTCTTAGTGGACGAACTAGAATCGGTGTATGTCTCCTAGCCCTGCGTCGGGGAAACTCGCATAGCTGCGTTTTCCAAGGGAAAGGTTAGACGCGGAGATTCTCCACATCGAATCCAACAGCTACAACCTCGTGTCCTAAACCATCGACCGTGCCATTCAACTGGGATATGGATGCCGCTCCTGACACCCCTTGCTTAACAACGGTTCGAAACAAGGGTGTCGGAGCTTTTAGCGAGCAGAAAGAGAGGTGGATCATCCCGCGATGAAGGAAATGAGTCAGGCTTGAAGTGGAGGATGCGGCTGAAAATACAAGGAGATACGACCGAACGATACAATGGGGCCGGGCGAAACCACTTCTACATCGGGTACCGGCCGAGAAGTGTATCAGCGGTCCCAAACACATGGCACGCCTTATGGGTGGAAATTTGTAGTGGTGTCAGCCCTACCTACGGTTACAAGGGCATCAGTGACAGTCGCCGCGGATAGTCGATACATGGATAGTCACTCCATGGAGACGTTCTAGATTGCGCCTCAAACCAGCTATTTTCATGCGTATCAGTATTGGCAATAAAAGAAAATAGGCTAGCGCTGTCTTGGCTCTCGGTATATCTTATACATAGTATATCCCATTCATCTGTTCTACTAAGGATCGCGTGATGAACTTTTTCTGCCTTGTTCAAGTTGGTAGGGCACAGCATGCCTGCTGCTCCCAATCGGGCGATTAGTGCTGCATCAGCTCTTATAAGTATTACGCCCATCGTTTGCTGACCAAGATGAGTTTCCTAAAACATACCACTCCCTCATGCCACTACTTCAAGCCAAGATGGTAGTAGTAATTGAGTAGGAACATCAGCCCTAGTGGGTCATGAAGGATCGTTATTATCTAAATCTTCCCCCGAGCAGGGTACGAACTAGAGCGCTTTTATTTTCAGCTAGTGAATACGAAGAGTAATACCCCCTTTATTGGGGCATTCCAAAATTAGTATATCGAGTTCTTGTGGATAATTAACGTTGTGTATTGTATAGTCATCTATACGACTATACTCCTGCCGGGAATACCAATATCCATCCCATAGTCTGACAAACGCCCGACACCTTTTGCCCACTAGGATTTAATAGCAATAACTATACCTAGTAGGAGTTTAACTTATCTTGATTTCTTTCCAATCATTATTCCATTCCTTTCCAGCATTGCGTAAAGGGTGTCAAGCTCATGCTTATCAAATTCCACCATGTCTTCACCTAGGGGCCCACCTGCTACATTTCCCGTCAGAGTCACTTCTTTAAGTAAGGGAAACTCGGTAATCGATTCAACTAGACAGATCATATTAGCAACAGCCTCGTACTGCGCGTTTATGAGCTGAAACTGGCGGATAGATTTGGGCAATAAATTGACGAGAACATTCGTGTGATAGTCTGACTTTGTAATTGCCGGAAATAGGACTGAGGTTCCATCAATCTTAAATGTTTCAAGCCGCGAAAATTCTTTAAGAGAAAGAATTTGATGACCATCTGCGCAGATGCCGGTGAAACTAAGGTCGTCCGGCGTCCGGCGTTCTCGGTATCCTAGGTCAACTGAGATAGAGCGAAGGGTATGTTTATGTAGCGCCAGTATTTCAATCACCTCCCTAGGCGTCACAATAACTTCCGGAAGGCCAGCATACATAGTGTTGTGCCTCAACTCAAAAATCTCTAACCGTCTACAAAGACGGACTATCGATTCTAACTGAGACTTGGATATGTGACCACCATCAAGCTTTAGGTTTGTCACATTGTTGAGAGAGAATCGGTCATTCTTAGGCTCTTCATCACAATAGAGGCCGTAGCAAGGGCTTATAGTGAGCTCTTGTATGTGAGGTGCAAGCTCAATAATCCCCCCAAAGTATCCCAGAGAAATTCTCCTGGGCTCCTCATGGCCCACTGTAAGCTGGTGTAGCTGAGGCAAAGATACCCATCTTGGAGTTTGAGCAGCCAATTTCTCTAGCAGTCTGAAAGCCCCGGCGCCAGCCTCGGCATAAGCCTCGTCCACAACAACATCCATGATCTTCACATTGGGTGTCTGCGCGATGACGAGCTGCGTCACGGCCTCGTATGGATATTCCTTCATCCAATCTTCGAGGTCTATGCCCAATCTAGTCGCCACATCCGCAAAGACGGTGAGATGGTCTTCTGTAAGCTCAAACCAGAATAAGGATCCGCTAAAAATGATTTCCTGCACATATCCACCAAGTTCAGGTCGTAGACTAATAGACCTGAGGAAATCGGCAAGCTTCTTCATCTTTCCCCACGGGTTAAAACGAGAATATAGAACAGGCGTCACAATACGATTGAGGGCTTTCGATGCTCGGCAAACAAAAGACAAAGTCAGAGAGTCACGGATCGTGAGCTGCTGACAGATGAGCTCGACAATCTCCTCAGGAAGCGACATTAGCGGGAATGGCCGTGTCATGACGTGTAGAGTAGAAAATAGCTGGATGAACACTGAAAAACTTTTGATATGCCTCTATACGTAGTAGAAAATATGGTCAAGGATACAATCTTTCGATATGACAACATAAGAAGACCTGATGCGTCATGCGGCGGCCAGATACGGAAGTCAGCCCTATAAAAATGCGGCAAAGGCGGCATGACTCGTACATAGACCCTTGCAAGAGCAAGGCGCAGCATCAATAGAGCTGGTTTGGCTAACTGAGGCGAAGTAAGCAGACGCTGCGCGCTTCGAGCCGCCTCAAAATACGCCTAAATAGTTTTGCGCTTATCACTCAGCTTAGGTTCTATACTTGACATTGAAGATTCAGCTTTAGCGAATGCGAAAATTTGGTGGGAAGCACGCTCTCAGGTCTATGCACAGCTGTCTTATGACTTAGTTGTGGGCTCTGTTAAAAATCTGACAGCCTGGGGTTGTCTGGTTCCACTTCCATGCTGTTCTCCAAAGGCTCCCAGGCTTGTCCATCGTTGTTTCGAATTACGCTTGAATAAGAGCCGCATGAAGAATCATCACATGTTCATTATCCCAACTTGTGTGCTGTGTGGAACATTTCGTTCGTGAATAGCTGTATCCACCCCATTGAGCCTCCGCTGACGTCGTGCGTAAGATAACATCTAGTGTAAGTTGTAAGCTTTGCCAACAATGTCTACTGCTCTAGATTCGGAAATAACTACATCCAGAGTAGTAAGCAGCTCAGATGCCGAACGGTCTATGGAGTACAGTCGCGAGTATCCACTGCTTCGTCTCCAAGCTTCCCCTGGGCTCGTATATTTAACCAAAGAATGGCTTACAGCTTGACAGAGATATTTGCCGAAGCGCCTGTTCTTGGCGAATATTCCAAATACAGTAGGCGACAGCCGATTCAAAGGATTGACCATGCGATGACTCTCGTAAATCTCGCCTCGGAAGAGCCGCTTTTTTCCAAAGGAGGAATAAATCTTCGAGAAAGAGATGCATATAATTAGAACCTTGGTCGGTTGCCAAAGCTTTCTCAGCTAATGATCTGCTCTTGTCACAAGTTAAACTATCAACTTACTGTTTAAAGTTATTTGAACAAACATGCCCGTTAACTTCTATAATTTTCAATGCATACTCTGGTTTCATTGGAGCAAATTTTACGGAGCAATTGTTAAATAATGTGCCGTAAAAAAAAGAAGGCCCGGTTGTGAATGAGCTACAAAAGTTCATAAGGATTATCTGTATTCCAATATGGCAAGGGTTTCGACCTCTCAACCTCCAAATTCAATACACCCTGGTAAATAGCCGAAAGGGCAGGGTCGGATTTTCTATAAGGTCAGACCGCTGTTAGATAATTTCTGCGCGGGGAATTTGAAAGCGAACTAAGCAACTAACACACAACCTACACGCGTAGTTCTCTATACATCAAGGCTCTGCGAAGCCAGTAGACAGCTAAGTTTTAGTTAGCAATGGAACTACATCAAGCTTCGTTCTCAATTGTAGTCTCAATAGGTTTAAAATATTAATGATTTGAAAGAGTGTATTGGTAGGAAGCTGCGTAAAGCCTAGATTCTGCATTCTCATTTTGATGACTATTATTATATTGAGTGTTAAATTTTTTTCTTCTTGTTTTTGTCATGTTTTACTGTTTTGGTTTGCGCGGAATATTCTCCATTAGCTCCATACTCTCTGCCCAATTCATTCAGTAGATATCCTTATGATCTGCCTTGATCAAATCGGCTCCCTTTTCAGCCACCGCATACACAGAGTTCTGAATACGGCAATCGGGAATCAATGGAATGACAGAGGCGTCGATAACGCGGAGATTATGAACTCCATGAACCTTGAGCGCGGGATCAACCACGCCTTGTTCGATATTCTTGCTTAGTCGGGCAGTTCCAACAGGATGGAAAGCGGTTTGGCAGCGATCCAAGACGGCGCGCTTCATCTCCACGTCTGAGTGGAGTGGCATCGGCCATGGCGACTCGGACACGACTTGGTCCTTGAAGCCTTCGCCCTTGGTCAACACATCGTAGGTGAATCGGATACCCTCGCGCATAGCAATTATATCAAGGTCGTCAGCGAAGAAATTAAGGTTGATGTAGGGTTGCTCAAGCGGATCGGCGCTCTTCAAGGTAACCTCGCCGGGGCCTGAGATAGGACGGACCAGATCCACAACGACAGTGGTGTGTTCGCCTTCTGGAGGGGGTGGGAAGTGCCACTGGAATGCGCTGCCCCAAAGGCACACAAAATCGAGCTCAAAATGTGGCTGTCCCTCAGGCGAGAAAGGATCCTTTCCGCCGTTGGCTTTCTTGGCCTTCTGGTAGTCGGGATCTTTCTCTAGATACTCATCAATTCGAGGGAAACCCACAACCTCCAAGAAACCTGATCCGGCTGGGCCAGAATGATCTTTCTTATATTGGGCGTGTATCTTTTCATTCTCTGGGCCCTTTCTAAGGACAGCAGTATCCATGCCGATCTCGGGTTTAACACGCAACACAAAGGGTACAGCCGGATGATCGATGAGATTTTGGCCAACATGACGCGAGTCAACAATTACGTCAATATCGAATTTCTTGAGCTCACGCTCCGGACCAACGCCACTGAGCATCAAGAGCTTGGGGCTTTCAAAAACGCCTTCTGAAAGAATGACTTCGCGGTCTGCGTAGACGTTGATGTCCTTGCCATTCGGAAGAACAACTCTCACGCCGCGGCAAATTCGATCAGCGTAGCTGATGAGTAGCTTCTTGGCATGAGTCTCAGCCAGAACTGTGATGTTGGGCTTGTCTTTAAGGAAGAGGTAGCTTCCGGAGCGCACTCCCTTATAAATAGTGTCGACACAGTGATAGAGGCCGTTCATCTCGCCGTCATAGATATTTTCCGTAATAGGCTTTCCGCGTGACTTCCAGGCCTTGAAGACGTTATCACGGAAGGGCTTCATCTCGTCAATGAGCTCAGCGTGAGAGATGTGGATAGGGCCTCCGCCGCCGATTTTCTTAAGATCTGGCCTATAAAGCTTGGGGTCGTCGTGATAGGTGGCACTTTTGCGAAGGTAATGGAGGAGAGGATCCCAAGTCCATTCTTTGCCTCCCCATTCCTCCCATCGATCAAAAGTAGGCTTACAGCCTGGAACCCATGTAAAGTAATTTAATGATGAACTTCCACCCAACATCTTGCCTCGCGTATTGGGCTTTTCAACACGCTCATAATCATCACGCTTGACCATGGTGGTCTTATAAGACCAATCATGTTCACTGTTACGCAGATTCATAGCGTTGGACGGTGTGGTAATCTCGGGAAGTTCTTCCGGATTGCCAACACCGGCTTCAATCACCAAGATGCGAGCCTTGGGATTCTCGGCCAGGCGACCGGCAACACAATTGCCAGCGGTGCCACCTCCAACGACAATGAAGTCGAAGCGGTCTCCATCTGCAACGCCCGCTTTGCTGCCCATATTGTTGAATTGAATAGGCACCGTGTTATGAGACGGCATAAAGATAGTTGAGATAGAATAAGCCTAGCAAAAGAACTACTGAGAGACTCTTTGCTTTGAGTGTATCAGCTTGACGAGCAAAGCTCTTTCAAACTCGTCAACCAAGACCATTTTATATCTATCTTCTTCGGCTCTGACGAAATTCTTAACTAAACTCCATCGGTATACCTGATCTAGATGGAGGCGAACTTTTTAGGGCTCTCCCGAGAAGACGGCACAACAGACTATACCCGACCTTGCCATTCTGTTCATATCCCGGCTGAGCAGGATTCCAGATCTTGGCAGATTGCTTAAACCCCGCTCTGAAGAGGGGTTGATGATACCTGTTTTATCGTATAGATGGGATGTTGATCTTGCTGAGTGGAACTTTGAGTTTTGAAAAATATCCAACCATTGCATTGGAAGCTATGAACGTGATTGTGCCGTGTGGGATCGGAGATGTGATAGAGTGGCTAGCTCTTTCTTTCTTTACTCTTTGGGTCTCCAAAAAAGAACAAACTGAACGAATAGGAAGCTGAATTTGTTGTTCCGCGAACAAAACTTGGTGTTTAGCGATATAAAACAACCATGGGTCCTATTGGCTGTGGTTGGCACTAAATTTCTCCTACATTAGCTTGAGGTGGCGTACACGACAGCTAAGCTGACTGACATGTGCCTTGGCAAACTTAATTCGTAGCAATGCCCTTTGCTCCTCATCAAGCTATGTCGACATACGTCAAATCGTCGTCAGGCCCTGCCTTTCTCAGACAAAGCCCAGCGAAAGGTTGGACTTCGTAGAAGCACCGGTGCTATCACCGCCGCCTTTGCAATCGTCGATGCATGCCAATTTGAGTTAGGTAGCTCGCTCACACTTGCTACACTAGGAAAACCCAATGCTCCAAAATACGTATGCTTTGACCAATAATTGAAGATATTCACTCTCAATGGCACTCTCCAGGCAGCTGAATATGAGATAATGCTATGGTGGTTTACAGAGTGCTTTTGTCAGAGCCGATGAAGACCGTCCTCAGCCGCATGAGCTGATCTTCAAGCCATTGACGAAACAAATTATGCGCGCGATTGCTAGGACTTTTCAAATGCCGCACTCACTGTATTTTATAGTCACTCGATATAGCCGGGTAGCCTCTTCCGGTCACTGTCGCTTGCACATTATAGGCAATATTGAGCATGCAGTAGGTTATAAAACAAGCAAGCTAGAAACGAGCAAGCTAGAGAGCTGCATTTGATCATTCAATATAACTGCTGAAACAATCCATCATAACCCTCAGACCGAATATCCGAGCTGAGATGGGAAACTAGCTCTAGACTAGGCGCCTTGATATTGCAAGCTTTCAGCCAAATAAGATTACACTGGATGATCTCCGCTGTAATGAAACGGGACGGTCAGACACTGTTTTTTATCTCTTTCTCTATAGAATCAGATTGCACCATCTGCCGTATCCATAGAAGATGACTATTGCTGGGGCATTTTGCTTCGCTGAATGTAGAATCATTCTACCCAGTGAGTATTTAGGGGCGTATAGATGAGCATCTGTTTATAAAGGCAACTCTGTATCCCATATCGAATCTCACTTAGCATTCAATTATGAAGATTTGTTCCATACTTGAGAAGGCGGTTCTTGATTTGCCAGACACCTTCTAATTCGCACCAATTTGGCTAAGATCCCTGGGAGAATAATGGCGCTGTACTATAAGAATGGCTAAAAATTCTCTGGATCTATGGTCCCAGCGTGGGTCGGTGAGCCCGAGCCCGAGCTTCTTCGCGTGTGTACAGCTGACGTATATGTTAAAGGTACATAAACTCAAGCTCTGACACCAGCAACAAGCTTTGCACTGGTAGCCGGCGGCTGCGGATTTATGATGCTTTAAAACACGTAACTCAGCACGAGGCTTTCGGATTTTAACTGAGAGAAAATTCCTAAGCAGTACGTAAAGGATAGGAGGCCGCGATGTATTGCACAGCAGAGAACACTGTCACCTATAGTGGTGGTTCTTAGAGGCAATCGACGCTCATGAACCCGGCCAATCCTGAACATTGTTATTATGATAGCATAGCGGAGCGAGTGAGAATAAGCCAGAGTTGCCAATTATTTTGTGTATTTAAACTATATATGGTATTATTGAATGTACTGATTGGTATTAAATGATATTGCAACTCTATGCTATGTACTTATGAAATAATCTGGAAGATAATTGTTGTGTGACAACCAGTTAACTTGCATGAAGCCCATAGTCGTCACGCGGAGATTGATAAAGTGATATTGCCAATTACGGCGATGCCGTAACTATATTAGCCCCTACACCAGAAATTAGTGGCAAGTTAAACCACTAGCTACTACAGAACGCGAGAAATGAGCGAGCGGAGGCCGAAAGCAAATCAAGAGAGATCTGCGAGTGATGTGGCTGAGCAAGAATCTGGGCAGAGCTTTACCCCGTCTCAGACGAAAAATATACGGCAAGATACGAAATTTTGCTTCTCTGGCCTTATGGCGAGGTGAGCAGCGGCCATTGCAATGTTGTTGGATGCTTCGTCCCGTTTTGACAGGAATCCAGTTTCCTAAGACTGTAGTGGCGCGCTTTCCAAAGCAAACAGAAATTGCATCTAGAACAAGATTGGCAAGCTAGATATACACACTAGATATTTATTGTTGAACGAAGTATAGTGAGCTTATAGAGTACATTTATTGTACTAAGTAGCTAAATGTTGTCTATAATTGTCTCTGCCGAAACGTGCTTATACGGCTGGGGGTTGAACAACAGCTCAATCAAGCTCGGCTTTGTCGACATTCTCTTATCAAAAACACCATTCAGATGAAACCAATGACATATAGTTCTTAATAGATCAGAAGAATTCTCCACGGGATTTCAGACTCAGCCTCTGGACGTGGCGTTATGGCCTTAAGGAGCTCGGTTTGCAGGGTACCGACAAGACGGGGCCACTATAATCGAAAGAATTAGGCCCACTGGTTATTTCATCAGAGGCGGACAATAGATCTGATCATGGTTCAAACCCGTACGAAAAGAAAGAATGATTATGGGGTGGCACTGTATTCGCCTTAGATGGACCCACACTAAAGACCGAACTGATTCCGAGTGCCACTAGATCGATGGAATACGACAAACAAATCTATACCTTATTTGTCCGCTTTACGCAAGTTTTATGGAACTTATTTGCACGTCATAGTCCTTGTATTTTATTTGCATTCCAAGTATAGTCTATCCACGAGCTTCACTTCAATTTGCTCCAATCGGACTACAAAATTCGACCTATATTCATTGCTTGCCTTGAGCTGATATTCGATGCTCCAAATAATGACGTAGTTATAACTCGATGCCTGAAAATAATTAGGCGAACTGAGTGAGAGGTTCGCTTAGCATTTTGTCTACATGCGGTTGAATAGAAATTAATCAACTCAGACCTCCGCGGTGCATATCGCTAAGGCAACTTCACGGAGACTCTTGATCCTTCACTACTCTAGAGATCTTCACAAACGACATTGCTACGAGTCATTTCTCAATACGTTCTGTCATTAATCATGCCCCGTCCCATCTATCGCATATGAATAGTCATAAAAGTTGGCACAAAGCCACCTAATGCACATGGCAACGCAGACAATATGCAGTATCAACCAATCAAGACATAAGCTAATACAACTATTGCGTACGCGAACTTCCCCGCTTGGGTTGTTGGTTGAACTGGGACTCTTTCATCGTGCTTATGCCGTTACATTGACTATTGGTCTAGCCTCATGAACATATTGTCGACCCGAGTAGAAGTGGACTCTTTTAAGCGAGCTTCTATGTAACTAGTACTACGTACATCATGTCGGGAATGTTGAGGATTTTCGCTCGTCAAAGCATCATAATGTTTCTATGATGTGATCTGAATCCTAATCGTTCCTTTGACTTTCATAGTTGTATCCCTTCGCCAAACCCTTTTCAGCAATTTACAGACAGCACTCGTTTTGCATACCCCCAAATTTGACTACTCAAATAACGCTCGACGCGCGTACTCATGCACAAGCTGAGCAGCTATTTTCTTCGCATATTCAATGCTGCTGTCTTTTGAAACCTCTTCAAATTTATGGAGCATGTCTACCACAGGCAGAACAAGCTGGATGTCTGCCATTGACTCATCTGCTAGAGGATTCTTTGCAGCATGAGCAACAAGAACTATCAGAGCCGTAACATGGTGGTGAAGTGCAGCTCTTTGTTGCAAGAAGTTAGTTCATGAGGATCTTTCGACTTAGAATTCGACACTAGTGGATATTACTTACAGTGAACAAGCATGGTCGTAATCAGTAACGCGGAATAGACTCAAGGAAGCTCTTGCTGATGCAACACAACAGCGCGGCGGTCCTACATCCCCACCGGCGGCTAGGACCAACGGTAACAGTTGAATAGTAGATGAATCAGACGACTTAATTTGGCGGCGGGGATAGTCCCAGGCTTGCATCCTCAAGGCTTGGTAAGATAACCCATGCAGATTAGTGTGACAGTTGAGATAGGTCAGATACAATACACGGAACAAAAAGATTCCCGCGCTTCCAAAAGTCGCACACGGAGTTCGGTCTGCACAAAAGCTGCCCAAGCTGTCCATCACAAAATTCAGATCAAGGGACGAAGACTTCCAGCTGCACAGCTCTAATTCCAGCTCTTGGATCGCGGCCTGTCGCTCTGTGCTCGTTTGGCGCCTTGCCCTTGCAGATATGAGTCGTCGATGGATGTGGCCCTCAATGAGGGCAAGGTGAGCACGAACATGCATATAATTGATATTTATGGTACCATTAATAGAGGATATATAACCCAGTCCATCTTCAGGGTATTGTGGAGGAAGATCGATACCAATATCATCCTCGTGTATTAAAGGCGGCCTTTCGAGTCTGCTTGCAAGGTCATGATCAAGATAGTATGCAATCCAAAATACACGACTTCGCTGGAGTGCGAGACGCCTAGCCTCAAAGTCAAGCTGATCCAGAGGCTGTTCGTCTTTCTGAATATGGAGGCCATGTTGAAGAACTAGCCTTATTGCAGCTGCAAGGATGGTCGATGCTGGATGTGCGTCTGGTGAAGACTGGAGGAATATGGTCATTCCTAGCAGTGCTTGGATAGCTAATAGGTCCTCACTGCCTCGAATGGTAATCTCTACCGCCTTGTCTAATGCAGTATGTAAATACTGCCAAGCTTCTTGATCACGAGAACGGGGACATCCAATTAGAGAGATCGTTGCTTCTTGACGTAGAGCGAGAGCACACATGATATTTGTGGCCGTCCAGAGTGCTGCGTCTGCTCGAATCTGATCCATTTCGAGTTCAGAAAAACGCGCAAAGAAGTCATCTTGATCGAATAGCGTAATAGTCTGGTTGAGTGTACTGAAATAGGTCCGAATAAGAGTAACATACTCCTGCCGCCCTTTTAAAATTTTATTATCCTTTGTGTAGCTGCCGCTGCAAGACTTCACAAATGATCTGAAAGGCTGCGGAACCCACTCCACAAGCTCTTGCAACAACGATGCCCTGACATATCCTGCATTGGAGCCGTAGGTAAAATTGAATGGGGGGCTGTGTAGAGGCGATGAATCGGCTACTTGAAGGCTTTGCGCCGTAGGCTTTGATACTACTTGGCCCTCATTGGGTTGACTGATTGTTGCAGATTCGCGGCTTTTGAGCGCCTGGCGTAGGATGCTTTCAAGCTCGCCGACTTTCTTTTCTAGGGCTTCATGTTTCTTGGGTCTATGGAAGGTTAGTTGGTCCGAAGTTGGATACTTTGGACTTTTCTCCAATTTCATTTTTGTATGGGTGACAAGAAAAAACATTAACGGGGAGAAATAACCGGATGTAAGCTCACCTGCGGCGTGTAATCTTTTTCGGAGTTGCAGCCACAATGTAGGTGCAATCAGCGGCAAACTTGACACACTCAGAGCACGATGGCTTATTCCTATCGCATTTGACCTTTCTTTTGTGACACACATCGCAAGCCTAATAGTAAGTCTGTAAGTACCACTTCTTACGCGGCAGAGCGCATTGTACGTACTCTGCTCTTTGGCTTTGTACCCGGAGCAGGCTCTGCCGTCGTGGCTGCATGGAGACTTTCTCGATTGTTATCTATGCCGCTCTCTTGCCGCTCCATCAGGTTATGCTTCTTGCTGATTATCCAACAAAAGTTTCGCGACTGTCAAATCAGCTGCATATCGGCTTGACGGTGAGCGTGAGAGGGGCCGACAGCAGCGAGAACAGGAGCTTGGGAACTTGCGAGAGTTTTCCCTATTGAGGAAGCAATTGCTAATTTGAAAGTAGGTAATAGATAGCGTCAGCTAACTCGAAAAATAACGACGATTGTTTTCTTGTAACTTTCAGTTTAGCTATTTACCTTCGTAATGAATCCTGGCCGCTCGGCGTCTCTCGGCGCACATCCGATGCCGAGCTGACAAATGTCCGTTAATATGGAGAATGTACACCGTTGGCAATGCATTCGGGCTCGAGACACGGCGCCGGCCGCTCTCGGTGATAAGAGCTTCTTGTTGGTCTAGGAGGTATTATATAATTGGTAATTTCTGCCTCTCGAAATCTTGACTTTGTCAGAAATGCGAGGGACAAGGGGGCCCGGAACACAAACATGGGAAAAAGGTAATTAGAATCATGAGCTTGAAATGTAGATATTTAAACACCTGGATGCCTACGCATGAAGATGAGAAGTGCCAGCAGAAATAAAATCTAGCGTTTGATAGTTGAAAGCTGTCAACCTTGAGACTACTTTAAGTTCCAAAGACGTTCAATACAAAAATAATCCAACATGACGGCTGCAAACAAGACAGTGGTTTTGATCACTGGTGCCAACAGAGGTGCGCTCTAGCATAGCTCCTTCAGTACATCGTTGCTATGAAAGGAAATGTGCTAATTTATAGTAGGTATTGGATTTGAGCTCGTCAAAAAGTTTCTTGCAAGGGACAACACAGTAGTAGTTGCCGCTGTACGAAATCCAAACAATCCTTCTTCTGTTAGCTCTCTACCAGAGCTCCCTCACGGAGCCGAAAGCTCTCTCCTTGTCATCAAAATCGATAGCCTCGACAACTCTAGCACTCCATCCAGCATCGCAAGTATTTCGGATCGCATCGGCCACCTCGATCTCGTCATTGCCAACGCTGGGGTCCAGACTCACCATGGCCCCGTTTCAGATACGCCTCTAGACCAGATCACCTCTCATATTGCCATCAACACAGTGGCCCCAATCGCACTTCTGCAGGCCACCAAGCCTCTCCTACGAAATGCTACTAACCCTAAATTTGTTGTCATTTCATCCTCCATGGGAAGTATCACGGACAACATACCCGAAAAATTCGGCGCCTACGGGGCCAGCAAGGCCGCCGTCAACTACCTTATGCGCAAGGTCCATCTGGAAGAAGAGTGGCTTACGTCCATGGTCATCTGCCCTGGATGGACACAAACGGACATGGGGGATGGTGCGGCGAAGACTACCAAGTTTGGCGAGCAAGCGCCAGTCCCATTGGAGGTTTCCATCACTGGAGTTGTAGAGGAGGTAAGTTTAAATGGGGAAGAAAAAGGATATATTTCTTCGCGAGATATACTAACAGATAATAGATTGATGGTCTTACGCGGACTGAGAAATCACGATTTGCTTCGTACGATCACATTGATCGTCCGTGGTAGTAGCCTCAGTTACCAGCTAGCTTCCATGCTGGGGGAGCCTTGTTACGGTAGAGCTTGAATATAGGTTTTGTCATTTATAAAAGTCTAAATGGATATATTAACCAAGAAAAAGAGAAAACTTCGAAAACTGCCACGGCCATTGGCCTTAACCCAGTTCAGTTCTTTTCTGGCACAAACTCAATGACAACCTTGCCCTTCCTATTCCGTATTGAAGCACTCTTATGAGCCTGAGATGCCTTATCAGGAGAAAACAATTCGATGGCTATAGGCTTGATTGTTCCATTATCAATCAACTGCGCCGCCTTCTCCAGTGTTTCTCTCTTTGGAACGACAATGAAGAAGAGCCACTTCACGTTGGGAAACTCGTCCAACTCATCCGGCCGGCCTTTTCCGTATTCCCATGCCGCCGGCGGTGGCCCCACGGTAATGATGTGACCATGGCTCTTGACTGTCTTCCATGTTTTAGTCAGGATAGGATCCCCTACCGTGTCGATAACGACATCAACGTCCTTGATCGTATCCTCCCAGTTCGGCGTGTTATAGTCAACGACTTGACTAGCACCAAGTTGCTTCAACGTCTCATGATGCTGTGGACTTGAGACAGCGACGACCTCGGCACCAGCCAAGCGAGAAGCCATCTGCACCAGGATAACCCCAACTGCACCGTTGGCGCCAGTGACAAGCACCTTCCATCCCTTCTGCACCTGCGCGCGCTCGAAAATGGCCTCCCAAGCAGTCAGCAGCGGAATCGGCATCGCAGAGGCCTGAGCATGATTCAGCAGCCGTGGCTTCCTGGCCACCTCTGAGCTCTCAACAATGACATATTCCGCCTGTCCTAGACCCCGAAATGCATGAATCATGGAATAGACTTCGTCTCCGACTCTCAAATCTCCCTGGTAGTCCGGCCCCAAGGCGGCGATTTCCCCAGAGATATCGTGGCCCGGAATGCGGAGGGGACGACGCCACAACTCCTCCCAGGTGAGCTCATCTCTCGTGACGGCCGCAGCGTGGACTTTGACGAGAATCTCAGCCTTTTTCGGAGATGGCCTTGGAACGGCCGGATTGAGGGTGACTTCAGGGTTGGCCTGAGTGCCTCGAACTTCAACGGCTTTCATCATAGTGGCGGGTGGATGCTGTAGAGGCTGGATGTGATTTTACATGCTGCATATGGCTGGGATTCTCTACTGTATTTATATATTCCTGCTTGATAAGACGGACAAAAAGCTTGTTCTCCGGGCTGACTGTTGATTTCGTCATTCGGGTGGTGAGTGGGTTCCCGCGCCGGGTCGGCGCCCGATGGGGCGGCTTTTCGGGTCGGGTAGCGCCTATTCGGGTCGTGGAATTGGATATTCGGAAGGGCATTTTTAATCCTACCATGGTTCTTCATGGGGAATCGGTTCGTTGCAAGCATAAGCTAGAAAACACGCGGAACGTACAAGTGTATTTCTTGTGTGCTTCATCCATCCATGTTCGCGCATTCTTAATCTGCCTAGGCAGGTGATACAGTGTCTCATTCATACGCACAAAGCGTACTCACAACAGCCTCGATAACACATCCTCTCCTATCTCGACAAGGGCAGTGCACCACTTGCCCGGCGTTCTCAGCTTTGGGGCTCTGAAAGTTGATCCTGAGACACGGCCCAGCGACTTTGCTCGGCATAATGGCAGAGCATCAACTCTCAGTGCTTTGGGTACATAGACGCTGCACAGCCCGAGTCGAGATACGAGAGGACGCATCTGGCACATCGCCCCCAACTCCCTACCGAGATCATCCAAAATAGTGCCTCCTAGCCACCTAAAAACCACCTGCAGTTTGTCAATCTGGAAAAGGCAAAAGAGGGGAGCTGCGCAATATAGGGTCCCGTGGGATTCGTCACCATCGCCCAGCCTCCTCCATGCCGCGACAATCGCTCTTCCCGGCGCTGTGCCTGTATTAGTTCAACGGCTATCGATCCCTGTCCGGCAAGGAATCGACTCCTTTCGATACAACCCCATCCTATCGTTAGCTCTCCAAGACCTCCCTGCGCTATGCTATCACTCAAGTCACTCCTCTCGCCTCTTACTATGTACCTACATATGCGCTGATCGCACCCAATGAGGTCCTCCATACAAAGCAAGGCCGCTGTCTGACTCGAGGAGAGTGGCTTTGCACAGCTCCCCCGGATGAATCACCCGCATTCCACTTGCAGCATCAGCCTTTATGCACCCAGATCAGATGCCATTTTCTTTTTCTCATCCAAGCAACTCAACGCTGGCTAACCTCCAACTTGCACACCTTGTTGAGAAAAAAAAAAATTAAACCCCAACCCTAGCCATGGCAGAGGCAGTAGGACTGGCCCTCAGCGTGCTGCCAATCGTCATCTGGGCCTTGGAAAAGTACTCTGAGCCGTTCGAGGCCTACAGCAGCTATCACAATGCGATTAGCACGCTGCAGGCCAATCTGCAGATCCAGCGGATGCATCTCGAGGCCACTTTTCAGAGCATCGGCCTGCGGCATCCGACGCCTCGCGAGCTGCATGAGTGCCTGCAGCACAAATTCCCACAGAACCACAATGAGCTCCTCTTTATTATTCGGCAGATGGACGACCTGATGGTGAGGTTGATGGAGAATCTGCAAGTAGACATAAGCCGAAAAGTAAGAATTTAACCCGTCCAACTACTACTACTACTTCCACCAACAGTAGTCATCATTCCCATCCTTGACCGTAGCCTCACCTTGTTATTTCATCCAGCCTCAGGCACAATTTACAGATACTCACATGTATCCAACTCTTAGCCCCTCTGGACGCACGAGTCTCCCGAAAGAGCAGCCTGGGAATGGCGCCGCGTCAAGCGCAGCTTCCGCGCAAACAAATGCGACAGGATCATCCACGACCTGCGCAACTGGAACGACGACCTGAGGCATCTCATCAACAGCGCAGAAACTTTGCCGGATGATGAGAGCTACGCCGTAAGGAGAGTGAGGCGGCTGTATAATCGGAGCAACTGCGAGTCTGTACGAAGCACTCTCAGATCTCTCCACCGCGCTCTCCAGCATGGGCTGAGTGGTGACGGCGCCGAGTGCCATCAAGTGTGCATCGAGCTGAATAGTCTTCATGTAGGAGGCTTTCCGCTGCTGACATTTCGTATCGGGATTCTGCATGAGCCGAGTGGACCTCGGACGAGTCCATGGAAGCTCTTCTATGCCGCTGGCGAGGCGGTCAGAGAGAATTCAGGAACGATATCGCCGCCGATTTCATTATCTAGACCCTCGACTCTACGATCAAGGCGATCGTCTTATTCGCAGGGATTGCGAGACAGGGCTCATAGTATATGGAGCAAATCGCGGGATTCATTTATTAAACAGCTTCCGACACCCAGAGCCAGTGTGGAAGACGCATCAATCTCGTCTGCTACACCAATATTACCAGAACGTGTCACAATACGCCCTCGGCCAATAACGAACCTCTGCGAGAAATTAGAATCCGCTGCCGCCGGAGAAGGATTTGGCTCCATCAAAGATCTTGACGACCCTTCATCACCTCACGAGCGAACATTTTCATTAAGTCACCTCTCTCGTAACCATGACACGGTAATCAGAGATGTCTCGCTCGAAAAGATCCTCGCAACAGAGTCCCAGCGAGTAGCTCCCGCCATCCAACCTCTCTCCGCAAAGAGACGATACGGCATCGCCGCTTCTCTCGCATGGGCGGTGCTGTATCTCGCAGACAGCCCCTGGCTCGCCCAAGGCCTAGACAGACGCAAGATCAAGTTATTCCTGCAGAGAAAGCAATCCAGCGGCTACATCAGCCTCTCAGAAAAAGCATACCTCTCATGCCTCATCTCTAAACCAACATCCCTACCATCGCCAGCATCGTCCACCACCTCACTACGAAAAGGCACCGCCCCAAAGAATCTCATCTTCGAGCTGGGAATCCTCCTCATCGAACTCGCCGTCAACCAATCCTTCAGCGAAGAATCCCTCTCCGCCATTCTCAAGGACGACTTCCGCCCGCTAAAGCTACATCTCAATCGTGTAGAGCAAGAGGCCGGGATATATTACTTCAATGCCGCGCAACGATGCGTATACGGCGTCTTTCTAGCAGATCAGGGCCAGATGGACTTTGATCTGGACAAGTTCCAGCATGAGTTTTATAGTACAGTTGTGGCGCCTTTGCAAGCAACGTATGATTCACGATAGTTAGCATCACAAGCAAAAACGGCTTTAATAATGATTCAACTGCTTATACGACCACGCTCACTTACTCATACAAGAACCCAAGGTCTGGTATATATATGTTTGACTTATATCCGCTCTGTATATATTTCATCCTGATGAGAAATAGAATGATCAAACGATTAATGTACATCATCAAATCAATCACGAATGAATGTCAAACGACTCCAAATTAACCGTTCAAAAATAACCTAGTCTCTCATAACTCTAATAGAGCCATGATAATATCCATCGTTTGCTTTCCCCTGTCACAGCAAATAATAAGAGTGACACATCTAACAATGCTCTGACCCCATGAATTGCGCAAGCATATTTAACAGCGCCACATGTTGAATTCTGTTTCGCATAATCAACGCTCTACTTTATATGTTTTCTTGGTTTAAAAATAATTAAGAGGACTACTTGTCGCCGCTTGTGCCTATCCCATCTTGTATCCTAGATGCAGTGGCGTATAATGTCTGAAAAAGAAAATATAGAGATCAGGAGCCAGCGGGATAGCCTCATGCTTGTACAAAATCGCATGAGAATAAAAACCATTTTCCACCCTTCCAGAAAACCCCCAAAATTGTTACAACACAAAGCCCCCCCGTCACCATTGTCCCTCTCTCCTGTGTATAGATAAGGAGTCGTAGCTGTATCTAGCCTCCTTGTGCCCTCTTGATGTGTATTATATTCGTGCACTTCATTAATGGCCAACCCTAGAAATGGAAGAATCAGGCCGTTCTTTGTTCAAATTTCCAAAAGAAGAAGAAGAAAAGGACCCAGGCTCCTTTATCCGTTTATGGCGAGGCCCAGCCACCAGCAACGTCCACCCACTCGGCCAGGCATGAACCATCCTTGCCCTCAACATCAACAATGTCAGTGTCGCATCGGCATCGGCATCCAACACCGTTCTCCTTGGCTTCATCCCAGCTTTCCCAGTACTGGTCTTCTTCGACTCGTTTTCGCTCGTCCAGGGTGGTCATCTCGAGGAAGGGGGGTCGAGGAAGCTGTCGAGCGGGAGCATTCGCGGGGCAGTGCTGGATAGTCGTGTGTCGGTATCCAAAGTCTCTGAAATAGTGGATGTCCCGGGGAGCCAGGAGAGCACCAGCGGCCAGAGAGTGGATGGGAGCGTCTCCCCACTAATAACCGTTGGTCAGCCATACTAAATTCTCATCTTGACGAGTATAGCAAGATATAGTCTATGAACTTACCCGTTCCATCCAGAACCCACCGCTGCGATCCATCATCTCAAAGAAGTCGTTGTACTCTTTGCTGCGGAACCAGCTGAGCTTCGCAATTTCAAAGTTGGACCAGAAATGGCACATGTTGTACTTTTCGCCCTCCATAGCCTCGGGATCAATGGGTGCTTGGCTGCTTGGCTTGGGTTCATCGGGCAGGGCATTGGGGTCGTCATGCTGTTCCTTTGGCTCTTGAGGTTCCACAAACATTTCCCAAAGGCCCTGTGACGTCAGGTTGTTGTTTCGCTTGTACGCCGAGGCATAACGGAAGATGTTGGGGACGGTCTCGCGAAGCTCCTTGACAGCAATGGTAAAGCCGTACGTCTTGTTGTTCTCGATCATCTTTAAGAAAGGATCACTGGTAACCATGTCAGCCACAATATCTCGAAAACAATGCTTGCATACGCCCAATGGGTAACATACTAGGTGATGTCGCAGAAGTAGGTGATTTCGGGCTCCACGCGCCAGTACCATTCGTACTTGAGCAGAAGAGGGTGGTTGTAGAAGAAGCTAAATCGCAAAAAGGGTCAGTTAAACGATACCATGGCTGCACACGTCGGCCGAGTTGCTCACCCAGAGTAGAAGCGACACATGAAGTGGTAGCTCTCCATGCCACCATACATGACCGCAGCGTCGCCCTGCTTGGCAATTCCCTCCTTGGCAACTTTCTCGTCAATCCAGTCCGGGAAGCCCCAAGTGCCTGGCTCGACCTTGCCAAACTCGACAGCTCCCGATGTATAGTTTCGTACAGTCTCCTTGAAGGTTTCATCGAATTCGGCGTCGTTGAGGAAGACATAAGGGTAGTGGTACCAGCGATTGAAATGCCGTTCGACAGACTTGATGGACTGAATTACGCCGTCAATTTCCTTGTTCCTGGCCAACACAACAAAGGCAGCGTTGGCTCGTGGTTGTGAAGTATCGGGCTCGAGGCAGCCGGTGACGAATACTTTGTCGTGTTTTTCGCTGATTTTCCTACGCGCAAAACGCAGTTAGCAGCCTGACGCAGGAAACAAAGGCAACAACAGCAATGTTTTAACATACCGAATGGCTGGCGGAGAACCAGCGGGCATCAATATCCTGCCTGGAGAGCTGGGATGCCTGACGAACAGCACCAGGATGAGCACAACAACCAGCACCGGGAAGACGAGCACCACGCCCAGCGGGATGGAAACCGCCGAGTTGCCGCGCAGCCGCAGCGGCCTCTGGAAAAACGCCAATCTTGAGGCCATGCCCTTGTTTTTTGATCGCTTCTCGTCTGAAGTCGGCAGCCCGTGGGAGGGTCCCGCGGACCCCTTTCGCCGGAAAATGTCCATGGCGACTAGCAAACAGCCAGCTTATGGCTGCAGGGACAGCAACAGCAACAACCAAAAAGAGAGCGAGAGAGAGGAAGAGGAGAAGAGAAAATTCGTAAAAATTAGTTCGACAGAGGGGCTAGATCGTGGCCTATGCTCGTGTCGAATGCGGTGTGTGGAGAGGCGGCAGTATAGAGGCCAGATTGATTAAAGGCACGAAATAGGCCCTTGGTAATCAGGGGTGGTTTTGGCGTGTGTATTAGATTCGGTTGTCGATACGCCGTCAAGAAGCACTCATGCCAATCGAGCAAAGCAAAAAAAGCGTGTATCGTATGTCTATCGAAGGCCAAAAAGCAGACACGGATCGTGGGTTTCGAAGCACCGCGCGGTCTTCCACCCTTGTCTTGTCGTCCTTTTTTTTCCTCAGTTGATAAATGCGCCTCTCGCGGGGCAACCGGCCGCAATCGCACAATCCCCAATCTCCAATCTCAAGTCTCGCGCCAAAAGATAAGGCCTCCCGCAGCGAGAAGCGTCGCGCTCGATCGTCGTCCGTCGGTCGAGGCCAGTGCAACAATGGAGCGAGGATCTTGGTCTTGTCGTATCTCTAATAATTTTTTTTTTTTTTACCTCAAAAAGGAGGGAGGGAGTTTTTGCTAATTGGAAGGCCACGCCCTCTAAAGCAGCGCCTAGACCGCTGTTGATTGGGGGATTTGCGCCTGATTTAGCGCGGTCCAGTTATTGATTTTGGGGCGGGAGGCTTTGATTTTCGGGGACCAAAAGTCCATCCCTGGCAGCGCCGTTGGGACGGTACCTCCACTGATGGGGAACACTGCACTGTGCGACATGTACAGCATACCAAGACGTCGAAATCAAGACTTGCAAGTCAACAGTAGCGCCATAGGCCCATTGCGTTGCCACCACCTAAAGGGGAATTTTCCGAGTGCCAACAGACAGGCCCGGCGGAACATCGATTCTCCCCCCCTTTTTCCCACGCGGCACATCGTCCGAGTCTCCGCCATCAAGACCCGTTTATCTAACTACTGATTCCTCTCCACACACCGAGATTTGGAGGCGCAAAAGGCAAAAAGTGGTGATTTCGCCCGGGCTCGAACCGGGGACCTTTTCGGTGGTGTCAACAGATGTTAACGAAATGTCATGACCAACTAGACCACGAAACCATCGTATTTGTGATTGGATGATTTCTGGCGGCCGAAACGGGTTCTATGAAGCATCGACAGCACTCGAACTCTGCTAGGGGTGGTTGACATCAAAGCTGCTGCTCATGATTTACTCTCCTGCTCTTTCGCTCTCACGAGACGACTCTACAGCCCGCACACACAACCAGCCAGGCCCAGCATGTCACAGAAAATCAATTCGAAAAACCTCTCGTACAATTCTTCTCTCCCGCCCTTTCTCGCCGCTCTCCGCGCCCAAGCATCTGGCGCTTCAGGCCCAGACCCTATCCTTTCAGCACAGCGCCGAGGAGGAAAGAAGAGATCAAGCAGCGAGGAAGCAGAGGATGCCCCGCTGATTGTGGACGAAGAGGGGAACACGGTTGGTGACCTGAAAGTCAATAAAGACGGCACCGTCGAGGAATTGCCGAATGACAGCGGCAATGATGGGACAAAGGACGGAGATGCAGAGACAACGCAAAGCAAGACGAACAAGACGGAGCCTGAAACGGCCAAAGCTTCGATAGGAGGGAGGAAACGCAAGGTTGGCAAGGTGATTGGAGAAGACGCTGAAAACAGTGAGCCCGAGACTGCTGCTGCACACCAGAAGAGTGAGCCAGTGAAAAAGGATCAAAAGGATGCTGAGCAACAGGCTGCCAATCGGAAACCTAAGAAGAAGGCAAAGAAGATTAAGCTGAGCTTTGACGAAGAGGAGGGCTAACGGCGCAACCAAACAACACTACGAAAGAAGAAGCATCATTTTACATCAGACGTCAACGTCGAGTGTCAAGCATCGCAGTAGTAGAAGCTTCTTGGGTTATCTATCTAGGGGCCCTTTTGGAGCGAAAAGCATTCAGCAGATGCTCGCAGATGCTCGCATATGCATTTGAGCTACCGATGCGTCGAAGTGATATTAAAAGAGCTCTATACGCCCGACAGTTCCGAAGCTAGAAGCTCGAAGGGACAATTACTATTACTGCAAGCTTCAGGAGCTACATGATACGGCACATGGTTACTAATGATTTAGAACTTTACACTGGCGGTGCAAGAGCCATAACATGACAACCTAGAACACCAGCCGAGGCAATGGACGCAGTTTCCAGCATCAGCACTAGATAAATCAAAAACAAACAGGCCACCAGTCTTGTCAATGCTTGTGATACACATTGAAACGAAATCATCGGTATCTACAGAATACACAGCCGCTTCCCAACCTCCCGCGGGCATGGCGTCTCGCCCCTCTTCCCGTTTCTACGCCTTTGATAGTACATCTTTGAGTCACCCTCCTTTTGCCACCAGTTTTATATCTCCCCTTTGTCTATCGCCATCGTGTGCATTTACTGGTAGCGGTACTCGGGCTTGACGAAGTCGGCAAAGGTCTTGGGCTCGGCAATCTCCTGGGCGTGGTGTCCGTGGCCGTGGTCGTGGCCGTGGTCCTCGGGTCCAATGTAGTCCATCTTGTAGACGCTGCCGCACTCGGGGCATCGCTCCAGAGGACGCTCCTTGGAAAGCTGCGCATTATCACATCCACCGTTAGCATATTCCGAGCTGTGCCCATATGTGTGATGGAATTTTAACTTACGCCGAGCCAGACGACGACGTGGGAGTCGGCGGGATAACCGGTGCAACCAGCAAGCTGCTCATCACCAGCGGAGCGCACCAGGATAGGGCTCTCCATGGTTCCCTTGCGGCTGGCGTCGAGGGGTCGCATGTCGAAAATGTCAACGCTCTCCATCTTTCCGAGGATTTCCAGACGCTCAAGACCGGTGGCCTGCTCGAGATCGGTAGGGACGGCGCCAGGCTGGCCACCGGGTCCGATGAGGTCGTCCTCGGTCTTTATCTCTATAGACGGTGGATGAAGCTCCCGCGTCAGCGTCTGCCATGCCACGATGGCTAATCTATAGGCATATATGTGCATGGGAACAACATACCAGAGATGGTCTTGTAAGTTCCAACCTTCTTCTGGGCGGTGCCGGCAAGAGCAGCAGCCTGCTCGCTGGGGGTGGAAGGACCAGCAGAACCTGTACAGAGCTCGACCCTCACGTCAGCCACAATCCAATCGCATCCAAAACCCGGATTCGCCGTCTCCTTCTTCTCCGTCCTTGTCCATCCCAACTCCACACACGTCAGGAAAAAAGTCACATACGGCGAGCAATAGAGGTGGTGAAGCCGCGAGCAATGGCCGGAGCGACGGCGGCGCGGCGAGCCGCAGCAATAGCAGTTCGTTGCAAGAACATTTTGTCGAAGTCCCGGGGGTTTGGTGATTGGGGGAGGGAAGGGGGGTGCTTCGTCGGATTCGAGGTTTGAACGTGGGGAAAAAGAGGCTTCGTTTCGTTCGAGGGATTTGCCGGATGGTCTGATTTGGGAACCCATGATGGGTAAAGAGGCCCCAGTTTGGGGCAGGGAATTGGCCAATCAGAGGGGGGGCATTGGCAGCACGTGACTAAGCTGTAGGTGTGAGCTGTGCTTTTTTTCTTCATCCAGGTGGGATTGCATCATTGCGTCTGATGTATGGGAGCCGAGCTTGGGGAAGCGTCTTTAACGCTGTTCCAGTATTTTAATTCATTCATCGAGCTCGATTCCCTCTTGTGCAGTATTTTTTACGCCTTTACAGCTTACTAGTTTGCATGTGGTAGGCTCGCATTCTACGCTGCACTAGCTTAAGAAGCTATCCTCATCCCTCTTATATAAGGTAGCTAGCAAGTAGCTTTATTAACAAAAAAAAAGCATAAGCTCGCGAATATATTTACGTGAAATAATTGAATTCAGAATCATTAGCTACCAAGTACTTATTTTACCCGAAATAAAATCTCTCCATAATCAAATCATATGCTTCTCTCTAGGACCCTAGGCGATAGCGTGTATTCGAAGCCAGGCAGAATTCCTACCACCACCGCAGCTACACACAATGTATAGCCATGAACAAGTCCGTTGCAGAGAAATAAACAAAAGAGATTCGAACTGTATGATTCCAAGCCCAAAAGAAACCAAAGTGCCACCAAGCAGCAAAAAAAAAAAATCGCAGACCATCCAGTAGCAAGTGAGTACGCCCTCCAGGTTCACCATTTTCACCCAAATCATGCATTAATAGTGCTTGCATATTTGACCCTATGCCGGGCCTTTCGTTGCCAATTTCTAGTTTTAGAAAAATTCCCAGCTCCCATAAAAGGCAATTACTTGTCGTTCTCGCGTCGCTGAGCCTGCAGCCGTTGCTGCTGTCTGGCTCGGTAGTCGTTAATGCCAGTATAAATAGGGGGCACCGCATTGGGACGGGCTTGCTGCCCTTCAACTTGTCTAGACGCTTCAGAAGTGCCGTTATTGACATCACCGCTCAACAGTCTCGGTCTCCGTGCTTGGACGTTCCGAATGACTCTTCTGAATGGCAAATGCGTCTGCCGCCCACCGCCCTTGATAAACTTCTTTCTGGGGCCGTAGCTGTTTAGGAGGTTTCTCTCCCGAGCCGAAAGAAGAGCTGCCTGTCTCATGACAGAATCCTCGTATATCTTGCCCTTGATGTCGTTGCAATCATCGCCAAGCCTATAGACAATCGACCGGAGAAAGGGTTTCGGAGTGTCGCCAGGCATGACAAGCAGGCTCGCTGCCTTCTTTATCACTCGCCACCTGATAAAATCGAATGGATCCATCATAAGCTTACCATTGTTTTGCAAGCATTGAAGGTCAGATATTTTGCAGGCAAGCTTATACATGGCCTCCATTTGACACAGCCCTTGCTCAGGAAGACATCTCTTTCCAATAAGCTGGTTAGGGTGATATCTACCGTGCTCTCCAAAGATGTCCCGAATCTTTTTAAACTTGCTCGAGTTGTCGGAATAGTGCTTGAATACCTTTTGCAGTGCCTTATCATTAGGGTTACGCTGAAGATGAGCATGTGCTTCTCGCTTCTTCTCGGCTTCTGGATCTTGTCTCGCCAATAAGGCGTCGAGCGAATCCCACGAGCTCTCCTAGTACTCGTGAGATTCGTTGATCCGCTGCACTGGCGTTCCTAGTAGTAAATATGGCTCCACATAAGTCTTTCCATCGGGTGAAAGCTTATATACTTGCTCAAAAGGGGTCATGAGCAGTCTCTCCAGGGTGGCTACATCCTCTTCAGTGTCCAGGCAAAGCGGAGTAATGCCTGTTGTCTGATGAAAAGCTGCCATGACGAGTGCCTGAGTGAGGATGATGATGGGAAATGACGGATGGCTTATGATGCTATAACCAAGTGCATCAGTAGATGAATCACGGAAAGATACTCGGCATTGACTCACCACACTGCAATTAATCCGTCTCACAGTGAATCATAGGGCAGCAACGGCGCGCGTACAAAGCAGACAGTAGTGAAATAGCTCTCTCAAAGTTGCTGAGGTGATGTCACTCTTGCAGCGCTGTATGCTGAGACAGAAGTTGAGGTCTTTCGTCGTGAAATATCTGCTAACGAGGCAGAACGAGGGGGGAGGCATACCAGGTAGATGGAAAGTTTAGGAAGAGAATTGGGAGAAGAAAAAAACAAGACTCGCATTTGTATAGGGGCTTGCTGCACGCGTACTCACGTGCCTGGAGTGGGCAGCGATTCTGTTTGCAGCTGGCGTTTGCATTGTCGCCTCCAAGTGGCAGCCAGGTGATGGCAGATGACAGTTGAGATTCACCTGCATGGCCGTCAGGAAATCGGAGGGTTTTGGTCTCAAGTCAAGTAAACAAACACGTTTAGCAAGCACGTTTGCAAGAAACAGAAATACCCATCCCCAACTCGGGGCTGAACCAACGCAGCTAGCATTCACACGAGATAGAAAGGACGTGGTTCCGTCTCGCAGTTAATCTTGGATCTGGAACACTGGAGCCATCACTTGAATTTGCTTCGTTTCTTCTATGTATGGCAGCAGGCTTGATGTCTCTTCTGCCACCAATGTCACCGCCTACCTAAGCTACCAAGCGCCACGCCCCTGTCTAAGCCATATTAACTCCATCATCTCTATAACCAAAACAAACATTCATATGTACATGCATCCGTGCCCGTCTCTCAGAGCTTCGTCTCGGCCTTCTTCTTCCACTCGAGCCCCTTCTGTGACGGCAGCGCCACCCCGTCCTGATACCCGCTCGCCACATGGATTCCCTCCGGACTCCATATCCGACTCTCCAACAGCCCTCTGCCCGCAGCGGTTCTCGGCCAGTACACCTCCTGAATCCACCATCCATCGCCCTTCATCACGGCCTCTTCGGCGTTGACGTGCACATAGAAGGCATATGACAAGCTGGCCGCAGCGCCGAGAGTGTAGCCCCAGCCGAGATGGTTGGTCAGCATGATGAGTCCGTTGCGGTCCGCCTCAAACGCGTGTGCCACGATGTGCGCATTGGGATCGTCCTGGGCAATTGGCTTGTGTGGCCGATACAGGATGAGCTGACGCCGATCCGGGACCTCTTTGCCAGCGTTGTAGGCCCTCATGTCGACCTTGTACATGTCCAGCATCGGAAACCCCCCATGGCCCGCGTTGGGGAACAGATCCGTGACGGCCTCAACGTCCAGCTGAGGACTGGCCTCCCATTCGTCTGGCGCGCGCTGCGAGAGGATGTCGGCATATCGCTCCTGCGCCGACTTCATCTGCTCGTCTGCGGGAGAAGGCATGGGACGCTTGAACGTTGTTAGACAGGCAAACCTGACGTCGCCCAGTGGCCGATCTGCGTCAGACAGCGGGTACGGCCCTTTCGGCTGACTTGATGCTTCTGTAGGCTGCCGCGCCTGGACAAGCTTGGTTGCAAACGTGCGACTTGAGTGGATGTCTGTCACGTCGTAGACAAACGGTCGATCCATCGCTCCGGGCTTTGTGAAGACACCCTGGATGGACTGCCCCAGCACGGGTTAGTTAGCCATCACGACATCTCTTTTCAAACGAGGCTGCATCAAAACTCACATGGATGCCAAGCTTGCCCGCTCCATTGCCGGATTTGTCCTCCTCTTCCACCGCCTTGGCCGCAACCAAAGGTGCCTGGGCATAAACGTGTCCTCCAAATGCCGAGGGTGGGAAATCCGTCATGTTGCCCTTTTTGAACCCATCTGGGTTGGCTTTCGCCCAGGGCAGCTCTCCGGCAGGTCTCCAGGCCGGCGTATGGCTCATGAATCTCTTGATGCCACCTCTGGAGCTGCTGTCGGGGACCCGCGAGAACTTCATTGTCTCGGAAAAGTCCCTGCGGACAATCACGTCTTCGGAATCAGCCATTGTGAAAGGCGGTTGCTCGGTACCCAAACTTGGTGTTGTTGCTCCTGGTCTACACGGGTGTCTTTTTCTACGCGCACATACTGCAGCATATGCACATGCATACGCACCCAATCACGAACCCGCGCGACTATAAGTATGGACGGCCATGGCTATAAAGCGTGCTTACACTGCGTGGAGAACCGGGGTCGATCTGGTCTCAGATGGAGAGTCGCACTGAGCCTCGGCTCAAGTCCGTAGCCGGCACGGTAGCTTGGCAATGCTACAACGGGCGCGCCAGCTGAACGGGCAGTGAGCATGTGGAGCCTCACCAAATGCCGCCGGGCTTAGAAGGGCGATGGAGAGAATTTAATGCTGATGTGGCATTAAATAGTGTTGTGTTACGCGGCGTCTGATGAGTGTGACTGGCTACATGGACGGTAGCACACAACTCTATCAGCATAGCAGGCTATGTAGATCTTTGGTCATCACGATGCTAGTTTCGTTGGCAGCGTAGCCCGGCTGTTTGATCACCGCTGGCAAACGGGCTATGATACGGCCGCGGCGATTGAAGCAAACGCAAGGCACACGTATTAAGCATCAGTGGCATCAGCCGTTGTGCCAATGAGAATAAACACAGGATTCCACAATACATGGAACCGGAACTGATACATCTTAATTAACCGGGAAAGATCTAAACATGAGTGTCTGGCGTTGAATTAACCACGGCTTGGAAGAACTATTGTGAAGCAAACTAAAGTGCCCGACTAAATTCAGTAGCGGCGAATGGCCAATAAGGGGCCAAATGATGACCTGGGGGCCAATGCCGTTGGCTGATTTCCGAGGCTGCAACTCAGATGCGAATTGGCATCCAGCAACGACTCGACCGAACTGGATCCATCATTACCCCAATACGGCTAGCAGACAGAGCAAGCTGTATGTATTATGCTAGTATAATAGTAGACTCAACACGTAAACAATGTTTAGTTAGCTGCAGGCTGTAGAGACCAAGTATTGAACAATTTGTTGCATCACCGAAGCCTCGTTCTTGGGAAACGATGGCTAGGGGGCACCATATGAAGTTGCCCCAGCTACAGCCTATGATGATGCACTATCACGAACGAGGCACAGCGGCCCAACACCGTCGATACAGCTAAAGCACAGCTTACCCTATATCATCACCACAAATGCCGTTTTTTCTTTCTCTCTCTCTCTCTCTCTCTCTCTTTTTTTTTTTTTTTTTTTTTTTTTTTTTTCAGTATTTGGCATTTCAAAACAATAGCAGCAGCTCCAGTGATGATGCTTTGCATTCTCAATTCCATTAGATAGGCATGATTATTTCAAGTGGTCTCGCGATTGATAGCAAAAGTCTATTCATAATTAAATACCATCCCTCCCCTGTGATTCGCTCTTCAACGCGGTTTCCCGTGTTTCACTACCAACGTCAAAACGTCGTCATCGACTTTCGCGTACAAGTCATGCCACTATGAGCTCCCTGCAAACGCCCACTTTCTGTTTACAACAACTTCATCTCAGAATCTCACTTCACCACAACTACCAGCATTTAATTGGCTTACGACTCACACATTAACTGCGGCAAAATGTTTTCTTGGAAGGCGCTGAGCAGGCCGTCCCAAGTTCGCCATGACGAGGAACACCAGCCGCTGCTCCCTGAATATGACGAGGCGACGGAGAGGCAGACTCGCCTGCATGAGAAGCTTCACACGTACCAGATGCTGCGGGCTCTTTCGAATGGCTACATGCCCTCAAACGAACAAGTCATCACTCACCTTCGCACCTTGCTGGCGGCTGATGTTCTCAACCCGCAGACTCCTGGCCTGAGTCCCTCGGGCAGGGCGCTGGTTCGCACAACTCGCATATGGCTCGGCGAACTGATCGACTTGTTGAAGTCCAAAAACTCCAAAGACCAGATCCAAGATTTTCTCTGGTACTTGGCCAAGGCACGGCTCGAAGTAGACACATCTGAAATCCACGCCAGGGCTACGATGGCGAAATGGAAGGCTGACGCGATGGCCGCTGTCGACAGTCTCAAGACCGTTGGATCGCTTCTGCTTACCAATTCTGATTTTCGAATTTTCTTAACGGATCTATCTACTGTTTCGCGTGAGGTTTTTCGGGATACTGCTTTTTCACTGAGAGATGTAGCCCATGATACGGGCAAGAAGCTCGAGCCCGCAGAAGAAGAGCAGCAGGCTCTTAAACAGGCCGGTGGAGATGAACAGCCCGCGCCTTCAACGGAGGACTTGCAGGAAGAAGTCATGGAAGTAGCGGAAATCGTCACGAGTGGCGCTGGCGACGTCGTAGGCACAGCGGCCCGCAGCGCTCGGGATCACCTCCAGGGAGACGAGCAAGAGGCCTTGACGTATCGCCTCAAGCAAGCCGTGCTGAAACTCCGCAAAAGGCCAAATTATTCAGATTCCGTTTCTACGATTTCGCTTCTCCTCAGGCGCTATCTCAAAACTTACGCGCGTGCTGCGGCTTATACGGCTGAGGTTATTGAAGATGATGTCAACATCAACCCAGAAGCCGATGAAGCTCTGCATGATTTTTGGAAGCTAATTACGTCATTCGGTAGCAAAGACGCGTGGGATGAAGTCGAAAAGTCATTCCATCAAGTTGTGGAAATTGGCCAGTCCGATCCGGCATTTGAAGATCTTGTAGACCACGTCTCTAAGCTGGTGCAGGATATCCTGATGGATCCAGACTTTTTCAGCAATGCGGAAAAGCGTTTTGAAGATGTTCGCGATAGGTCGAGAGAGCTCGCCACGGAAACTTCAATCAGGGACAAGCTCGATGACCTGCTTCGTAGTCTGAGCTTGGCCTTGCGCTCTGTGGGTGAGGATGCCGAAGTTACTCAACTCACGCGCAGTTCAGCTCGCATCGCGCACATCATCTCGCCGCCGAATCAGTACTTCAACACAGAAATGACCTCCGATTTAATCAATGTGTTCCTACCAGTGTTGATACAGGCGGTTCAGTATGTGCCGATCCCACGGCTCGAAGTTTCGACTCCGGATGTCGATTTGCTTGTTGAAAATTTAATTTTGGAGCCTGGCCGCACAGTCAACAATTCTTCGTTCCTCCCGTATAGGCTGCAGGTTTCAACTCGAAATGATGTCGACATTCGTAAAGCTCGCTTTCAGATCTTATCAACCGTAACGTCCCTGGCTACGATCAAGATCTCGGGACTGTCCATCGCGGCGGAGGAGCTGGGATACTGGCTGCAGTTGCATTCTGGTATACTGGGATTTTCCGACAAAGGCATTGCGAGCATCGAATTGGACGAGCGTGGCATTGACCTGATTCTGGATATTGAAATCGGCCGAGACCGACTCGAAAAGATTGTCTCTCTGCGCAAAGCCAGCGTTCGTATCCACCATCTCAATTACACTCTTCGTGGCTCCAGGTTTTCATTCTTTGGCTGGCTTCTCAAGCCCTTTATCCGGCCAATTGTGAAACGGGCAATGGAGAGGAGCATTGCTTCCACAATCGAGGACGCACTGCACACTCTGAACCGAGAACTCGTCTTTGCCCGAGAACGTTTGCGCGCAACCCAAATCGCCAGCCCAGAAGATCTATGGACTTTTATTAGAGCTGTGGCCGCTCGACTCATCCCCAGGCCACATCCAGATGTCGAGGCTCGTATTGGCGTGCGTCCGGAGATATTCCGCGGCCGTTATGCGCCGGGAAGCCTGGTGGAGCTCTGGGAGCGTGAAGCCCAAGATGCCAGCCAGAAAATCTACGAGTATGAAAGAGGCGGATGGCGCAATGACATATTCGGTGTGCGAACTCGCCCGGCGTAGCTAGGCTTGCAAGAAGCAAGCAACAAGTAATCAAAAGGGGGCCTGCTGCTTTGTGTGACTGACTCGTCATATCTGGCCGTGGGTGTACAGCATCAAGAAACGACCTGCGGCGACGGCACAGCTGACTTTTTCGCTTATACAGAGTAGGTATCCCGAGTGGTTACGGAGTACGTGCCGCGCAAATATTGGCTGACTGCTTGGGTTGAAGGAGCGGATGGGAAAGGATGGTCGTGCGAAATAGCCACCATCCATAATCGGATATAGCGGGCGGCTTAAAGCCTGCCGTATGCTTCTTTTGTCGTTTGTTGCTGATCAATCGTCGCCTCATCGGTCAGGACTCGCCATCATTCTCAACTCGGGCAGCGAGTAACCCCGCGATCTCCAAATGTTGGGCTGGAATATTTAGGCGGCCACATGGCCGTGCTGGCAAGATCGGCTTCTCAATAGTCTGGGCGGCTTCTTGGCTTTTTTGAACCTGCGGGTTGGAGGTAGACATGAGGTTAATGCAGCACTGAGTTGGCGGGAGGGTTTCGGGTAACACAACAGCTTGCTGAGGGAGTGGCTGAATATACTATTGGATGGCGATGCTGGCAAATTTGGGAAACGGCTTATTAGTTCGAAGGGTCGAGGTCAAAAGACGGCTGCGGGTGCTAGTAGACGCTATTACCACCACTGCTATATGTATGGATGTATCACTTGTCATTCCGTGATACGATTAATATGACGGACGATTGCCCAGGTGAGCGCCATGTTCAGGCTTGTGGGTTAAATTAGGGTGTAAAATAAGATCACAAAGAGGAGAAGAACTAAGACGGGCAAGAACTAGAAAAAAAAGGGCAAGATGATGGAATGTAGCGTGCAGCACCGGTCCATTTCCAGCTACAATCATGATGTGTGACTGGTTGGCAATGTCGACATATACAATGGGAGTCTAGAAATGGACCCTCGCCAGGCATGCAGGCGGGCAAAGGCCGATTCGACAATGCCCATCAACTGAACAAAAGCCGCCAAAAAGGTCCCAAAAGTGATTCATTACCCGCCTTTGGCCGTGCGTGTTCTTTGAGTGGCTACAAGGCAGTGGTGTGGCATTCACCACTAGTGACTAGCCAGGGTCGTTGTCTCTGGGGCCTGTGATGAACGTGACCACTTTCTCAGCTGCACGTTGGGTCTGGTTTGGTCTGGCCTGGATTTCTGTCGATGCGAATCCCGTGTTTTGGCGATGAGGGCTGGCGAATGGCGATTGACCGCGGGAAGAGAGAGAGAGAGAGAGAGAGGTGCGTCCTTTTTTAGTGGCGAACGGGGTTTGCTGATGAATGCAGCGTGCAGGTGGCCTATCATGGGGAGGAATATGCCAGGGCAGCGATCCGATTCGACGGGCATAGCGGGCAATGGCTTCTGTGAGTGTGGTGTGGTGGTGTGTTGTGTGTGTGTACGAGTGCGTACAATATAACACCCAGAGCAGCATCTGGTTTCACAGCAGCTCAATCTGGGGGGGAGACAGAGAGTCCGGAAAAGGGCAGGATTGGGTTAAACCCGAGATCTGGAAGCGAGCTGATGGATGGTATACCGTACCTGTGCTAGCGATATCAGGGCAATAAATTGAGTTTTTGACAGACGGACGTAACCCTTCTGCAGGGAAAATAAGTTATGTATGTATGTATGAATGATGTCAAGAAGCATGCTCGTTAACCTAGTGCCCGTGCTGTAGTACTGCTGCTAATATCGACCTCTTTGGCGTAGGGAACACCTTTCTCCACCAGCTTGCGGCCTTTGCTGCTCGTGATGCTGGTGGATTGTGGCTTCACGCTGGCGCGAGGGACTGTTCCCTAAGGGCGCAGTAGTACTAAAAATATCGTGAGACATATATGGAGACTCTCTTTGTCTTGCGCGGTCTGCCCATGTCTGCGGGATATGCACACGTTGCCTCATCCACGAGGGCAAATCAAGTCAATCGTATTCCGTCCAGGCCGTGCTGCTGCACGCTCGGCATTGTAAAAGCGATGCTGGCCGCAAAAAAAGCACAGAAAGTGAATCCCGGTCGCAATAAGAACCCCTGTCGCCAAAAAAGCAGCTATGAGCTCCGTTCGCTGCAAGAGACGGGACGATGATGTCGTCTTGCAGCAAATCCTGAACCTGGGGATTTTCTCACGCTCTCGTCTTATTAGGGGAGTCTCCAGCAACGCTAACACACACAACGCCGCCTGTTCGCCTGTTGTGTTCGTACGATGGATGCATCGTCCAGCGCCCATCCAGCACGCAGCCCGCACCTCCAACTCGCAGATCGTGATCCCTGCCACAGCCGGGCTCTGCGCTTTCTCTCGTACTTCCCCGGACCATGGAATGGCCAGAAGTGGAAATCCGCTGCGTTGGCACCACCACCAATCCCTGTGATGGGCGTTGGTCCCCTTTTCTTACTACCTACCAGTAGCGTTTCCCTATACCACGATGTAGCATTTTTTGCGCAAACCAATTCGAGACAAATAATTTCTTGGGGGGGTTTAGTTAGAGACACAAAAGAAGAGGGGCGAACCCGTGGCTTCGGGACGGTTGGACTGGATTGGACTTTTTCTCTGCTTTGCATGGGCCTAGCTTTTCCCTTTCTGGGGGAGCATGGTGGAATTGGGATGGCTTGCAGTCGTCGAGAAACGGACGTCGCCTTAGCTCGTTTCGAGGCTTCGGTCAACACCGCCCCATATTCATCCCCAGCGAACTCCCCGCTTTATGATGCGGCTTCTCCCAGCATCTTGGTCACTTCAAACACAAACCTCACTCCGTGAATGGGAAAAACAGCTGCCATCGACAAGAGCGAATTCGCAAGGGAAATATTTCGGCTGGGTTCTGCGAGCACAGGGCTTAGGACCGAGTCTTAAGCCTCTCGTTATTATTGCTGCTGTCTCGCAAAGGTGGCAGCAGACCTTCAGAGTGAATTCGGGAGCCCCCGTTTTCCGCTGCTCTCATGCCGCTCGGACCTCATATCGCGCTTTCTGCAGGGACACTACTCAGCCTGCAGCAGACGAAACCGACTTATCAAGTAATAGACAATAAGACCTGCAATTGACTGGGCGCTCAGGGCTGTTCCCACCGCTAGCATTTGAACAGCTGGCAGTATGCAAAGCTCGCTTGAGCCGGTGCAAACGCTAAGATGTCATGACCCTCTTGAAGCCAGCCGCCATGGTCGAGGGAGGCCAAGACAGAACAAGGCGCTGTCTAAGCGTAAGAGCTCGGACTTTCTGCTGGAGGCGGCGCCGCATCGACAGCGGCTTAAGAGCAGGAGTAAGACCAACGGCTGGAGACCCGACTTTTGTCCTCTACCAGAGAATGTTATGCAGTTCACGATATTGAATCACAGCACACAAAAGGCCTTTGAATTCTCATTAGACACACAATGGGCGTACAGGGGAACAAAGCGCTGTCGTCTGGGGACTGACGTGGAGGGCCCCAACACGGCCACCATCAGTCGCAAGAAGCGTCGCCTAAGGACGCAGCTCATCACCAGCAGGCTATCTCAGCCTTTCTCCCAGCCTGCCACGCACATCTTGAACCGAAATGGGAGGCAGGTTGGCGATCGGCGGTTTGTGAAGATGGCCATCACGCTTGATTCCAGCAGACGGGCTGCGCATTTGCAGGAGACGGCGTACTTGCGATATTCGATTATGAACTGTATGCGGAAGAGGATGGGTATCGCGAGATCTCAGGACTCGGGGAAGACAGGCCAAGGAGGCACGGTACGGCAAAGCATGGATACCTATGCCAAGGCGCCATGGCAATCCCGAGAAATGGAGTCGGCTCCCGAAGCAAAGGCAAGGTCTCTTGAGACTGGTCACAAGGCAGGGCTGGGTTCACAAGTGGCGTCGAAGGAGTTCTCTGATATCCAGTCTGCCGAGACACTCGTCAAGGCCCCAGCCTGTCGCCTGTCGAAGCCCATAGCTCTGCCGCTTCCCTCTGCTGATGCCGATGCCACGAATGACCGCAGCTCGGCTCGTATCGACTCGACAAAGTCACCAGAGCCAAGGCCACCGCTCTCGTGGATGTATGACGACTGCGAGGAAGACAGCTTTGCCTTCCTCCATCTGGACGAGGAGCATCTGGACGACGATGATTCGGACGTGTATTGCGACTTTGACGCCTTATTCGGGGCCAAGGCGACTTCACCTGACCCCCAGTCCCCTTCGGAAGAGCATACATATGAGGAGTACATGGATGAATTAGACGGAATTTCTTGGAGGGTAGGCTGATATTTGCTTTTTTTTTTCTCCCGTATCGCTTTGCGTGCTTTCACTTTTCTAGAGACAAGAGACGGTGGAAAATCTTGAAAAGAACTTGCATGCCCGGAAGTCACTTTGTATTTTTCTTTTAAAGGGCGGGGGGCTGGAAAATTACTGTATATTTATTCGCATGGCTTGGCTGTTGCTCAAGCCAAGGATGGGCTGCATGGCTTTTTAGGGGGGGAGGCGTTCTTTTTTGTTGGATGAATGTAAAGGCTATGGGCGTTGGCGGCGGGGACCCAGACAGTATTATGTCCCCCGGAAATGTAATAAGCTAGGAAGTTATGATATCAAATATCCCACCAATGCATATAGTGTGTATAATAATCGTTTTTTCAGAATCAGTTGCCGTTGGATTGCTTGCGGTTAGTATCTTCGGGGAGCTTGGAGGCCCTGGCTTTTGCGATATCGCACATGGCCTTTTTGTTAGGAAAAGAAAAAAAAAAGAATTAGCTCCACGGTAACTATCATGTGAGATGGAGATCCACGCTGGCTGTGCCTGGCCGTACCTGTAATGCAGCATCGACTTCCTTTGAATAGTCGCTTCGTTCGATCCGCATCCTCATGTCATCCATGATCTCGGGTCGCCCTCTGCCGTTGACAAAGACGACATATCTGAGTCCCGGAAACGCCTCTTCGTATTCCCTGTTCAACGTGGCCAACTCTTCTTCGGATCCCCCCTGGATATTTGCCTGTTCAGCAACGGACTGCGCTGATTCGATATTCTTCTCCCCAAGACGTGGATGAGATCCGAGGACAGAGAGCAGGACTGGATGCGGTTCTGTCTCGGCGGACTTGGCCGCAAGAGCAAGCAGTCTAATTTGACATACGTCTATCAAGTCGGGATAGGAGGTGTAGACGGCGGTACGGATGACTGGCAACAGGGTGGCGTGAATGGCTGGGCTGGGCTCAAATAGCACGTCGAGGACCTCTGTCTGCGCCAAATCCGTGTACGAATGAAGAGCCGCAATAGGGGGGAGACGCTCCAATGGCATGATGCAGTACGTATGCTTTCCTGGAGAGGAGAAATGACCGCTGAAATGCTATATGGTGTGTTGGTGTTGAGGCTGAATGGCGCCGCAGTGGGCAGAAAGCACCGAGAGCCGCTCAAACGATGCCGCGGAGAGAGGGCTGAATATAGGGGACTGGGCGGGGTTTGGAGGTGAAATGCAGCCGCAGAAAAGATCAACAAACTGGCAAAGAGCCTTGGGCAAAAGTCACTGAACGAAGGAAAAAGAAAAAACAAACGAATGAATTTGAAAAAGCAGAGTCAGACGACAGGCAAGCTCATCCCCTTAACCCCCCGCATTCCAGTGGAGCGACGAAAAGCAGCGATACCGAGTTGGTAGCGTGTTGAGCGGCGGGCTTATCAACTAGCATCACTATCAGCGCGTGACGTGCTTGGTCTGTGCGCCATGGAGCGGAAAATCTCGATCGGGATGCAGGTCGCGCGCCAGGAGCCGCGGGCGAGTCGCTGCAGAAGCTGGCAGCCTTGTTTGAGAATTCATCCAACCACCTCTAGACCATTTGATTTACAGCCATTGGCAGCTCACAGGAGATTCAAACGTAGTCGCCATGCTTTGCGGAAGTAAGTGGTGCACTGCTGGCTTTTCAACGGACTCATTTCCCTCTCACCACTCGGTCTTGCTTGCTTGCTTGCTTGCTTGCTTGTTGCATCTTTGCTAACTCAGAGTCCAGTCTCCGGAGAAGCTCCACAAGAGCCTGTCGCGTCCAAGAAGTCGGGTGAGTAGATTTGGAATTGCAATTCGCATCCGGCGAGAAATGGCCACTAACTGGCTCTTTGAAGGCGTCGTATACGAGAAGCGGCTCATAGAACAGTACATCAGCGAACATGGCGCAGAACCCAACGGCGAAGTTATAACAGCAGAGGACCTGCTGCCTATCAAGTCTTCTCGCATCCCTCGACCTCGGCCCCCTACCCTGACGTCGATTCCTGCACTCCTTGCGACATTCCAAAACGAATGGGACAATCTTGCCCTGGAGACGTACAACCTGAGAGAGCAGCTAGCACGGACGAGAGAAGAGCTCGCCACGGCGTTGTATCAGCACGATGCCGCCGTTCGTGTCATCGCCCGGTTGACAAAAGAGAGGGATGAGGCCAGAGATTCATTGAGCCGAGTTACTGTAACAGACGGTGCTGCGGCTGGCGAGGAAATGGTTGTGGATAGCGTTGAGCTACTACCAGAAGAGCTGGCAGCACAGGTGGACCAGACACATCAAAGGTTGGTGTTTCCTTGTCCTTGACTCGAAGTTTGACCCCATTGCTTACGATTTTTATAGCCTATCCAAGAGCCGCAAGAAGCGCCCCGTGCCGGAAGGCTGGGTTTCCACCGACGAGGTGTCATCATTTGAGCCAACAACGATCAGCTCGTTACCTGTCCCACAAGCCACGTCACTGGATCTCGAGGGTAGCTATGCGGTGGCAGGTGGATTGAGCGGCGAGGCGGCCATCTATTCTATTGAGGCGGATAACGTGGAGAGGACCGTGCCCGTCAATGAACCTGTAACGGACACTCTCTGGTCTGGGTCAAAGGTCTTCTTTGCGACCAGCCAGGGAAACATCAAAGTCTACGAGGCAGGCAACGAGATTGGCACCCTATCAGAGCACGCTGGAGCTGCCAGTGGCCTGAGCTTACATCCTTCTGGGGACCTGCTTGCGTCTGTGGGCATTGATAAGAGCATCGTATTCTACCACCTGGAGACGATGAAGCGAGTTTCTCGAGCCTACGCCGATGCTTGTAAGTTGAACCCCTTCTTTCTTTCTTTTCTTTTTCTTTTTCTTTTTCTTTTTCTTTTTCTTTTTCTTTTTTTCTTTTCTTTTTCTTTTTTTTTTTTGTGCTTGTTTCCGCTTGGTTTGAAATTTGCGGGCTAATCCATTTGATAGCTTTGACCACATGCGCGTTCCACCCTGATGGACACTTGTTTGCCGCGGGCACTGTCAACGGTGATGTCAAGCTATATATGACCAAGACGCTCGAGCAGGCTGTGGTATTCAAGCTCGGTGCGCCGGTTCAGGCCCTCGTCTTTTCCGAGAACGGCTTCATGCTCGCGGCCACAGCCAAGGGACAGACTAGCGTTACCATTTTCGACCTGCGCAAAGAGGGAGACGCGGCGGTTTCCAAGGTGCTCGAGACAGGAGGCTCAGTACAGTCGCTGGCTTGGGACTATACGGGCCAGTTCTTGGCGACTGGTGGAGCGACGGGCATCACCGTCCAGCAGTACACAAAGTCGAGCAAGAAGTGGAGCGAGCCGCTGCGGAACTCTGTGGCTGCCATTGCCGTTCGATGGGGCGAGTCGGGCAAGAAGCTGGTTTCTCTCAACGGGGAGGGTGTGGTGAGCGTGCTTGGTGTGAAGAACTAATGGGCTGTGGATGCAAGCCACTTTTTCCGGATTTGCTTGCTTTGTTGTTTTATTTCGTCCTAATTTTAAATCTGCACACCGGGACGCACTGGGAAATTGTTGCAATGAGGGGTATTAGATTGTGTCACTCGAGCTGTACATTTAAGAAAAAAAGAGCACAAGGGCATCTGCTTTATTACTATCTAGCTCTAGCTATTGAAGGAGGGCAAGCAATGATATGAAGCGAAAGACACATTATACGCGTGGTCTCTGATTTGGCTGAATGACACGGTCCTTTTGTCCAGAAGCTGAGGACATGTGAAGAGAGGGGGAAAAAATAGAAGTATCGACAATATATAAGGTGGTGCTGCTCGATTGTATATACCACTACTACTAGGTGCTAAACTCTATACCTGGTTGACGCGCAGAAATACGCCGTTTGAGAGCTGAATCCCCATTTTATATGCAAGGGAGACACAGAGGGAGGCCGGATAAAGGCAGCTGACGCCGAGCGAACCTTTGCCTGGGCGTTGGAATTAACCAATAGGGGAAAAAAAAGAGAAATAAGCAAAAAGAAGGCAAAAATACGACGGAATGTCTTAGAGTATTCATGCCTGGTGATGATTGGCCGCTCACTTCCGGGTCGAGTGCGGTTGACCTGATAATAGCGTCACTTTTAAACCCTCGCTGTTGCTGATGAGATATCGCTGTTGCTGCCTCTGTACTCTGTGCGCAGTGGGAATGCCATTCTATCGTTTTATTTCTCTCTCTCGTTCTCGCTCGCTCGCATTGCCCTTTATTCCAGCTGCATTTGTCATGTGCCGGGTGTAGCACCAACTCAAGCTGCTTGTAGGTGCCAAGGTGCGATCGTTTTTCGTTTAATAAGCTGAACGCACATCACGGCCAAGGTACCTCATAAGGGCAGGTAGGTAGCTTGATTGTCAACAAACAAAGCCACGGCGGGACTCGACTCGACGCCCTCGTCAGCCTTTGTAGCTGACACTCCTTTGAGGGTTGCTCACGGGGAAAAAGCGGGAAAAAAAGAGAGAATACCAAAAAATAGAATACACAGACAGTCGTTTCTTCATCGTTCTTTTTGCCCATCGCTCTAGTCGCTCATTTTTTTGCTGCCTACAGTATTATTGCCACCAGCTCAAGACGAAGCCCGCCAACATCTCCCCACTGGCTAACGTAAACCGCCGGCTGCGTGCGCTGAATCGCTCAAAGGCTATCAATCCCACGGCAGATACTGTGCGGCGGGCTTTTCTGTCGCTTCCCCCGTCGGCCTCTGATCCAGCGCCACCACCTCGCAGCAACCGGTGGTGAATGCCCTGCCCGCAGACAATCAGGCTGCAGAGACGCCTTTGAGGCACTCCCTTGACGACCGAGCCCTTCATTTGCTGCTTCTCTCACGCTTCTCTCTGCCGCCGCCGCCGCCTTCGCCCTCACAGTCGCTCTCGCCTCCTCGCCGTCTCACTGCGTCGATACCGAATTCCGCCGCCGGCGAACGCACCGATTCACCAGCGGAAAAATGTCGCTTGCCACGGACGACGGGCTGGTGTCAATCAGTGACGATGAGCTGATCGAAGTCCAAGTCACCCGAGCCTCCTCCACGACGAGCAACCGGCCCGCGGCTCCAGGCTCGATATTCGACAATATCCTCAATCCCCGGGGCATCACTTCGCGGGCGCGGGCAACCATGGAGAGCCTGGGCTTCCCCATGGCCGGCAGCAGCAACTCCAGAAGACCGTCCCAGTCGCACGTCCGACTTCGACCGCCGCACACGCAATCGACGCTTCCTCGCTCATGGACCACGACCCCAGACTCGACCGTCATCGACCTGACAGCAGAGCCAGACTCGCCCGTCGAGCGCCGAAGAACGCAGCCGACACAGACAACGCAGCAGCAGCCATACATGCCTGCCAGGAACCCGCGGAGGACGAATTCCCAGCGGATATCGCCGCCGCAATTATCCCGGAGCGACAGCACGTTTGTAGGGCAGCAGCCGAGCTTCATAGATTTGACCGAAGACTCGCCCGAAGACGAGCAGCGACCGAGTCGAAATGCCTGGCGACCGCAACCACCGCAGCCACAGCGAATCCACCGGCAGCACCGCCGACACCACCACCGCGGCCACGACCATACCACCCAGGAACACCTGCTCGCTCTGGGCTACATGCCTCACGGCCAAGACTTTGGCATAGAATCCTTTCGGAGATTAGCCGGCCTCATCACCGGCGATATGAGCCTCCCAAACTCGTTCAACTCCGCGCACATTCCTTCGTCGTCATCATCGCAGCAGCAACAAGAGCCACCAAAGCCCCCTCTGGAGCCTCTGCCTCCTGCGAAGCCGGGCTTCACTCGAGATACATGCACCGACGCCGACAGCGAGCAGGTGGTGATATGTCCTGCGTGCAACGAGGAGCTCGCCTACGACCCTGCGGATTCACCGGCCACGCCGTCCAAGAAGAGGAAGAGGGTTGCTGGAGAGCATCATTTCTGGGCACTGAAGAAATGCGGTCACGTAAGTGGGATATTTGTTTCAATTCCATAGCTTTGCTGGTCTATTGCGTCTGTATAACATTGAAGCTAATTTTGGTCAACACTAGGTCTATTGTTCCGATTGCTTCGAAAACAGAAGACCGACCAAATCCACCCCCGACGGCGTAGGCTTTCCCTTCTTAAACAAGGAAGCTGCTGGCCCTAATGACATACGCTGCGCTGTGGAAGGGTGCGAGACAAAGGTGGCTTCAAAGACCGAATGGGTTGGCATATATCTCTAAGAGAAAAAAAAAGGCTTGCCCATAGAAGAAACAAGTAAGAGAAGAAAAAAAAAAGACTCATTTTTTGGTCTACGTGTGCATATGCATATTTTTTTTTTAAAAAAAAAAACACAAACATCCCGAGGTTTGGTGGTTGCATGGAAATGGATCGATTGGATGGCATTTTTATATACATACGAGTCTGCATTGCATGAACGAGGAGCACATCTTTCAAAAACACATTTTTGTGCTTCCAAGGGCATTAACGGTACGGACAATGACGGATTTGGAGTTTCAGGGCCAAGGAGAAAGCAATTCTTTTTCACGTCTTTAGGGGTTTTCTTTTTCATTTCCTTTTCTTTCTTCGTTTACAGGCGTTGGAAGGGGGACAGCGAACCAACAACAACACATAGGACGGAATAGGATGGGGGGTTTTTTATTAGGGGTAGGTATGGTTAGCTACAACGCTCCCCCCTTTTTTTTTGCTTTTTGCTTTTCGTTTTACATTTGTAAATAGACGGATTTTTTGTTTCACGTTTGATATCTGGTAGTGTGGTTTTCTTTTTTTCTGTTATTGTGAAAGCGATACCCCAGGCCTTCTATAATAATCAATCCCCAAAACGTTTATAACAAAGGGGTTTTTTCTTCTAAATATAAATACTACATGTATGAATTATTCTTCTCTTGAAACAATGCTTCCTTCTATTGGTTATGTAGAGATCACTTAGAGAGACAATTAAGAATATTGAAAAGGTTTCCCTTTTGGTTTTTAGTGGATACCAATGAGACAGGATGAAATGATGTAATTATTCTTTTGGGAAATGAATACGCGAGTTTGTGGGCTGGGCGATAACTAAACCGGATAGAGTGTCATTTTGCTGAGAGGGGAAACTAAGGCAGCTAGCTACATGGCTGTTTGGCGGCATGTGATTGAGGAATGAGGTGAGAAGGATGAGGCTATTTTATTACAACCTACTTACATGATTTTTGAAGGACTTTTGTAGAGCATTGGATGTGGAGAGAGCTTGGGCAGAGGTGTGAGGTTATGTATTTGCAAGGACCTAGTAATTGTTGAAAAGGTTGGATAATTAAACGTCGGATATAGCTAGAGACAAAAGGGAAGAATAGATAATTTTCCAGTTGCGTTCGAAACAAAGGCTACGGCGTATATTATAAGTCACACGTTGCTGGCCCAAAAGAAAAAAAAAAGTTGATCTGAAACTTGTATGTTATCAAAATATATCTACAGCTAATCTCAATGCCTGTACCTAAATAAGAGTAAAAAGAAAGAATAAACTCCATCTTCGCCCTGAAATGCAATGCAAAGTCAACCAGTAATTCCCCAGTAATTCCCCAGTATGCCACCCAGTTCATGTCCCGAATCTGCATATATCTGCTGTAATAATCCGCCAGTTTATCTAGTCGCAAAAGGGGTATATCATTGTCTCATCATAGGCACTTCTCTTTTGTGCTAAATCATGTACATTATAAGCAAAGCTCCGTCGCCAGCTCGTCCATCCAGCCGCCGCCGAATTCCGACTCCTGAGAGGCCGGCGGGCGCTTAGACTCGCTGGCCTCGGGGGATGTATTGATCCCTTCCGGTTTATTGGCTGATTTAGTGGGTGTATTTGCGTGCTTTGGAGATGAGTATTGGTGCCTCGCCTCCTGAGCCAGTGTCCTGCTGGCGCTGTGAGATGTTAAAGAGGAGGGACAAGGTCGAATATTGGCGCCAAGAGAAGTAACTTTTCTGCTCATATTAGCCACAATTGGTTGCTGGGTATCCGGCACAATGGTCTTTGGATTTGTTTGAACGAGAGGCGTCCTCTGTGGTGTGGGCTTTACGGGAGTGCGGTTATCGTTCATGATTAATCTTTTTCTCGCTGAAAACTGCGGCATTCTTATAATGGCTGGGCTCGCTGGGCTCGCTGGATTCGAAATCCGGCTCTCATCACGTACTGTTCTGAGAGCTGCGTGATTGGCATACTTTGGCTTTAATTTGCCATCCGCTAGCTTCTCTTCTCGAGCACGGCGCTCAGCTTCTTTCTTTCTGGCCTTTTGGATTTCGGCAAGCTCAAGCTGCATTGTTTGTCGTCTCCGCTCTTCCTCTTGCTCGGCTGTTCGTCGACTACGAAGTAAAGCCACAGCCATCCTCTCATTGGATCCAGAAGCAGTAAAGAATGGCTTAGGTGGCTCGGGCGACGAAGATAGAGTGCCCGAAGGCAACGAATTTTTTTGGGATACCCGAGGTGGGTTCGGAGCTCGAGCTTCAGAGGCCAGGCATGATTTGAGGGGAGAAGAGATGAAGGTAGTTTCTTCTTCTTCCAACTCAGCCGCCTGCTGCGAGGACGTAGGAAAGAAATCGTCCATGTTAAAGAGGATTTGTTGAGTGCTGAGAGGCGGTGCTTGTGGTATAGCAGCTATTGGCGAAAGGGGGGAGATGGAGGGTCGTGAGGCTGAAGGTATTGGTGGCGGTGGCATAAGAGACGTTTGGTCACGTTCTTTTTGGCTTTTTGGCTGATGAGTTTCCTTGACGGGGCTAGAACAAGCGGCAATTCCAAGATCTATTTCATAACCGGTCGTCTTGCGAGTCGGCTTTTGAGAGGTTTGTGGTAAAGCCTTTTCTGTAGGCTTCTTTGTAGGCCGTTGCTGAGAAGTCACGACAGCGTCAAGAGCCAACATCTCCAATTCCAGATCCTCTTCATCGTCGAATATCAAGTCAAACTCTTGGAGAGCTATTGGTTCAGGGTTCTTGATTGGCATGGCAGGATTGGATTGTTGAGGTGTGGTCTTGTCGTGTAAATGGCTCGTCCTTTCTTCCACCGGTGTAGTGTTTAATTCCACACGAGGTTGCGGCGCTGCGACTTCCTTTGCCTTGTCCACGACAATATTTGTTACCGTCTCGTTGAAAGACAGCTTTGAAATCTCTTCATCGGACAGGATTTCAAACCCATCGAAGAAGTCATCTTCTATGATAGGCTCATTCTGCCTTTCCTCAGCAACATCAATCTCAGCACAGGTTTCTTCAGGTGCTGTAGACGTCTCTTCTCTCCTTTTCTCTACTTCCTCTTCGTCTTCTCCATTTGTCTCTCTTTCATTGCATAAGCGTTTGGGGCTTGGAAAATCGTCGTCGTCGTCATCATCATCCTCTGCTAGCTCGTCCACGACAGGTAATGCCGAGGCTTTCGCAGTATCTGTAGTCTCACCCACGTCTTCACTCTCACAGCCCCTCTTATGACCCAATCCATTTCCTCGGAAAAATTTGGCAATAGTATCTTGACTTGGCCGGACAGTCACCAAGGGCAGGCCTTTCTTCTTCTTCTCCTCCCTCTCCGCCTGTTCCTTTGCCTTCTTCTTGTCTCTCAAGAGCTTGGCTTTAGCCGCAGCTTTCTCCTTCTCAAACTCCTTTCGAATGCGCTCCTGTTCGGCTCTCTCTTGCCTTATGCGCTCGGCTCTGGATACACGTGGCACACGGTTTGCAGCTTGGTAGGCCTTGCGTACTTGTTTGGATGTCATTGGGCGAACATCGATCGGGGTTCGCTCGGCCGGCCCGGCGGGCGGTATGATGGTGAATGTCTTCTGAACCCCCATTTTTGAAAATAGGTCAGAGGAAACGAAGGGGAACTTTTGGGTGTGGCATCCTCAGCCATTGCAAGTCCGGTGATGATAATGGTGTTATTGTTGTTGTTGTCGCGGGGTAAGACGAAGCGGTGCACAGCGTGACGATGCTGACGCGAGGCCGATGCGCTATCACGTGATGAAGCACCGAGCTGCTCAGAGCATTTTGTATCTCGGATAGCGAGCATTGGAATTATTGAAGTTGTAGCTCATTGAATTTTGTGTATATCATTGGATTTGTTAATGAAATATGAAATATTGGTGTACTTGTGTCATATTATTCATGTCACAGCACCTATTCAAAACCTCATTCTATAGCTGACGACCAGTCAAAGCAGCCCAGCAATATACCACTTCTATTTAACGCCTTGCTGCAATCTCCTCTGCATCATTCAAATTCAGTCATCTATCGCCATGGTAATCTCTTAGTGCACACTAGCAAATACCAAAGATTGACGCTTCCATGATTCGGTCTATGTAGCTATCAACGTCTGCCTATGTATTTACGCTTCCATATGCAAGCACTGTATCTTGCATATGCCGGTTCGTCTGTAGTGTACAAAGCTCGGCATAGATTCATATAAACACCTTCCATCAGCTCCTTATTTTACCTGTCCAATGGCTCAACTGTAGGATCCCAAGCTATCGGGCTGTACTCCCCTGTCGTCAAATCCTTGACCTCCTCCTCCGTCAGCTCAAAGTCGTACAGGTCCGCATTCTCAGCAATGCGACTCGGCGTAACGCTCTTGATCAGGGGAACAAAGCCCTTCTGCAGACTCCATCGCAGCATCACCTGCGCCTCTGTCTTGCCGTACTTCTTTGCCGCCGCAACGACCTTGGGCTCGCCGAAGCGCTCACCGCGGACAATGGGGCAGTAGGCCTGCACGGCGATGTTCCTGGCATGGCACCACTGCACAATGTCGTCTCTCGGAAGCCACGGGTGAATCTCCCACTGACCGACGGAAATCACGCCGCCCTTGCCGGCTCCGCCACGCTCGGACTCGAGCTCCTTAATGTAGGCCTCCAGCTCGTTCAGGTGGTGCACGCCGTAGTTGGAAATACCAATGGAGCGCACTTTGCCAGCCTCGACGGACTCGACGAGGGCTTTCCAGGCACCCTTTCGGTTCTCGACGCCGCCATAGGGAGAGTGGATCAGGACGAGGTCCAGGTAGCCCAGCTTGGTCTCTTGGAGAGCGATATCGACCAGGTCGATGGTGTTTTTGTAGCCGAGAGGCTTTCCACGCACTGGGACTTTTGTGGTGAAAAAGACTTCTTCCCGAGGAACTCCAGATGCGGCAATGCCTGCTGCAGAAGGTCCCTGGTTGTGATACGCGGATGCAGAATCAATCTTCAACACATGTTAGAGACGCAAAGCCCTCAGGGGGAAAACGGCATTTCATCGCTGAGATCTGGATGATTTGCTTACATGTCTGTATCCAATTCTCAGAGCCTCTTTGCAGACTTCAGTTGCCACAGACGCCTGCCTATAAAAAGCGTCAACAAAAACAGTCTACTTCCAAGCTTATTCAAAGCTAAACAAACGTTTGATAGACCTAAATCAATGGCGCGCCAGTAAGCACCGTGTCGGCAAGGTTAAGGTCACTAGGCACTCACTCCATAGCCCAGAAGGGGCATGGCATAGCCGGAGTTAAGCTTCACCACAGACTGGAGCGTGAGTTTCTGCGCCATCTTGTCGGGATAAGTATGACTGCGACTTATTGAGGGAGAAAGGTGTGTTTTGAGAAATAGGAGAGAGACAAGAATAAAACAAAATACAGAGCCAACTGACTGTTTATATAGATATGCTAAATGATGTCAGTTACGCCATTGAGGGGTTGGAGGGGCAATTCACCGATTAGCTGATAAATGCGGTGTTTGCACGGAGAAGAGAGCGATTCTGCCTACAAAACCCGAGCACTTATGGCATCTTTTCTCCTATTTGGGAGCCGTGGCATCTGCTTAACGCCGAGTTTTAGGATCGACAAATCACATAATCGAATGCTATTGATTAATACGCTAATGTGCCTGCAAGATGCATCCATGATCTCTTCTCCAGCACCCACAAACAGGTTAGTAATAGCTGGAACAGGCAGGCAACAAATAGTACGTGGCATAGTGAAAAATGCTTGCATCGTGAAATTCTTGATTCATAAATTCATTGTTGATCCCAAAAGCTTTTTGTATATATCCAATTTCAACCTCTAAATGACGCTATCCAACATGTCTATTTCGTCCTCCTCATTCCGTCTATTGGGTGTCGGTTCGGCCTCTGCCTCCTCTTCTTCGTCCTCGTCCAGGTCGTGCATGGGGTAATTCAGAATAGCTGCAATGTCTCCCATCATCTTCAGTCGTTGTCCGCTCTCGTGGTCGCTGCTTAGTATTCGCGCATCGCCGCCGTCGAGCTTGACCTTGTCCACCAGCGCAACGTACTTTTTCCGTGTCGCGAGATCCTGACTCCTGAAGAGGGAGTTGTTGATTAATAGGACTCCTCCACCGGGCCCAACTGCGCCATCGGCAATGGCCTTCTCCACGGCTCTGCTGCCGTACCATGCTCGCCCGTCGTCAAGCTTGAGCAGGTCAAAGAAGTTATCAATATACTGCGCCTCCTTTGCGTAATTCATGTCCTTCATCTTGGCTAGAACTTCGGGGCTCTTGAGAACCTCGTTTAAGCTGTGGATGTGCCCTGAGTTGGCGTGGATTACTGTCGCTTGCCTTGCAACAGCCGTGAGAACCTTGTCTGACTTATCCCGACCCTGCTTTGCAATGTACTCTTTGAAGTCTGTCGCAACAAAGCCGGGGCTCGCTATTAGCAACGGTCTTGACTCGGAGAAGTCGACGGCTCTGAGTAGCGATGAGAGTGTTTTGTCGTAAAATCTTCGCATTCCTGCGTCTTGGTCGGACGCAGTATCGCGCTTTTTGGGCACCACGCTCTCCACGCGAGTCTTTAGAACAGTTCGGAACTGGGTAATGAGACAAATGTTGGCAAGGCCTTCTTGCATGACTACGGCAGCCATGGCACCGTTCTTGTCGTCTGATAGCGCCTGCGCCAGGGTGGCCTTGGCTACACTGTCCCAGCCATCGGGCTTGACCACGGTAAATGACCTGTTGATCTCGATGTCGAGTGTGTGATGCGCGCCCATAGAAACATGATCGTTCTCGGCGGCAACGACGCCAGAGACTCGGAGTGAAGAGACGGCGGGATCGAAAAAGGTTGACTTGACCCGGATGGCCAGATTTGTGTGGACTCGTTCGGCGGCGGGGACGCCCGTGCCGGGGTTGATGTTGACGACTTTTCGGACGGCATGCGCATGGACGAGGTCGCCGGGAACTATCAGATTATATGCATGCCACTGCAAGAAGGACGATGCTGTTAGCCGGGGTGGAAGCCATTGTCACGATGCCCTCAAGTCGCACTGCAGCGGGGCCGAGCATGATGCAGCTTACCATGTCTTCTGGGTCTTCCGGCAGGAGCGAGACCTGCTCGTCCTCAAACTCCTTGGGTATGTGTCGCGATACGAGCTTCATGGTGATTCTGGGATCAAATCGTGGCTACAGCTCTGGTATCCTGGTCCGCAAGCAGAGTTGATGCAATGCTTGTTTTGCAAATGAATGCCGTCGTTGGGGCGAGAATCTTATCGGGCCTAGGCTTGAGCCGATAAGCTCCAGTGGCGCTGCGATCGCTGCCTGCAAATGATTTGCGCCGCCTATGCGTCATCGCTAAGCATCCATCCACTAATAACGCATGCATTCATCAGCCCTGAGCCTCAAACTACTACCGACCCGGCATTTGCTGAGATCTGTTTAGGACTTCAAGTTGGTGCTGATGGTGCCTCTGCATCTGCTTGCATAACTATTTCTGCTATTACTTTCGTATAAAGCAGTTTTGTTTACTATCGTCTTGTTTTCTTTCTTTTTAACCTTTCACGCCTCTGGACTATGAGCGAATAGCAATGCCTACTATATACAGTGGCAGTCTAAACATTGATGTTTGCAAAGACAGTACTAAGCTACATAGAAGTCAAGGTAACTTATAGTACTTTTTGTGTTAATAGTTTTTCGCACAAACCAAAGTTGGAGGCTAGGATGAAAAATAAAACCTATTCTTGCACATGTACTGGTTGATGGTTCTCTCCGGACCTGCAATAGCCTAGCTTAATATGCCTCTTTGGCTGCCGTGTAAAAAAGTATTAGTTTCAACAACCCTGCATGTCAAGCAATCCTGCGATCCTGCTCAAGGCTCCCCCGCCAGCCACCCAGAAGTGACGTTTCCTGAGTCTTTTTCTTTACTTTTTTTGAAACGTCGTGGTGGATATACCAAGACAGGCAGCTGCGGGACAGCAGGACAAAGCGTCAGCTATACTCGCATTCGGCTGCTGTCAATTGGCGCCTTGCTGCGAGAGCCTATTATACATACAGCAATCCATGCTAGCAGCGCTCGAATCTTACCCTTTACGGCGCTGAAACTGCGCAGCCGTCCAGCACGCTTTGCCCGAAGAAGCCTCTCCATTCGACGACCCTCCTGGCACTTGCGCAAGCGATGTGGCAGCCGCGTCATTTGAAGTAAGGGCCTCAGCCCGGACAATGCGGCGTGCTGCTGCAGATTGAATGGGTAGCCTAGATGAGAATGCGCTGTTGGCAGAATGCTGCTTGTTTACTGTATTTGCATGCGAAGTAAACAGCGTCTTTGCCCCATAAGGCAGTTGCTGTGGGCACCCGTTCTCGGCTAGTTCGGCCGAGCAGACGCTCCAGATGGCGGCAACGCAACTGTGACAGGTTGGTGAGAGCTTTTCGGGACGGGCTGGAATGGGTTGTGCCAGGATCTGGGGCTGGGAGGGGTTGATAGCGGGCGGCATGAAGTCATTGATTCGCGTGCAGATGATGTGCACTGCACGGCATGGCCCTGAGATTGACAGCAGGCTGTGTTCTGCGGGTGCTTTGGCAGTATTACACGCAGCTTGGCAGTAGTTACAAGAATAGAATGATTGATTGATTGATTGATATGTACTTTGTCAGTACTAATTATCACGACTCATTTCGCTTTTGCGCCCACGGGCCCCGCGGCTCTTGGCGGGGAAGCGATGAACGCTTGTCGGACCGAGGCAGCTTTGGGACGTGGACGAGACAACAGAAGCTGCGCAAAATGACCGTTACGCGTATTTCGACATGCACGAAGCAGTCTCGGAGCAACAGTCCGGCACTCGCCCGCGTAAACCGACCCGGTCCTGCAGTCGAAACGGAGCATCTGCGCGACGGCGTCTCGTCAAGGTTTTGTCGCGGCATCGATTGACAGCTGGTACTGGAAGTGTCCGCAGCGCCAACGATAGCACGGACTGTAGTCCTCCAGTTTCTGCTTCTGCAGCTCACAAACTCCCCCAAGATCCCCATCACTCACTAATCAACCACCTCCGGCCCCTAAAAGAAAAACACTCAATAATCGCAGCGCATGGATCAGGGCACGGGACGTTCCAAGGGGCGCCGATAGATGAGAAACAACGGAAAAGCCCCATCTCCACAAGGCAGCCTTGGATCCTGCCGCGAGGCGCAACGCGGACAATGCGTCATCATGCCACCACTGCTGGGCTGCTTGGCAGCGGGTACTTTGCGCTACTTCGTATTGCAGGCCTGCAGCTTGTACCTGCTCTTGCCTCGTACAGCACTATCCATTTCGGGTCATCGAGATTCGGACATGGTTTGGCACTTGAAAAAGGCTCTGGCGTGCGCCAAGTGCGACTCGTTTCTTTCAATTTTTCTCTCGCCTTCGTACTCGGACCGGGACTAGAGACAATAAACAGCCGGTGGCTTGATTTTTTGCTTGAGCTTTCGATTTTTGTTTCGCCATCTCAGCTTCAGCTTGTACAGTATCCGTCCCGCCGTCGTTTATTTTATGGATTGCATCACCACATGATCAAGCGATAAATAGTTGCCCCCCTTCATCGCACCTTAAATACATCTGGGATATTAAGCTCGCCTTGTGCCCCCTGGTTCGCTGCTCCACCACCGCCGTTTGAGCCTGGAGATCTCGAATCTTCGGACTGCTGCGTAAACTGCGCGGAATCAAGGCTCAAGTTGAGAACGAGAACGAGCCCAAACCAGCTGCTCCTTCGGCCTCCATCATTCAGGCCGCTGTCCCTGACCAGGTCCCCGAAGCTGGCGGATTGGCCTGCTTATACGGAGCACTGTAGCTTTTTCTGCTAGGGGCTGAAGAAGGAAAAAAAAAAAAAAAAAAAAAAAAAAGACCTTCGCCGCTTATAAAGAAGCTTAGCCGGCCCACTCGGACCCTGGACGTTGTCCGGAGTCCGTTTTACCTGCATTTGATTTGACTTGATTCGGATGTGAAGCCAAGCCCGGGGTCAGCTCGTGACTCGACCTTCTCGACTTTTCTGCGAGGCTCCCAGGATTGGCTGCATCGTGTCAGCCTTTTGCTGCTCCTTCGCTCTGCACCGACTTTTGCTGTGCATTTCATCTGACCAGCCCCCCTTTCACCGACCCGAGCCTCGAACCTCGACTCTTCACCACCACTTACACACACTGGCCATCACCGCCCTCGGGTTGCTGCGACTTCCCGGCGAGGCGCCTTGTTTCTCCCAGTGTCGTTGCCATCGCAGCATGGAATATGCCTCCACCAATACCAGCGACTGTAGACGACGGCGACAGCCAATTGGCCCCCAAGAAAGACGGTAGCACCAAACATTCCACCAACGGAACCTCCGGCAACTCCGAGTCGCAGCCCGTGCCGATTGTGAGGCGATCAACAACTCGACTGTCGCGCATCTCGACTCCGCAGCTGCAGAATGGAAAGGACCGGGAAGCCAAGAATGTGTCGGTCAGGACGCTGTCCTCGACCCCGCCAGCGGCGGCGACACTGGACCCTTTGAGCAATGTAAGGATATATACCTTCGTGCATTTGTCTTAGACGAGATCGGTACGATGAGATTACTGACACAGACGTCATTGGCTGCAGCAAATCTTTCTGAGGACCAACAGCGGCTCTCTTGAGACAGCCACCTCTTTAGCCCAGCGCTTGCGCAACTCTACCAAAGCCGACAGTCCCACGACAGAGACCTTTCCTAGGAAGAGCATAACTATTGAGAACACTGCTCGCTTGGCAAATGGCTCGGCTGACTTGCCCAAAGATCGAAAGTATGTTGCGTCTTTCTTGTTCACTACTGTCAAATTTCTGTTTGATCCATCTTGCTCATGATTTTTGCTTTGTAGGAAAGGAACTTCGTTTTTGAGCCGCCTGGCCATGCGCAGCGCCTTCAAGAAGAACGACGATGATGCGCCCGACTCCGACTCCGAGCTCGGTGAGCTACGCACCGAAGGAAGTAGCGCTCGTGCTCCCATGTCCGTCATGAGCGATGGCGGCGGCTACATCCCACTTTACAAAGAACCCCCCCGCTACATTCGCGTGAGGTCACATAACAGCAAGCGTCGAGACTTCAACCGCCTCTTTTTAGCCCAGGAGCTGTTAGGTCCAAAGCCGGAGAAAGATGATGAGCCGTCGCAAGGTCGCGCCCCTGCCACCGCAGTGGGCACAAAACTTCTCAAGGCTGGCGATGCTATCTGGGCGGCCGAGTTTAGCCTTGACGGCCGCTACCTCGCCGTAGCTGGCAAAGACCAGGTTGTGCGAGTCTTTGCAGTTCTATCGACCGAGGAGGAGCGCAAGGCGCATGAGCAAGAGGAGGAAGCAGAAAGGGATGCGCAAGGCAAAAGCAGAGGAGAGCGACTCAGCGCGCCCGTATTTCGAAACAAGCCGATTCACGAGTTTCAAGGCCATACTGGCGAAGTGCTGGCGCTTTGCTGGAGCAAAAACAACTTCCTCTTGTCGACATCAATGGACAAGACTGTGAAGCTCTGGCACATTAGCAGAGATGAGTGTCTTGCTACGTTTACGCACCACGATCTAGTTACCTCGGTAGCTTTTCACCCCACCGATGACCGCTTTTTCCTCGCGGGCTCCCTGGACGCTCAGCTCAGACTGTGGAACATACCGGACAAGACAGTCGCTTTCTCGGCATCTACAAATGAATTCATCACAGCTGTAGCTTTTTCCCCCGATGGAAAGATGGCCATTTGCGGGGTGCTGAATGGCATGTGCTCGTTTTACGAGACAGAGGGGCTTAAATTAAAGTTTCAGATCCATGTCCGATCGTCAAGAGGGAAAAACGCCAAGGGTAGCAAAATCACAGGCATCAAGACAACTGCCACCCCGGGAACAGGCGAAGTCAAGGTACTGATTAGCTCCAACGATTCGCGCGTGCGAATCTACAGCTTGAAAAGCAGGATGCTCGAAGTCAAATTCAAGGGTCTGGAGAACCAGTCCAGCCAGATCCATGCTCGTTTCAGCGATGATGGGACATACGTCATTTGCGGTAGCGAAGATAGGAAAGCGTATATTTGGAACACAAATGCAACAGAAACCGACACGAAAGACCGTCAGCCTTATGAGTGCTTCGACGCCCACCCAGAGGTTGTCACCACCGCCCTAATAGCACCGACACGGACAAGACAGCTCTTAAGCGCCTCGGGAGACCCGATATTTGACCTCTGCAATCCGCCCCCGGTCTTGCTTCGCAGTCTTGATGAGGCAGCGCTGAGTCAAACCGAGGTATCGGAAACAGGCGCCGAGATCCACCACCAACCGCCCAGTATCAAGAAGCCCGAAGAAAGCCCAGCCTACATTGAACGCTGCAAACATTACGACGGAAATATCATAGTTACAACAGACAGGACCGGCACCATCAAGGTATTTCGACAAGATTGTGCTTACGCCAAGCGCCAGCAGAACATGTGGGAGATAGGCTCCAAATCTTTTAGCAAAGTGAGCGGCCTGGGACGCAGCGGAAGCATAATTACAAGGACAAGCGGAAGCTTATCTAGACGGGCTTCGTTGAATCTGAGCCAAGGCCAAAGCGCCCAGCATCCGTCTGACCGGATTATAAGCTGGCGCCAAGATGTTGACGATGAGGGGCGGGCTAGCCTCAATGTGACGCCAGCAAGGAGTGAGCGATCTGCTTCGCCAATGAAAGCCGCAAAACCACCTGCCAGCATATCAACGGCGGTCAATCCCTCAGCCGAAGCCCGAAGGCGACCTATCCCAAGCGGCTCTCCAGTACGCGCGGCGCAGAGGAATAGTCTCGTCAGTCCTGCAGGTAGCGTGCGCAGTAGGCCATCGATGGGAGCGTTGGACGGAGGATCGCAGCCGCCGACGCCCAGCTTCAATTTCATCAGCTCGGCTGATGGAGAGGAGAATGAAAAGGACAACAGTTTTTGGAATCTCAGTCGGTGGAGAGGTAGCTTTTCGGGACTGCGATACTCGATAAGTGCAAGCTCTCCTACAGAGCCCACTCACGATGCTGCTGCCGCTTCTTCTTCTTCTTCTTCTGCTGCTGCTGCTACTGGAGCAGAGCAGTCTAAAGCTGCCAATGAGTTGCTCAAGCCGCCGAGCAGGACAGCTAACCGGAGGAGCATTGGGGTTACCGACCTCAACCGGCCCAAGGTTGTGGAAGATCAGACCAATCGCAGGAGGTCGATGGGCCCTACAATTCGAGCGAGCAAATCCCAGGAAACAACTACGGGAATGGATGTAATCGAGGAAATCAAATCTGATCAGTCGCTGCCCAAGAAGCGGGCGGACTCTGGTGTGGGGAGGATGAGTGATGACACGGCTGAATGATTTACGGGGACGATGTGAGAAAGAAGCGGAAGGAGAAAGAGGAAAAGTCCAGCTTAAAAGCAGAGCAAGTCTCTCTTGAGAGGAAAAGTTTTTCTTGGGCATCTAGGTTCTGCCTTGTTGATTTTGGAAATCAGGAGCTGTAATGCTCAATCTATGCTTGTTGCCTCATGGCTCTCAGACAGCAGCCTCGTCGGACCCCATTCTTTCCTTTTCCCCTTATTTTTCTTTCTTTCTTATAACGGCTGCATACAACAAGCGTGGAGTTTTTTTTATTTTCATTTTTGTCTATATTCATTTTTTCCTTCTTTTTCTTGCTATACCCAGCGGTGTATATATTCCATGGTGGAGGGAGGATATAACATTGGTGCTTTTTTTTTTATATATATGTATGTGTTGGAACACGGAATAAGACTCCTCTTTTGTGTATTACTGGGGCGCATTGTATGTAGAATTGGGAGTAGAGCAAATCAATGATATCATAGGTTGCTTGGGACACGAGAGATGATGAGCAAACTAAATAGAGCGTTTTTACGATGGCACAAGACTGGCTTTGTTTCTCTAGAAATTATTTGAAAATATTGCCTGTGACAATGTATATCTCGTTGAATGAAGATCAGAGTGCGAATTCAGACCTGATGTGATTTTCTTTTATTATCTTCTACTGTGCATTCTGTAGCTTTGGGGTATTCTCTCAAAACCAAAACCAGAAGATAGCATCATGTTGTGTGACCTGGACTCGACGACGTTTCTCTCCATCTCTCATTCCTCCAAATCGGTTTTTGCTGCCTCCTCCGTATTCATTTCTATTCATATTTTCGGTTTTGTGTATTTTTCTTTTCTTTTCCTTATTTAAAAGTCCTCGTTGGTAGAAAGCTGCTGTTCAAAAATAACCCCAGTATCAGCAAACCGCAGGTCCTTATTTCTTATTTCTTATTTGCTTTTCTTTTTCTCTCTTCTATACCATTTTCACAGCAAAGAAGTCCGTCGAGGATTGCTACTCACCTCGCCGCCCTTGGCCTTCTGGCTAAAACTCTCCGTCAGCTTGCTCAGCGCAGTCGGGTTCGCGCCGGTCAGGTTCTCCGTCTTCTCGCCGTTCTCGAAGAAGAAGAAGGCGGGGATGCTGCGGATGCCGAGCTCCATGGCCAGGTCGGCGACGTCGTCGGTGTCGAAGCGCGCAAAGGCGTACTTGTCGCTGCCGTGGGCGTCGGCGTGCTTGCTGAAGAAGGGGGAGATGGCCTTGCAGGGGCCGCACCAGGAGGCGTGCGCCTGGAGGGCGACGTACGGGGTGGTTTTGATGAGCTCGTCGAATTGAGCTTTGGAGGTGATATCGACGACGGGCATTTTGTGGTGGTGGTGGGGTTTTTAGTAGGTTTGTTTTTTGGTGGTTTGGTGGGAGAGAGAAGCTGGAGATGATGCTTTTGGTGTTGTTGCTGATGGAGATGTGTGTGAGAGGATTGAAAGTGGGTTGTTAGGAAGCTTTTATGCGGACTTTTTTTTAGTGGTGGAGAGAGGGAAAATGGTGGTGATGATGTAAGTGTAGCTGGAGGATATGGGTGGTGAGCCTCGGTATTAGTTGTTATATCGGATGATTAAATGTGTATTAATTTGGATGGACTATAGGAAACAGAAAAGATTTTGAAGCGGCTGGCATCATTCATTTATTTATTATGTATTATTTGTTATGCTTTGCATCTACAAGCATCCATCTACTCCTTTTCTTTCCATTGTAATCACCAGCATTACAAATGCCATCATCGCTCTTACTTTCCAAACAAGTACTACGGAGGCAGCGCTAAAGAATACCATGCTTCTCAGGGTACCTACATGGATCGACACGGCTGCCAAGTGTGTTCCTTTGCTATGGCTTCCAGGGCTAAAAGATACCTACTGCCTCTTTGGAATATCAGCAGAGTAATACATGGTTCCCCTTCTTTGGTGGCACGACCTGTTCTGGCCTAGTACTTGCGACGGACGAATGCGGAGCTCTGGGATTTTTTTTCTCTGGCGGGCGGGGGGGTTTAGGGCGCGATTGCGTGATTGGGGGTGAGCTGTTGGCCAATTTTGCTGACAAAAGAAGGGGATTGAAGGATGGAGTCGGTCTTCGGGTTCGGATGTCGCAGAGGGAGTTGGTCGGACTGTCGGCGGTGGATGGTTTACTTTGGTTATGACGTATATGTGAGTTTTGTATGCAGCGGTTGATTATTCAGATGCAGAAGGCATTTGAGATTGGATGTGTGCCGTGTGAGGCGTTGGAGCTTTGGAGCTTTGGAGTGGCGTTTCTCAGCTATACGGGTGGGGGATCATTATGGTGCTTGGAATATGGTGTAGTGCCACCGCAGCTGTCTTTCTTGATGGACGTAGTGATGGAAGCTATTGGTGTTTTCCATCTTCAAAATTCATCTTTATGGTCTTTTAAAAAGCAACTTATTTCGATGCGAAGCTCAGGTACAGTGATAACACGCAGCATTCCGCCGCATTGTCATCGACGGCGGTTTGTTAGGGATTATGCCCTTTACATGTGAGCGTAGAGGTAGTCTGGCAAAAGAAGCGCCGCGGGCTATAACTGAGTAACATGGTTGATTCTATGTCTTAATTGTAATAGTGACGGCAATGCTTTTATACTTATCTTTGTATACAGACTTGGTAGCCATCTGGCTTCTTTACACAGGTGCTGATGAGAGCAGCATGAGCATGATGAGTTGCTTCAAGTCGTCTAAGTGATACTCACGTCTGTCTGGAAAGTTATTTTTTAATGATCTTCTAGTATTTAATATAAATATAGTAACGATGAAGTGCAATAAGCTTCTGTAACGAAGCACAAAAGAGGTAGAAGACAATGTGGTAATTTGAGAGTCCTCAATTGCTGTTCAATTCTAGCGACTTCGCCATATATTAGGGCAAGATTGAACCGTTTTCGCTGCGTTTTCCTTTGCTTCCATATGTTTTTCTTGTAACTGGTAGACTCTGGTAATTTGTGACACAATCTTTGCATTTGCGCCGACCATTTGATGGGTAGACCAGGAGCAAGCCACGTTATCTCTCGTCTGTAGAAAGATGAATCCAGAATTGGTGTCTGGCGAATAGTAACTGCGCTGAGAACTTCATAATACATAAGATATCGGATGAGGAACCGATAATGTGCAGAATATTCCACGTTAATTTTTTGCTGCAAAGACACGCATCAGCTCAATTCTCCTTATACAGTGATAATACCAATCTGAGGCTTCGCCCTTCGTACTCGGTGGCGGCTACGAGAGTAGACGTGATATGACTTTCGAAATTTTCGTCCTTGCTGCGTAAATCTGATCGAATGGCCATGATGGCTTTTTCCAGTTGTGTCATAGCTTGCTGGCGGAAAGACTTGGCCATTGATGAATCACCAGCTGCTTGTGCTCGATGTGCCATGGAATAGGTTAGCAGAGCACTCATGTAGTGGTTATTACGAAAGGCTGTTGAGATCAACTGATGAAGCCTTACAGCCTCATTCAAGATGATGGAGGTAGCTGAGACTACATTCTCTTGGCAGCATTCTACGTGGGATGGCTGCTCTCATTCCAGGTCGCTTGGGTATGGGGAAGCATAGGCTGGGCCGTGACGAACGACATTGGTATTCCAGGAAGACATCTTGATATTGCTATCAGACTTACTCGAAAGCATCTCGGGTTGCTCCTGATCCGACAAGTCTTCCTCAGTCTCATTGTCTTTTGCACTTTTTCGCTAGTGGCAAAGTAGATGCATCATTGCTTGATGGTCTCAATACAAGAGCAAAAAAACTGTTGGATCTTATGTAGAGCTGGTAGGATCTTGACCTGCTCGGGGATGATATTGCCCCGTGCTATGGTTTCAATGCGAGGTCGAACAACACGACAAGACAACCCTAGCCGAGAACAATTTCACAACGCTTCGTGGCTGGGTTAAAGGTTTCCTCCTAGCCTTTTTGTTTCTCATGTTACGTTAGCAATTTGACCCCATTCAATCACAATCTTCATGAACTGTCATTTGGCGGCACGTTAAGCATCCAGTCCGACAGCGGGCGGTGTTTGTGCTTCTTCTCCGACGGTTGCTCCACACCATTGTCGTTCATCTTGTGTCACTCTTGTCCAGTATTGAGAATGATCTATTCCGAAATGCACGGCGGATAGGGCGGTCCGATGATCGTTGATTCATGGGGGGGAAGGGAATCCACTCAATGTAGGCATGTCTTCAACCGACAGCCACTGCCACTACGAGGAGGTTGATATCAAACCGGGCATCTTTGGGTGTGGACCGTGATGTTGATAGTGATTAAGAAGCTGGTATGATAAGATCCCGCTTCTATGGGGATTATAGCGAAGCTAAATTCTTTAGCCGTGACGCTTGTTGGCTCAAACGCTTGAGCATACCTATTCCGTATCTCTTCCCCGCATCTTCATGAAGTTTATACATTAGCGAGCCGCCATGTCCCTCCATTGCTTAAAGAAAAGCTCACTAGTGGGTAATAAACAAACCAACCAGCGACATATTCAATGATCAATACCAATTTCAAGAACTAGATTCACGAGGGGTAGCTTGCCTAGTGTCGTGTATCCTGCAGCATTGTGACGACGCCGCATCGATATTCGTCCAACCAGCTTTCAGATCTTGGACTTAAGGTGGTATCTCAATCGTTCTAGCGCAATCGTCTTAGCTAGGAGATGTCCTTCGATTCCGTATTTCCTTTCCTCTTTTCCGATTCCGCTTTGTTTGATCCTAGACCATCTTTATTCCGCATGTTAGTCAATGGCTATAAGATATAAAATTTACCGAGGGCAGATACAATGTAGATGTGGGGAACCAATTGACGGGGCTCTGTTGTCACTGATAATGCTGGTATCGATGCCTACTGCAAAGCTCTGCTACTCCGGGTTCGCAAAATATCCTTGCCGAATGCATAAGAGGCGAGACCTACGTTTAATGACTTTGCAAAAGAAATAACCTCTTGATCGGAGCTGAATAAAAAAGATGCCAGCAGTAGGCCCACAGTCTTTCTTTGCACTAACCGCGTATTTGCCTTTGCCTCTGTTGACGTTTTCCCATTTTCCCATGTCAACAGAATATGTCCGCCATCAATTGATATCATTTTGCAGCAAGCGAACTCTCCTGAGGCCCGTCAAAGCTTAAAGGGAGAAAAGGATGCTGCAGTCATTGTTTCGATAGCGGTTTCAGTATCAGCCTGAGAATATTCTGGACACTCGCTATTCTGAGACACAGGATCTATACAACCAATGCCTAGTCAGGGAGCTCTCTCCTACCGTTTGATGTTTACGTACTCATTTTGGATGGGGTATTGAGCTTAAATCCCTGAGGTCCTTCGATAGCTTTTCTCATAAAGATTGAGGTTTACTGGTTCCAACAATTACGCGAATGGTTGAGCCTATCGTATTTACTTTTCGAATAAGATCATATCCCACGTAAAATATGCCATTGAACCTCCACATTATAATCCCTAATGCCCTTTATATCATAGGAAATCGTGCAAAATCTGTATCGTATTATTTATACTGTTATCCCTACTGTTCACTATCGAGCTAGAGGTTTTGCGCCGACCCTTATTGCTAGCCGCCATTCTTTTTAGCCGTCCGTAACTCCAACCGATGCGTGTCAACAGTATCCAGCTGCTGGCCGCTAAATTAGAAGAAAGACTATACGCAAGCTAAAGATCGTCGTATCTTTTACGGAATCCCAGACCCCCCGCACTTCATCTCGTGTGGGGTCTGGGGTAACGCAGAACGCATTCCAGTTGCCACAGTTTATATGACCGACATCACTAAGGTCACTACGTAAAGGTGGCCCCGGGGATTGTAAGTGTGACGAGTAAATATAGATAAATATGGCGGGTGCAACACATGCTAGATTTATAAATCCGTGTGCTTGCTACCTTTTCATATTACGTCTTTCAACAACACTCAATCGCAGCTGAGAGTAGTACTTTGTAAAAGCAATGGAGCCTCGAAAGTCACACGAGAATGCTGAAGGTATTGCTGTGGAAGTGGAAGATCCTCTTCCAGGAGCGGAGAAAGGCATTAATTATGACCCTGCCCTCGCCAGCGCTGCAGACACCCAGCAATTAGGTGTGTCCAGACTCATGAATACAGACACCAATGATGTCTATTATCCCTTATGATAGAGAAACTTCGCGGGATGTTAATGCGTAAATAGCAAATATCGGCTACAAACAAGAACTCAAGCGCCATTATTCCAGTATCCAGGTGTTTGCCATAGCATTCAGCATTATGGGACTGCTCCCATCTATTTCAGCAACATTGTGGTTCTCTGTCCCTGCAGGCCCTGCTGGAATGGTGTGGGTAAGTCGCCCTAAATACTCCCAAAGGCTTGTTAAAACGCTCACTGTTATTAGGGATGGTTCTCAGCAAGTGCCCTAATATTTGTCGTAGCCCTAGCCATAGTGAGTCTCTGCGCTGCCTTGCCTTGATGCCTCAAACTAATCACCGCAGGCCGAGCTTGGCTCGTCGCTACCAACATCAGGTGGTTTATACTGGTGGACGCATTATTTTGCCTCTGATCGTTTTAAAAATCCTCTAAGCTTCCTTGTCGGATACAGCAACACACTGGGGCTAATTGGAGGCATATGCTCTATAGACTGTATTTCATCAACCCCTCTATGCATGGAAGCATTCTGGCTGACTAGACTACAGACGGATTCGCATCATTTATCGTTTCACTAGGAACTATTAGCAGCGATGGAGAGTGGTCCCCTAATCGCGGATACCTATATGCCATCTTCGTTGCAACTGTGCTCTGCCACGGTCTGCTTGCAACCTTTTGCGCAAGAATAATGCACCATCTCCAAACCTGGTTTGTTATCGCCAACATGGCATTAATTATAGCAACGGTTATCGCCTTACCAGTGAGTATGCGAATCAGAGGCGTTCCGATCAACTCAGCTGGTACTGTCTTTGGCCATATCGCCAATGACGGCATTACATGGCCGACGGGTTGGACTTTTATGCTATCCTGGCTCTGTCCTATTTGGACCATAGGAGCATTTGACTCTTGTGTACATATGAGTGAAGAAGCTAAAAGCCCAAAAAAGGCTGTACCAGCTGGTACGGTAGCTTCAGTTGGATGCTGCTGGGTCATAGGCTTCTTTTTGAACGCCATTATAGCCGCTTGTGCTGGTAGCGATTTTGAAGCAATACTAGAATCACCTTTTGACCAGCCTATGGCTCAGGTATGAATGCATGAATTCTCCTGTCTCTATTCTCTTCTCATTAACTATTTTACACATCTAACTGTACTGACTGCAGATATACTATAATGCTCTGGGTAAAAATGGAGCTTTAGGCTTTATGTCTGCCATATCAATCTTACAGTTCTTCATGGGACTTAGCATTGTATGTTATGGAATGCCCGCCCAATGGTCAGCGATGTCATATATGGCGAATAAATGCTTATAAATACTTGCAACATTAGGTAATTGCGGCGTCTAGGCAAACTTGGGCATTCTCTCGAGACGGGGCTCTGCCGTTCTCTTCGTTCCTCCGCAAAATAAGCAAATCCTTTGGATACCAGCCTTTAAGGACAGTGTGGGCATGCTGTCTTACGGCCATTATCCTTGGCTTATTATCGTTAATCAACACTGCAGCTGCCAATGCTCTGTTTTCTCTGGCAGCAGCTGGTAACAATGTTGCCTGGGGAATCCCTATCCTATGCCGTGTTCTTTGGGGCCAATCCAAATTTCGCCCGGGTCCGTTCTATCTGGGCAAACGACTCAGTGTTGCCGTTTCCATTCTAGCGCTACTTTACTTGACATTTGCTACTATTCTATGCATGTTTCCAACGCAGGGACCAAATCCTGATCGTAAGTCGGCAGTTCTCAGCTACTCCTTTCTTTTGTTGCCCATCATACTTCGCTTGATTGGAACAATTTTTTTATCCAATCGCCACAAAAGAAGAGTACCAATATTTTTCATGGCAAAATGCTAACTTGGAGCAAGCAACTGTCATGAATTACTCTCCAGTTGTCAACGGAACAGTCTGGGGAGGTGCACTACTATATTATTTCGTATACGCCCACACCTGGTTTAAAGGTCCTATACACAATACTCATAGCGTGGAAGAAGAAGAAGGGATTTAAGTTTCTACTGCGTTGCGTGTCATGCTCATTAATATTCCTAGCAATGCATCGAAAAAAAGAAAGCTATTCAATGAAAGCACATCGTCAATAAATAATTGGAGTATCGCTCTTGCATAGTTTTATGGGGCAATAATAGAACTTGCGCATATTGTACTATAATCCAAATGCTGCAGGCAAGTATTGTCTGTTTTGGAAATCAGCTCAAATAGTTACAATCCATATATCACGTCGGGCGGGATTAATGATTGTAGCTGCTAGCGTATCGAAATATATGATATCCATTCCTTTTTTTTACTGACTGTTGTCTAGATTAAGCATTACGCTAGTAGGTATAACTGTCTGGTATTGATATCAAGTCCTGAACTCCTATGCGCTTAGTTAGTAATGCAGAGAAGCACATTTATACAACATTTAATTTTTTTTCCCCCATAGTAAGCTAATAATCCGTACATTAGTCTTTTAGGAGTGCCATGTCCTGTCCCTAGTATGAAGCGAGTATGTTATAAACTCTATGAGCGAACGACATCCCTCAAGGCCGTATATGATATTGTACAATGAGTCATTGAAACATGTTACGAATTCTCGGCCAAAACTTTGTATGCCGTGTGGCACCAAAAGATCTGTTTTCAGCTACTTGCCAAGCTTGCTCTCATGCGGGATAACCAGATTTATTTCCCCGACGAACTAGATCTTAGAAGTAGAAAATTAAAAGCGTTACATATTACATATTCTGCTAATGGTCGCCTCCCATATAGCTATCAATTATCAGAAGCGCGTGCATTCAAGTCAAGATTTATTCCTGGGTGGTGCCACTGCAAGTAGCATATTCTAAGACTACATGTGTAGCGAGCTGCTTTCTTGCTACACGATAAGTAAACCGACGGAGAAAGGAATATTAATATAAATCCATAGTGTTAGAGCTAGAGCCTAGTATAACTAGATATGCCCCTTTGATGTGCCACACGAATTGTGCAATTCGCTGGTAGCGGCATAGAATGGGCGCATTATATGCGCTACTGTAACTACATATGTAATCTTCATCATGCTACAGTAGACGGCGAAATGGGGGTCGCGAGTTAGCTACATATGTAGATAACGACTAATAAGGGTCTGTCTATTTTTAGCCGGATTGTGGCTTGACCCTCCTTCAACTTGTACTGCAGCGACGCCCATTTCGCCCTCCACTGTATCGAGCACTACGTAGATAAAGATCAAATTAAAACGGAATGAGCCAGTTAGACCAGAAAATAACATTAAGATGGCAATATATAGATATAACCCACGATGAGTATATGTTTGCTTAGCAACAAGAACGAGAATGTATATGACAAGTTGGATTATCTTTCTTCCCTTGCCCTAATATGTTGACACTTTTATCAAAGAGTGAACAAATGGAAGGGTATTGAGCTGTAATGGCGGGGGAAAGAGATCTATCAGTGAGAAGCGCAAGCAAGATAAGTAATCCATCCGCAGCTAAAACCTGTTCTAAGCCACTTTTGTCGTACCATGCGAGCCCATCATTTCGTTCTAAAGAAGCGTAACCATGGTGCTAGCGAGCGAAACCAGACTCTTATCAGCACTGTTCTTATAACCGATTTTTTAGTACAGTAGACTGACCACAGCGGCGCAAAGATGGCAACTTCATCCGTTACGATTAACACTATTCATGATTGAAGCTGGGAGCCAGATTTAATTACTGACCGAACAGCGCATAAATTCTCTCTGAATGTAGCAATACGTCCGTTTGCTCAATGTTTCTATTTGGATGCCTATGTACGACTTGGCTTAGCATTTGCGTTTCATGGAAGCGCTGTGTTCAGACTGGCTATACACCACTCTGGGAACTCGCGTGCAACGCTAGGATTACAACAGCAGCTGAACGCGTCGGAACAATGCAGGGCTCGCTCAGAGAAGCTATATGTGTATACAAGACGATAAATGAATGAAAAACATGTTTTGTCATTACTGGGCAGGCGAGGATATGGTAGACAGCTATATCCTAGAAGCACAGCCAGTAGCAGCTTCATATTGTTTGAGTTGAGAACGCTGCATCCATGGCAGTGCATCAATGAACCAGTTTAAATTTTATATTCAAAAATATAAATAAATACACGCTCCATAACCTCTTTATAGAGTTGACAAATTCCGATTGAGAAAGCCGAGTCGTATGAAATGTACAAGCAATAGGCGCTCGATACTAACTCCATCAAATAAAAATTCCTAGAAGCATTTACAGTTTACAATAAGTATCCCAAGCAGTAGATATCCTGAGCAATACATATGATGTATCACATCGAATTTGATTGAATACATTGGGTGGCCAAGAGCGGACTTTCGGTCCGCATCTCGCTGTCCACAAATCCACAATGACCGCTTCAACACGGACGCCGAATTGGATTAGTCGTGAAGCGGCCGCGAACCCCGCTTATCAGAGGTTTCGCCTGATCTATGGATGATATAATTAAAAATATATCTAGCATTAGCTGACATATCCTTATTCCTTGGTAGTTATACACTAGTTAATTTCCAGTTGGCCTCCAAGTTATATACGTTAATACGGGCTCAATGCCACTCATTGCTGGCACTTAAGAGTGCTCATCTAAGGCATAACACTTGAAGAGAGAAAGAAATTTATTGACTCATTCAACACGACATGGGCTTTATACAAGACTCAAATTTCTCTTTGAAGCCCAGTGTTGCACTGCCACTGCTAGCGGTATTATCGGTACGGTTTCAAACATTTGTTACTGCCAGGGAAGACTACCTATTACCTGACACAAGAAAATTAGGGGTTACTGTATATCGCATACACCGTTATTTATAATCTTTTTTTCCACCCTCTCAAAAAATTTCCAGGTCCAAAACTCTGGGCTCTTCACTATGGATTCTATGCTCGCCTTGAGCTATCTGGCGAAGGCCATCGAAGAATGCTGAGAATGCACATGAAGTACGGCCCCGTTATTCGAGTTTCTCCAAATCATCTAGCTTTCTGCCATCCAGATGCGATGAATGATCTTTCATCTCATCGGAAGCCAGGCCAGCTTGAGAATGGCAAAGATGAATCCCGCAGCTTGAGTGTCCCCCACAGCATCATTGGTGCATCCCGTACAGACCATTCTCGAATGCGAAAAAGTATGGCAAACGGATTTTCTCAGCAGTCAATGATCAGTCAGCAGCCTCTGATTAAAGTTTACATCGATAAATTATTTGAAAAGCTTGAAGAAACAAGCGTTAAAGGGGAAAAAATTGATGCGGTCGCGTGGTATAATTATACGACTTTTGATATCATTGGAGACTTAGCTTTTGGTGAACCATTTGGGTGTCTTCAGGAGTCTACCTATCATCCTTGGGTAGATCTCATTTTTAAGAGCATCAAGGGTATAGCATTTGATTCATCTTTTAGGCGCATGGGATATCTTCATGATATTCTAATGTTGTTAACTCCCAAATCGATGAAAGACAAGTTCGAAGAACACAAAAAGCTATCTGAAGAAAAAGTTATGAAAAGGTTAAAGACGGAAACGGATCGGAAAGACTTTATAGCTTCCATGATATCCAAAAAAGGAAAAGATGTAAGTGTTGGGGGAACCTAGATTTATTAGATGATAACTTGACGTGTTAATTTCGCCCAGGAATTATCCTTTCAGGAGCTTACCGTCAACGCTGGTATTCTAGTTATTGGAGGTTCAGAAACGACAGCAACAGTGCTCTCTGCGGCAACGTACTTCCTTGGTGCTAACCCAGAGCCTCTCAAAAAGCTATACGATGAAGTTCGATCTGCATTTAACAGTGAAGAAGAGATTGATCTATTCAGCGTTGGTCGCTTAAACTACATGCTCGCTGTTTTGGATGAAGCAATGAGGCTTCACGCGCCGGTTCCAGCGACGACGCCACGAACTATTAATGAACAAGGTGACACCATTGCAGGCTACTACGTGCCGCCGGGAGTAAGTGTCACTCTATCATTCTTTCAAACGCTATAACATCTTTTAATCAAGCATATGTTACTTCAGACAAACATTGATATCTGGTATTGGACCATGTTCCATCATGCTGAATATTGGACCCATGCAGAAGACTTCATCCCAGAACGATGGCTAGGAGATCTAAGATTTGAGCATGATAAGAGACAAATCTTCACTCCTTTCTCTGTTGGTCCTAGAAACTGTATAGGGAAGAAGTAAGTTCATCGTAAAGGGTCTCACCGTTAATCATTACTAATACTTGATCGATTCAGTCTTGCTTATGCCGAGATGCGACTCATCCTGGCCAAGCTTATTTGGAACTACGATATTGAGCTTGCTGAAGAAAGTGTGGACTGGGATAAGAGGTGTAGATGCTATATACTATACGAGAAGGGGCCTCTTTACATATACCTAAAGCCCAGGCAGGGTTGAAAGCCTAGGATAGGATAGGAAGAGTCAAATTGAAGCATTGTATTTCCAGCAATATATATTATAAATTTCCAGCTAGTTAAATTTATACACCATTGAACAGCGTTATAGCGTTGGAAGATTAACTATCTGGAGGCAAAAATACTTAGACTCCTGTCGCTGTTATACGTCTGTAATAACCGTAGCCCAACTGAGAACAGGAAGTTGACCAAGAAAGCATCGGTCGCATCCACATTTCTAAGATCAGGTAATAGAAACGTAAAAAGTATTCTGAGCGATAATTTAATCTATACTTCTACCAGGTGCTCTGCCCTGATGTATATGTAGCGACCAATGCTTGTGATATAAACAAATACTGTCGGCCATACCATTACCATCACGAAGTATGCCAGCCAACCACGTATGAACAGGCAGGTTTTTAAATTAACATAAAAATAGAGTCAAAATCTTTGGTCGACTGAAGAAGAATTGGAAATGTAAATTGATGGCTCAATAAGTGATAATCGTCGCTATTGTGCAATCCTACATATCATTTCGGTTAGGACACTGGATGTAGTCTTGAAGAGAATAATATACGCAAGGACATGATATCAAGGTATTCCATCAACAATAGAAATGGAAGCATCCAAAGGATATGCCTCAAGCTACTGGTACTCATATAATATGCAGAACTACATCTCCAGTAGTATTTAGCAGCTATTGAGTCAAAATAAGTGTAAAATTCCAATTCTCGCCCATGGGATGATCCCTATGAGGTCAGATCCTGGGAGCACTGATGCCAATGAAGTAGTAATATTTCGCTTCATCACGTCTCTATGTTCTCCATTTCACTACTTGATCTCCGTATCGGTCGACAAGCAGCTGAATTATTTCATAACCAAAGTACTTATTACCCGCTGCCCATGCCACTACCTCTTCAGTGATAGGGATTTGGTCTCCGTATCGGTCGAAAAACAGCTGCATTATTCGAATTCTACCACGCTTATTCCTCACTGCCCATTTCACCGCGTCTTCAGTAATAGTGACATGGCCTCTGTATTGGTTAAAGAGCAGCTGCATTACCTTATAGCCATACCACTTATTTTTTGCTGCTTCCTCTATCGCCCCTTTAGTAATTGGGACTTGGTCTCCGTATTGGTCGAAAAGTAGCTGCATTATTTTATAGCCAGTGTATCCGTTTCCTGTTGCTTGTTCCACCCCCCTCCAGTAATAGGGACTTGGTCTCCGCATTGCTCGAAAAGCAGCTGCATTACTTTATCGCCACATTCCCGATTACTCGCTGCGCACTTCACCACCTCTTCAGTAATTGGGACTTGGCCTCCGAATTGGTCAAAAAGTAGCTGCATTAATTCATCGCCATATTCGAAATTGCTCGCTGCGTTCTCCACCACTTTTTCAGTGATTAGGACTTGGTCTCCGTATCGGTCAAAAAGCAACTGCATTGCTTCATTGCCATAGTCCCTATTGCCCGCTGCCCACTCTACTACTTCTTCAGTAATAGGGACTTGATTTCTGTATTGATCAAGAAGCAGCTGTATTATTTCCTTGCCGCTGACACTATTTTTCACCGCTGAATTCACTCTCTCTTCAGTAATAAGGACTTGGTCTCCGTGTTGGTTGAGAAGCAGTTGTAATATTTTAATGCCGCTTGATTTATTTGTCGTCGCTGCCACTAATACTTCCTCGGTGACGGTAACTTGGTCTCCATAATGGGAAAGAATATTTTTCATTGTTTCTTCATCAGCTGATCCTGCAGTGAAGATTACCCCATGCTCTATGACCTTGGTATAATCTTCCCTGAGACTTAGAGTATCAGCCACAGTTTCCAGCCACTCTGCTTTAGCCGGTTCGCCTGTGGCCGAGTTCAATAAAATATTTCTGAGCGTTGTAAGCAATTGTTGTTGAGTTGTTTCATATGTCCTTTCATAAATTTCTATTGCTTTTGTTAATTTTATGATTGCATCCTCATACTGTCTCACGGCTCTCAATAACTGTCCGATGTTGTGTAATCTGGTCGCCTTGCCCCAGTGATCCTCCGCTTTCGTCTCTGTATGCGTAAATACTCGGGTGTTTAAAAAGCACTCGTAGTCGGCCCCGCATAACTCTTCAGGGGACATTTTTCAGTCCCAGGCAAGTAGAAATTCACGGTTGAAGATTCTTTCCTGCGGCGAATCATATTGCCAGGAGTCATCCCTGGGGTTAACGGCAATTGCGACAATGACACCATAGTCCTGACATGACCTGATGATCGTGGGCTTTGATGCGCCTTGCAGAAGACAGACGATGTCATTTTCCTTGATAGAGTTGGCAGAGGCTTGGAGAGTCCAGTCCCAATAACTCAACATCCAGTCGGGCGTGGATAAGGCCCAGGTCCTCACTCTCACATCTAGTCTACCATCCCAATCGCCAGTGCTTGATACCGATGATACATTGCCGAGAACACAGCCCATATGCTTGATGACTGCGACCTGCTTGTTGTCCCAAGTTTGGACAGATGCTTGTTCTCCGACGATAGAGTGTATAAGTCGACGGAAGAGGTCTGTCCATGGATTGTTGTAGTTAGGTAAAAGATCTGTTGGAATATCAGAGCTCATGCCGAGCAAGGCATAAATCTTGTCCCGCCAGTCCTTAGCCTTGTGATTGTGGTACATATCCACAAGCGTCCCGAGGGGGCGTATATCAAGAGAAAATCTGTCTGAGCTAGCAGCCACATATTTGGGTCACAGGCTAGCGCCATTTATAAGGTAGGCCACAGAACGAATTCGACTCTGCACTTCTGAATCATGCATGGCAAGGTTCAGTGCGTTTAAACCCGTGCAGAATGCAAGTCCATCAATTTCCATGGAATGAAACATGATCAGAACGTGCCGAGCCGCAGCTACCTCCTGAAGTACCTGAAGAAATTATATTAATAAATGTCTACTGGTCCCTTTCGACGTCTAAAGCCTTACCTAAATGCGCTCAAACCATGATCGTTGAAGAAGCCTGCGAATAGCTAGACGATTTGCATCGTCGTCGGAAGACTTCGCTGGCTGGCCGCCCGCAGCGCTGCTTATTAGTTCGAGTGCTTAGTGAACATCAGCTGAGTCGTTATTGCCCACTGGACGACTATCGATTGCATCTTCAAGCCAGACAATTACACGACTTGCTCTGGCATATATCTTAGCCATGATCTGAACTTGGCGATTCCGCTCTTCGATGTCATCTTGGTTGATGCAAATAGCATCGGCCCATATGATCCGATCCAAGGAGTGATCCCGAAGGTGTAATAGAGCCGCGTGGAGATTTTCCGTGACGTATATGTCACCTTCATTGGTTGAAACACGTCGAGGCTTCTCTTCAGAGCCCCATATGTAAGATAAAGCCTCGTAAAGGTGAGTCCCTTTCCCTGAGTCCACGAAAAGATACTCAAAAAGTTGACCTTGTACCAGAGCATGTTCGTCTGAATGCGGTTGTAGCCGAAGCAGGCGGATAGAATTAGCTGACAATGGTGAATAGCGGTATGTTGATTTTGGATTGGAGATTCGATTTGCCACCATGTGGAATCCAGTGTCGCACACCATAGTTTTAATTTGAGGCGGAGAAAGGGGGGTGGTGGTTTCGCCTTGTATACCAAGTGTTTCACTCTCCTGAAGCTCCGAGACCATGTTCTCCTCACAGTGGCTTGGGTGCAGTGCCTCTAAAGCCATGATTCTAGTTAAAGACAGGTGGCAGCGTATTTCTAGTGAACTGTTGGCAAGAGTGTGACGATGGAGATGAAAGTGAAAACAAGCCAATCTGCGAATTTGTAGCTGTCGGAACATTGATCACAAGCTATAGTGATGGCCCAATAGAGATTAGGCAACCAAACAGCCATTCTCAAGTCAGCCCAACAGGCTGCATAGCCCTACGGCGCTGCCCAATATCATCGATAGGTTTAATTGCGCATATAACGGCGTCTCGTAGCAGCACAACACAAATCTCATTATGCACATATAAGTAGTTGAACTCGTGAAACAAAGGATACATACGGTGAGCGGTACATTCCGTAACCGAACCTGGGTTCCTGTGCCGGCGAAAATAGAACTATCCAGCAGACGGCCTTTCTCCCATCATCTTGTCTAACTGGATTACATCTGGCATAAAGAGCCCGCAATAGTAAAATTTAAGCAAATAAATCACGAGGCTGTAGATAAGTGCTAGGCAATTATTGTGGCAGTTCATGCTTTATTTATTTCTCTATAAGATTAATTTGGGCTTAGTTTAGGGAATTGAATTATACCGCTTGGTACTACTCTAATCAGGCCTTAAATGGTTGATTTCAATTCACATCTGCATCCCGTTCTGGCGCTCAAGAAGTTTCTTTAGACAGGCAGGCTGATGATCGAAACTACGTTGGTAACCCCTGTTTATGAGCCTATCTGAGTTATTTCTAATACCTATCTTCTGGCTTCCAGGCTATTCCACTTGGACAATTCTCACCATTTAAGGACAGTCTAAAGTATCACGTTTATTTACTTACTTGTTGATCACGCTGTTTCTTAAAATACTCTGATAAGTATTTAAAGCTGTATCCTCGTCTAAAAGATCAGGTAAATCTTTAGGCACCCACTCAGAGATCGTTATGGCGCCAGAAAATCCAGTATAGCTGGTAGCCAATGGCAGGAAGAAGATACTGGAGGAAGAAAATCCAAAACCATACTCAAACAACGCATATAGTACCCGTTATAACCATCAAAGTAGTCGTAGTCGCTATAGCCCATATCCCACGCATTTCCAGCGTCCCAAGCCTAAAGCTTTTCCTTCTTCTTTAACGCTGCACGCGTTCCGCGAGAGTCATCTAAGACTAGGGTTTATAAAGGTTTCCATATATACATAACATTAATAACGTTGAATGTCAAATTAAAAGGATAAAGAGTCGCGACTCAAAGATTTGCAGGTTCATTGCTAGCCACCTTGGAAAAAGAGGCGGCATGGCCTGGGAAAATCGTATCAATTAAAGCTGTGGTAGCTAAACGAGATCAAACGCTGGAAAATATGATATGGTATCTAAAACTAGGTAAAAGAAATATGAAGCATATATAATTATTGAGTATTATCCCAATGGCACATTTCCAATAACAGACCAATTTGAGCCATCGTATTTTACTTCTCTTATTCGCCCATCTACTAAGTAGTAGCAGCGGGCCATATCGTATTTAGGCTGTAAAGGGGTGAGAGAGTAAGCAGATGGCGTGAGGCAAGCTATATCTGTGCCTTTATCGGGACTTCCAAATGAATCCGGTGTTGATGTAGTTTGCCAGCCATTATCATCATCCATCCAGGTTATTTGAATACCGCCAGTACTATTTTGCCACAAAGTATAAGTATTCATAGGGCTGTTTGCCTGTGAATTTCGTGGAACGGAGAAGGCCCCAATGGGAGACTCGGCTGGGATAGAAACTGTTGGTGCATCTGTATTGTCATGTTAATTTGGCAGAGGGATAAAGACCCTTTCACGATCAACTTACCCGCTTTCAATGATGCGGTGGAGCTACTTCTCCCCTCGGCAAGGAGCTTCTGGTCATCACCCTGATAGATGAAATTTCCGCCGCCTTGCCTTGCTGAGCTTGTCGAATAGGCGACCTCTACCAGTGCTGAATGGTTTTGGGACGGGAGATTCAGAGGATTCTGTAGCCACTTGTTACTTGTGGTATAATAAGTCTCTTGTAGTTGATTAAGTTCGTCTTGGAAAATAAGGCTAGGCCAGTATGTTGCAAGTCTCGAATTCGCAGCTGGCTTCAAGCCGAGAGAGGAGATTGTTCCGTTAATATTAGAGGTTTGAACGGTAGGCACTTTCTGTTCTAGGACCTCCCACTCTTGTATTTGGCCCAATTTGTCCACATAAAAAATATCAATTTGAGTAAAATTCTACGAGATTAAACTTGAAGTATTAGAGGGAGATCACACAGTCTGTGGCATAATAAGGAGGAGGAAAGGCTTACATTTGTAGAAGTTACCGCAGAACTGAAATACAAAGTAGAGTTATAATTGCACGCTGCAATCGGACTACCCAGCCTAAGAGTCGGGCCGGTAAGGGTTGTTACTGTTGACCACATGCCATCTGTGGAGTCGTAGCCTATCAAACGTAGATGTTCGTCTTTTCCCTGATAGAAGAGGCGGATACTGTAGCTGGACGTGGATGTCCACCAACCAGTTACTGCAATGCTTGAACTAGAATAGGCAGCGTTTGGCGACGTCGATGACGGAGTAGAAGAGGGGGTTGAAGAAGAGGTCGAAGAAGAAGTTGGAGAAGAATCTGAAGAAGGATTTGAAGAATTCGAGGCTGTGGTGGTTTTGTGCTGATGTCGCGATCCAACAACGCCGCCTACTACGGCCGCCACCACCACCAACAGGAGAACAACGGCTGCAACAATAATCCATAACCTCTTTCTTCGCGGACTTCTTTGTGGTAATTGCTCTTCAATGGCTGCTCCGGTATCAACTTTGACCTCGCTACCCACGGCGCTCATATTGCCGTTTGCTACCTCCAATCCATCGTAGGCGCGGTATACCTCAGGTGCGCCCGAGCCACTAAGTCTGTGGGAGACCTCCAATGCAGAATAACCACCTTCAGAGGGCGCGCCCGGCCCCGCAGACTCATAATCGGGTAACCTGCTCATAGGAGCCCGGGGTGACGGATAGAACTTGCCGTTGGTAGATTAAAGACAAAGAAAACGAACTGAGAAAGAAAAGAAGATTAGGATTGCATCCCAGGCAAAGCTTTGTGTTCCATTGCGAAATTTACTAGAGGGAGGCTCGCTTGGGCGAAATCAGGCGGTTTGCGGCTCCCTTGAGCTCGAAATCCCCATCAGCTCGCTAGTCATTGTGATAGCCTGGTTGACAACCAAGGGTATGCGGCAATGCGACAAAGGGGGTTGCTGAAGGATTCAGGATTCCTTGCAAGAACCAATTGTAAGGCTGCAGAGTGAGGCGCGAGGTTCAAGATCGGCGGCTACATACCCAATAGATTATAATTCATGAGCCACTATATTGGCTGGGGGTGGTTCGCTGCTTATAATAGACCCCAACATTTAGTCGCGGTACATCGTGCAGATACTACCTGCTACGTTAATAGACATTAGCAAGGTACCAATGCCACACTGAATGCGTTTATGACTGAACTATGAGGTTTTCATACGGACAATTCGGTGTAGTATTCGCTAACCTTTCAAAGCTAAGGGCGGAAGTTGCCGCTCATAAGCAAGGCAGACAACTCAGGCACAGAACTGACATGGATGTTGCTTATTTATCCAGCAAAATCCATGTCTGAGTTCTTAGCTTGTTATTTTGACTTTTGTTACTTTAAGCTTGGCTATCCCCAGCCTGTCGTTGCATACTCAATTAGACAAGCCGATACCGGTTGAAACGCACTTCTGGTGGTTTCACTAATCACATCCTCTTACATTTGTGTTGCTGACTTCAAGAGAGGCGTATGGCCAATGTCATGGCTGTGCTGCACGCATCGCAGAGAGGTATTTACGAGAATCTGAAAGCGGAGAATTGCGAACTACAAGCAAAAAATGCAATGCATGTAGAAGCGGAAATTTTTCAGAAGTGGGCAATACACTGGGCTGGGGTGGACATTTTGGGCAATCATTACCTCTCATGCTACCCCTGCTGGACGCAGCCCAGTATATACGAACAAGCAAAGACAAAAAAAGAAAGAAAAGTATAACCATAAACGCACAGATCGTGTTTATTACGCACCCTATTAACATGATATAAGAGTTCTTGTACTTTGTAAGAAGTGGTTTTTACTTCTCCTATTGCTACGGTTCTTGCAACTTCTACCGCCTCTGCTGATAGTAACGTTTATAACTTCAGTGTCCATTGCCCTACTTGTGTGTGAATGTATTCTCATTTTGTGGTCCCTATTTGTTTACCCCACCCTTAATGGGGTACCTACTCCATAGTCGCCTATGGGTCATGATCGTTCGCCGCGGCTATTTAGGCCAGTCTGTAGACGCTCAAAGACTCAACGGCATTCGTCACCTATTGCCTTATTTTCATTCTTTTATGAGATCAATCACAGCTAGGAGGATACAGACCCTTTAACAGCTTAACCTTATACGTTAAGCTCTCATTTCTCATCGTGAACAGCTCTATGAAACGTAGTTTTGCGCCGTAATCCAGTACAACAAAGACACAGTTCTATGCCTCAATTTTGAGTGGGCCCTATCTTTGGGTAAGCTTACAAGGATGCATCTTGTGAGCAATACTACAGTCTACGCGATCAACAATCCGGGCCTAAATTTCATACACCAAGCCAAGAGTTGGGTCGACACTCCCATTACATAGCGCATCCCAGCCTTGTGAATATTCCTCTAATCCTTTGCCCCATTGCAATTTCATTGCTTTGGCCGCCACGTCCTCCTTGAATCGATTCCATTCGCGAGCTGAATTCTCAAAGAATGCTGCTGCACCATCCATCTCTAGGGCGGCATCTCGCAGGTGAGAAGCACTGCATTGAAGGACGCTTCTCGGCATATTACCCAGCCCAGAGCCATTACCCGTCGGATCGCCGCCCACCATAAGAATGGCAACGCTTTTGGACACGCGAGTCAAGGCAGCACGCAGCTCCTGGTCAGCCGTGCCTCGCCCACTAAAGTTGGCGAGTAACACCTTGGTGTTGGCATCTATCCCCAGTTTGGCGGCAATGCTGGCATCGGTTCCACTAGCAAGGTCCTCGTACAATAACACATCGCTAAACAGACCAGTCCCCTCAGTGAAGTCTCGTGATTTGGCCGATCCAACTGCCACGAGCTTGCGAGGCTGGTGTTCGGTGGGCCGTGCTCGGCGGAGCTGGTGTGCGAGACTCAGTGCAGTTTTGCCAGATGCCCCGAAAAATATCACCACGGCGTCTGTTAGATCTGCGTCGTCTGAGCTCCATGGCAATGAGGCGCCTGATGGATTGACGACCTTTGTCTTGTCCCAGCCAAAGGCATAGCGGTTTAGCAAATAGCCGGTCTCGCCCAGAGCTCGCGCAACCGAGTCCCAGGCCGCGGATGACCTGTCTGCTGATAACGGGTCCACCCCTGGAGGAGATGGCTGATAGCGGTTATATATATGCATAAGGCCGGCTCTCCGTTCAGTAGTTTCCAAAATATGACCAGTCTCGTCGTCAACAACCACCTGAAGAGTCTCTGGATAGTCTCCAATGGGAATGTAGCCGTATAGCTGAGTTCCGACCGGGATTTTGTCGTTCTCGCTCTCAGTTACCTCACAGTAGCCCCAAGCCGAGATGCGACCGTACTTGGAAGGGTCATCGTAGGGCGCTGGTAGTGATGGAATTGCGGCCCAGACATTCCACCAGCCCAGGACATGGCCCAGCTGGGCATAGGTGAAGTTATTAAGAGTGAGGGAGATAATACGACTGCGAATGCGAATATTGCCCTTCGCTAAAGGGGGTAGAGGATACGCATCATGGAGAGTGACTATATATTGCTTTGTGTGGTCCAATTTGTCTATTATTTGCACTTGAGGAGCGGGTGAGGCCATGGTGAATGCGTTTTGCAAAAGACGTTAGATGTTGGGAGAAGTAGGTACAACGTTGCAACAATAAAAAGCTAAATTCGTGAAGAGATCTCAAGGTCACATGCATTGGGAACGTCTTTATATAAGGTAATGTAGTGCCCAGCGGAAAAAGCCGCATCTCAATACATTTCCTTTATAAACTCTTGCACTCCGTACATCCACGTAGGCAGTTTCGGGTAAGCTGGGTAAGCACAGGCTGACAAATATCTGATCCTCTAACTGATAATACGCTCTATGTGCTATATCTGTTGAAATGCAACTGCCATTTACCTAATCTTTACGAGAAATTGAGAGTGAAGCTAACTGGATCAGGCCTTTCTTATAATGCCATTTCATAGGGCTTCCTCTCTCCTGTTGTTACGGACAGAATGATACTTCACCAACTGCAAGAGATGCTATACATTCACCAAATTTAGCAATAACTGCCGTATCCCTTGGAAATGCAGTTACATTACAGAGCTAAGAATGGGCAACGCCTATTCACTGTCGGTTTAATCAGGTTTTACCAACCGTGTAAATATATAGTACAATAAAAGATAATGATTTAGGTTAGCAAACAGCAAGCTATTTAACATATGAGATGGTAGATCCTACTAAATTGGCGCGAAACCACGATCTTGACATATAAACTAAATGCAAGTTAGGGGTGCGAAGAGAAATAGAGAATTCAGAGACAATTGCCACAGAGCTCTCCAATTTGCGCACTGCAATTCCACCAACACCCACAATTGAATTGGTAACTTAGTTTTCATATTTTCAGCTTATGTGTGTGTATTTTCATCATTTTGCAGTCCCCGTTTTTCTCGCACCGCTTTGCAAGCTAATCGGAGGGATTTCAACGTACCTAGGTATATACACCTAGAGGTTATCAGAAGAAAAAACTTATCTTAAATTTGAGTATTCTATATATATATATATATTTCTGCTCTTATTGGTCATATTCGCTTGCTATGCTTCATCTATTGTTTCAATGCATGTTCTATGATTGGCTAGTAGTGCAGCATGACTTAGTTTAGTGCGCCGTTGTCCCCTTTGTTAGGCCATCTCTCGGACTTCGCCTCGCCTCGCAGGCCGAGCAACTACGAAGGCCGAACAATTGACCACAAAGACTACAATTTGACCACCAGGGATAGAACCAACAAGCAATTGCTCCTTTTCTTTCCTTTGATTCTAAATTAGCATAGCATATTCGGCATTCTTGCAGTGATTCACCTCTTTTTCACCTTTACTTCTGACTTAAGACAACAAACGCCACAAGCCGTCAGCGTACTCCGTACTCTGAAATGCAAAACTTTCCGACGCTAGTCTTCATCCCGGGTGCATGGCATGCGGCTACATGCTACGATCTAGTTATCGAACTCCTGCAGGAGAAGCACAATCTGAAATGCATCGCAGTAACTCTCCCTTCAACAACCGGAGATCCAAATGCGAGTTTTAAAGATGATCTCGACGCCGCCAGGAAAGCAGTTTCTGACGAAACAAGCTGTGGACGAGACGTGATAGTTATTGCCCACTCGTACGGTGGTATAGTTGGAAACAGCGTCATCAAGGGTTTCGCGCGACCACGAGAAACCGCCAAAGGAACCAGTATTCAGCATGCAGAGGCGTCACAAGGCCCAGCCACTGGCCATGTCATTGGGCTTATCCTTATTGCTTCTGGCTACACCTTTACAGGACTTGCCTTTATGGATCCATTCTTCGGCCGTCCACCCCCTACTTGGCGCGTAAATAAAGCTACTGGATTTGCCGAAATCGTTATTCCTACGCGCGAGTTCTTCTACCATGATCTAACAGCCGACGAGGCAGAGTATCGATGCTCTCAGCTCAGGCCACAGAGTCTCAAGGCGTTGTTTGAGGGAGGTGAATACTCATACTCTGGCTGGCTAGATGTGCCTTCCTGGTATATTGGCACCATTGAAGATTATGGGCTACCAGTGGTAGTGCAGCGCATGAATGTCGGAATGGCGAGAGGAATGGGTGCTTCTGTTGAGCACAGGGAACTGCAGACTAGCCACTCCCCGTTCTTGAGCCAGCCGGAAGCGACTGTACACATCATGGTAGAGGCCGTCGAAGCATTTACTGGGAGGCGAGTAGGAGATATAGCGGCGAAGAGAGGGCAAGATAATAGGGTAAAGCTGCCTGAGCCTAGACTGTGGCAGCCTTTTACTTGGTTCAAGTTTGGGCTGCCACTTGTCCTTGGTCACATAATTGGAAAATGTGTCTTGGTTTTCAACTGGGGTAGGAGCCTGTGGAAATATAGGTAGGGTTGGATAGTGCGTTGGGCGTTAATATTGTAAATCACCACTTTTGTCTTTTCTTTTCATATATATAGTAATATAGAGTATATATACCATACCGCATCCAGTCTCTGATAGATTTATTCCTATTTTAATATAAGTATTGCGTGTTAATTACACTAGAGTCATGCATGGTCTCTCTGTTGTAATGCTTCTTAGCACTCTATAAGCGGCAAAGATATATCCTAGTAAACATTCAAGTAAGGGTTTAAGTCAATGTAGCACACAGAGTTTCTTAAGCATTATTTACATTGGTCGCGAACATTGCAAGATTGTACCTCAAATCAGCTTCAGTTTTAGGATTTATTGCAGAGTAGATTGGATATATCAACTAAACGGATATTAACGAATCAACGCTGCCCTGGGCGGAGAATAATTTTGAGATAGGTGAATGACCGAATGACTGAATGACATGTCAAAATCTTCATCTTCTAGTTAGATTATACACTTCAGTAGCTCATTTTGTGTGAGATGAGGTCCAAACTCGACGACACTATCATGAAGTTCATCATACTACTATTTATGTTTATGCCGGTAAACTCTTAATTCTCCTCACATGCTCTTCACAGCCCAAAACTTTGATATTCATTATAGTGACCCTTTGGGCCACTTAAAAGGTGGCCAGGGAAAATCAGGGTTAAGTTTTAACTGCAGAACCATTGTGCCCTCGGGAAATTCCTTCTTCGTTCCATCTGGCATTCGAAACGGGCCCGCTGGATAAGGTGTTACCCAGTCGTTCAATACTCCTGACTCTTCTGCAATTCCATCTTTTAGCCTTGCAAGTGTATTTGGTGGTGCGACATATGTCCCGAACTCTTCGCCGCCTTTATTTAATTCGTATTCTTGGGGCTCAGCCCTGACCCATGTCGGCTGGCTGTATTGTACTTTGTGCATATCCATCTTGTAATCGAAAACTTCGGGCTGTTCATACCCCTCTTTTACAGGAAACTCCACGCCGCAGTTGCCCAAGTCTTCTTGGAGAGATGTGTTGCTAATGCCGTAGTTCACATACACCGTCGCCAACTTATCAGTTCTGATGAGCATTTTCCATAGAACTTCTTTGCTCACAGCCCACTGATCCTCAGGAGGCTCATCGTCTGCAAAATAAGAAATGTACCACACAGCGTCGTTTTCCATCGCTTTGTCATCCAGGATGAGAAAAGCCCTTTGGCGGCCAGCTTCATCTTCTTTGCGGCGAATGTATTCGTGAGACTGGCCAATGTAGTCTTCGGGAGGGCGAACAATTTTGATCTTCAGCATGGGAGAAAACCGTGCGAAATTACCTAGTTCAAAGGCTGCCTTGAAAGCCCGAAGCTCATCCTGAGAGATGCTGGCGAGAAGGTAGCATGTTAGCACATCAAGGTTCCCTGTGGGTGCCTGGAAGACCATCTTGCGGCTGTGCTTGTGCAAAGTCAATTATAGAAATAAAACGCCTCCTCCTCTTGACTTTTCAACTAAAACATTGTCAAACAGTGGTTTGAGTCGAAGCCACATATATATGTCCTGACGTCAAATCCTCGCATGATAGTATACAGTGTATCTCGTATTCTGTCTGACATTAGGGCACTAGTGAGACAATCGGCAGCCCTAGCGGCAGCCGGCTATAGCCACTCCTAGTAACAGTGGCTGCGCCTCTTTTTGGTAGTCTGCTTTATAATAAGCATGAAATAGGTTCATTTTTAGAACTGCTGCGGATCTAGGTGCAGTGCAGCTTGGCTAGGCCCAATCCAGTGATATGAGATGCTGAGGCGAGGGCCAAATACTATACCATGTAGGTATGTATTCACAACGAAGAGCAGCTGGTGCTACCGTGGGTTTACAGACTGCCATTAAACTGGAGCAGATCGACAGTGGCGCAAGCCCTACTAATTCCGAGCCCACAGCTTAGAACACAGCGGATGTTTATTCGGACATCAAGGAAATCTATTCTTATAATCAGTTGCATAAAATAAGAGGATGAACTTTTAAAAGGAGGATAGCAAGGACAAGCTCATTATTGATTCGTCCTAATGCACTCAGATAGTTCCAGCTTCAAAGATACATACCCAATTGACTATTCTAGGTGATGATTGCTCAATCGCGAGCTAAATGAAACAAATTGATTTACAAAGTAGATGGCATTGGTCAAATGGGCAAGGAAATTGAAGATCAACTTCTTATCATTTTATTGAGCTATAATTGGTATCTAGTAGAAAAAATATGTCCCAAAGAAAAAAGAGAGAAAAAAATGTCAGGGTGCTTCATTGTCACTCCCAACTCCAAGATTTGGATCCATCCCCCGCTCCATCAGCACCCGAACTATGTCTTCTCGACCCTTACTGGCAGCGACATGTAAGCTACTACATCCTTCGCCGTCTGCCAGAAAAGGGTTTGCTCCCAAGGAGAGTAGCATGGTCACAGCCTCGAATTGACCAGCCTCAGCAGCATAGTGCAGCGCAGTTCGCCCATATGTGTCTTTAATGTCTAGCCTAGCTCCTCTGCTAATGAGGAGGCTTATAGTTCCTATGTACCCACCCCTTGCAGCCAAATGCAGAGGGAATTGGCCACCGATAGGTGCTTCTGGGGATAGTGAATTACTTTTTTGTCTTCTCAAGAGGCCCGGGGATACGTCGTACGGCAGGGCTGACGCCGAAGACTGCGAATCCTGAAAAGACTGAATATCCAGTGATGCTGAACTTGGGATGGGGCTGTGGCTACGGCCATCAAGAGCGTCTCCGGGCGGCAGGACATTAGCGTCGGTGTCGAATAATGGAGATGTCGCTGACCAAAATGGAGACCACTGGTTGGGGAGCTCGTTGCCGATCACCTCTCTGGCGGACACGGTGGAATGGCCCTCATAATCAGAAAAAGCCGAAGGAGTAAGAGGACCATAGGATGAGTTTGGGGATGTGATGGATATGAAATTCTGGCTGTAATCCTCTGTCCCAACATTCCCTGGCCGTCCTGTAACGCAAGAGCAGCAGGGCCCAGGGTGAGACAGCACTCGAATATCAGGTGATGTGGACATGGCAGATAGTTTCTTCTCGGCCTTTCGGCGCCCTATACGTTGAAATAGTCGGTCAGCATTCATGGAGCTCACTCGAACCGGCTTCATTTCTCGGCCCACTTACTGTGTTTCCGCTGAGCAATTCTGTTTTGCGTTCTGCGTCTCTCCTTTGCAGCTGCCTCAGCATCGATAATGCTATCAATTCTAACCTTCTCTTCAATTCCCTCTTCATTATGAATAGAAAGCCTTAGTACATTTCGATTGCCGGAAGCTCGCTCTGAGTTGGACGCTGACATTGCCATGTTGTTGATAATAGATTCGCGGCATGCAGTAGAAAGACAATGGTGCGTGTAAGACTATCTCACGGGTAGAACGTCGAGAACTAAAAAGATATCCCATTATTTAAACATATTTTCCACCGACAAGGGTCTCGAAGGAATCTGTTTGATAGACCCCTCAGCATTGGGGGCGGGCACACAGCGTGCAGCATCTCATGCCACAAGCCACGCCCCAGTCATCTTGTGCGTAGCCGATACCCGGGATGCCATCACCTAACTCGAAAAGGGTTGTTTATGGCTCTACTAGGCGCTCATGCAAAAGCTATAAACACATAGGCGCTAGAAGGTCGCAAAAAGCGGCCAATTCGTCCAATCTTGGCGGCCCATTTTGCCTTTTTTGCGTGCGTGGCGATCCTGCAAGGTTGTGTGCTTGATCTGGTTAGCGAGGCTACTGCACAACGCCGCAACAAATCCCAGGGCAGTGGGTGCGGCTTGGACGACTAGTCACTAGGAATAGTGAATGGCGAAGCCAAGCTGTCCAATCCAAGCAAAAGTTCTTGGGGCCGTGAACTAGTTCCGAAGCAAATCAGCAGAGCAGGAAGCGATGATTCGGCGCAAGGGGGGCTATTGGGGCCTATTGGGGCTATTGGGATAGCCATAAGGCTGGCCAATCGGCGGCCAGAGAGATGGTCACCAGCGAGGCCTTCTCCGGACGTGGAAATATCCGAAGATGAGAGGAATGGCGGTTCATGTAGTCAGATGATGGGAGGCCATCGGCTAGTAATTCCACGCTTGCTTGGTTCGTTTGCGAAGACGAATCTCCAGCTTTGGATGAACGGATTGATTCTTGAACACGCAATGACTGCCGTAAGATACGCCGCGGCAGTTGCTCTCTAGGGCCATTCCAGCTTCAGTTAGCAGTGTGGCGAATGCCAGATCCATGTCCGTTTCGCGGTTGGCCCAATAAGCGCTTCGGACGAGGCGCAGAAAACAGGAGGATCTCAGGAAGGATTGCCCCTGGCATCAAGGCATACTGGCCACGATTTGGTCACGGGAATCGCGGCTGGGCACAAACCAGAGCTGCGGCGCGCCTACATGACGCTGCCCGATCGTGCGTTGTATTCTAAATATGAACGAGTACACGACGCTAGCACCGATGGTATCGAGATGCCAGGCAGACTTTTGGCGTGCCTTGCACAATGCGCAGCTCGCATTATTAATAACAACAAGGGCAAGAAGCGGAGAAGAAGAGGAGAAGAAACAGAAGAAAATAATAGCAACAAGGACTAGAGAACAAACACCTTCCCCAATCGACAAACGAAGAAGCCATGGCTCTATGCGCGATGCGATGCAACATTGCAGAGAACCTCAGCTTACAGCTCTCCAGCAACCCATTTCCCCAAAACGGAAAACACGGTTCACAGTCTTTGGGGTTCTGGCGGAAGAGTGGGCGGTACATTGAGTCAGTCTTGTGGGTGTTCCTTCGCGGCCCCGACAGACTGTTCTCGGATATAAGTGGCCGGGCGGCAATAGGGAGCTAAAATTTAACCCAAGGCCAAATTAACCAATGGGGGGAAGTGTTCCAGCACTTTGGGGCGAACCGAAGGATCTTCGATTAGGATGTGCGCGTAAACACATACGCATCGTTCCACGTCTCTGCATTCATAAGGCAGGGCTCAGTCGCGGCATCGAGCCGCATTGCGATGCGGCGAGTTCCGATTCAAGAAGAGCGAGAGCGAGAACGAAGTAAACGTCATGAAACATTCTTGTCTAGTCTAATCTATAAAAGTACACTGTGTTCTACAAGACTGGCGTCTATAACCTTTGGTTGCCCTGGTCAAAAGATTCTAATCAAACAAATCCAAACATTGAACTGCACATGTAGTTTTGCGTTTGGCGTAGAAGAGGAAAGTCGTGAAGCCCTTTAAGCTATTTCTTCTGAGATCCAGAAGATCCGCCACTGCTTCCACCTGAGCCGGAGGGTGTGCTGGCCGAAGTGTTTCCAGACCCAGATCCTGCGGACCCTGAAGATTGGCCTGCAGATGAGTTGGTGCCGTTGGCATCTGAGATCCTCGTTAGTTGCTTGTCTATAAACTAAGCTGCCAGCGTGTAAGATGTTATGTCAGATGTAGATGTGAACATACCGGCAACTGAAGCCATAACTACTACAAGAGGGAGTCTCATTTTGTAAAATTGGTTGTTAGAATCAAAGTTTGAATAGGTGAATAGAAGATAAAGCAATGATTTAAATGTTTTAATTATCTAGTAAATGTTCTTTGGGAGTGCTTGTTGGTTCGAGGACCAACATGATGATTCCCAAGCTCATTCTTATATCTCTTTGGACGCTGTCAGCGTGACGCGGCCGTGACAAACACGCTCAAAAGCCGAATTCGGTCAAGCTGAACGAAATAGGGCAATGCATTCACCAATTCGTGCCATTTTTTCCTCCTGAAGGATGAAGGTTCGCCGAACGGCGGAATAGGCTGAAAAGCTGACAGAAAATTGCATGTCTATGTCAGCATCGCAGCAAACATGACTGCTGACCGCGACTACTTACAGTGCATTTAGGGGAGCCACTTCATTGCACTGAGCCTCATGATGCACCTTTAAGGCCTATGAAATAGGTTTCTAAATGGTAGTTATCTTTCAAGTGATGTTATTTTTGCATCCAGCTCCATGATGAGGCATATTTGCAGTGCATCTGAATCAATGTTGCGATACTAGAGGAAACTTCATATATTAAACCAGAGTATTAAAATGGATCAAATATCATTAAACTCGAGTAATTCATTATCTTTCATAACGTTTTTTATATATGCATCCTATTTGAAGCAAGGTATATTCTTCTTTAGTCACCAGCACAAGCCGTGATTATTATGTATATATGCCGTATGCATTCAGAGATTTCTAAATCAATGCGGTAATAGGAACTTGTTGTATCAGTGCGATATCCTGTTAAATGAAATATATATAGCAAAGGCGGCTCCTTTTTCTTTGTGCTTCCCAAGCCTCCAATTTAGGACTCAACAATTACCCATTGCACAGATCGTTGAAGGCAAGCGGAGGATTGGAGGCTATGGTGGCGTATATAATGTACGCCACATTGAAAGACGTAGATAGATGTATCAGACATTATAAAATTAAATGCCACAAGATAAGATAGACTTCACTCAATTCAGGATACGCGATTCAGTTCTTTCTAATAGGATGTCACAATTGAACAGTATTCCACAATCATTAGGCTATAATATCTCCTAACAACTTGGTTTCATCAAGCTGACTGAGGCTTTTGACTTACTTTTGACTATTCCTCTGAATAAACTGTGGCTGTTCATCCTGCGTCGCCTGTTCGGGGATATTGATATAGCCGGCTACGCAGCTGAGCCGTTACGAAAAGACTACGTTTGTACATTAAAAATGATCAGGCTTTTTCTTTCCTAGCGCAAGCCATCCAAACCCGAGAAAATTCATCACCCCCACGCTCCCTCGCATAAAGTGTACCTATAAGCCTTATACATCAGGCTGTGGCAGCGGAGTTGACATCCATTGACAAGCTCAGCCTCGTAAGACAGGAGAGTTTCAGCCCCTTGATGGAGGAGAGGGATGGCTGTACAACTGGATAAGCCTTGTGTATGAGGCTGTAATGCCTTAACACCGAGGCGGATGCTCTTGTCTATTACTGTAGCAAGCGGATTGTAAAAAGTGACATATAGCAAATGAATTCACATTGTTAACTGATATAAGCTATTACCTACCTTCAAGTTTATACAAGAACAAATCATGGTTTCAACATTTGAAATGTATTTATGTAATATTTATAAGACATTATATCAGAATTTCAGCCATAGGTATCCACTAAAGAGCTTTCCATGCTTAAGACCGACTATGTTCTGGAACTTTTGCTAGTACATTTCAACCTTGCTTACCACTTAAGAGAATATTTGGCATCGGGTTACTTTCGCCGTACCATGTGAATTAACATTATGGGAACTCAATGAAAGACCAAAAGTAAATTGCCCATGACCACGCGATAGTAGCCCTTCGGGGTATCCGCCAGGAAATGTTTCAGTCCCCGTAGGAGTGAGTGTGTGATCAATTTGGATCAGCTGATTTCCATTAATTTAGCTCATACGGCGAAATAAAATTCCACAAGCCGAACCGTCATGTTGGAATCGATCCTAATACATAAGGATAGAATAAATATGATAGCTAGCAAATAATAGCTATATGCCATGCTCGTGGGGTAGTTGGGAACGATGTCTCCTGGAGGAAACATACAGAAACTCCTCGAGGTGCGGAGGCCGAGCATCCACAAGATGAGAGTTTCAGCCCCAAGATAAGGTATGGCAATAGATCTAAGGATGCTGCAGACTATGTTTCCAAGATGATCAGCCAGGACTTCTATTTCGATACTTTGAATAAAGGGCGGGACGGCAAAAATGGGTTTGTCTGCTATACTCCTACTGGTGACCTCCGCCTTGTTTGGCCTGGCAAAAAGGTTCTCTGCTAGGTCAATCTGTAAATCTCGCGACTACTTGGTGAATTGAGTTGTTCATCAAGGCCAAGTATAAAAGCTGGATTTAAAAGAAAAGCCAAAGTCGAGAAATAAAGCATACACTTATGAAATACTACAAGACTTCATTATAGATACCTACGCAGTTAAAATATAAAGTGTAACGATCCGTTATACCGTTAAGCCAAACAGGGCAAAAGATTAGGCCAATAATCGCTATTGTAGCAATTACTGTAACGGAACCGGCTGCTTATAAGGGATCTATCTGTTACGGGGAACCAGGTCGTAACATAAAGCATAAAAACTTATAAATATAATAAAAATATTCAAGCCAAGCGTTTCTTCAAAGAGTAAATGTGATTCAATATCTAGCTTATTCCCACCTACTAACTGAGTAATTAGAGGTAGGTCCGTACTTCGTAAAACTGTGGTCTTGATAGTGCGCTTTCCTAACATGGCGATAGCATTTGAAACCCATATTGAAGTCATGGCAATCACTACAATGATACCGTGGGCCATAGATCGGCTAGATGCAATTCAATGGACGAAGCGGTCAGAAAAAAAAAAAAAGATTCAGGTTTCATAAATGCTGCATGAAGGCGTGGGGAAGATTCAGAGCATACTTACGCAAAAACACGAGTTGCATTTGTGTTGCGTCATTTGGCGGGAAAACTTGATGGGAAGTGTCTCTTCTTCTTGGCAGTCCGTGTTTGATGTTTCAATGCTATTCACTGCATCGTTATTAGGCTGTAGACAAGAAAGTGTTTTTTCATCCATGTGTTCGTTAGCAATGTCGCCATGATATTTAGCAACATCAATTGGTCGCCATCCTCTCTTAGTTGCAGCATTCTTTTCTGCCCCGTTGTCGAGTAGTATATGAATAATATCCACGGAGTTCTTTTGACGGCATGCCCAGTGAAGTGGCGTCCAACCGTCCTCGTCTATATCACGTACTGCCTCAGGCTTAGCTTTGAGGATCATCGACAGCAGGCTTTCACAACCATTTCCCGCACAGAAATGCAGCAGATGGCGTTTTTGGAAATCTCTATAGAGAGGTCCATATTCTTCACTACGGGTCATTTCATAGAATTCCGACTGCCAGAAGTAATCGCTCCGTGGTGTCATGTGCAATGGTATCCTGCCTTCCTGATCAATACTACCTACAGTCAGTGAGCTATCATCATGATAGAGGAGCAGGTCTGTTTCGGCTCGATATGTAGATGCTACCGCGAGATGCTGTGGCGTCCCCCATTTTCCAGCAATAACATCAAGATGAGCGCCGCTCTCAATCACTAACTTCACCATTTCAAGTGTGCCAGAGGCAACAGCGGATTGTAAGACTGTTGGAAAATTACCGGCCTCTTTATGTAGTGTATCAGGCGTATGATTAACAATAGTTTTGAATATTTCTTCATATCTGCCTTCGCAACGTCCATTGCGCATGGATGCGGCAGCATGTAGGGGAGAGCCTCGTCCTCCGCTGCCAAGCATCGGGTCAGCTCCTGCACTGAGAAGAATTTGTATAATTTCCGGTGCATTATAGCTAGCCTGCTCAGCGGCAATTTGGAGTGGTGTACCATATTCTTTAAATACAATACCAGGCTGGGCATGATCATCTTCAGCCAGTAACTTAACAAGGCCAATGTCATCCCAAAGGACAGCGTGATGCAACATCGTGCCGTAGTCGCCAATAATGCGATTGTGTTGCAGCCCGGCTTTAAGGAGAGTTCGCAGCTTTGCCAAGGCCTCATTATCGTTCTGCATCAACAATTTTAATGCAGAATCCGATACGTCCCATTTGGTCTTGTCGCGGACTAAGCGCCGCACAATCTTTGCTAATACACTTTGTCTGGTTTGCAAAGCTATGTCTAAGCTTATCGACTCATCGGCTCCCTGTAACATAGCAGATTGCGCCGTGAACTCGAGCAAAAGGTCGATAGAATGCTCATGGTTCTGTGCTGCTGCTGCCGCCAGAGGGCTGATGTCAGAATTATCGGTAATATTGATATTGGCACCGGCATTGATGAGAAGCTTGAGACAGTTGGCCACGTTACGGGAAGCGGCTTCATATAAAGGGGTTCTTCCCTCTTGATCCTGAAGATTAAGTTCTGCCCTCCGCATGATTAATGCTTGGACTAATCTTACGTTAGATTCCGCAACTGCATAATGTAGAGCCGACGGAGAGCCCGGCAACGGCATGAGAGCGTTTTTGTCAGCTCCACCATCCATTAAACGCTCAGCAACACTGATGTGGTTCCCTAAAACTGCCTTGAAGAAACCAGCTGTGAGTTGGCTGCGATGACACAGAAAAAGCATTGTCTCAACTGCGTTACTATACCCTCTTCCACTAGCAATTTCGAGAGGGCTACGCTGCTGTGCGTCTGTGACGCTACAGTCAGCCTCCGACTCTATTAGCTTTTTAATACCTGTGACCCAGCCTTGCGACGATGCAATGTGTAAAGGAGTCATGCCGGAATTGTCTTTGGCATTTACGTCCACATTTGAGTTCGCATCATCTAGTAATTGCGACAGAATAGCTGAATCTTTGAGAGCGGCTGCGTAGTGTGCGGCAGTTCTGCCGTCTTTATCAACAATATTTGCCCTCGCCCCCTTCTTGAGAAGATTCTGGACCACATCGGCTCTACCCTGTTTGATAGCAATGTTAAGGGGCGATAGAGAATCCAAGTTTATGATGTCTACAATAGAGATGCTTAATCCGGTATCCTCTATTGGGAGTGCAGCAGCGAGCGAGCTAATTGGTTTTGGATACTCTTGTAAGAGGCGCATTGATATCTCTCTATGATCATTCAATAGGGCACGATGCAGAGGCGTATTTCCATTGCAATCTTGAGTTTTGATGACTGATGGACCGTAACTGAGAAGAAGCTCAACGATATCTAGATACCCATATGCACTGGCAACATGTAACGCTGTTTGAGAAGTTTGAGATCCAACAAAGGATGGGTTGGCCTTGACATCAAGCAGCTGTTGCACTATCGAGAAGTGGCCAAACTTGGCTGCGAGAATTAACGGAGTATCTCCCGAGTTATCTGCTTGGTTTGCATCGAGGCCTTCTGTTAGCAATTTCCCCATTAAACTGGAGTTTCCTGATGTAGCCGCTATGTGCAATGCAGTTTGATTGTTGCCCAATTTAGTGTTAGAAATTGGTCTTAGCCGAGGCCATATATCATTGAGCAATGGAAGTTTTGCAAAATCTGCAATGCTTTGGCAGAGAGATGAATCAAAAGCATCATCAGTATCGCTTTGAATGAGCGTATGGAAAAGTTCAACATTCCCTAATTTGACTGCATCCGAAACCATTTTGCTCCAATTATAGCGTACAAATGCCGGAAATCTCTCTGCTAGATAACACAGGGAAGCATTTGAGCCTGTTTCGAATGCTTCTTTCAACAATTCCTCGTTATTGATGATACTATCATCTAAATTTGCTAAAGTCTCGACATCTCCTAGTTGGGATAGCGTGAGGATAATAGAATGATTGGAGCTCTCATTGTCTCCCATATGTGCATCGCTAGCGCGTTGGATAATACCTACGAGCCTCACGAGAGCATGAAGATTGTTAAGATCAAAGTTGAAATCCTTGGCAATGTCCTGGATATTATACAAAGCCATATGATCAAATTTTCGCCCCTGGAGAAGAATCCTAAGCTTTAGCCATTGATTCAGAGAACTATGATCCAAGAGAAACTTGGTTATCAAGTCTATATTTCTTTCTCTTTGTGGCTTTTTATCGGAGCCTTCGGATTCGGTGCACCATAGTTCCAAATGAGTTAGCCATTGGTCAGCTGCATATGAAAGCATAGGAGATGCCACAGTTAAAGTTTTATGTAGCATGTAATATCCGGGGCTAGAATTTGAGCTATTTTCCATTTCATCGGAAACGGTCTTGTTCGATTCAATAGGATAACTAGCTTCGCCATCGAAGTACTTCTGAAGAAGATTGATACACATTTTAGCAATATGTAAGTGGGGGTGGCATGTTGGATAATACCATTCGAATGTTTGTTGTTGTAATGTTTCGTTTTGTAGAATATCACTGTCTATATCTGGGATTTTTGATTCCTGATATTGCCATTCGCAATGAAGTTGAAGCGCTTCCATGGCTGCGGTATTCGTTACATAAATAGTGCTTTCATCGCACTCTACGAGTCCAGCAATCGATCTTAGAAATTCTTCCACAAGGCAGAAGGATGATATATTACCATCATAGTTCCAGGAGCCGTAACTCAAAACGAATTCAAGTTCCAATTTAGTCAGGGGTCGAACAACCTGTGTGACCCATAAGAGACCAGCATTGATCCATGGCTGTGAGGATTTGACAAGTAAATCAAACAAAATACGAGTAATATAATCTTGTCTTGTTACAGGCAAATCTGCTGCCCTGTAAACAGAGGATGAGGTGAGAAGATGTTTTTCAACAAGAGGAAGCCAAGGACCAGGCGCTGGCAGATGAGCAATCCCAAGTATCTTTGTCAAATGGCTCCATGAGGTTGAAAACTTGGGTCTAGCCTGAAGAAGGTGCTCCCACTCTGCTTGATGATCTTCATCGATTACGAGCTGCACCTCTGGAAAGTGACTAGAAATAGCGGCTTGTATAGCTAGGTTGTTGGCTGACCTTGGCTGAGAGCCTATATCTTGTATAACGATAACCTTTGCGCAAATTTCGTTCTCCTTTATCCAAGAGGACAGACAAGATGCTAGATCCTGAAACGGCTGTACATGGCTCTTCTGGAGAGGATAGTGAATAAGAATAAATGTTTCAGTGTTTGTATGTTGCTGAAGCAAATTCTTCATGACTTTCCAAAGAATTGCTTCTTTCCAAGACGTATTATTCGTGTGAAGAGCCCCTTCAGCTTCAATCCACACATTCTGTATCTTGGAAAAAATGCGTGGAAAAGTTTCTAAAAATTGGTGTATGAAAGATATTAGAAGTTGTGTCTTGTTCATAGGTATCCGTATGGATGGCTGCTGTGTGAGTTTAATGATGCGACACAGGTGGATAGTCGACATCCGTTCGATGATTGAGGCTATCAACAAGTCGTCCAGGGCAGCAGCATTAAGCATCGAATGGTCAAAGCAAACTACTTGCATGGATTGGTCTATCGATTTAGACCCATGTGTGAGGGAAATTTTGTTTAATTCTGCAGGTGCCTGTGGAGGCTGCGGCGCATCTTCATATTCGCTCTGTCCATCCGCCGGAATTTTGAAGCTTATCAATTTTCCTAATATCTGATTCGATAAAAGAAAGTTACAAAGATTCTTATATATCGGCCTGGAGCTTGCCTCGGATGGTGTTTTGACGCTTTGTCTAGATAATAGGCCCAGTGCTTGTTGGTATTGTATGTTTATGCCTTTTAATGTGTAAGTTACCGGATTATATGTGGAAAAAGTGATTCGAAGAAAATAAACATACAGCTATTTGAATCCTGAATTACACAAAGTAATTCTCTTTGAGTTTCGGGCTGAGACATATCCGCCAGCATACTGTGGCTTTTCTTCCGACCAACCTGCAGTTCTCAGTCGAATTCTAGCGTTGCAGCAAATTTTTCGACTATCTATGTATATCGTAAGGAAAATATCCACTTTGTGTAACATAAATTGAACCGATTTTTTACTTACTATCTCGTACAACTCGTCGTCCAATTTTACTTGGAAGTAGTTGATGATTTTGAATGAACATCGGCGGGCTAGCATGTTGAATTGGCTTGCAGTGGCTTCATGAGACTCAGCCATCTGGCGAGTTACGCGAGAAGACCATGGGCCTTGGGTTTCTCCCGTCTGATAGTTGATTATATTGGAGATTGTGAGGACCCATGAGAATTTCTCTGAAGCTCTGTGTGGTGTACCGAAAAAGAGCTAGTATAGTATGGACGGTCAGTATCCTCAGTGTTTTTGATACATATCTTCATAATGATACTGTAACTGCGAGAGAAAAAAAAGAGTTGATAAAACTAACCAGATGGGTGGTATTTTTAATGATAAACACATCAAGGGGATCTGAGGAGAAGAATGCCTTAAGCAACGCCTAGACCATTACGTTAGACTTCCTCGACACGTGTCTATTGCCCGTCATCATAAATATTAAAATTCAATGCACTCACCTGCTTAACAACTGTTCCGCCAAGATCTCGAGCGAGGAAAATTATGGCTGGAAGGTTCAAGGGCTATTATGCAAGTTAAGAAGATGATTAAGATATACGGTGTGGGACAAATCATACATTTCCCTCTCCAGGTGGGGGGACGATGCTTCGAACAAATTCAAGGAGCTCGGCGGCAGCGCTTTCAAGCCCATTCACGGCCGCGCGTTCGCCGATGATTGACTTGGGATTGAAGATGAATTCTGAAGGTTTTTCAAATGGGCAAGACGGAGTCTCTTGCAGCTGAACATGCTTCCCATCCACCCCACTAACGCTGAATATTCTAAAATCTGGTTAAAATGCTTTGTCTTAAAATGATATAAAGAAGTGGCCTTCTTACTCGACGCGAAAGCTACTTTTATTTACGCTATTGCTATCTTTATTAGTATCAGCCGGCTTGTCTGAGTTGCTTTCATGCGGCTGCTGCTCCGAAGTCTTCGTCTCAGTTTCATCAGATACGTCGTTCCAAGAATTTTGACGAGCCAACCTTCTGAGCCTAGTATATCTATACCGTTGCATCTTCGCGTTGAGGTATAGTCTTCCTATGGTGTATCGCAATGGCGATGTTACGTAAGTAAAAGATGGATATGAACTTTTTTTTAGATAACTTTGAACCTAATAAGAGCGATATTATAGAGTGACATTCGATTATATTTAGTTGGGCAATACATGTCAATAAGTAGAAATTTCACGTTCTATAAACATAACGGCATAAAACCCGCAACGCGTCTACCATTTCGGATGAGAGCGCTCTGGATGGCTGAGCAATCCCAACAGCTTGCAGCGGAATCTGTCCGCCCTTGATGTCACTTTGACTTGAGATAAGAGGTAGCCCTCCTGCAGTTGCAAACGCTAGCTTTTCAGAAAAGGGGGGATCAGCATACACGTACGGCATGTGAGGGCCCATCACTCAAATATGTCACATAACACTTATCCAGAGACTTTTGTTGGAATTTAATTAAGACTGCGTGTCGTCTGTTGATTGGATAAGTCCTTTAGTTATACAACAGTACTCAACCAGATATATGTGGCACGTGCTGCTATGAACATATTTGTCGGGGACGGAGGAAGACAAAAGCTGCTAGAATCCGAAGCTTTGACAACCTGCTATCGTCTCTTTGACCAATAGGGATGTTTAATATGCGAGGGACCACTTATTCATTTCGAAATTGCATATTAACTACAATATCACGTTTGACCGGAGACATTTGCCTTCAATTAATTGAGATAGCGTGTCATGCACTCATTGGATATAAATTTGCTGGGTATAATATTCCACTATTAGAAGCATAGAGCACGCATTGCTGAGATTATTGGACTGTATCTCTGAGACGGAAGAATGCGGAAACCACCCGTATATTCCCAAGTGTTGAATTATTATGGACCAGCCGTTTTAGGTATTGGCTTACATATTAGATCATATCAGATAAGTGTTATATTATGTCAGTTATGTCGCCATGTCGGCAGTAATCTTTAGACCTGACAGCTTTTCATTCAATATTATTCCGAATACTCTGTCTTTGATCATGAGCGTGCTGCCATTTCGACATAGTAAGCGGGCCATGCGGAAGAATGCATATGCGGAATATGCATATACAACTGGAGAAGACTGTATTGAACCAGACAAGATTCGCGAAGAGCTGTTGCATAGCATTATGAATGATCTCAAACAGCCTCAAGCTAGACTTCAACTGAATACGGAGAACGTATACAAAGATCAGATAGGCTAGTGTGCTCTAGATTCTGGAGGTACGCACGAGACCATTCTTCACTGGATAGTAAACCAAGTTGAATCCCGGAGGGGAGAAAATGAAATCAGCTACAAAAAGCGGCTCTGTTGATAACCGAAATAGCTATGAAACACGATGAAAAACTTATCAGTACGACTGGAAAGGGAGGCGAAACTGCGCTACATCAAGCAATTGGCTCTAAGAAGCCTCGGGTTTGGAGGTTGGCTGAAAGAATGTGCGATTTGGGGGCTGAATACCTCATTCGAAATGCTATAGCCAAACCGAATAGTCGGGGTGAAAATTACTTACACCTGGCAATAATACACGGCAATGAAATTGACATGAGGCTTATATCCTTAACTGACAAGTCTGCCTTTATGCAGACACGCATTTGCAAGGATTTGGATAAGAGGGCACTACCTAATGGCAGCAATACACCCCTTCATAACACCGTCAAATATGAGCGGTCTCTTTTTAAGAAGCCCAAATGCGTCAATATAGGCAAGGGTAACAAGAATTGCTCCTGTGAGGAAGATTTGCCCAAGTTCAAAGACCGAAGAGATCGGGCTGTGATTCTTGTCAACAGCTTAATCGACAGCTATGATACAGTGCTGAAGGTTAAGAATGCCTCTGATGAGTCTCCATATCTCTACCATCTCAAAGGAAAAGAAAATTTTACTCAGCCTGCCATCCAGGAGATGCAAAATCACTGCACGTACCCACTAATTGATGACGCCTCCGATGACATACTAAGATTGCTGCTTGAATCAGCCTATGCAATCGGCAGCTTTGAAGATGCATGTTCTTGCTTCTTTGGTGATCAAACTGGTAAATAGCTCAATTTCTGTCTTGTATTTAATCAGACTTCGTGGCCGTAAGCAATATTTACCTAACGACCAAAATATAGATGAAAAAGGCAAAAGCTCCCCATTGCGGCCAGGTTATCCTATCATGGGCTGCACACACAAGATATATGGCCAACTTATCCCCAGAGATGCCAGTGTGTTATCGCACGTAGATCTCCAAGTTGGTGGAGATATAGGTTGGAATACCGATACACAGGCTCTACAAACTATGGACATGTTAGAGGGCAACTCCAGTCACGATATGGGAATTGTGGGATTAAGTAACTACGCACGGAGATATACAGCCGGCTCTCTCGAACTATAGGTATATGACGCTAGGCACCACGTTCTTCCAACCTGCCCACAAAAGGTCACAGCGATCTGCGGCTTTATGCGAAAAGCCTACCAGGATTATTCTATACGCGCTCTGCGACCCGCACAATTTACTTCCCTAGTACGTTTGAACGCCCCCAATGGCCTAGCACGAAATGGCATGAAGATGGGATTTCCAGTCGAAGGCTTATGCCGCGATGAATACATTTGCCTTACAATTTCAAGTGCAGCATCACCCTTGGATCGACTTCTTTCCCTTTTCACGTGTGCGGGATAGTCTACTGCAGGTATTGGCAGTTGAATGTCTCGATGAGGACGAACTATGCTCTGACCTTCTCAACGTACAAGACACCAGGACGCGTGAAAGGCATCTTTCATCCTCTACGGAGAATCTTCAGATGAACTAGGATGGGGAGCAAGCACTAGAATTTTAAAGAAATGGGGATGGCTACTTCGGGGCTATGTCGAGCTTTCGATGCAGCAAATTGTTGGCGTGCAAGCCAGGGCGAGAGACCACTAGTATTCAAGACGTAACGTTGAGCAGTTGCTTGTATAGCTACTACTGGAGAGAGAAAGGCATTTTTGATGGTTGTATGCGGTCAGGATGGACTGACCAGTCTCGCAGACCTTATTACCTCGTGGAGTAAGTCAATTGGGGTCATGAAACTAGACTGAGCGGCCATAACAGTCGGCATTACAATGCTGCCACTTGGTGAGCTAAAGTCAATGATTGCAACAGCCTCCTCGAATGGCTAACGGACGGTGATTAGGGATATAAGGTGTTGCGGCGACTGGTACACTCCCGGATCGTATGCTGAAACAACATGGGAGAATGGATATAAAGGACTTCCTTAGATATGAGGCGATCTTCAGAAGGTTTTACTATACAAATGATCTTATGAAACTTATGAAGAGAGTTGCTGCTCCGGCATGGCCCTTACAAAAGAATGAATCTACCAGCATTTATTGATCGCCAGGTATTCTGTTAAATCTACCTTTCGATTCTATCATCTTCGCCTTAGGTACGGGAACTATTGCTTACAGTCACGCTCGCCGCCATTGAAGCGCTCATCTTCAGAGCTTGGAGAATGAGGCAAATTGCAGTGTCCATTGTATAGCATGTGGTCATCTCTTATTATCTGAGTTTGATGAGCTGCGACCAGAGTTTTCTTGACTCTTTGAAGACTGAAAGGGAAAGCCAGCCACATTTCGTACAGTGTCTTGGCTAGGGTTACGCAGCATAGGGAGTCGAGGGCCAGCCATAAGCCGCTTGTATTAACCCGAGCTCCAGGCTGGGACCCCACTCCAATCTATTGAGATGCATGCACAGGCTAGTGTTTCTCCACATACTTCTCACTTACAGTAGCGCACCAGTCGTAGCATCAGCATTAACATTAGCAGCTACTCATAAACTGTTTCGTAGTGGCATGTGATACAGTATCGCCATAGGTGTAAGGGCATACAACAATTCCTCTAGCCATTTAATCGTTTCCTGCATGACTTTTAGTCCTACTTCCGTCCAGTTAACACGTATATGTAACCTACGCATACAAAAATAACCTGAACTGTGTAAGTATTCTGCAAATCACGAGAAAGTCAAATATTAGTGTAGTTAATTCAACTTTGTTGTAGAAGTAGTAGTAGTAGATTGATTACCCAATTTACACTACTCCCCTGATTAATGTCCTGTGCAATGTCCTGTGTGACTTTACTGAAGTGTTTATAATAAGACGTGGTTTGACCTGTGGTTAAATGTATTGCGGAAATTTCTATATGCATGTCGGTAATCCTCCACCGAGTATTCATGTCTCTTTCTCCACGAGTGGAAATGCTGCAATTTTCCGCTAGGCTGAATACAACAAATGAATTTCCCATTCCATCTAAAATACAAACATGATGACAAGCATTCAAAGGTTCACTCATTCAGTAATTATGTATATTTTCTGTGTTACTTTCTCTTAACTTTGAGCATGAACATCACGTATATAGTAGTAAATAAGTGAAAAGGTTATTGTACCAAAGATACCCCCAAGAACAGAAGGAGAATTTCGCTCAGAGATATTCCAACGTCTCATATAGCGGCCTACAGTGGCGGAAAGGGCATCGCATACACCGCCAGTTGACCTGTAATGGTTAAATCGTACCGGTAGGTGCTAGTTTACCCCGCAAAATACAAACGCCCATCGAGCACGGAGTAACTATTGCAAGAATAAGGAGTACGGAGTACAGTTCCTTCAATTCTTATCCACCAATGAATATCAAACCCCAGAGAAGATCTATAATTGGGTAGTTGGTTGGATTTGGTTCAGCACAGTTGTAAGTTCAGAGCTGGAAACTATTTTCTTTAAATATAGGCGCCGCTTCCACAAAAAGAAGATTCGATTATACCCACTCATAATCGCTGTCATCATTTCACATTCGTCCCAAAGCTTCTACGATGAGAAATACTTGGTTGAATCTAGTCACCCAGGTTAGCCTGGTTGTGCAAACTTTCAGCTCTATCGTCCTGGCCGCCCCAGCTGCATATGTTGACTGCCAGAAACCAACTTTGGATCCGCTAACCAACTGCCCTAATGGAACTATCTTGGTGTCGGCCTCAAGTACCCATGATGTGCACTTCAACACGATCCAGTCTGCAATTGAGTCTCTGCCTCACGACATGTCGCATCAAATTATCTTGATTCTTCCTGGAAATTATACGGAGCAGCTCAATATCACCCGCCCTGGACCGGTTACTTTGCTTGGTCAAACTCCTCATCCAACATTGCAGAGTCGAAACCAGGTGCAGGTCTATTGGGCCGCAGCCAATGTCAAGGGCCGATATACAGACAATGCATTTACAGCTGTTTTAACAGTCGCACCCACTCTTGAGTCTAGTCTAACAGGCTCCGGTCCTACTGGCTATCCAGTACCTTCCAACACTCCATTCGGCTGTGTAAAATTCAGCGCTTACAATATCGACTTTCGTAACGTGTATGCCGAATACGCAGCCGCACAATCTCTAGCCGTGAGCATAAGTTATGCCAACGCTGGGTTCTACTGGTGCGGTATCTACAGCTATCAAGACACGGTAAGTCTGTTGATCCGGTAGTTACAACAACACAGACTGACTCGTCAACACAAACTAGGTTTACGTTGGTAAGCTTGGAAATGCGTATTTCTACCGTAATGAGATTGCAGGACAAGTAGACTTTCTTTACGGTATGTCACATCAACGTTAAGTTTGCGACAGCTGAATTTAACATAGCCGTTACAGGTTTTGGAACTGGATGGGTTCAACATTCCAACCTTACTCTTAGATCCTGTGGCGGTGGCATTACCGCCTGGAAAGGAACAAACACGACTTTCCCCAACAAATATGGAATCTATATCTCCGATTCGTTCGTAAACGCAGCGAATTCATCAATCGCATCGTCAATAGTCGGACATTGTTACCTTGGCCGGCCTTGGAATGATCTTCACCGCAGTGTATTTTTAAATACCAGATTGGATGCAAGCATTACTCCACCCGGCTACAAAACATGGTCGGGAGGAGCCCCATTCACCAATGGCTCAAACTACGGCAATATGACCTTAATGGCCGAGTATAAAGACTATGGGCCAGGTTTTAACGCAAGTGAACGCCTGGCCGGCAATATTACAACTCTCTTGAGCCCCAAGCAGGCTAGACAATATCGAACACCCAAAGATGTTTTTATGACACCCACAGGTTCACAGCCTAACATTGATTGGATTGATGCTGGTTGCTATACGTGGTAATGATATGGTATAGGAGAGAAACTAGAAGCAGACATGCAATTTAATAAAGTGAATCCTATTCTGTGTAATGGGTTAGAAATTTTCTATTTTGAAGTTGCAAACACTGACATAAATTTGTAATAATATATTAAAATTACTGCTTAAATGAGCCTTTGCTATTAAAAGCTTTAAAGATATACTTGTTCTTTTTTAGTAATTAAATAAATAAATAGCTTAATTTCTTTATTTTATTTAATTAAGGTTTATAGCTGTATGTAGTATTTATTCTATAACTGAAATAAAAATAAAAATAATAAAAGCTTACTATTGCGGCCAAGTTATCCTATTATAAATTTAGGATGCCTTAATCTCTTGCCAAATCGAGTATCATTGTTGGGAGGAAAAAAAAGGATAATTAGTATTGAATCTTTATATATTAATACAATTTCCGACAAAAAGAGATGATCTCGCCCGGGCTCGAACCGGGGACCTTTTCGGTGGTGTCAACAGATGTTGTTAACGAAATGTCATGACCAACTAGACCACGAAACCATCGAGTTACCTGATTGGTTGATGGCACGAGGAACATAGAAGGCTCATAAACTTCACATCTGCGAGCAGCATAATCTCACGTCTCATCAGGTAAGGCGAACAGGACATTACAAAGCAGAAAACAGCTGAGGCGATGCCAAAAAGTGATGTGAGATTTATTTAGCTCCAAGATCAAAAAGCAACTCGGACTTGAGGAGGAAGTACTAAGACAAGATTCTCACTCTTACTTTTACCGCCGGCAAAAGGATTGGTCTCCCATAGAGTAGCCGCTTCTGCAAGCCACATCCAGCGAGGCTGCTTACTACGTCTCTCATAGTGACGCGTGGGCGAAATGCTGAAGCTTCGGGTTTAAGTTAGGGTTTGCTGTTATGTGGCAGATGTCCGACTCGGAGATACAATAAAGTCCCTCTGCCCATGCGCATCTAGAAGACTACGATTCTTCAAAGTGGCAACAGGCGAGACAACCAGAGAGGCTTAGTCATTGGCAAAGCAACTTCGGAATGAAGCTATCCGATCGTAACGGAGACTATGATTCCCAGAACAAGAAACCTTAAATTCCCCGTAGGCCATTCCCAATAGACTGGAAACATCGCGTCTAGATATAGCGCCTAGTAAGCACCCCCTGCTTCTGCGTGACTAATGAGCTACAGGAGCCATAGGTCTCGACACATGCCTCTCGCGTTCGTAGAAATACTAGTCAGAGAAAGGTCCTTTGTCAGCGAGGACTGATTTACTGCTATATGAGAGTTGCTAAGCTGTAACGAATAAGCGCTAAATGGTGAGCTTTGCCCGTCGTTTGTCGTGCCTTTTCTAGCGCCTAACCTAGTTAACTACGATGGAAAAAGCTATTAGTGCATCCATATTATAACTCAGTAGTCTCTGGCATCGGTCGATTAATTCTATACGCTGTAAAAGTGAGCTTGTCAATATTGGGGCAACAGTCTCGAGAAAATGTGAAGCGCATGGAGGAACGTAAAGAGATTACGACGTAGCGCTAGAAACATTCGATTGAGAAATGTCATATCAATGTTAATATTATAGTAGCAGCCTCGCGTTTTTGTGAATTCATTCTCTATATTAAATGAATAAGGATCGTACAGCCACATAGGTAAACGCTGCTATGTATAGACAATTGCCAGTGGGCAAACCCGCTGTTCCCATAAAGGCTCTGTTTCTGGCAACATTTAGAGGCCTAACGCGCGAGTGGCATAGTTCCTTGCCGTCGTTGCCGCGTCACGTACTTCGCACGGATTAAGAGAATGCTCAAGACAATATGGGCTCTAGGAGTCTTGTAATCAGTTAGCGCGGCCAGCCACTATTAAGTAGTTCGGTCGTCAATACAAGATAGAGTTTGGCCAGTGCTGACAATGCCCTCTGAAAGGAGAGACACTGTACAAGGTGCAAAGAACTGCTCATCTTTGTTTCCACATCACGGCGACCATTATTTATGCAACTTGTAAAGCTATTTCTGATGGTCATATATCCAGATTTCACAATGCGGAAGAACTTCACCGTTGACACTTGTTTTCGTATACTACTAGCGTAGAGCAGCACCTCGAGGTGGCGAATTCCTCTCCAACGAGTGGAGATCACATGTAGAAGCCTACTGGAAGAGGACTCAGGTGTACTCGTTACACATTTCGGGCCAATGATGCACAACTTGGCGTTCGGCACTGAAGTATACACTGTTCACTGTCCTTGCTTGGATAGGAGAGGTATATTGGGGCATGACAAAACAAACCTCATTAGCGCGAGTTTAATTTGCATCAGCTATGTTATTACGCTGTAGGGCTGAGAAGTGGTGGCCACTAGATACGGTGCTAGTTACTCCGTATAGCCGTATATATTGTGGTGCGGCGAGTAGCTCGGTCTCGGTCTCGCATATCGTATTCATCCCACAAAAAGACAATACATCGAACTCCGAGGACTAATTGATCCAACGTGAGATGCGCCACGGCAACATCCAGCATATGCTCCAAGTACGCTATTACTTAGAGCTGGCCGCCATAAGCTATGCTTCTTATCAGGCATTTGTATAAACATAAGCAACCACCATGGAACAGGCCCGAATTCCGTTATTAGTTTAAGGGCTTTTCCAGTCTAGGTATTTGAGGAAATATTTTGTATTGAGATACTACTAGATATGTACTTTACAAAGTTTGTTTTCTGCAGATTGACTGGCAATTAAATGACAGAATTCAACACTTCTAATAAAATAGACTCAAGGCAATATCTAGCCAGGTACACATAAGCTAGTGGGCATCCTTTTTCGCAATTGTAAAATGCTTGAAGCTTCGGAGTTTAAAAGAACAGAATGATTAGCTCTTAGGTGCTACCTATCTTGAGCATCGCATGTAAGAAACTAAACAGAACCCAGGGGTGGACTGAAGCCACCATCGGACGCCGTGGCGTACCGCCCCGTCGGTAGAGTACAGGGCCCGTATGCAATTGTAAGTATATTTTAATTTTTTGGCAACGTGGATGACAGTTTATTTCTCGTGTACGTCAAAGCTGATTTGATCACTCCGCTAATTCCGCTAAAGGGGCCTAGATCTATCATCGGGAAGTGAGAAATTCGCGACTTGTAAGCCGACCCTCCTTGAGATAGTAGCTCATAAGCAGTCAGCCTGAATTGGCGTAAAGTCCTCGGAATGGATGGATATAACGCTGAGATAGCACTGGAATAAAGGTGGAGAAATCCAGAGAAGTTACAGCTATAAAGAGGATGGTAACTCTCGAATAAGAACTGCTTTCGCTTTGTCACACCTCCTTGTACTTCACAAAGCATTGATACCATTCAAGGCTACCACCAGATTCAAGCAACACTTCATCAAATTAGCACAATGGCAACAACGTCGCGTTCAGAATTTTACCGCTCTCAGTTTAACCCCGAGCCATCTCAAGGCATGGCCGCCTACGCCGCGCCCTCTCTCTTCCAACCTCATTTCGCTCGCCAAGCCATTCGTGATGCTCACAAGAAGAAGATTCCTCCGTTGTTGGGCTACTACTGCGGCCTTGGCTCTACAAAAATCACACGCTGGGTAGCACCTCTAAACTTTGATGTCGTTTGGGTCGACTGGGAACATAGCGCTATGAACGTCGAGACAATGACCACGATAGTCCATGAGGCAATCTTCATGAGCCACGGAAAGACGATTCCATTTGTCAGGGTGCCAGGGCATGATCATGCAGCTATTGGATATGCGCTAGATGCGGGCGCCAGTCTCGTTATTCCTCAGGTTCGTTGCCGTGCGGCATCCAATTTTCGAAAGTCGAGCAAGCTGACTGTGAAAATTCAGGTTGAGACTGTTGAGCAGGCCAAACACGTCGTATCAGCAGCCAAATTCGGATCAAAGCAAAATGGTACCCGATCTGCGCCTCCCTTCCGACTGTTCCCCGGCGTTACAGATCGACCATTCCAGGAAGGCAGAGACATCTTTGAGGCTCTCAACCACCAGGCAGCCATCATGATTCAGATTGAATCCCTAGCAGGTAGGTGTCTCTCCACCACTTGAATCTCTCAAAATATTTAGTCTTGGCGTCTGTTTTGCTGATTCCTGATTCTTTTTGTCGCTAGGCATTAACAACCTCGACGCCATCCTCACAGAGGTGCCTGATATTGACATGGTATGGCTCGGAACCCTCGACTGTCGCGTAGAGATGAATATGCCAAGCAATATGGGCATGGGCGGTAACGAGCCGGAATGGCTAGAGGCACGACAGAAGTTCTTTGATGTTTTGGACAAGCACGACAAGCCCTATGGCGGCTTCGCCTTCCCTACGCCTCCCTTTGGCGGCGAAGAGGTGTTTAAGAAGGCTGCGGAGCGCATGTCGTTCATCATGGCGGCAGCAGATACAATGGCATTGGCAGGAATGGGCGAGGCCTTGAAGCTGTCGAGAGAGTTTGTGGCGCTGAAGAAGGAAGAGAAGGTGCCCACGCACAACGCTGTGAAAGGCGAGACAGAAAGCCTAAAGCAACCCCCGTTGAAGGTGTAGAAGAAGAGAGCAGATGCGGAGATGGAGATGGAGATGGTTGGTAGAACGAATTGGATGATGTAAGCGGCGGTTCAGCTGAAGCTCAAAGCAGAGCTGCCTGTGTTATACAGTAGTTATTAGTTATCTGCACGTACCAATACAGTACTACTCGTATCACGACGTCTTTGGCAATAAGGAGGGGTTCGTGGCCAATTGCGATGGACACATTTGCTGAATCGAAGAAGAAGAGCATCAAGTCGTGATTTCGAAGCAGCTCTACTCCTCATGCCATCGTTCCATTTACATAACAGCAACCGCTAGCGCTCCTCAAGATCTGGGGAAGCACCGCGCCGTTATCGCACGCCATGTGGGACTCGACTTGTTCGACATGACAATCTGCAATCGAGTCGAATCAGCGCCCTTGCTGGGCCAGTTCGCGACAGGCCGGCGGTTGCGCCTCAAAACCCCAGGATGCTTATCGCTCGCCGTCCGTGCCAACTGACTCGGCCTCCCCCGCAACGAGTGCTGAAGATAATTGGCTGCAGGAGGGAATCTGCACGGCCCTGGTCCCTGGTCAACGGATGCTTGACTCGTGCGGTCCGATTTACTGCCTGTCCAGCATCATTCTTATCTCGCCTCCATATCAATCGGACCATCGCCGGGATGGGATTGAAGCAACGGGCAGCATGAGACAACATGGAAACAATGCAAAAGACAAGAACAAACGGCATGCAAAAGCGAGACACCACGTGTTGTTTTACGCTTTCTAATCCCTGCGCCGCAGCAAGCAGGGCAAACAAGCTTATCGTCAGCAGCGAATGCCCGGGCCAGAATCGGCGCAGCCGTTACTTGTTCCAGATGAGGCGTCAACTAGAGCACGGGCTAAGCACCAGCTAGCAGCCGGCGGAGGGCGCGTCAGGCAAGGGGAGAGCCTCGGCCGTCGTCATCGGACGAGCCATTGCTTGCACGAGATAGCACTCGAAACGCAGCCGCGAGCTTCTTATCTCTGCTTGTCCTCGTCCAAAAGCGTGCCTTTTCAGTCTTTGCAACCTCTCCTCTTCCTAACCCTAACCCCCTCTCAGCCAGCCTCACGCCGCTCTGCGCTGCTTCGTCGGGCTGCTGTTTGGACATCGACAAGACCTCGCCTCAACCGCTCACCATCCACCACCGATAACGGGCAATTGGCATCACGAACCCCGTCAACCGCGAGCCTCACACAGCCATGGACACTCGCCGCCGCCGCTCCTCCGTTGGCAGCGGCGCCCAGACCGCCGACCAGGCGCTCGCGTCGCTGGGCTACAAGTCCGAGCTGCCTCGCCATCTGTCCATGATGTCCATCCTGGGCCTGTCGTTCGCCATCATGGCCGTTCCCTTCGGCCTCAGCACCACGCTGTACATCACCCTCACCAACGGCCAGTCCGTCACCGTCCTCTGGGGCTGGATCCTCGTGTCGCTCATCTCCGTGTGCATCGCCGCCTCGCTCGCCGAAATCTGCGCCGTCTTCCCCACTGCGGGCGGCGTCTACTACTGGTCTGCCATGCTGAGCTCCCGCGAGTGGGCGCCGCTGGTCAGCTTCGTGGATGGATGGCTCACTCTTGTGGGCAACTGGACCGTGACGCTGAGCATCAACTTTTCTGGCGCGCAGCTGATTTTGAGCGCCATCAGCATCTTCAACGAAGACTTTGTGGCGAATACGTGGCAGACGGTGCTGTGTTTTTGGGCCGTGATGCTGGTGTGCGCCCTCGTTAATGCGTTTGGATCGCGGTATTTGGACCTCATCAACAAGGTCTGCATCTACTGGACCGCTGCCAGCGTCATCATCATCATGGTCACTCTGCTTACCATGGCCGACCACCGCCACTCGGGCGAATATGTCTTTGCTCACTATGATGCCTCGGCCAGCGGATGGCCTACAGGCTGGTCCTTTTTTGTTGGATTGCTCCAAGGTACGTTTGCCGTATTACTTTTTTTTTTCTTTTGTTTTTTCAAGCACGCGCAGTAAGCAGTCTTATTCTTCATTTTACTGACAAATAAATAGCTGCTTACACTCTCACCGGCTACGGCATGGTTGCGGCCATGTGCGAAGAAGTGCAAAACCCCGAACGCGAAGTCCCCAAAGCCATTGTCCTCTCCGTCGTGGCCGCCGGCTTTACTGGCGTCATCTACCTCATCCCTCTCCTCTTCGTCCTCCCCGACGTCCAAACCCTGCTCAGTGTTGCCAATTCTCAGCCAATTGGTCTCCTCTTCAAGACCGTCACCGGATCCGCGGCCGGCGGCTTCGGCCTCCTATTTCTCATCCTTGGAATCTTGATGTTTGCCGGCATCGGCGCCCTCACGGCTGCTTCACGATGCACATATGCTTTTGCTCGAGACGGTGCCATTCCCGGATATAAACTTTGGCGCAAGGTGAATAAGTCACTGGACGTGCCCATCTGGGCTCTTGTCCTGTCTACCGCAGTTGACTGTGTCCTTGGGTGCATCTACTTCGGCTCATCCGCCGCCTTCAACTCCTTCACTGGTGTCGCCACAATCTGTCTCTCTACATCATACGGGGTCCCAGTCCTGGTCAATCTTGTCCAGCGCCGCAGGGCCGTACAACACTCCCCTTATCCTCTCGGCAAAGTCATGGGCCCCATCATCAACGTCATCTGCATCATCTGGATAGTCTTCTTCGTCGTAATTTTCTGCATGCCTGTGTCGCTACCGGTAGACCCCACGACGATGAACTACGCTTCGGTGGTGTTTGCTGGGTTTGGAGCCATTGCTTTTATCTGGTACTTTGCGTATGCGCGCAAGAACTTCACTGGCCCCCCAGTCAGAAGCGGTGGAGAGGATGATGTTATTACTACGGTGGGAGTTGCAGTGGGTGAGCCCGGGAGAGGCTCAGAGTCACCGCAAACAAATATGGAAAAGGATATGAAATAAGCCTAGAGACTCTAGACCAGTAATATGAACATAGTGAATAGTTTTCTTGTTAATTCAATTGCTTTAATGATTCATGAATCTATTACATGCTCCTACTATCTAAACCGGCGAAGCATGCCCATAATCATAACAGGTATATACAAAATAACATCCTTTATTTTTCCAATCACTCCCAAATTTTTCCCTTAAACACTGATAGTACGGAACACGCTGAATTCCTCACCCGTGGCAATCAAGCTGCCCGGAATCTGCGGGTGCCAGTGCACTTCTCTGACATCCTTCAGGTAGTGCACAAACAGCAGCTGGGGCGGCACGTCCTTGACACCAGCAGTGTCCTTGCTCTCCTCGTCATCCAATTCGACAGCCAGATCCCACAGCGTGACAGTGTTATCACCCGCAGCCAATGCGATGATAGAGTCGTCCGTGGGATGCCACTCAATGCTGCAGATTTGCTCCTTGTGGTAGTTGAAGCTGGCCACCGGCTGAGGCTTGCTATCATTGCCCTTCCATTGTCTAAGATCCCATACAGCCCAGGTTCCATCGTCGGCTCCGGAGGCGAGCAGGTTGGTCGTGTGCTTGGACCAGGACATGACGTTGACGTCGTAGTTGGAGACCTGGACGGTGATGGCTGGTTTCCTCGACTTGGATCGAATATCCCAGATTCGAACCGTGCCATCGCTTGAGGCAGATGCGAAGACGGACTGCTCAGAGGGCGACCACTGGATTTCCTCCACGCTGCTGGCGTGGCCCTGGAAGGGCCTGTTGTCGGTGACCCAGCCGCCTCCGTCAGTGCGCGTCGTCATATAGATGAGGCCATCGTTGTCACCAGTCAGGAGCTTTCCGCCAGGGACGAGCGGTGACCAATCCACAGCATAACCCTCGGATTTGTGTGCTCTGATGGTGGAAATAGGCTTGTTCTGCTGGGCGGTAATGACAGTACCGGGCGTATCGAACGAGGTGAGGTGAGGAGTAACATCGTGGATGAAGACGCTCGAGGATTCGGTCATGGTTGCGGTGAGCGTCGTGGGAGGCAGAGAAGGATCTTGGTTGGGGATCTGGTGCGTGCGGATACGGTTGGTGCAAGAATTGAGGGGGATCGACTTGCTCTCCAGGATAGGATCAGAGTCTTCGTCATCGTCGTCAGAATCGGAATCCTCGTCGCCGCGCTCCATCTTGCTGAGGCCGCTGAACTTGACGACCAGCAGCTCGTTCTCGTGGGCCTTTGACGACTCGGCTTGTGTTCCAGTAACGGTATACATGGTGTGGGGGTAGGCTTTGCGGTTGTCGCCGAGGGAGTCCCTGACGATATCAAAGGACAGGCACGGCCAGGGCGTGTTGAGGCCGTGCAACATTTCGTAGGTGGTCAAATCCGGCGCCAGGGTCTGGCCAGGCTCGAGCTTGCTTCGTCCGACGATGAAGGTTCCTTGATCGACTTCCATGGCGTCTGTTCCAAGTATATTCATTAATCACCGCTCTCAATTAAGACTCCATGAAGCGCGCTGTCATGGCGCGCAAAGTGCCGATAATGCTGGGTCGCAGGGATACTCACGCTCTTTCTCTTCAGCCTCCCTCTCGGCATCTGGTCGGCCATCCACACCGGCCTCGATGATTTCATCTTCGCTTTCGAATTCGTCTTCGAATTCATCTTCGAATTCGCCCATGTCCTTGTCCATATCAACGTCCATCTGCTCGGGACGCTCGCCGCCCTTGAGCGGCGCATCATCCTGGTGGTCTGCTGTGCGCTTCGACATGTTGGATGTATGATTCGCAGTCACTAAACTTCCTAATAAAGCTGGCAATATAGTTAGCTATGTATACGGGCCAAAACAATGCGCACATATATACTCACTCTGAGCTGAGGCGCCGTATGGAATAGCAAAACAGACTCCAATCAGTTTCCCAATATAATTTTTTGAGCCCCTCTAAAAAATTCCATCCATGAAATAAAAATCTTATCAGTTGTTATCGGCGAAGCCACATGACCCCGCTGTGTGGCTGCTGCTCTCTTCTCTAAGCGTCTGTGGCGGTGCAGGTCTCTAACAAACTCGCATTTTCACTTTTGGTGGCCAACTATTTTGACTTCGCGTGTCAGTAGGCAACTAAAAGTCAAGGCAATGGGCATATAACGCAGTTTTTTATGTTATGGTTGGTTATAAATGCATAACCGCGGTACTGCATTTATGATTTGTTATCTGTTGCGTAGAAATGGGGCATCTATACATAATCTGTCACGATGAGCTCCGACTATGCCAGTATGCGACATACTCGAGTTTACCTTCAGCAGCGAAAAATGGTGGCCATGTACAATGGCTGTCGTGTCATTGTTTATATCTTTGTGGATAACTTCCCGAAATCGCTATCATTGGGGGAGAAATATCTATTCATCTTAAAAGTTGCAGAAGATTTCAAGCTAGACGGATACACCATCGAAGATTTCTATGACTGGGCTGCAGAACCACTTCTCCCCATTTTCTGTCAATTAGGTACTCTACCAGATCTTTCCAAGAGTTTGAAAGGGCTCCTTTTCCTTGAATCTCACTCTTTGACATTGCGAGCTAATGGAGAATCACTTATTGCTATCCCATATTACGACAAAGTTGAAGAGTTTGATGATCCGATGTGTGGTATTTATATTCCTGAGAGTGTCTGCTGTGTATTGACCTTTTTTTAAGCCAATCATGTTCCGGCCATGCGTAAATAACATCCCAATGGGCTCGCCTCCACCCTTGCCAGCCAACTTTCTACTACCAGACGGGAGCAGCGCATTCTTAAAGTTCATGCGCTCCAAGGATATATGATCTCTATTACGGGAAATTGGCGTGTAAAGCAAGATTCACGACACGCATTCGGATAAATCGATACGAATGTCACGTCTGCCTGACATTGTACGAGCTGAAGACAGCCAGTTATTCGGCTTGTTCTTAGCGTATATTGACTATGGAAACACAGCGTTAACTTGTACCGTGACCCGGAGGCAGACACGATTGCCCGATGGATTTTGACCAAGAAGATTGAGGATACTTTTACACTATTGTATCACGCAGGGATCGTTTAGTGAGATGTGAAGCCAGACAATATTCTCGTCAACCATACTAATGACATATAGCTCATTGACTTTGGCGGCTCATATACAGAGGGTTGGATGCCAAGAGAGAAGTCAGGAACAGTAATGCTTAAAAAGATTTGAGTGTCTTATCGAGAATACAGTCATGAACATGGCAAATTGAACAAAGCCTTTTACTTTGTTCTATATCAATCACAGATACGACCCAAGATTAGAGCAGGTACAGCCAATGTGGAAGAATCGATGGGACAGAGAACTTAGCTGACACTTGTGCTCCATTGCCAAACTTTATCTTCTTGTCAACTGCAGCGTGGTAGAGCAGTTGTCAGGCTCTGGCAGAGTGTACGGAAAAAAGAGCTGAATTTATGAATATCCATACGTTGCAGAGTAGTGGCTCTTTATTATCCATGTACTACCATTTAAATTTAGATATGAATAACGATTACTTAGTTCGCAGTATGATACATATACACACATATAGTGTATATATATTTCATAATTCTTTTCAATGTGCAACTGCACGAAGCTTCGATGTGACTAGTATTTATTCTTTCACTACCTTCCAATTTTAGACAGATAGACAGTTGGGCAGTCTATTAGAGCTTCTCCTGACCATGAACAAATGTGGAGAAAGCTTCTTGTTGTCAAACTACTCAGGCACCAACATTTCACTTAATTAAGCAAGTTTTCATGTACTCCAGGTGACGTACAAATTATTCGACATTATAGGAGAAAGTCGTAGAAGTAAGCACTTGAGAAAATCAAGGGATGTGGATAGCCACTAGTTTCACAACGGAATACAGCACTCAGTTACCTTCTTAGCAACTAGCTCTAGAAGTTGACTCATAAATACTATGTAGCGTGTCTAACCACTGCCCACTGCAAGACCTGCGTCACCACTCAGTCATCATGTTTAGTAATAGAAAGCGGCTGCCCCTTCATGGCAAGGTGAAAAGGTTGCAGTTGAGTCCCGTTCAATCGTAGAGCATGACTGTTAAGTAATCGAGAAATTGGGCAAAATTTTATTTAGACACAATTTGACTAATCATTGTTCCCTAAAGGAAGGCGTCTATTACCAAATTAACTACAGTAAGACTAACATATGCGACATTCTTTCCGTAAAAGGCATAAATTTTAGCTAGTGTGGAGTATATACGAGATACGGAATACGGAATACGCGTACCTCTTGATACATACTATGTAGTATCTGGAGTGCTATCGGTATAAAATATTGATGTTCTTGATCATTTTCACCACCGAAAGCGATGAGTGATAGAACCACTCCTGCAGGTTATACTCTTTTAGTGGTGTCTAAATTTCAGCATCTAGTTTATCTACCCACTCAATATGATGTCAAAGTGAAGCGTTTCTCGTCTAAGGAAATACGATGTTTCTATTTTTCATGGTGATATTTCGTTCAAAAACATTCAATTCCTTCATAAGCTTGCGACTATGAACTACTTCGCCTGTTATAGCTCTAATTTTCTGTTCGTGGGTCAAATTGAGTGAATCGCACGAACACTAAACTTGGGCAATCAAACTAAACAGCTTGGCACTGTAACTTAAATATTATAGTTTTGTTTAACGTTTTATCTCTTACGCTATTAATGCTTTTCTCATAATGGTCAAGCTAAAAATTGACGCAATAACCCATTGTTAGTTTCCAAGTGTTCTAACTTGACAATTTAGCAATACGACATAAAATATTCCCCCTTTTCATCTCGCCTCAAACTTAGGACCGCCATTGCGGATTTTGAAAGCATCTCGCTCTACTTCTTCTCTCTCATATATATACCTATATATTGTTGCTTACTGGATGTCATGCCAACGTATGTGTAAACCCTTGTGGAAATCTACCTGTAACTCTCTATTACTACGCATCACGCATGTGGCTTTATGTCCATGTTCTTTTGCAAAGTCGCTATGAGCACCTCCATTATTCTTCTCCGGCCCCACCTGTCTTCTCCGACCCCATCGGTCTTCTTAGGTGCCATTGGAATCATTTCGGCGACCATTAATGTCATATTAGCACTCTCTGCTAGCTCCCACCCTGGAAAGTGACTTAATTTGGTGCTTTTGCTTTACAGGGGCATAAGATGCATCGAGACTAGTTGTTGGTGTGGTGGTGTGGTCGAAATACAACCTACCCCTACTGTACCTGGAGTGTATCCCCACACAGGTACAGGTTTATCTTTTGGCCTTGTGGGATCTGGAGATTATACGCGTAGTTAGCTTAAACAAGCCATGGGTGCATGATAACGTGAGCCTGATTACTATTCTCGTCTTATGTACATAGGGGGTGGGTATACATGGTTTGGCAACGGATCTTGCTTCTCACGATTACTACCAATATTGAAAACGACAGGCGTGTCACATACAGGAGAGGGTACCTTCACGAAACTGATTGTGAGCTTCAGCTAATTAACAAACCAAGGTCCAATCAGATCCTGAGTTAACCGGCGCCCCATCCCTTGGGATAGAAAGGTTCAGAGTGATTGACGATTTGGACTATTAGCTGACAGGGGCTTGGAAGGCTGTTGATTCGTGCGCTGTCGAGAGCTATATTGTTTAGATGGTTCTGAAACCTTCTCTCCATTACAGAAATTCCTATACATATCTGATTATGGGAAAGTTACTCTACTATAAATCTCTTATTCATAGCTTACTTGGCATGCTTTTAGTTGTTTCTCTAAAGTTGATGAATGGACACCTTATTAAATTGCGAGCACTAGTATTCGGCATTTCCGTTCCATTCGACTCCAAAAAAAGAAAGAACGTTGTCTTACAGCACTCGAATTCTACTGAGTCTCCTCATGGGACTTCTCTTTTTGGCAATTTTGGATAGGTTGAGAAAGTCACAAGTAAAGGGGGCTTACCAACAACTCAACTCTTGCAAAATAGAGCTTATATCTTTCGAGACACAAATTTCGAAGCTAAACTCCCCGATCAGGCTGTGGAGAGCAAGGCTGCCGCTAATTGGGCCTTCCGATGACTCTACCCTATGCGGAATGTCAGTCTTACCACTTCCGTCATTCATTGCGCCGTGCAAAAAGTTCTTGAAGGCAGCACTCCATACGTAGGGCTGCAGTAAGGGGTCTGATTGCGGAAATATGCGGTAAAAGCGTGGCCCACTGAGTCCCAGCTCTTGACGTCAATTTTCTCCTTGCTCCATGTGTGACACGATGCAAATGGAGTAGTGGTCTTATGGTCGCCGACTGATTGTGGTGCCCACGGCTGACTTGTCAAGCACTCTCGACTGCTGGGCTGGGATAGAATCTGCAGTTCGTTATTTGATTATAGAAAGGCGCCGTCGTGTTGCGTTAGCCTGGATATTAGCCCTTTTTCCTTGCTATAAACTGCTGTCAGCCCTTTTCTCAGCTTCACCATTTGTTCTTCGTCCAAGTGGGACTAGCCTTGTGACTAATGCACGGCCAAGGGTGTCACTTGGCTTCCACTCTATATTGGTATTCAGCTTGAATGCCGGTGTGGTGCGCGCTGGAGCTCGGCAAACAAATTAATCTTAGAATTAAGGATGTCTAGATACGAAGTAGCGGTGCCAATGCTTCAATAGCGTGGTTCCTTAGCATGGAGTGGACTCCTAGTAAAACTACAGCCAAGTCGCTGGCATCTCTGCCTTACCGCCGTAAGGATCACGAATGCCTACACTAACAAAATAGTTGCCAAAGCTTGCTGTAGAGTTAGTGCTAGGCGAATCCTTTCGTCAACTACTGTCGTGCTGCAGTAGCTGGTGGCAACACCATGCATCGCGGTAGCTTAACAACTCAGAACAAGGGCTTATATCTACATATTAAAGTTCCAGCTCGATTTCAATAGTATAAACAAAAAAAGATAGTATTGGGCATGACACCCAAAAAAGAGACTTCAGCTTTGTGACTCCTCCGGGAAGGCTCGAACTTCCAACCTCCTGATTAACAGTCAGACGCGCTAGCCAATTGCGCCACAGAGGATTCGCTGCGATGTTTGCTGAGGCGAACAGAAAGCTACTATGAAGCTGTCGACTCCACAGCCGAGATTTCGATTTGTTCGTTTGGTTCGACCTCGAAGCCTCTTTCTTAGCTTGCCAGTAGCTGGGAATTGATGCAGGGTAGTCGAATTTCACATACATTGTATACTGTACCCCATTACTACCTTGCATTCGCAATTGGATCGGTAAATCAATTTCAGCCTCGCTATGGTAAATACAGTTTAAGATGCCATTCCCTTGGCTGGTATCCTCTTGAGATCGTTGAACCACACATATCGACTGAGAATCATGTACAAGTGGCGATCCCACGAATACTGGCTGTCATGGCTTGCAAAGGCATTACGCGTCCTCTGATACCGGTGCCAGGTGTTGGCTATTAGCGCCTTGGAGCTAACCTCGGGGCTTGCTTTTTCAGACGGGTAAAAGACGGCAGTGATGATTCTCCATGAGAAAGACAGTGCCGTCAACGGCAAGTCGAACAGGAAAGTGTATTTCCTGAGAACTGCCGTGGTGACAAGCTTGTATGCTGGCGGGGCCTTTTCATCACCCACCACGTACTCACTAGACAGGCGAGTCAGTTGCAGGGCCTTCAATAGCGTGCGCGTTGCATCGCCCAAGGCGAGCATGCAGGATAGAAAGTGGCGTACCTCACGGCTGCGCTCACGGCGCGATGGTTGATGTGTCCAGACACACCGCCCTCGTCAAAGGTGATGATCTATGGCGATGTGCGTCAGCTTCACACACAGGAGATGCAAAATACCAGACTAAATTAAAGCAAAGCAAATAAGAAAAAAAGAGGGGCAGCTGCTAGAAGCAGAGTACTTACGGCGTCAACCTCCCACTTCTCGACATATTCCTTTACTTTGGACTTGATCAATTCGGTATCCCACCACACCTTGGGGTTATCCTGAAGGCTAGGATGGTCTAATGCCTCGCATCTCGATGGATTGATGCGTAGAGCACTGCACGAGCCCTTTAGCTCTTGCTTGCGCGTCTCGCCCAGGCCATAATTGTTTCCTAATGGTTGTGTACGTCAAGAGTGACGAGTTGACTTAGCATAAGCCCTCGGCGGATGCGGGGAAAATGGAGCCAAGAACTGACAAAAAGGAAAAAAAGAAAAAGAGAAAAAAAAGAAAAAAAAAAAGAAAAAAAGAAAAAAGCTACTAACCGGTTGACATAACTAGCAAACCGCCATTGATGGCCCGGTTCCTGTCAAGGATGCCCAGAATGGTAGGCGAGAAAAACAGGCACTCGTCATCAGGATGGGCCGTAACAATCAACACATTCTTGGCCTGCAGCAGCTCTGGCGGCAGCAGTCGCGCATCCCTACCGACGACATAGGCGAGCAGCCACTGTAAGACCAGAGGGATGATAAGGATAACAACAGCTACCCGAAGCAAGGCACGACGCCGGCTTCGCGTCCCGACAAACCAATGGCAGGCCTTGAAGATGGTAGAATCGCGGATTTTGCGAGCCATGGTCAGCTAGCGAGCTAGTCCCGTGTGAGATAAAAATAAACCGGCAATCAACAGGGCAAGGGAGGGGGAAGAAACGAACATTTGGAAGGGAATAAAGAAGAGAGACCACCGAGTTGAAAAGCCAAGGCGATGGCCCCCAATATTTCAGCCGCGTGCTTGGGGCGACCCAGGAAAACGAATAAGCTTGATGAGTAAACTGTGCCCGACTGGGTAGCAATGTCGCGACACGACGTGGCACTCGGCACTAGGGACGAAACAGCTGCTCGCACACGCAAGCACAGAACAGACGCCACTGGCCAGCAGCCCTTCTGGAGCTGGGTGGCTCGATGTCCCAAAAAGCTTGACCGGCGCTTTGACCCGGCGCAGAGCCGCGGGCTGCGAAGCAGAGGTCGACGACAGCCGATGTAATTTGTCCAAGGGGGGTGTGCCACGCCCACCGGCCTTCGACCGTAGGTAGGTACGAGGTACACGTACGAGTTAAGCACCTGCTAGGTAGGTACTACATGTATGCGGACGCTCTGAAGAGCTACCATGGCCACAAGTACAAGCATGAGCGACCCGTGGAGCCAGCTGCGGCCCCATCCCTGTCAATTAGAGGGTGACATGACATGTGAAGTACGAGTACCGGGTACTTTTCCTCCGTAGGCCCTGAAATTTGTACCGTTCCTGCGGCGCGGCGATATTAGGGATACCACGAGCCTGCTGAGGCTGTACAGACCGTTTGTTGCTCCTCAAGCCAGCGTAGCGCCGTATTACAAGTATTATGCGGCCATACTGTTAGCCCGGGCATGCGTCTGCTGCCAAGAGATGGTGTCCCGGCTGCTTGTTTCCCGGTGCCAAAGACTGAGTTACCACTAGCAGCGCTACTGTACCAACTACCTGTGCATGCGTGCATTGTGTTAATATGCTGTGGGCCATTCCAAGCCCAAGTCAAGCCAGCGTTCCGACCAAAGCAGCCACAAACCTTGCCGATTTCCCGGTGTAGGGCAGCTCAATTAGGCAATGCATTGCTTGGCGTGGGTCACAGCAGCCGCAGGGGAGGGCAAGGGCTCTTACAGCAGGTATAGCGCAGCGCTGGGTCAGTTCGCCGGGTCGGTACGTGTAATGTTGCCGCATGCTTCTTGCCAGAGGCCTGGAGATGATTGCGGGATGGCCGTTGGCTAACATGCTTTGGCTTGGTTGTTTTGGGGGAACGCCGAGACGGTCTAGGGCTTATTTAGCCAGCCCTATCATGGCGAACCAGTTGCTTCATGCGCGTGGGAGTCCATCTGGGCTTTAAAGCAAATTAAGCTGCTGAGACGGCATACTAAGCGACGGGGGTTAGTGTGGCTAGATCATGTCACTCTGACGAGCTAATGCTAGGAGCGAGGCGTACAGGGTCATTTGCAGTGAAAGATACAAGGTGGCAGATACAGATGCCTGTACGCCGTAGTAGGTACCGCATACCCAGTACGCTCTCCCCATCTCCTCTGCCTCTTTCTCGCATACAGAGCTATTAATATTCAGTGGGATTTTTTTTTTATTCTCCTCCGAGGCCGTACCCTTTTTGAAAACAATATTCGTGATTAGTAGAGGCTCTGGAGCAGGTATATTCCCTTGTTGAAGAGAGCAAAAGATAGATTAGGGTGTAAGCACTGCTGGATCAGCCGGTTCTGTTCTAAGACTGGTATGATGTTTCAACAGTATTCTATTTCTGGCTTTCACGCTGCATCAACTACCACTGCCACTGTAACAGACAACGCCCCCCCAAGTGTCCGTAGAAAAGACGAAGGAACAGCAGGGGGGTGGCTTTGTGTCGCTACCTAAGGCCGGGTACGGTTAGCGATCCACGCCAGCTCTGTCGTAAGGATGGCTGCAGTGGTGGAGGCTCCTCCTTTTCGCATTGGGATTGTCCGCCTACGCGCTACTGAGATCCAACGTGTTGTCGACTGGGGTGGCTATGCTGTCAAGAGTAAGAAGAAGGCGGAATTACGAGACTCCCTGAGGCTGTTTAGAATAAAAATCTAGTCGAGATGCCGCGCCGCAATCTCCAACTTTGAAACACACAGCCTCTCTCTCTCTTTACCACTCTCTTCCTCTCTTTACACACCCACAAACTTATTTTATCTCGACACAAGCCATGTTCAACTAAACTTTAATCTTCGAATAATAATTCTTTTATTCTTATTCTTCCGTTTTACCATTGTGGTTTAAAATCGAACAGAGTGTCACCGTCGTTGGTACTAGACCCCAAGAGAAATACCGCTCCACACACATTATCTTTTCTTCTCAGTCCTCCTTTTTCTTCTTCTTCTTCTTCTTCTTCCTTCTTCTCTTCAGTGCTAGCCATCTAGCATCGACATCATGATTAAGGATCGTGCCTTAGGGCTTTTTGGCGATAATGTTGAAAGAAGAGCCCGGACTTTCTTCTGGTTAACGATTGTGAGCTTCGCGTCGGCCGTCTTTCTCTTCCGCCATCTTCTCTACACATCATGGACGCTGGCCGCCCTTCCTGTCTACTGGCCTATGCATCGCGACAGTTTCATCCTCTCACAAGAGAGAGACAACTTCGACATCACATTTTCCAACTATAGCAAAACTCAAGTCTCAGCCGCCCCTTACGAAGATGTCGTGCCACCCATCCTACATCACATCGCCCTCGGCAAACACAGCACAAACTGGAGGACCGAATGGAAGGAGACGGTCCAGAGCTGCGTCGACATGCACCCAGGCTGGGAGGCAAACATCTGGACAGACGACAAAGCCTCCAAGTTTGTCGAGGAGAAGTTCCCCGACCTCAAGGAGATGTGGGATAGTTACACCTACCCCGTTGAGCGAATTGACGCTCTGCGCTACATGCTTCTCTATGAATACGGCGGCGTAGTCCTCGACATGGACCTCAAGTGCACGCGCGCTCTGGGCCCTCTGCGACGATTCGACTTTGTGGCCCCCGAAGCTCATCCTGTCGGCTTCTCCGTCGGCTTCATGATGTCCAGCAGACGCAACCAATTCATCGGCGACGTCGTCAGCAACCTCGCTACCTACAACAAACACTGGCTGGGCCTCCCTTACGCGACTGTCATGTTCAGCACGGGCTGCCACTACGCCTCGGTTATCCACGCCTTTGAGTCGGATCGCAGCGATCTAAAGATCCTCCCTGGACCGTTGCACAGCCTCAATGGTCGCGTAACAACGCCCATCTTTGAGCACCTCGGCAGCTCATCATGGCATTCATACGATGCCCGCTTTATTACATCGCTAGGCCGACGGTTACACCAGATCGTCTTCTTCTGCGTCGGCGTTGTGCTCGCACTGTTTGTGCGGAGAAGACTGATGCTGCGGAGAGTATGGTGGAACTTCAAGGGCGATCGGTCATTTGTATAAACACACTCTCATCATTTTCTATGTATAACTACACCAAACAGAGCAAAACAGCGCACAGATAACGCGAGGTTCATGTAGGGCCTGTAAAGGGAAAAGGCCTCTCGCAGTTCTCATTCACTTTGTACATATTCTTTTAATGTCTTTTTGAAATAATACCCGTTAATAGAGCCTTGAAATTTTTTTTTTCTTCTTCACTTGCAGCCTACTACTAGTAGTACATAGTAAAACCGTGTCTCGGCTGATCGGCATAGGTGATCCAGATTGCTTACTCGTATTGACAGCTGATTGAGGGGAGAGTCATTAAACGGAATATCCATCTTGCGAGGCGTGAAAATACGGGCAGTAGAAGGGGGAAAACCTAATCAGCGTACTTTTCGTACCCGGTACGGGAAGGGTACTCGAGTCTCAGCAGTCATGGCTAAGCTTTTGGATCTGCAGTGCCAAGCTTTTTCGAATCTGGAGCTAGCAGTGGCCAAGTCACGGCCAAGTCGAGGCTCTGCCGCACCGCGCCATGGAGGTACCTTGGCCTAGTCGCGGCCTGGAGCTGGCCTCTGCTTGGCTAGCAAAACAGGGACAAAGTCACTAGTCGCTGTTCCGCTACCGGGTCGGTACTAGGCGACGGTAGGCCTGCAAATTGCACCAACCAGAGCGGAAGGAGCCCTACACCTCCTTCCCGCCGCAATCGAGACCCGGGCCCACGGCAGGCACGTCTGAGGAATGTGGGAAGGGGCAGAGCAGCAGCACTTTGCCTGGCAGGAGCTGCATTGAGGCAGGGCAGGAAGAACCCAGGGCGTCTCGTGGCCATCGTCTTACCGCTCCTCATCTCAGGAGTCGATTGTGTTTCTTCTTCTTCTTTTCCTTCTTCATCTTCTCCACACAATCCGTCATAGCCTCAACGCCCTTTTCCCGCGCAGTAACCCACCCCGGCTTCCATGTCTTGGCTGCGCCACGGTTGGCGCCCAACTATTACGGCAAATGATGCATCTGACTGGACAATTCGCATGGTGCTAAGCTCGCCTACGCATCAATGGTCGCAGGGGCTGAGCGAATAGAAAAAAAGACCCCAGCTCGGAGAACGGCCGAGAACGCCGAGCTACCGCCCCTGAGGATTTTGGCGTGCGAATTCTGCGACGTGTTGGATTTTGGCGTGTTGGGTTAATGGCCTGTGCTGCGCTGCGCCGTGCTGCGCTGGACTTGAAGAAAATATCAGGCCTGGAGGCTCCATCTGGACAAAGGAAAACGGTACAAACTCCTGCTGTACATGTCAAAAAGAGCTAATCGTCGATTGTCCCGTATTTTGCGCTCTGCACAGGCAATCGGAAATCCCCCGGAGGCGGCTAGCCTTGTTTGAGACGCCGCAACGAGCGGGCAAAGTACGGTAGCATCGCCAGTCGCTCGGTGCGCGAGTCTTCTGCCGCTGCATTGCGTGACTGCGTCTTTTACGAAATCGCGCGCGCGGTCCCGGTCAAATCTAATCACATAAGCCAGTCATGCTGCTCCCGCATAGTCTAATCCGCCGTCGGCTGCGGTTCCTCCTGTTATCTGCCCTGGCCGGTGTGATAACGGTTTGGGTGCTCACAAACGGCCAGCAGCAGGAAGAAAGTCCGAGGTTTGATGCCGAGCTGGTAGAACATAAGTATCCTCTGGTATGGAGTCACATCCATACGTTCGACGGCTTCGGAGGAGGTAAGCAGCTTTGGCTTTGTGGCGCTCGGATCTGGCAGCATTACATAACCCGAATAGAATTCAAAGCCCTTTGATGAGAGTTTGATGCTGACATCAACGCCGCAGCATGGTTCATTCCTCCGAGCTGGGTCGCAGACGACCATGAGCCGCCGCGAGATATTGTCGAAGCCGCTGTCCTTGCGTCCAAGGCAGCCCTCTCCGTGCGCGAGCGGCAGCTTTCATTTTCCAACATTCCTCTGCTGATGCATCAGACCGGAGCCTCGTCCAAGGTCGACACATGGAAGGCTGAAATTATTCCGTGGGTCCAGCAATGGCTTGGATATGCTGTATCTCCAAACAATACCGCTCCCATGGCCTATTTCTTCTGGGATGACGAAGGAATCGACCTGTTTATGGAGAAGTATGAAAAGGATTTCATCCACGACTTTTACGCAATCTTCACTCCCGTCGAGAGGGCAGACATTTTTCGTGTTCTAGTGTGCCAACACCTTGGGGGCGTTGTATGTATTATTCTCATCACTTCTCTTCCTAGCTCTCTGCCTTTTCTAACTCGAGTAGTATGCCGATATCGATACAGAGCCCTTGCGACACCCTGCCAATTGGCTGGATCCGTCAGATCTCTCAAGATGGGTTGATGATATCACTGGCAAGAGCTACGGGCTCAAGAACCCCGAGGCTGAGGCAAATGGCACGCAGCCAGTTAACCTTATCTGGGGGCTTGAGGCTGATACAGATCCAAATTCAAATGCGTACTGGCGAATGGGATACACTTATCCCGTCCAACTTACCCAGTGGGCGTTGGCGTCCGCCCCTGACCACCCGGCCCTGAAGCAGTTCATGGAGAATCTTCGCGACGAGGTGCGCCTGGAAAAGGAAGCAACCTCATATGATCCCAACAGAGTTGATCCTCTTACTCGAACTGGGCCTGCTGCTGTTACACTAGCCACGCTAATGTGGCTGGAGAACGACATTGGCTTCAGATGGAACGCCTTGACAGGGTTAAAAGACGGAGGGAGATCAAAATTAGTGGAAGATGCTTTAATCCTGCCCATAACAGGCTTCAGGTAAGTTTTATACGTTGTCTCTCCTACATGCGGCAATGACTAATGGGTTACATTATAGCCCTGGTCGCGGAGGCTACGGAAACATGGGCTCTAAACCTATTACGCATCACGATGCTCGACTCGTTCATCATGCCTTGGGCTCATGGAGAAAATTCGATCTGCTAGTCGAATACGGCAAGTTTTGCCGGACCGTATTCGGCTTATGCAAAGACTGGTCCAAAGTCCCGGCAACGCATTCTCGAGTCACATTATAATTTCTTTTCAGCGACATATTGATCATTTATATACGTTTTTAATATTGATTTACTTACGACTCTCGGACGTCTATCCAATAGACCAAGGCGACTATGAAAACAACTTTGGAATGCGGGCTATGGCGCATAATAACAGGTTATAATTACGGTACATATTGACATTTCCATAAGATGGTTCTGCTTGATGGGATGATTTGTACATTATTTCGAAACACGCACCGTTTATATTGTTCATGACTTATTGGTATAGAAGAATATTAGATGCTGGAAAACATTCTGCTGTTAGGATGTGCCACAAACTTTTAGTACGACTTGACCTGTGCTCAATTTGGCTTTTTGAGGCCCCCAGCTTGGAAATACCACAGGCTAAATCTTTGGTCCCAGCAAAGATGTCTCTTTTTTGTCCGCAAGCAGCATTGTATGTGCTCTCTACGCTTGTAATAGCCAATTTCGTACAATTCCTGGGTGAAAATTTGTTGAAAGAGGTCCGTGACTTGCCCGTCTGGACACTACGTCATGGATCAGAGACTTCCCCAGCATCTGCCTATTTGGTTTAGTAGGTGAATATCCTCTTATGCCGACTTATCCTTCTTGGCAAGGTATAATTCAGATGGTGGATGAAGCGGAGTAGGTATCTAGGCTGAACATCCACATAAGGGGGAGCACGATGCTGGCCGACCTCATGCATGGCCAACGCTAAGATTTCGGTCATACGCCCCTGTAGCATTGGTAGCTTGTGGCGAAGCATTAAAATTATAAAGCTAATTTCAACCTAAAGCTATGTTCTCAATCTAGAGGCCCTTGCATGATCCAGGTGGGAAAGGTGCTCTATAAAATAAATGAATAAACTCCCTCAATGGATTGATGTAACTTATAACAGCTTATGATTAAATAAATACACGCCAGACATTCTCCCAATGATTAGTAAATTTTGTATCTAATGCATGTAATCTAGTAGAAGATTTCAGTTTCCTAACAGAGCATAAAATGAACCCCCCCCCCTAGTACTTATCAAGATGGACTCCGCCACAATGCTAGTATCGGAATCGGAGACTTCCCGAAGCGGCCAATGCAAGCCTGCAGAATGACTGTGCCTCGAAAGTTGTACAAGTATGGGGGTGCCGTGAAGATATTTGTGGGTGTCTAGCATGCACTATGACTTGCTTTTTCTGTTTGAAAGGGGGGGGCAGGGAGAGAAAGTCTCAATCAACAGAGTTGGCGGGTGCATACTTCAAGATCTTAACCGCAGCACTCCAACGTGTGGTTACATCTCGACAAGTTAGTGGGACTGGGCGAGTCATGATAGGTACCAGTGAGAAGGGAGCGGCGCTTGAGATATTCCCTGTGCGGATGATGAAGGAGGGAGGGGGGGCGAAATTAAGTATTGAAACTACATCATATATCGACAAACTGGGAAACAGGATAGATGGGGGGTCTCTATAACCGATGGAAATATTCACTCTGCTACTTGCGAGTTATATGATGCATGAGCTATAAGCTGTTTACCGCGAGATATCAAGTAAATCCCAGTGTAGAGAGTATTTATTAACCCTTAGGCAGTATTAGTGCTGGCGCCTATTGAGACAATCTGGCAATTGCCCCTCAGCTTAGGTAGAGATTTTTATGGCTAGTATATGGATTTACTTCATTTCATCACCTGATTCATTAAATCTTATGGAAAAGACATATCAACTAGAAAGGCATTTCTTAATGTACACTCATGTAGCCAACAGTGATTTTGAAACTGGTGGTCCCACTGCAAATCAAGCTTTTAACCACACTTCTAAAGTAGGAATCACTCCCTGTCATAATATTGAGGTAGGAAGATGACTGAAGCAAAATTTTCAATCGCAGTGTATCGTCTTGGCAGTCTCTCTGTTCTGGTAAAAATCACATGATTTACACGGGGTCCGCGGGCTTGGCACGGCCCCTCCTCGTATCCGGGTACCGGGCCCGGATTCGTACGCTCGCTTACTTTGGCAGTCCTGTGGATTGCCATACTGTGGATAACTTCATATTTATAGACTTGGAGAATATGAGCTGGGCCAAACAGCGTGTATTTGATTCGCAGAAACTCATTTCATCCGATGGACAGGATGGGTTATGTGGGGGTTCCCAATATACCTGGGCTCTCAGTCGGTGACGAAGGGTCCACGACATCACAGCTGGTCGCTATTGTGGGCGAATGTTTCGTCATGAGAATCATCGAAGACAAGGAGCCTCATTGTCATAGGTACGCTCATTGTAGGGGGGAGGGGAGTGTTTCTTGGCATGCATATTTGTAACATCGGTTGCGGTCGTGGCCATGACGAAATGTGATTTACCTGTAGGGTGTATATACAAAATTACAAATATGAATATACAAACTTGTACTCTCTTTTTAAAACGTAACGTATATATGATTTCTAATCGAGCATCCAGGAGCAGAATAACGAGTCATTTGCCAATTCAAGAGGGTATTCATAGGTGGGTATAAACCGGAATTTAGACAAACTTTCGGCTTTAACAAGCTCAAGATGGATGAAACTTTTGCTTAAAACCAAATCCTTCCTATTTACACGATAGACGCCTCTGCATAATGGACTTGGTAATGGGAAGGGAGAGACGAGGTATTACCGTAGTGGATAGAAGATCGTTCCCCTTGTGAGAAGTGCAAGGCAACAGTTACTAAACTTGCTTGATTAGAATTGCTTGATTGACTTGCTTGATTAGAACCCCCAGTCAACTACCTGCATGAAAGATTCCAAAGAAGATAAAGAAGTGGACTGTATATTATTTTATACAATAGCATGGGGATATAATAACTAGCTAGTGCAGCAACCTGTGCCCTACCTCAACTGTTCTTACTCCGCCAATGTAGCTGACGACAATGTTTCAATATACAGTCCAAGTCTTTTGCGCATGAAGGCTTTCCTACTTGGTGAAACGTGGCTTATATTTCTTTAGCATACGTATGATAATGTGCAAAAGACTGGATTCTTTGTTACAGTAAAATATCGGCACCTAGCAAAATATCTTAAGATAATTTAGCATGATGACCATACTAAGTCCAACAATACTTTACAAAAGCATGTTAAATAATTGAATACTAAAGTGAATTCGAGTCGTAGCCCAGGCAATTATCATTCATACGGTATATTGACAGATCTGGGTATCTTATACATCAGAAATAGTAAAATACAAGAAGCAAAAAATCTAAGTGATGCCTAATTTACCCCTGAAGCATCTGAGCCACCATTCTTTCACGTTGCATTATTCTGGGACGTGTTCTAAACCAACCTGTGGAACTCTGCGGAAACTGTACCCACACTCTCTTACTCTCTTTGCAATACACCTGGTGTGAAGAGATGACGGTGCCCAATATGCTGTGCTTTTTTCAGCTTCCACTCGGCTAAAGGTGGAAGCGTATTCGGTAAAACTCTCAACTGAGTTGCCCCTTGTAATTTCTGAGTGGCCAAGCAGGACAACACTCGTCCAATCTCCTACTTTGGTGAGGGGAGGGGGGGCGTGGTTGAATCCAACACGTCATAAAAAATCTATCAACTCCTGAGAAACGAGGTCAGCTCATTGGGCCGTCTCCGACATACTCGTAGACAAGAGTAATGTAGGCTGCGTGCTTATCAAATGGAGCACTTGACCTTGTTGCCAGGCGGCAGGCGGAATGCCCTACCTAATTTCATAAGTACATAGGTCCTCCCTCACTTATGAAGAACATCTGCCAAGACACCGTCGGATACGCGGCATAGCTGTGATATCCACGAAGTACTTGGTGCTTGGCAGCGACGGAGCTTGTACCCGATACTCGTTTGCGAAGGCAAAAAAAGTTAACTTTGGATACCTGTTTAGATCCTGGGGAGGGTCTGATCAAAAAAAAAAAGGACCGAGTTTGACTTTTTTCTCTGACATGGCGGCCTGTATCATCTGGAACAGCGCAGCATCCTGGCACTCCAGCTGAATGGCGTCGTAGTACAAATGGTGGAGAGGCTGAGTATCCCAGGATTGAAGAGCGAAACCAGCGGAAAGGAGAGAATCAAGAAAGCTTGAATTTATTGATGCACCAACTGACGAAAGTAGGACGTCTCATTTGAAAGCGAATATTCCAGCTATACCCGTCAAGCCTACCATTCATCTCTGCGTTGCTGATGTATAATTTGGAATCATTAAGAGCCGAGATAACATGCCCGCGGAACCCGAGAGTCGAATTAATCGAATTGATCGAGTTGACCAATCCAAGAAGGCGACATAGCCGAGATCGTCAAGGCAACGCCGGAAGGCGTGGGTTCTAGAAATGCACCAGGGAGTAGCCGGGTGAACCGTCGTCCATTTTATTGTTGCTAAGCAAAGTTTTTTCTCATACACATACGCGCTCACTTTCTAGCAATATCCCTGGCGATGTGAGGCGGACGGGTAGACTTCTTGATGTCATGCTTCTCGGCCTCTTTGTGCGATGCTGCCACTTTTAGCTTCGGCATGGTAGGCACAAGACGTCAGAAACAATATGATGCCCTGAGATTTGTATAAAAAAAATTGCTAAAAGCTACAGCTAGGCATTTGAAGTGGGCGATGGATGTTGAACGTGAGCCGTCTGTCTCCGCTGCGTGAAACTTGGTGGCACACGCCGGAGACGGCCCCACAGTTCCGGAACACAAGGACGGACCGGCTTGCCTAAGTTGGGTCTCGGTGCTGCCATTAATATCACGTCCGCTCTGTCGCACAACAGTAAATCACCAATATATTCTTATTTGACAGCCTATTCCGGAAAATTCATAGTGGTACGACAGAGATCCGTAAAAACGTCCTACACACCACACCGCAACGCGGTTCTGGCTGAGATGTAGCGGCTGCCAAGCCTCAAGTAGCCAAGCAAGTAAAGGGCAAAAAGTAACGAGCTTTGCAACTATCAACTCACTAATCTACTATGATGCGCAATATTATCTCGCTAATGTACCTTTTTATTAAAAGACTTTTGTTTCCAGGAGCAGGAGACCACTACTGCTTCGACTGCTTCTAAGCGATAATAGAGAGTCTTGACGAACACCAACACCCTCCGGAACGTCACCCACATGGTGGATAGTTTCGGATCTGATGCTCAGAGGATGTATAAAGGCAGATCGCTCAAGAGATTCCCAGGGATGATTTCTTCCATAATCCATAGCATCCCAGGACAACCCGAGTATATTAACTAATATTCGTATAGCATATCTTCAGCTCATCTTCCTAGCCATGGCTATTTTATTTTATCTGCCAATTAGCGCGCCAAATACAATTCACATAACATGCAGCCTCTACCGATAACGGAGGATCATTTGACTAACAGCGAATACATGGCAACTGAAGGCATCTTCCTCGACAATGCGCATGGCAGACCTGATTTCGCTGGTAGCCAGACTTCGATTGAGGAGCCAAAAGCCCCGGCGGAGACAAGACTTCTTTCTAAGAGAGTACCTTCGCTAACGTGATGTCACGGCCTAAATATTCTCGATTACTCACATCTGCTGCTTCTATCATGACTCTACCCTTCAGATGCTCTTGAGAAACGACCTCAGGAGGAATTCATATGGCCTGCTCTTCGTCGTCCCATACAACCGTAGCAATGTTTAGAAATGCTAAGATGATAGATGGGGATGTATAATGATCAAGAGGAGGCATTTCGATCCAGCATCTGCTCTGAGCCTAGGGTGATTGGCGAATGTGTAGTATGTAAGTCCCGTATGTGAATGGATCTGTGGTTGTGTGAGATAATCAGAAGTGGTAAGGTAACTTACAAGACAATAGCTTCAAGTCATTTTTTTTTAATGGATGTAGTACCTGCTATTATTGATGCAACGGAAAATCACGTATCCACGTGATCCTTCCAGCGACATTCTATACTTCTGCCGGTGTGACGTACAAGTATACAATTCTACCAGCAATTGGTTCTCACTCAAAATCCACACATCCTCATTTTAGTAATCCATAGCCAATAGCCATCATTCCCATCAAACCCCCATTCCTTCCACAAAAAAAAAAAAAAAAGGCTCATTAAGAGCCTCTCTCGCAGACAGGTATCACACAAAAGCATGAGACTTAGCCTCTAATCTGCGGCATATTATCCTATTAAAGCTAAACAGCACATTACCTAAAGGAAAAAAAAAAAAAAAAAAAAAAATTCTTTTCCAAGAACAGCTAGGAATAGACAGAGTAAGATGATTTGTGGACATGTTTGGAGATACCAGGCTCTAAAGTAAGAGAAGTGGAGGGGGAGCTAGTTAATTTGATAGAGAGAGAGAGGTGAAGCCAAGGATGAGCAGGAAGATCACGAGCCAAATTACAATTTTAACATCATACTCACTGACACCAAGATCAACTTGCATAGGGCACATCATATCACATTTTCAAAAGTCAAAGAACTCAAGCCAAGTAGATAAGGTAAAGCGCTCAATAACGCATCATTACTAAAACACACTAAAAGCTAATAAGTTCATCTAAGATATCCCTTAAATAAATTCACCCTCATAAAAGCCATAATCAAGTCCATCCAGCCCAGGGTATGCCTTCAAGTATGTATATATATCATGCCCAGCATTCCATCTCATAGACATGTTCCTCTTTTTGTTTTCATCCTACCCATATAAACGCCTTCATCCGCCTCCATAAAGTAATACGCATTTAGAAAGAAAGAAAGCTCCCTTTGTTGAGATGGTTTCAATGTGGGCAAATATCTTCCCATATTGTTTTGCCATAAAATAAGTAAATAATAGAGATTGGCCCCCTCTATGATGCGTATCCAAATGCGATGAGAAAAAAAAAATATGCCCCGCCGTTGGAAGGCTGGAAGTGTAATAGAATATGTAATAAAAACGAATTAAATTCTTTCAAAAAAAAATGTTATACTTGTTGCGCATGCGCCTGTGCCTGCGCCTCGTCTCGAACGTAAGCAGAACGTTGAAGCAAAGCACTAATGTTAAGGTCCATAGGTGGTCGGGGGATTTCCATGCTTCGGCTGGGCATCCTTCTACCACCAGGGGTTCGTGGGTGAGCCACGTTGACACGACCGTTTCGGTCTAGGATTCTTGGAGGCGACTCATCGCCGTCTGAACCAGAGCCCTCATGGTCGTCGAGTCCGTACTCAGCTAATCGGGTGAAATAATCGGCGAGGCCATCAATGCTGCTGGGCGTGCCAACAATGGCGTCATACTGGGGAGGCGGTGTCATGATCTGAGGGATATCTGAATGGTCATAGACGGCGGTGCTTGCAGGAGGCGGTGCGGTATCGTCTTCAAAGGCAGGTGGGTTAAAGCTGGGAGCCCGTAGCAGATGGATAGGGCGGCCGGGTCTCTCTGCCGACGACCAGGCTGCTGGGCTTTGTCTACCAGTTGCCGCTGGGGCCCCTGATTGTAAGTGGACGGCTTGAGGCGGAGCAGGCAGGCTGTCAGCCAGTCTCTCGGGTTCCGGAAGAGTTCCAGTCGAAGAGTTTGGAGATGTCTCCATGGCAATTGTTGCCGAGTCGGGGCAGCCGCAAGCTGACTGGTAAGGAGAGGGTCGGTTCATCTCGCCGGAATAGGCTGGCAGATAAGTGTTGGCCTTGGTGGCCCGGCAGTTGAGAATGGTGAGCGGAGAGTCAATGCTGATCTCGAAATGACGGCGCTTGGTGCCTGAAGGATCATCGGCATCTAAGCGGCTAATTCGCATAACAACCTATTTTAAATTAATATCGAGTCTTACAAAAGGGGTGTTATTAACTGTTTTGTAACTTACCTTGATCCAGTGGAAGACATTAACATTCTTCCAGCTGCAGTCAGGGTGTAATCGAAGAGCCTTGTTCTTGGCCATCATTTCACACGTCGGAATCTGCACGCTCGCCTCAATCTCGGTGGAACCCCACATGTTCTCAAGGCCCAGATCCAAGTCGCCGAGGAGATTATCCACCGGCGCAGGCAGCGGCTCTGGAGCTTGATTCCTCCTGGCGGCGTCGTGGGCTCGTCTTCTTGCGGCGGTATCCCGAGCGACCCGGCGTTGCTCTTCAGTAAGTTCGCCGCCGCGAACGGTGATGACTTCCGAGTCAGCCCACGAGGGGTCGAGGTCTTTTCCTGCCGTCTTCTCGAGAAGCAAAATCTTTCGGCCAGGATCTTTCCTCGTCACACGCTTATCGCTGGTCCAGTACTCGACAGACTCAGTGATGTAGACTTTGAGCTTGTGGACTTGAACCTTGGCCAAAGGCGTGAGCTTGAATGCGATGGGGATCTTGGCTCCAATGGGAAAGCTCTTTCCAGAGACCATGATATCGTAGTGGAGCTGGTCTTCCCATTGACGGCTGATAGAAATGGGCTCAGACATCTCGAGTGACATCTGATCCGGCAACCGGATGATGGGGACTTCCTTGACACCGTGGAGGTTGGGCTTGAAAGCGCCGGCGCGGTCAACGGTAGCGTGAAGCTCCCACTTGACCGAGGCATATTGCAGCTTGGTGGTCTCGAGTTGGTGGTGATCGATGGGAAGCTCAAAAGAATAGTCGTAGACGCCAGGATAAAACACCTTGAATCCCTTGGCCTGAGTGGGAGTTACCACTCCGCTCTCGCCCTTTCCAAAACTTCGAGACTGGACATTTTGAAGAGAGAGGCGCTTGAGTTCTTTGGATGTCAGGTTGTTTCGCATTGATGAAGATGGAGAGACGCCGGATGAGGTATTCAAGCCAGTGCTGCTTGAGTTTGCAGAGCCGCCCTTGAGCTTGTAGGTGCATTGGTTGCCGTACTCGGTCTCCCACCCGTCATTCAGGGCATTGAAAAACGTAAGGACTTGCGTTCTTAGACTTTCCTCTTCGTACAAGTCTTGTTTTAACGGGGGAATTCCCTCGGGCCATTCTGTGCGCGCGCGACCAACGAGCTTCAACTGAACGGCCTTGATTTTGACGTTTTTGCTGATAGTCAGCTGCATCCTGCCTCTGAGAAGGGCGGTGCCCGCACGAGATTCACGGCGCTCATGGCCATTGTGATCAAAACCCGAGAGGAATAGGTTGGGCTCGGCCAGAAGAATAGAGCAAGCAACTCCACTGCCTGTGGCGACGGGCTTGGTAACCTCAGTAACGATGGCGTTGACACTTGATTTTGAGCTGCGCATGGATGAGAAGCTGTTGTGATGGCCTAGCTGGTAGGTGCTCATGGGCACCACGCCACCTCTAGTGGTAGCCATGCTGTTTGGGGGGTATCGACGGTGTTGAGAAGAGCGGCGTGGACGGTTTGTATGGTGGCCGGCGTGGCGGCTGGTGTGGCGGGTGCGGCTATGACTGGTGCCGCGATGTCTTTGCCTCGACCTGGAGGATCTCGAGGCCGCTCTGTGCCTGGCTCTGTCTCGTGGTTGTTCACGGTGGTCTCGACGTTCTCGTTTGTGAGCAGAGTCGCGGTCTTTGGCGGGCGGTGGGGCCGGCTTTGAGCCACGGTTCTTGCGGGACGAAGACGAAGTTGGCTCGTGAGAATGGTGTGAGTGGTGGCTGCGAGAGTGATCTGCGCGGCTACTATGGCGAGATGATCTAGATTCAGGACGGTATTCGGTAGTCGGAAAAGTCTGAACACCAACAGGAAATGCGTTGTGTTCCGGGATATCGACAGAGGATAACGAGTTGCTGGCCAGCGATTGAAACAATCGTGTCAATGCTAGACGTACAGGTAGCTCGGGCGGCCGGTTGGATTGGGCCAAGGCCGAAAACCTGGAGGAGGACCGCGGCGTTCCTGGAGCGGGACTACCGCTGGTGCTGCTGATACGGGTCCTGGAGGAGTGAGGAGAGGTTCGGGTTCGAAGCTCTCGCGGCACGTAGCCAGAGGGATAGCTGACAACGTGGATGGAGTGAGGCCGCGTCCTTCTCGGCCCAATGAGGGGCGCTGGAAGCTGCTGGTCGACGGGGTCAGCCGGGTCGTCAGCGGCAGCGGCAGCGGCAGCGGCGGAGGCGTCGGCGACAGGGGCGTCGAGTCGGTACAGGATGTTGCCACTGCTGGAGCGGACCCAGTCGTCTCTGCGGCGGCGTCTGCGATGGCGGGAGTCAGACTCGCGCGAGGCTGGCATGTTGTCATCAGTATATTGGTTCTCAGCTGCATGGAGGTGGTTGCTATTGCTACGGCATTGCTCCCGGCGATGGGTTCGCGATGGTGGCGGCTGCACTGCAGCTCCAGCTGGCATGTTTGCTCTGCGGATGACGGTGGTGATGATCTGGGGGAGGGGGGGAGGGGCTTGCTCAAGCCCAGAGCCGGTGGGAAGAGGAAAGGTGGGAATATCTCGTGTGCTAGCTCGACAGCGGCATCAAGGGCAGCGGACAGGGCCATTCAGACCGCCCATCATCAACGATCCGGGTGGAGAGCCAAAGCAAGCCGGGCGACGACGGCCAGCAGGCAATGATGTGCGGCGGAAAAGAGATGAGGGGACACGACTGAGACTATGCCATGCAGGGCTGACAAAAAGAGGAGAGAAGGGACAAGTAGTACACAAATAAGGGCTTAATGCAGCGGGGGGGGCTTGAGGAAAGGGAGAGAGTGAATAAAAAGGGAAGCTCGAGATGTGCTGGCAGCAAACAAGAGGGCAGAGTTGCGTGGATGTCGAGGCCAGCAGGACTAGAGTGGTTTTGTGTCTGGCTCTGGGGGCACTCGAGGCAAGGCCGCCAGGCCAATGGAGAGGCTGCTGGCCAAACAATAGATGGAGAGGGGCGTTGAAACCGCAGATGAGGAGACAGAGGAGCAAATGAGCGAGGAGGGAAGAGGATCAAAAGTTTGCATTCTATTATAATTGGGCATCGAGAGACGAGGCGAGCTCGCCTCCTCGTGATTATGCGAAGCGAGCGATAAGATAGTCTGATGTCGACCCAAAAGGCATGGACGATGAGTGGCCAGCCGGGGCAGTTTGCAGATGGAGCGTGGCAGAGGCCCATGAGTGGCGCTTTGGCAGCGCCAGAAATTCATCAACAAGATCAATGAGGCCTGCACGAGCATCCACAAATGCAGGCTGGACACGTCGGTGGCAGGGTGACGTTGGCGGTTGGGCAGCTCGAATATCCACCAGCCGGAGCCCACTGAGGCCCCGCCGGCAGTGCACAGTTGCGTGTCCGCCCAACGCGCTGGAGCAGCAGGCGCATGCTGTGCAAAAGCAGGTTTGGAGGAGAGGCTTGAGAGCGTGTGGCCCAGATGATAGGTGAGTAGAGCAGGGGGGGCAGGTTGGTGGAGGTGAGATGGATGGGCTTGCAGAGCGCTTGCAGCAGAGACGAGACAAGGGAAGAAGAAGCAGATGCCAGCCAGAATGCGGATGGCAGAAGCAGTGGCCAAGAAGTGTACCATCGACGTATCATCCATCAGATGTCTTGATACGACATTGCAGAGAAGAGCCAATGAATGGAGAAGCCAATGAATGGAGAGAGGGGGGAGAAGATGGACAGCCGTACAAAAAGCCAGGCTCACTCACCACAGATTGGGGCCAGATGAGATGCAACCCAGATCGGCAAACGCGATTGGAGACGCTGCTGCAGGCGAAGACAAAGCAGAACTTGTCTGCTGATCGCTGCCGAGTTGTCGTTTTGTCTGTGCGCGAGGCGAAGCGGAGGCGATTGAAAGAAAGCGATACCGCAGGATGGAGCAGAGGACGTTGCGTGACCAGGCCGGTAGACAAGGGATGCGGCCTTAGGCGAGATGCAGCTCAGACAGAAAATGGAACGCGCTGAGAACGAGGAAAAAAGGGTATATGATATGCGGATGCAAAGAGACTATGCGAGCAGTCAATTGTTTCGGATTCTTGTCTGCGCTTTCGTGTCGTCGTGAAACTCGAGGAGGTGGAAGAGGTCGGGGCGGATGTCGAGCGAGTTGAGGCGAGAACAAGAGAGAAGAGAGAAGAGAAAAAGAGAAAGGGACAAAACGCTTGTCGCAGCTGAACCGAAACGGAAACCCCAGAAAAGCCTCCCCAAAGCCCTTATAAACAATCGTCTCGTGGCCGGCAAAAGGTTAAGCGGCAGAAAGTCGACGGACACACGCCAAATACTTCGCAGAAGCCGGTGGCAGCGGCAAAAAAAGAAACGTGAAGCCCAGCGCGGGTCCTTTTCAATCAGACCCGATGGCCGGGCGCACTACGTAATGCCGCAATCACCCCCAGCTGGCGATACACGCAGCCTAGCGCCGTTCCTTTTTGGCGCTCGATGCAGATTAGCCGCTGCCTCTCCATCTCTCCATCTCCCCTTCCCCTCGGCAGTGTCTGGGGGCTGATGCCAGCGGGCGGGCCAGGCTCGGCCTTGGCTCAGTAGGCGATAGTGCCCCTTGGAGCAAGGTGGATGGACGCTATTACTAGTACCGTTGGGGCAGTAAATGGCTGCGTGGCATAGGGCTGGTGATGTCACAGCGAGCGCGAGCTTTGGAGCTAGAGGGGAGCCGAGCCCTTGAATATTACCAACGGAGGTACATTCATGCTGTGCTGGCGTGTTCTACGGGCACATGTACAGCAGGTAGGGAAATTGGCAGCCCTGCCGCAGTGTCTGGAATACGCAAACAACAACCCAGAGAGAGCGACGCAGGGTATCTCGGCTACTACCACAACAATGAATGGGTCCCTCGCTGCACTGCCCGCAAGAATATCAAATCAACTGCTGCTATATACAAGCACTGCAGGTGTCGAAGCAGCATCTCCCAGCAGCGCGCACCCAAAGTGGCATCTTCCGCTGCCTTGGCACCCGATAGATGCCCTATAATCTATTTCAAACCTGCTAACATACGCACGCACTTCTCATGACTCTGTCTCACGCGCCCAAGTCGGAAAAGAAAGAAAAAAGAAAAAACGAAGCCAAAATGATCGACGTCACCGGTCCAGGCGACCCCCTGGCCGTTTTCTCTTTTCGAGAGGGGCCGGCACCAAAAGGATGCGCCAGCCGTCCAATCAGCCCTGGCCTGACGAGGGCATTTCCGTGGAAATCTACCATTCACAGCTCTAGTTGGAAATATCATGTATCATGTATAGACACATGCTACTATTTGCCATGGCATCCTTTATTATGGGTAGCTGTTAATTCAATTCATAGCGACATCCCTTTTGAGCCATCGTCTGCCTTGTGACCGGCAGCCACAGCCAAAACCGTCTTGCGCCTTATCCGCGATATCATCTCGATCTAAGGAGCACGAAGCAGAAAAACGACATCTCACATTCAGCCCAGGTCTTGCTTGTTTTCTGCCAAGAGGCAAAACTACAGAACACCACTCCAGGCACGTACAGTAGGTACTCGACTAACGCTGCAGCGTCTACGCCATACGCAGCCCAACTAGATCACGCACCGCAGCCCCATTCCTCACTCCCATCAGCTTCATGCCGCTGCTGAAAAAGGCCCGTGCATTTCTCGCATGGCCTTGCATTCCAGTCCCAGGAAACAATGCACCATCAGGCCACCATGGCCGCGCCGTTTCAGGAGCATCCGGCGATAGCTCCAACACCTCGACCCAGCTGCCCGTCTCCATTCCAGCTGGAACATGTCTTGCATCCAATGCGAAGCTTGCCCACGGCCAGCTTCAGCTAACCCTAACCTTGTGCCTCCTCGGAGCTTTCATGGAGCTTTCATGGCATTCTCGCATCCCAGATCGCGGATTCGGCAATCGGCCAGCCCCCATCAAAGGCTCCATATTCCCGAGACAGGCGCCAATGCCGAGCCACTTTCTACGCAGCTCGAAACGAAGCTTTCCCTCGCCTTTCCCCTTTTGGGAGGGCCATCATTTCATTTTCTCATTTCGCTAAATTTTTATTTTTATTCTTTTATTTTAGGCATTACTACTGTATTTTTATTATTATTATTATTTTAGCTCAAAAACCGCTTTTCCCGCTGCCGCATTCTCACCCACCCGGTGTTTTAGCGAGCCTGACGTGGATTCGCTCCGGCACACCCGGGTCTTCACACCCTCCGGATCTGCCGGATCCCTTTTGGAATAGGCCAAATCCAAATTTCACAACCGCAGTTCTGTTGTCCATTCACCATGGTGCTATTACTTATGTTTTATCATACTAACACGCATACTAGCAATATGTAGCGTATAATTGGAGTTGTCGTCGTTGCTTCTTTCTCTCCCCGCTAACCGCGGTTTTCGGTTCTAGAACAGAGTCTACAATTGAGGCTCAGAGCCCTCAGGAGATTTGAGATCTCACCTTGTGACTTGACTTTGCATCCTCGGTCCAAACTTTGACAACACCGGGTTGCGTGACTCAGCCACCAGGGCCGCGCACCAAATCATCTTGATGCTGAGTGATATTCTTAGTTTCCTGTTTTCTTGTCTAAATTAGAGGTAACTCCGTGGTTGCTTGCGCAGTCCAAGCCAACTGCCAAATACATTCTGCTACTTTCTCCTCCCCCGCAAACGGGTGAGAGTTGAGAGACATATATTTGGCAACTTTATATAGCTCAACTATAGAACAAGTCGCCACCTCAAACGCCAAATCGACAACTTGGCGTATCAGCTCTAGACCGTATTGCATGTAAATTCCTCCGCCCGTCTCAGCTCTCTAACCTAGGCGTTATCAGCTCGGCCACCCATAGGTGATCTCACCTGCCTGTGAGCTGATCTGTTGCAACTGTCAGAATTTACCATGACAGATTATTCTCTTCGCTGAGCTGAACGCTCTTACGCGTCCTGTAGGTCATCTGAAGCTCTTCCCCTCCCCAAGCAAAAATCTTTCCGCAATCTACTCGTCACTTTACCCGCCGTGAATGTTTACAAACGCCTGCATCTGCATGTGTGCGTCATCCGCCTCCTCTGCAGACAACACCCGCATCCGCTTGTTCCCAACATATCCGAGCAGTAACAAAAAAAAACTCTCCATGCAGGAAAATCTCCCGTCTCCCTCGCCCGGCCCCTAACCATTAGTCAAGCAGAGCAACAAGGCAGTTACTGCCTATCCTTCCCTTTACGATATTCCGGGCATCTAAGATTTCTCACCTTGCATGCTTCCCAGTTGCCCGGTTATACCGGTTCGTACCACCCCCCACACTTGCTTCAGCCACCGGACCCCCCGGCCGAGGCCGTGCCGGCCTTGGCTTCTTTTGAAATCTTGCCGATCGACATGACAAAGGGCTACCCTGTCTGCGAATGGGGGTTAAGGGTCCATAAGGGTCCTAGGAACATGGGACGAGTGGTGGTATGATTGGGGCCAATGGATCCACTTGCCTAGATGCTGTGTGGAGGGGACTTCGGTAAGAAGAGGCATTGTGCCATGGTAATGCTCGGGACTTGATGTCTGGTACATCTTAATAATACTATTGGATATTGTACATGTGATTGTAAACGTCTTCAGAGATCTTGTATGGCCTGTATTCCTTAAGCATGTGGTCATGTCATCAGATGCAGTACGTCATTAAAAGAGGGCAACTAGCAGCTGCTAGTTATTACAGAATGTCCAACTTCTACGCTCTCGGATAATCAGGAATTCCGTTATTTACTATTTCTTTTTATGAACTTTTGAGACAAGAAAAAGCCATATAGGATGAGTTCAAACATATCATCTATGAAACGCGATCGCTTTACACCTTGTTTTTATAAACACTTCAACTAGCTTTCCCGCTTATAATTTGAGGAATATAAAATTAAAAATACATTTGAACTTGTACGCGGACTTGAATGAGAATTCTTGACTAATGTTGAAGTTGTCGCCATGACGTTCACAATGGAGCTTAACTCACTTCCGATCTACCCTAAAACTTACTGCGTATTCTTAACTTACTATATACTCAACCGAAATTACTAAATGAAGAAGAATTAGTAGTTATCTATTACTCTATTGAGAAAATAAAACGTTTATGGAATGATACACTGAGCAGAAACTGAGTCTTGAGTGAATGCACAAGTTCACAGGTTCAACTTGATAATGCGCTACTCACTCTTACAGATACACAAGTTCTCATAAAAAAGAGTAAAATAAATCCCAATTAACACACATCAGACTCGGTCTGCATGAAGAGGTTCATTCCATGACCCATCAACCCGGTACCTCTCCTTATAGCACCAGAACCTCGTTGTATCTTCGTCTACTACATCACTCTGTCATACATACATTCAACCAAGTTACTTGCCACTCAAGCAACGAAAAGGTGCATTTTTATCTTTAACCAACAAAAGAACAGAATCATTCTATGAGAACTGAACATCAACAGACCATCTGACCGCTCAAGTCTCAAAAGCCAACTCTCAGTCCCATCTTCATACTCACAAACACCACCTAGCCAAGTTCATCCCTCATACCCATGCCGCAACACCATCCCATCACACACTCTCCCCAGCCTCCCTCCGCAATCTAAACGCCTCCAGCAACTTACTCCTCATCATCATCCCCGTCAACGCGATCCCCTTCCCATCCCGCATCCTCTCCTCCCTCACCTCCTCCTCCCCAGCCCAAACCCACGCCTGATGCTCATTCTCATCCAGCACCACCTGCGCTCCCTCCTCAACCTCAACCTCAAACCCAAACCCGCAGATAATCTTGGTCCCAGTCCTGTTCGTAAACACAGACCACTTCTCCCCCCCCTTCCCCTCCGTAACAAGCCTCTTCATCCGCCTCGTCACAAGCCCAACCTCCTCCCTCAACTCCCTCGCGCACCCATGCAGGATGGACACGTCGCCCGCGTCCACCGCCCCGCCAGGCGCCTCCCAGAGATTCGGCATGCTGTCGTGCGCGGCGCGCTGCACCAACAGCACGCGGTTCTGCGCGTCAAACACGAATGCCGACGTGCCTATGCCGTCAAAGTGCTTGTCGTGGATCCTGAGCCAGTCGGCTTTTGGTACCGTCCATTCGATGAGTGATTCGTCGAAAACAAAGTCGGCCATGGATCCGCCTTTGGAGTTTGTGTCTATTATGGTGTTTTCTTGAGACATATCTGCTGCTTGGGGTCTCAATTTTCCAGAGGGAAAAAAAATGACGCTCAGACTTGATGTTTCGTGTTCTAAGAGTGGAAAAAAAAAAATTCTTATGGTGTTTCGTATCGTATGCTATGTAGCCTCGAATCAAGATAGGCAAGCTCAGTTCGACGAAGAGCGGGAAAAAATATGATAAATGTGAAAGTTGTTTGTTGTTTGTTGCAGTTGACACCTGGTCCGCCCATAGAATTAGCCTCTCGTAGTCACTTTTGAGGCTCTTCATGCATTAGTCGCTGAAACCAAATCCGTTAGGCAGCATTCAATTTTCGTGTGTCACTCACTAATTGAGTTGAGTCATAATTCGATGCAAGGCTAAGCTTTTACTTTGCAGACCCGGGTGACTCAATTCGCAGAGGAATGTCGAAATCAGAGCCCCAGAGCTGAAATACTAATTTTTCTTTCTTGGCTGTAGACGAGGGATTTCACCGCTGATAGGTTAATAATTCTTCAGTATGTTCTCACAGGCACAGAAACACACATTAGAATAAACATCAAAGTCTTGAATCATTCACAGGTTCCCTATAATTAATAATAATAGTATAAAAAACAAAAACAAAAATCCCTTCCGAATCCCATTGCGACCCAGCCCATACTGAATAAAAAAAAAAAAAAAGCAAAGTATACAGATATATATATACTATATATAAAGATATTGCCTTTTAGGCAAAGAGAGGCGTCCCGCTCACTCTGGCTTTCAAAAAAAATCTTTAGCCTGGGGGAATCAAAGATACAAGACAAGAAAAAAAAAATAATAATGTCCGCATGTCTTTTGATCTAGCATGAGAGGATCGCTTTTTGTTTCCCACATCTCGATTCCAATCCGCACCAACCAGATATCCTTTCTTGTTTTGAGGGTGTTGGTTCTACAACACCTACGGCCGGCACCCAAACTTGCGATGCTTGGTTAAGCACAGAGTTTCGTCCAAAAATGGTAGGCCGCAGGACTTCAACAACCCTAATATAATAAGTTCGTGTGCGAGGACCTTTTCTCGTATTTTGTTTTGAACAACCAGCCGGGCCCCGTGCCAAATATCTTACAACACATTAAAGACATAACCTCCATTATCGTCAGTTCTAAAACCAGGCGCTCCCCTGCTCTGGATTGAACGCATATATCATTCACTTATTCGTTTGAAAAAGAACAGAATCGTAAAACATGGAGCCAAATTCGACTCAAGGTGGGAAGGTCGTGTGATGATTGAGTAAAGATTGATGTGAGATCCAGCCAAAGCTGCGTTCTGTCGCCTGTTGAATTTGTAGCGGAACAGAAAGACGCAGCGCTGACTTTTTGAAGAAAAACTTTTTCTAGTTTTTTTTTCTCTCCCCGGTACGAGTAGTGCCTCGAGTAGAGAACTTCGAATAGCTTGTTTTAACTCGAATTCGTAGGTCAACGCGGCAATCAACGACCGTGATGCTGTATGGTTACACGGACACCCAGAATTTGAGAATTGATTCCCTGTTGAAGGACGTGGCTGTCAAGCTAATACTTTCCTTCTTTTTTGAATTCATTCTTCTCTCTCTTCATCTTGACCGACACATCCTGGACTGATGGGCGTTGAGGAAATTAATTCTCCAAAATCGAGGCGCCAGGCACCAGTCCTCTCCTTACCACCTAATCCGTTGCCAAGATCGACTTGTCTGTCCTGGCTCGCATATGATTGGCGTGAACGTCAAGGCATCGGGACATTAAGTGAGTAACTGGCCAAACAGCTGCTTTGTCCAGCATCTGAGAAGTGACGCGAAGAATCTTAGTTGCGAAGCCGTTATATCCGTCGTCAGAATTCAAACTTCCCATGAGATCCATGCTGATCTTCATCTCTGCCGAGGACAGCACTCCCTGTATCTTTTCTAGTAGTTGAACATCTTCTTCTTCCAGCAGCATGATGGCAGGCATTTGTGTGGCATCAAGGTGATCTCGGCCAAGAACTCCTAGGTAGCGGCCAACCCTGTCCTGTACGGTGGCAACCCATTCGGCAAGAACCTGTGCGCAGTCGAAAGCGCACATGGCGGATTGCAGGGGAAGTTCACGACTGGTGAAATCAGCAAATGTCACTCCAAGCTTATCCGACATGGCCAACGAATCGGCCGCATAAAAGGCAGCCTTCCGCAGATGACGTTCGCGACGGGAAATGGTTCGAGTAGCGAAGGGAGAGCCGTTGGGCGTATTTGAAAACTTGTTCGAGAGATCCAGTGCTGATGGCGGCATTGAAGGAGAGCCGGTAAAGAGGGTGCTGTCAAAGGCATCGTTACTAACTGGTTCCACGTTGGATGACGGTGAGTGCTCGGCATGCTGAACAATCTCTGTCCCCCGGGCCAATTCCTCTGCCATGCCATCCCAATCTCGTTGCCAAAACTTCTCCTTTGACCTGGACAGGTTGACAAAGAGCCGCACGTATGCCAAGTCGAGTAAAGGAATTGCGTCGGCAGATAGTGGCCCCATGCCGAACGGATTTGGTCGCTCCACGGAGTGCTTCGGGTTACTGGACCAAGCGGCTTGCCACGCCTTTAAAGCCGGCTCAATGTGTCGGTGCATCTTTTCCGTCTCTTCGTTAGTCCAGACTTTGTTGTGATGCCTCTGCCGGGTTTCCCAGATATAGTTGTGCAAAGCGTTGATCAAGATTAGACAGCCGAAAGTGCTAGGCTTGAGATTCGACGGTGGCAGTGTTGCTGGCGAGAGCTGTCCGCCATTCAGCGCAGCCATGTGCTTCTGCTGTCGCTCATTTGTGCGCAGGAGCTCTCCGAGAGCGTCAGCAAACTTGAGCCTATTGTGGTTGGCAGCCTCAACTCCGCCCTTGGCGAAGAAGGCAGAGCTTGATTCGGCAGCGAAGAATTCTTCGTCACAAGGCAGATCCAGCATGATTTCCGAATTGGTCAGCGCCGGAGTGTGGTTGTAAGCAGCGACGAGAAGGCTAGACATGATGAAGACGGCGTAGAGCGTGCGCTTGCGCTCCTCTTTCCGCTTCCACTGCAGCCACTCTTGTCGCTCCTCAGCTTCACTTTTCCTGTTCCACGTTGAGTCATCATTCATCCGAGTGTCCTCGAAGCCGTCTTGTTCAGGGCGTAGCAGATCGGCGGCTTGGGCGAGGCTGACGAGCGCTGCACAGTGAGTCGAGGCGATGTCACTAATGGTCTTGTCGGCGCAGTTATGGCCGTACACGACGTTGAGCAGCATGGCCTGAACGAGCCAGACAGGCGTATGCGCTGAGCTATCCCTACCTTGCGATGACGAGGACGGCGTGTGGTGGTCGGAGTCGCTGTGTGAGCTGCGTCGGATATCTGCTTTGCGAACATCTGCTTTGCGTCTTTCTTCGAGATAGAAAAAGATCATCTTCTTAGCCATATTGAAGAGTTCCTTGGACTGGGCGTGCTCCATTTCATATAAGGCGCCAATGGCAGCCGTCGCAAGCACCAGACACCCACTACCGCCTACACCATTTTGGCGACCAGTCGAGGAGGACGTGGACATATCAAAGGACAACGTGGGCAGGTGCAAAAAGGGGAAATGGGGATGGAAATAAGTGATGTAGGCTGAGACATAACGCTGTAGATTCTGGGTACTGGGCACGTTGACAGCCGGAGCAGAAGGGGTGGGCCCGGCCGATGACGATTGGAACTGCGGCGACTGCGGTGAGGTATGAGAGGTAAAGGAGTATTTACGGCCTCCAAAAGGCAGGCACTGGGAGAGGATATTCACAATGGTAGTCCTAGTGGCATCTGTAATTGTGGTTACGGGCGAAGCGCCATGGTTAACGCCGTTGAGGGACGATGGGGTTTCCGGGCCGGCATTGAAGCCAAGGGTCTGGTTCATGCTCTGCGTGTTCAATCCAGATACGACGGAAGGGCTCAACGAGCTCAGCGATGGTGGGGGCGTGGAGAAGTATGGGTCATTGATCTTTTGAGTAGCTGGCTGAGGTGATAAAGGAGCTCCATTGAGGAGATCCGGAAAGACTGAACCATTCAGATCCATAGCAAAGGGATTCGGCATCTGCGGGGGTCCCATCACGGAGGGTTGCCACATGGTACTCGTCCCGGCCGGTGCAGGGTGATTTGAACCATCCAACATGACATCGCTAATCCCACTCTGGCTCGTCGTGCTAAGCGCCGACGGGCTCGACTCGTCCACCACGTTTTCGTTTGTCTGAAATGACATTTGATGGTCAAAACCGCTCAGCCAGTCAAATGTGTCGTCAAAGGTTGGGTTCGGCGGCACATCGCTGATGGCCGACGCGAACGGGGAGGCCTGCTCCATTACCATCGAGGGAGGGGAATCATTATAGTGGAGGGCGTTGGGGTTGATGGTGGTGCCCGGCCCAAACAAAAGGCTTTCGAAATCAAACTCGGGGTTAAAAGCAGAGAGAGGTGGCGCTGTGCGGAGGGCGTTTTCAAAATCGGTACCGCCGATTTGCCCCGTCTCCAGCTTCGGGAGTCCGTGCATCATGGTTCTCTGGCCCATGGCGGCCATGGACATGCCCGCAAACACCTGGTCAAAGTTGTGCATCGGCAGACCGGCCAGGCTGGGGTGGCGGCTGTGTCCGCCGTGCATGCTCCTAGCAACGGATGCATTCGCCGAGGCGATCATCTGCATGGCGGCGCCGTCAACATGGCTGATGGTGTTTGCACGCGGACGCATGGTGTTGGAGCCGGGGTTGTTAACCGCCGCGGCCTGGCTGGCGCCCGCAACGCTGTTCTTGCGAGCCCGGCTCTGGCCCGGGGGCACGCCGCTGGTCGACTCTCGGCGGTTTCGAGGCCGCGCTGAGGGCGTCGACGTCTGGTGCAGCTTCTGCTGGTGACGGAGCAGCAGATCGCGGCGGGCAAAGCATCGCGAGCACTCGGGGCACTCAAACGGCTTCTCCTTTGTGTGGGAGCGCTCATGTCGCTTCAGGTGCTCCAATCGAGCAAAGGAGCGCTGGCAGGTGGAACAGACGTGCGGGCGTGGCTTGTCGGTTTTGGGCGGAGGGAAATTCGGAGCGGCTTTGGGAGTCGTGTTGACGGTAATCGTCGACGCTGGAAATAAGCATCAAAACGGTCAGCTGTCAGGCGAAGCTTATTGCTGGAAGGGAGGCCTTTTGTGCGGGTCTGGCATTTGGGGGAAGGGGGGAACTGGAGGGGCAGGGCTGGCGCCGGCGACCAGAGAGAGATGCTCACCAGAGTCGTCTGCGTTGTTAGCAGCGTTGCTGCCCACGCTGGCGCCGGCAGTGGTCGAGTTGGACATGTTGGAGGCGCGCGACACCCTGTGGCCTGAATCATTCATCACCATGGCAAGACACCGCCAGAAGACGCCGCCGGTCACAGACGAGAGGGCGAGGCTGGCGACGGCGAGAGAGACAAGAAAGGTTGCTGCAGGGCGCTTCGCGGGGTGTTGGCCGAGCTGCAAGCTGCGCGCGGTGACAGGTGTATATTTTTGGCGGGGAGGTCGTAATCAGAGCAATGGAGGGGCGGAAACTGCCAGCCTCAGCACGACAGAGAAGCGCCGAGTCACGGAACAGAAGAAATACCTAGAGATAACGAGGCTGGGGGGCGAGGCGCGTTCCCGTGAGCAACACAAGCATCCCAAGCGGAGGTTTGCGCACAGAACAGCGGCTTGGGCGTCGCTCAGGTCAAACGGCGAAGCAGAGACAAAAGATGCTGCTCGAGCGGACAGAACAGAGGGAGAAGGAAGAGGTTTGGCGACGGACGAGCGACGAAAAGGCACTCCCGAGTCGCCCACCATGCGGCGACACAGTGTCGTCACTGTGCGGTCCAGCCTGTCCTGCTGCGCCCGCTAGCTCGGACCAGGGCTTCACAGTGCGCTGTCGGCGCTGGACACCGCTGGAGCATCGCCGAAGAGGCCTGGGGCTGGGGGCAGCCTGGGAGGGCTACAGCGGGCCGCTGCTTGCCGTGTGGATTGGGCGGGTCTCACACGGTGCGCCGCCTGCATGTACGAGTACTCACGAGCTACGGGCCTGTACCACGGGCCTGTGCCTGGAGGTACGTACCGCCAAGGTGCTGAACTCACGTTGGTCGAACAGCGCCGCGGGCCCCAGCAGGCTCGACGGCGTCCAATCGGCAGGGGCCAGGGCCAGCTGCTGCAGAGCAATCAAATGGCATGCAATGAGTGGTAAGGATATGGGATATTAATATGTACGCATATGTAGGTGCTGTTGCTAGCTCTACACATGCCCTGTAGCAGAGCAGCAGCAGCAGAGTAGCACTGCTAGAACGATGTATGTACGAGGCATGTCGCACGCATCAGCTGCTCATCCCATCCTGCATTGGTGGGATGACGGCAAAGTACCTGCGCTGCGCCGGGCCCTGGGGAGATACAAGTGGGCTAGCGCTAGCAGCTGCATGTACTGTGCCGTATCTGTACCGTACCGTGCTCTGGTGGAGCCACCCGTACTGTCCTGCACTGTAACCTGCGACAGGGTGTGGCCGCCTGCGCTGGATGTCCTCTTCAGTCATGCTGCCGTCGCCTGATAAAGGCCTTCTTTTTTGCACAAAAAAATGCAATGAACCTCGAATCCAGACGGGCCACGAATTAATGCCTCTGCTCTGAGCCGTATTGGCTTGCCTCTGCAGTGCAAAGCCATGGGTACCCGCGGATGGCGCGGATGGACGCATCGCATCAGCCTTTGGGAGGCAAATACCTCGTACCTTATGAGTACCTGCTCGTATAGTATGGCAAGATTGGGCATTGGCAGCAGCGTTTTTAAAGCTCGTCAGGCTCACGCTAGACGGCAACGGCCACACACCCATCCGACAATTCGTGCCTGGCCGCCACAAGTCGCGAATACGCAGCAAGCCAGCATCCGTGCCACGGCGGAAAAAGGCTTTTCGTCCTGGTCGTGTGTCGTCGCCATTGCATCGAATCTACATAGGACGTAGATAAGGTAAGGTACATGCAAGTAGATGCGCCGCCTTGGCCCCTTGGCGGCACAGTGGCTTGTCCTCCGTATCTCGCACTACGGCGAATAGGCTCGAATCCCATGTACCGCCGCACCCAGCCGACGAGCGCGAGTACAAGAGCTCGAGGACTCGTCCTGTCGCAATGAAACAGCCTTATCCGATTCCGGCCTCATTTTCAATAACCGAATCTTCTCAACGCCTTCTTCTCATTCTCGTCCAATTGCCTTGCCTGGATCCCTATAACCGACTGTTCCAAAGTTCAGCCCGCTCCACCCTGCCGTGCTCTGCTCGACCTGCTGCTGGCTGATTCTTGCAACACCACAGGCACGGAGGTACCCAGAACGGCATCCAAGCCACTACTCCGGAGTACTTCTAAGAATGGAACCCAGATCACACTCTTCGTCATCCTCGTCCAGCTCGGACAGTGTGAGGCTCAAGAGCGGCCACTACAACCACCGCCTCCGGCTTGGGCCTGGCCGGATCGAGACTGCGGTGGCAGCCCAGGCTCGACTGTGCATTTTATTATTCAATTTATTGCTCTTTATTGGCATGCAAATACAAGTATTGCTGCCTTTCACTGACAGTTTCACTTTCAATGAAACGTACTGCGTTCTCTCGTGTACATACAAGGAACATCCTGGTCCAGCCACTCCCAGCAGCACAGCAGCTCGTTGGCTTCTTCGCATGCCGGGATGACTCCGACGAGGCAATTATCCCGTTCGGCGTACCATTTATCGCCAGCCCACCCTCCTGTACGTGGTTTGCTAGCCACACTGTACGGTGTACGGGTAAGCAGGGATGCTCTTCTGCGTGCTCAGTGCGCCCAGTTGCTGCTCGTACAAAGTCGCGCCTACAGTGCGTAGCCGTGTCCAACCACACGACAAAGACTGTATTGCTGGCCACCTTACTGTACATAGTATATATCGTCCAAGTTCCCTAATCAACGCATCGCTGCTAGCACTTCTGCGGTAGAGTCTCGTTTGCTACCCTGCCGTGCTTTGCCATATCTGGTGCGTCGCAGCCAATGCCTTGGCCGCTGCAGTGCACGCATGAGGGAGCGGAGCTATCCGTGGACCTCTTTCCTGTGGGCGTCGGTTCCACAGGCGATGTGCTCTGTTCTGCTTCTGGATGGCCGCAGAAGCTCAGAGAGCAAATCCCAAAGCTCAGCGCAGCAGACGGCGAAATTGCGACCCAGGCCCAGGAATAACCGCTGGCGCAATCCAATGGCGTGGAGACAGCAGCGCTCGCGAGTTGTGCTAGCTGGTGCTGATAGCGAGTTAACAGTCGATTAGTCGATTATCGATACGCCGCTGTGCCCAAAAGCTGACTAGCGGCCAGGCTAGCAGCCGCTGAGCGCTGCTCAGAAGTTCTGGCTCTAGTGGGCTCTGATCACGCGCTTGTCCCTTATAGCACTAGGCCATCTGCAGCGTGGCTGGGAGAATGCACGGTGCGAACGCCTGCTGGGCCATGGCCGGCTTAGTACCTTAGTAGTAGGTAGCTAGAGGCTTCTAACGCCAGGTACCAGCAAGTACCTGAGCCGAGGAAAGCCTAACGCACTGGCACGGCCACTGTGATTGGGGACTGGCACGGTGTCATCACTTCTGTAAGCATCCAGACCAGGCTCATACCGCAGTAGGTTTACAGCACTGTGAGCCTGCTGCCTTCATTGCTGCATACACATGTATCCTTATTACAGAGCGCGATTGTTGCTTCCTACCTAGTGGTAACAAAGCTGGAGCTCTAAGTTATGTCAGATAGCGACAATGCGGCTTGTCAAAGAAGACGTCAAACTTACTGACGGATAAGCTTCGCGTCTTGTACGGATGCTGGGAAAGGCTATCTATCCGCAGTCTCCACTGGGGAACCTTTTGATAACGCTGCTACGGTACCAAGACGCACAGGCACGAGGGATCTACTTTCCGATACCTGCCTTGGCACATTGCGTATAGCGGCCTAGTGTGCTCTTGCCAAAAGGAATATCGAATGGGGTGACAGGTACGGAGGACGGGGCAACAAGCAATACAAAATCCGCAGGCCTTTCCTTCCCATTCCGTAGCAATAAATCATGGAAGGAGCACCGAGAACGAGGCGGACATTGATGCTGGCCGGAACTAGCGACACGGCCACTACTAGTATTAGACAGTGTAGAATAAACATCGACATCAAGCCACGACTAACCTGAAGCCTAGCACAGTTGGCCGCGTTGAACAGGTGTATGATAATGAATTACTAATGACTCACTCATACTTACCTACCAAACAGCTTTATAAATCAGAATTAGTTGTAAGCTCCTTGCCGTACTGTTGATGCGAAAAGCATTGCATCCGACCTAGGTATGTATACTTACAGCTCATGGCTGCAATACATGCATGTACTTGTACAAGCGCCTACAGCTCTGTACATATCGTACCCAACATTGATACCACCGCCAACAACTCGCTTAACCCAGGCATATCTTGCCCTGCCTTACCTTATTTACTTGCATATGTACATGAAATGATCTTCGCCGGTCCCACCACAGCCGGCACTCTGGCCTCGTTTCGAGAGCTGCTGCGTTCGCGGATCCATTGCTGCTGTGGCTGTGTTTGCTTCCCCATCTCCAACTCCTGATCAATGCGACGTTGTCTGGAGAGCCCATCTGCGGCCTGTGGCCTCGTGCATTGCATGAGGCGCGCCCCTAGAAGGAAGCGAAAGCTTGCAGTGGGCAACGATGCCGCGGCCCAACCGCAGCGTGGGTGGCTGTTAATCTATCCATCTGGCTCTCGCCGAGCTATTGAGGTCTATTGGCATGCACGGAGTGCCCGAGCAGGACGCAGGATTGCCCAAATAAAGACCATCTGCTGGCAAGGTGTTGCGTCCCTCTTCATCACATGGTAATCCTATGGAGCCAATGCTTCGTGCATATTCCTGCATAGCTTCTCTTGGCTGCGAGCTTCGAGTTACTCCATGTCGTATGTTGGTGGCGTGGCTGCGTCAAGGAACACAAAGACGGCTGCTTGCTCGATTAACAAGCGTTAGAAGAAACCAAGTCCACAAGGCTGGAGCTGATTGCTTCGAGATGCAATGATCATTCTTCTCATCTCATCTGCAATTAATTGCGCTACGATGACGGACAGAATCAGCCACCTTCTCTCACACTCCCTGTACGTCGGTTCCCAGAATCGAAATCCTCGACAGTAATTTCCTATTGCGCCTCGCCATTGAGCCGCATCTGCAGAAGAGTTCAAACCTCGAGATGAGCCCGAGTCGATTTTTCATCAAGCCTGAACACTGCATATTGCGTTGACTCGATACGTGACACTCGCAGCCATTTGGTCTGGCACTCGCCTTGCCAATTCAGTGGATGAACAATTTACCTCGATCCTTCCGATA